CGATAATCCCCGGTTATTCTTAGTTCGTACCCTAAGACGATAGTATTAGTCGAGGAAGAGGACGAGCCTAAGAAGTGTTAATACGCGCCTTTAGTGACGAAGACTTTTAAGGCAGCTATATTATTAAAGAAGAATTTCACGAGCATTAAGGGAATGGCTCTACTAGTGCGCTAGAAAGCGTAGATAGATAACATGGCTATTCCGTATAAAGTCTACTACAAGCATTACTAAGACGTGGCTAGAAAGAATAATATACTCGTTAGTATATCCTACTTAAACCTAGTAGCGAGACTTAAAATAGTATATAAGTTTAGAGATAACGTAGGGGCCCTTAAAGTTTATAAGAACCGCTATATCTAGTTCGCGAAGTACGCGCGGCTACCTTATCCGATAGAGGCATTAGGTATCTATTATTACTAGGCCCTAGAGACCCCGAAGTAAGTTATTAATATTAAAACCATCCTTACTAGTATTATATTTATAATTTAGAAGGAGGATAGTAGAATAGGTAGGTAACTCTTCGACGAGTGGGAACGTACTAGAAGTATTAATATTAAAGGGCTCTTCGAGCTACTTAAAAAGACGACCTCTATACTTAATAAGAGTATTCTAGAACTCGCGAGGGATAAATTTAATATATATAAGTACCACTAGCGCATGTTTAATAAGAAATCGAACTACGGCTGGCTACGAACTACATACCACTCCTATATCTAATAGTTTATTAGGTAATGCCTACTTTACTAGCTCACCTATATCACTCTTTGGCCTAATCTTAACTACTATCTAATCTCGTACCTATACTATGCGAAGTCCTAGGATAGGGGCGATAAGACGGGTTTTAAGTATCTCGATAACGCTATCAATCGAATCCTCGATTCTAGCGATAGACACGGGTTTAATATGATCTAGGGGAGTATTAGTCTCGACGATAAACAAAGTAACGACTATACCATAATCGTTCCCTACTCCTATAAGTTCTTAAATAAATGGTAGTCGAAGGCTAAGCTCCGCGAGGGGGTTAATCGAAACGGTATAATCACGGCTATTAACGACAAGATCTATAATACGGACGATAAGAAACGATTTAGTCCCTTTGTCCCGGTCCCCTACCAGTCCCTTAAAGTACGTATCTCTAGCCTACTAATAATATACGGCGCCTAGAGTCCCGTAAAGGGTAGAAGACGTACGATACTTCCATGGTATATCGCGATTAGCCCTAATTACATAATAATAGAAGTACCTAAAATAGGTATATAGGAATAACTCGTAGTAGCTTATAGGAATTTAACTCCGGGACCCACGTCTCCGTCGGGATTTTCTAATAAATATAGCGCGATTCCTTTTGCCTTCCTAGCCGTAGTTTAACTCCCGAGTTTTAACGCCGTTAGTAACGCATTAGTCGGCCATAAAAGATAGAATAGCTAGAAGGTAAAAGAAGAGGTAGCTGCGTGGCTTAACGTAAGTCCTTAATAACTTAAAGCCAAGGTAGACGCCTAGTTTAAGGAGGGCTCGAGGGTATTCGTAGAGACCTTTAAGAAAATAGTAAGGTAGGAAAGGCTAGTCTATAGGGATAGGTCGTTCTAGAAGGAATTTAATAAGGCGCGCGCCGCTAAGCGGCTAATTAATTTTAAGAAATTCGAGTCCGACGCGGGCCTAGATAACGTTAAAGAGAACTTCTACGGATAGAAGAGGCCTAATAAACTATCCGACGAGGAGGAATCTAACCTCTCTAAGATAAGTAACACGATTCTTTAGGAGCTGGCTCACGACCTCGAGTACTAAGATTAGGCGCCTAAAAACCTACCTAATTATTAGTTAAGGGCTACCCTTAACTAATAATCCGGGCTAAGGTTTACCCGCGCCGAGAGGTTTACTAGGGGCGTATTTTATTTATATTAAGGTCTTTCTTTTAGGCGTTCTTTATACGGTTTCTTATACGGTTACTATACTACTAAGGGTAGTAGTTCTATGGGCCGGGGAGGTATATATAGAAGGCCGCTCCTATAGCCCTATATATATATATATCCCTAGCTCGATCACATGGCTTTATTATATATTTAAGGAGGGCGTTTTCCTTGGTCATTCTACTTGGCGCGCTTCCCCCATTACTAATATTCGACTATTTAACCTTTTCTTATGTTTATAGGCCTCTATGGGTATTGATTATTAGGCTTAGCTATTGAAGAATTAATTAAGAGTATTATATAGACCCGTCCTATCGTAAAAGAGAACTAATAAGAAGTCGTACGTTTAAAGAGAACTTATAATACCTAGGAGAGATACTTGTGAGTTCGTCGTCGACTACTATACTAGGAACATAGCCATTTATAAAAGGGATACACGTGGCGATGGCTCACCATACTACCCTCCGGTCCTTCTAGTTATATCTTCTTCTCCTTCTCCGTAATTCCCTTTAGATTCTAGATAAGGTTCTAGAATATATATAGGAGGGTCTTCTAGCCCTCTCCGGCTTCCTTCTCTATACGTACTACCTAGTAGTTAATATAATCTAGAAGGGTTTCCCCTCTTAGGGTCCCCTTTATTCCGTCTATCTATAGCGGCGTACGCCTTTAGGTATGTTCTACGTTTTAGATAGGTGTATAGTTACCCTTGGTAATATTGCTATATAGCCTTTTCTATCGTACCGGTAGGGGTATATCTAGTATATACTAGGGTATATCGGTGCCTAAGGCCGCTATATTTATTAGTTAAGGGCTACCCTTAACTAATAAAAGGGGGTCGGCGTGTCGGCGTTCTAGTAGCGTGGTCCGTGCCTCTATCTCTATAAGGATTTTAAGAGGGTGTATATATATCTTTGCACGGCGATAACGTCTTAGTTTCGACGCTATACGTACGTGCGTGTAGTAGTAGTTAGTGTACTCGGTGTACTCTATCGATTGAGATGTGTATCTTGCTATATTACCCCGAATGGACCAAGTTGGCCTCTTAGGGATGTAAAAGAAGTTTTTCCTAGAGCTTACTATATAATTAACTAAGTCTAATAAGCTTAAGAACGCTCTAGAGAGCCTAGTAGTTAATAGATACTAAGCTTAAATTAATAGGTTATTTAGAAATAAGTTATACGTCTCTTATAATACTAGGTAATTTATTAACTACTATAGTAGAAAAGGCTTAATAGCTAGCCTTCTATTTTATAAAGAATATTCTAGAGTAGAGGGCGGTAGATAGTTAGTAATAAGATAATTTAGTACTATCTTAAGTAGTAGTAGATTTCTAAATATCTATTAATTAACTTATCTATAACTAAATAGTTAATACTCTAGAAGAACTAAGTTCTCTAGTAGTAATATAAGCTATTATTATAAGTAGCTAGTAAGAGTATAGAAAATATAAAATTACTAGTATCTAGTATATAATAGAAAACTTTTTAAGCTAAATAGTAATATATAGAAGTAATAGAGTTATAGATACCTAGTTTAATCTATATATAGTTTTATAACTAGTAAATAGAGTGTTCTTAAGCTCTAGAGAGTTAAGTTTTTAGTAATATAATAAGTCTATTCTACTTCTACTATATACTAGAAGAAGAATATCTTACTAGTCTATTATAAAATAGTTAGTATAAATAATATAGTAAGAAGAAGATTACTTAAACTAGTAATTATTCTAGTATTACTATATTAACTAAGATAGTCTAGTAAAGAGAACTTAGTATTTAATATATATAAACTAGTAGATACTAAGTTTTAGCTACTACTTTATTAAGATTATTAATATATTAAGTTAAATTAGTTATAAAGTATACTATTTTCTATCTATATATCTAGTTAGTTATATTTATATATCTAACTAGTTTACTACTATCTATAGTAATTATATATAATATATACTACTACTATAGCTATAACATATATACTATATATATATCGGAGGTTATTATACTTGGTATACTCTATTAATTAATATATATAGATTACTATATCTCTCTAAATTAACTAGTTCTAGTCCCTTAGAGTATAAGAAGTTTTTCCTCTAGATTAGTATAGATATATTCTCTAATAGTAATAATAATTAGTAAACTATATATATTATAGTAGATCTATATAAATCTATATCTATAAAGATTAGATAATATATCTAATAATCTAAAAAACTAAGTGATAAGTTATAGAGTTTTTTAAATAAATAAATATTTCTAAGAAAATATTTTAATATAAGTACTACCTAGACTTATCTAACTATATTATATACTATACTAGGTCTAATTAGATAATTCTATCTATCTAGAGATTTAGAATAGATAAAATTTATTTTATTAGAAAAATACTTATAGAACTCTTAGATTAGTAGATATTAGTATATATCTATATATTAATATATAGAACCGTTAAAGGTTTCTAGAATTAAGCTAGAAACTATAGACTTAGATAATAATCTAGATTACTAAGGGTAGCTTCCTAAAGAAAGAGAATAATTATTAGAACTTAATCTTAGATAAAGACTAGACTTATATATATCTTAGCTAACTTAGTTAGAAGGTAGTATAATAGATAGTAAATAGTTATATACTAAATAGATTAGCGTCTCTTTATATATATACTCTTAGATTTCTACTAAAAGGGTTTAGTAGTAATTTATTCTATAATAAAATATACTCTATTATTCTATCTAACTATACTACTATCTAATTACTCTATTCTTATAATAAGTATATATATAAATTAGTAAAAGTAAACTAGAGTCTTAAGCTTATCTATATAGAGACTATTAATTATATTATATAGATTTAATTAGATATATATAGAAATTTAATAATTATAGAATTTTAGATTTATATATAGATAAGTACTTTAGAGCGTAGTATAAAAAAGAAGAAGAATATTATTAGAATAGATACTATAAGAGACTAAAATTATAATCTTTAGTCTATAATAGCTAGCTAACTTTAATCTAAAACTACGAGCTATAATAAGAATAAGTTATATCTAAGTCTTCTTATTGGTAGTATTTAATGTTAGACAAGACTTTATTTCAAGCTAAGTTGGATCTCTCCAGTCCCATCCATGTGTTTCACTATGCCTTCCCCATTTTGAGGAATCGGCATACCACTGCCAGGCACTCCAATCTTCCCCAGATGCGTCAGATGCGTCAGATGCAGATGCCCCAGATGCAGATGCCCCAGATGCTTGACCTGCCTGAGCAGCAGACTTGGACTTGGAGGCATCGGCTCCTTGCTGAGGCTTTTCAGCATCTCTCCAGTCCCAGCCTTTTGTTGCACTATACCTTCCCCACATTGAGTGGTCGGCGTACCACTCCCATGGGGTCCATCCAGACACAGAGTTCTCAACTGCTTGGCCTGCTTGGCCTTGTTTGACCTGGGCCTGGGACGTTGCATGAGCTGAAGATGCTTGTGCACGCCCACCCTGAGAGCGTGCTCCTACTTGGCCGATAGATTGTAAGCCAATCCCAAACTCGGGGGGATCCCTCTCAGCTTGTGCAATAGCAGTAGCATTCTCATGGAGATAGCCATGGCGGACTAGAGCTCGAATATAGTCAACAGTCCATTCCTGGCATCGTCGGTTCGTTGTCTAATGCTCCTTTGTCAGCTAACATGATATATAACTCGCTATAAGTCCTAGAGTCACCTACATCGTTCACGGGAGCCATGAAATTCTCGCTAGCACGAGGGGCTTGAATCTGGAGTGCAACTCGTTCAAGTGAGCTCATTGCAGAGCTGTGCCTACTAAAGTCCTCCGTAGGTGGTTCATAGACCAGACCCTGATCAACGTGGCCTATATGGACAAGACCACGGAGCTGGTCCGAGGTACTGGTATCGTAGTTGCGCTTGAACTCGTGTGAATAGCCTGCCATTGGTGCACCCACAACGTGGATAATAGTGCCTTTGCACACCTCGTTCTTGTCTTGTGGATTCTGCGAGACATAGGCCTTGTTTGGTATGAAAAGAGCGAAGTGGTATCGCATATTGCTTGAGCGGCGATACTTGCATAGCCAGACAGGTGAGTAGGTCATTGCGTAAAGCTATGAGATAAGGCCAAGATATTTGATTGAAAATGTGTGAGATGAAAAAGTCGATACGTTGTTCTGCGTGGTGTAAGGAATTTGAAGTGCCTTTACTGCCTTTTGAATAACATCTTTCAAATCCTTGAACCTTCAGCCTTTCCAATCTATGTTCAACGTTTGACTGGTTGAAGCGCAACCGAGCACGCGCTAACGCTGTAGGATCCTTGTGGCACTTCTGGTGATAGCGTGGTATTGTCCTTTACATCGGCAAGCCATTCGCTGTAAGAGCTCTTATCTCGAATCATGTGGTAAGCGTCTTTTAATTTGAGACAAGGAAGCGGAACGCCTAGGTATACTACTTATGGGTCTTATGTAGTGCATATAGCTGGGCTGGAGCAGCAAATGAGTGTCGACAATCCATCCATTGGAATGATGTTGCACTATGGCTGAGGCGCCACAAAGCGAGGATTTGGTGTGCCGCTCAACCCAATAGAATACAAACTCGGGCGCCTATTCTTGATCTACTACCCAGTACTAATCTGGATTCTTGATAGATAGTTAGCATGGTAGAAACAGAAGAATGCTTTCATGACCGTGAGGGGATCACATCCCTTCTTGGATTGCTGTATTACTTACTTGTCATGGAGAGTAAGCGGCGCTGCTAAGGACTCCTCCATTGCCAATACTCCAACATTGCGACTGCCTCTGTTTGATATGGCATTGTGATTTGCTGGATCCATCCTAGTGTGCGCCATTCGTGCTCATAGTCCACCCCGATGTGCATTTTACAATATTCCCAAAATTCGGGATACCAGCCTGCTTGCCGCCAATCGATTATACCATTGATGTAGCGTGACCCAACAGGACCAGCAATGATGATATTGTCCAAGTGAAGATCGGCATGAGTAAAGTATATCCTACTTGTATCACGCAGTAGGTGCCTATACGGATCCGATTGCTTGTCCAGGCGGCCTCCAGTAGCTAAATATTGGATCCGGTTATTAAAGGCCGCGACGTCTGAGAATGGGCCGGCTTCAGGCTCTCCGCGAAAGTACATATCTTGAACTGGTCCTCGAAGAACTGAGCCTAATGTTGATGTAGTTAGCAAATGGCGGTGCAGCAGCGCTCTCTTAACATACCAACAATTTCACTAGCCGGGTCCTGCGTTATAGATTGGAGAGTAGCGATGACTCCCCCGAGTTGTCCTGAGATAGCTACCTTCTCTCTTTCTTGTAGAGAGCGCCAACATGAGTCCAGGGTTTGACCTTGAATCAAGCTAAGGTAGATATAGACATAATTTCCTTCAACGCGCCATCCAAAAACTTCAGGAACTGGAACCTTGGTGCCAACTTGATGACGAATAAACATTGTAACCAAAGCCTCGTATAGTGGAACGCACGAAGAAGGTCCATATTTAACTAATAGATTGACTGCTCGAAATTCGGCGATGCCTTGGGTCTTCCCCATGCGCGCTTCGCGAACTATCGCTGGCGTAGGTAGTTCTGGAGTCGGCTCCCCATCGGAGCGGGCGCGAAAGAAAGATGTCTCACGGAAGTCTATACTATCTAGACCTATATAGGTTACCAGATCAAGGTTTTGAGCCTGCCGCATTATTAAAGTAGAGGTGTCGATTCAGGTATCGGTCGTGGCGAGAAATAATACTAGGATAATGTTAGAGGAAGGAAAGGAAGCTTACTTACAGAGTTAGTCTTCTCTAAATGTACTAACCATTTATTAGATTTCTTAAGCGCCTACTTAGTTACTTTATATATACTCCTAGTATATACTTATATTAATCTATATATCTAACCTTATAGATTCTATAGATAGTTATAGATAGTTATATAAATATACTATATATATATATATATATCTTATTATATATTACTATAATAAGTTTTTTAAATATTTAATACTAAGAATAAGATATAGATAAAGCTAAAGTCTATAATAAAAGATAGAATACTTATAGCTACTTAAGTATAAGATATAATCTATATAAGCTATTAATAGATCTATATAGATAATAAAATTTAATATAGATATATTAATATAATAAGATTTTAAGTATTTATAAGATTAAGATCTATATATAAGAATAAATATACTTATCTTTGAAACTTAGACTCTTATATAATCTTAATACTAAGCTATTAAGGTAGTAGTTATTAATTATAAGAGTCTAAGACTTTTTAGTTTCTACTAATCTACTTAGTCTATATAATTATATTCTATATATATATTATACTTTATACGTATGATTACGTATTTATATACTAGATGCTTAAGAAACCCTTCTAAGACCGTACACGGGTTTGTATAAAGTTCACGTGATACAATGATGGTGTAAGAATAGGGTCATTGGATAGTAGTATAGTTAGATAGAACAATGGGGTGTATTCTATCATAGAACGAATTACTACCGAACCCTTTTAGTAGGAATCCGAGAGTATATATATAAAGGGACGCCAATCTATCTAGTACGTGACTATTTACTACCCTTTACATCACCTCCTAACTCTATTAGCTAAGATATATATAGGTCGGGTCCTACCTAAGGCTAAGTCCTAATAATTATTCCTTCCCTCTAGGAAGCTACCCTTAGTAACCTAGATCGTTACCTATCCCTATATCCCTATCCTAAGTCTCGTAAGACCTTAGTTATTCTCTACGCTTCGTCTTAGATACTTACTAATATTTACTAATCTAAGATTTATATAAGCGTTTTCCTAATAAACTAAATTTTATCCATCTTAACTTCTTATATAGGTGAGATTACCTAATTAGGCCTAGCGTATCACGTAATATAATTAGGTAAGCCCGGGTACTACCTATATTAAAATCTTTTCTTAGAAATATTCCTTTCTTTAAAAAACTTCTTAACTCTTTATAGAGTTTTTTAGATTATTAGGTATATTACCCGATCCTTATAGACATAGATTTATATAGATTTACTATAATTTAGTACGATTTACGTAATTTACTAATTTTCGTACCGTCCTTAGCTAGTAATAATATAATTCGTAATAATCTATATAAATTAATAATAATCTTAATATAGTTTCCCGAAATCTCGACGCTCTAAAGTAATTAGCGCGGAAATAGGCGCCTTCGAATAATCCCTATCTCGTATATATTACTAACATATTAAAAGCCATCGATCTACCCCGACCTAGGCCGGGCTCTAATAATCTAGCTATATATTATTATGGTTGTTACTTTCCGTCGTATATTACTTACGGTAGTACTAAATCTATAATATACGGTACTTATATAACTAAGAAGCGTTATTACTTATAGGTATTTAAGTAAGTTCGAAGAACTTTATATAGATTTACTTATATTAGTATAGATTACTACTAGGCCTCTAGTAACCCCTACTAATAAGGAGCGTAATACTACCGATCGTAATACCTTAGAGAAGGCTTTCTATAAGCTATATACCTAAGGTAAGGGTTACGCCTAGGAGTACAATTCTAATAAGATCCATAAGAATTTATCAGAATCTACTATAGCTATTATTACCGCGATTACTAGATAATATCGTTTTTCTTAAATCGTTATAGATTCTTACTAATATATATTAATCTCTATAATAGTACTAAAATCTCTACTACTTTAGACTTCTTTCTATATACCGGCGATATTAGAATTCCTAGGAAAGGTTCTAGTAAAAAGGCTAAGGTTCCTTCCTCGCGCGTGCTAAAGAGCCGTAAATTTAGGGAAGATAGCTCTAATCTAGAAGTTTCTATACTAAAGGTATGTGGTTCTATACCGATCGTTAAATCTTTTCGCTAATTTATATAATTCTTAGCGTGCCCGCGCCGGTCCGTCCCTCTCCGTCCCGGGTCCCGCCGCTCCGTAGGTTTCTATAGAGGAGTTTATAGCTATAAGACGCGCTATATAGAATTTATAGCGTCGGAACGAAAGGCTAGAGACTTATGTTATAAAGCTCTATACTATACTAAATAAGAACTAGCGGAAGGAATTAGATATAACCATCGCGGTAATTAGTACTTCTACTCCTACTCCGACTTAATCGGTTTAGATCTATACCGATCGGTACTAATATATCTCTTTTATCTAGCGTTTTTAGTTTTTCGGTTTTAATTTTAAAGCGATCTTACTTCTTCTAGATAGATTAGTGCGAGTTTATATAGATCTATATAGATCTTTATATTTTCTTTTAGCTTTCTTAATTTTATCTTTCTTTAATAATAACTTCTTTAATCTCTTTAGTAATCTATACCAATCTATACCAATCAGCACCAATTTTCGATGTCCATTTCTCTTAGTAAATTATTTTTCTAAGTCTCTTTTTTAGTTAAATTTTTTAAAGTTCTAAGTTCGAACTTTCTAAGGAAGTTCCTTAATTCCTTAGAATGTTTTAAAGATCTATGTCTCTTTCACCTTCTTCCTTTTAGGCGGCCGTCCTCGGCGCCGAACTATACTAAAAAACGTCGAATCGCCGTACTTTAGTATAATTCTCTATGATTCCGCGGCTTCCTTTGCTAATCGCTACTTATATACTAATATTACTACTTTACTAATGTTTATTATAGGTTCCTAAGTATCTTCGTTAGGATTATATCCTTTCTAACGAATTTTATATAGCCACGTGCTATCTTCGGCACGTTACTAGCTAAGTATCTACTTAACTTTATAGATATCTATACCTTCTTATATAACTACTTTATATAGTATCTATTCGGAACGATCCGGTAATAATAAGGCATGAAATAGCTCGAGAAGCGTAATATAGAATATATTATCTATCTTTAACGTAGGAGGGAGTTATAACTCGTACGCCTAGTTATTAATTATATAAGTAATCTTATATAGACCTATTATCGTATAGTTAAGCTTCTTCTTTAGCCTAATACTACGAATATTCTTACTATTTAGTAAAACTTTATCCCTAACATTAAAGATCATAGGTTTTCTACCCTTGTTATGGTGCGATTTACTATAATTCATAGTATCTTATAGTAACTTTATAACGCTTCTTTACGTTTAGAATAGTTCTATAGTAATTTCTATTACTTTAATATTAGATCGTTCTACTTTGAACTAAGTCCCTAAGAACTACACATTATAGTTCCGACCGAAGTTTACTTTAAACGGACTTACGTGGGTTAACGTATGTCGGCTATTATTATACGCGAATTCCGCGACATAGACTAACCTTACCTAGTTATTCTACTTATAGTTATAATATACGCGTAAATACGCCTCGACTATCTAATTCTACCGCTCCGTCTATCTATCTATTTATAGATAGAACGTAGTACTAAGTTTCCGCTTAATTCCTAGCGTATAGTAGAAATCCTTCTAAAATTTAGATATTATCTACGGACCTCTATCCGAAACTATACCGTTTAGTATACTATGGAGCCGGACTACGTCACGGAGTAGTATATCTATAAGATCCGGTGCTTGGATCGTCTTCCTTATAGGGATATAGTATAATATCTTCGTAAATCTATCTAGAACTACGAGTAAACTATTATAAATATACCTAGAATACTTATTTAGGGGTAGATCTATAATAAAATCTATTAATAATTCCTTCCATGCCTCCTTTAGCATAGGTAATAGCCTTAATTCGCCATATAGTAAGTATCTATATACTTTCGTATACTGGTAAACGTTACACGTTTTTATATAGTCTTTTATATATTTATAAAGACCCGGCTAGTCGTACGTCCTTCGGATTAAATCGACCGTCCTTATAACGCCGAAGTACCCTACTAACGCGTAATTATACTATTCCCTTAAAATATCGATTCGTAAGCCGCCTTTTAGTACGTAGAGTCGGCCTTAGAAGTAGATCGCGTCCGATCGTCGTTCCTACCTTAATAACTACGGCGGATCTATAGCGCTTCCTTTTATGCTTATAACTTTCTTTACTAATATATTAGAATTCTAGGTAGATTTAATTAAGTCTTTAAGGGTTTTCTTAGTTTCTTAGACGTTTATTTAGATTACTTAATACCCGCTCTAATTCCCGCGGAGAATCGCCGAAAGTGTCCTAGCTTCTAGTATTCTATTAGATAACTAGTCTTATAGTATCTAAAGTATAGTATAGTCTAACTTATACCGACTATCTACGTTATTCTATAACGATTTCTTATAATCTTCACGCCGCGATAGAGGATTAGCTTTATTCTCTCTTCTAGCTTTATATAAGATTTTAAAGTTAAATATTAATATCCACTTAGCCTAACGTACTTATCGGCGATTAAGGACCTTAGTCGATATAAAGTAACGTAGATTTACGTGATCCGATAATAATTCGATCTAATATATAGAGCCTTCTAAATAATATCGCTATTACTTAAAACTCTCGACGATTATAAGTAGTTCCTAGTCGTGCGTGTTATAACGCGTCTCTATATCCGCTATTTTATAGGAAAAGAAAGCGACCGGGTACTATTACACCTTATCTTTCGTATCTTTATACGGTTAACTAATAATTCTAGTAATTACGAATTCTAACGCGTTAGTTTCGACCTAAATATACTTCTTAGGATTGAAATGCCTAAGAATCGGCGTAGTTATAAAGTAATTCTTTAACGATCGGAACGCATCTCGCGCTTCCGGCGTTAACTATATCTTAACCGACTTAGCTTTACGCTATACTCGCCTACCTATAGGGATTTTACCGCCATTCTCTATAAGTTTATTAAGTAGCGCCGTAATTCGTAAGAAGCCTATAATGAATTTACGATAATAGTTTACGAAACCTATGAATGTTCTAATTTAACGTATAGTAGTAGATTCTAGCCATTCCATGATAGTCTTTACACGCTCCAGCTCTATTTTTAGGCCGCTATATATTATAATAAAGTCGAGAAACCCAACTTCTTATTAGTAAAACTCGCATTTAGATAATTTTACGTAGAGTTTATACTGCCTTAGACGATTTAGTACTAATTTCACGTATTCTTTATAATCCTATATACTATCGGAGTAAATTAGTATATTATTAAGATAAACTACGTAAATCACGTTAAGTAATCCTACGAGTATAGTGTTAATATATTCTTAAAACGCTCCTAGCGCATTTATTAGCCCGAATAGCATAATAGTATACTTAAAATAACTATATCTAGTCCGAAATGCGGTTTTCCACTTATCTCCGCGACGAATTTAAAGCCGGTAATATATATCTCGTAAATCTAGCTTTATAAAGTACTTTACCTTTATTAATTAGTCTAAAGATTCACTAACTAGCGGTAATAGGTAACGATTCTTCTTAGTTACCGTATTTAGTACCTAATAGTTAATATATAGACGTAAACTTCCGTCTTTCTTCTTTATAAAGAGAATAGATACGCCGGCTAATAACGTACTATAACGTATCTAGCCTCTTTTAAGGTATTCTTTAATATATTTACGAAGAACTTCGAGTTCTAGTCTCGAAAGTAGGTAAAGTAGGCTATAAGGGACGTCTACTCCCTCTTTAAGCTTAATCTTTAGCTTATACGGCCCGTGATTAGGGAGAAGTAACGTATCTCCTACCGAAAACATATCCGTATACTACGAATATACGTCGGGTAGCGTGTCTTCGCCCTAATTATTACTATCGTCCTTATCTTTATTAATGATCGATAAGAACGTAAGATAGATTAGCGATAATCGGGTCCGCACGGTAAGGTTCTATGCCTCCTTACTAATAGTTATAACTTACTAGTATAATTTACTATGGTATCGTCGGAACGTTAATATCTTCTTCTAAAAATTAAGGATAGGGTTTAGATGTCTAAGCTAAGGCATCCCTAGAATTATATTCTATTAGCTAATATTAGCCACGATAAATTTATTAGATATCTACTATTTTATTATCTTTAAGTCATGAACTTCGTAATTCGTTATAGCTTTATCTAAAGTTCTAACTTTATATCTATTAACTATAATAGTTCGGCTAACTTTGCCGAGATCGTACAATAATCTACACTCCTTTATAAGAATCGACGAAATATAGTTATCTTCTATACTAGTGTCTATAAGGGCCTATATAGTTTTATTACTATTTACTATAGATAACGATACTTTTAGTAATATTAGGTCTTTACTCGCCGGAAGGCGCTACGGCTCCTCCTAAGTATATATAATTTAGCTAAGAACGCGGTTAGGTCTCGTGTACTAGTCTATTCTTTTTTCGGATTCTTATAGTTAGGTAAAATATATTCTATTTCTCTATACTTATAGTAACGAAGTGCGCTATAATCCTACTATTTTATAATAGGCGTTATATTTAAGCCTATGCCTTATCCTTTTCCGCGTTAAGAAGCACCGCCTCGATTATTTCGGTATCCTCTTAACGCGTTTCTACCCCGATTTATACTCTTCTAGCGCTAATCGCGGTAAGGTTACTCTTAATCGAACGTATTTAATTAACCTCGTTTCTAACCTATATAGGGTTCGTTGGTTTTACCTAGAGAGCCGCGTTTCTTAAGGATGCGGTAGTATTTATTAGCTTTCTCCTCTAATTCGTATAGATAGTTAAAACTTAATAATACTATTCCTAGTCTTTCGCGGATTAACGGAAGTAGTACTTTACGAAACTAGAATATACGAATATTTTTCTATAGCGTAGGGATATTATTCTATAGGTTTTAGAGGTATTATAGTAGTTAAGTAGGTGTCTAGTTCGGTCGTTATGCCACGCTTCTTAACTTAGATAGTACCTTTCTTTCACGTTCTCTATCCGTTCCGAGAGTGTTTAGTATAAATATAGCTAAATATTCCTAGGTTATCGTAGATAGTGGCTATACTTCCTTCTATCTATCCTATTAATCGCGGGATTATAAGTCTAGGTATTATTCTCTAAACGAAATATATTATACTTTAGTAGAAAAGAGTAGAGGGTTATCAAGGAAGTACTTTTCGTAGTCTCTCTTCTAGTCTTTCTACTTCTTTTAGTTCTTTCCTATAAATATAGTCGGGTCTTTAGGTTTCGGTATACCTAGGGAAGAAGTAGGGTAAATCGATAATAAAGTAGCTGGGTATACGGTAGATTATCGTAACTCTAATGGTAGGTAAACTAATTCCGCCTAAATTAGTATAGGAAGTCGTCCACCTACTATCGTTCGGCGTAGTTCTTTAAGAGACTCCTTAAGTTCTCGTCTCTTTATAAGGAGTTTCGCGCGTTCTACCTATTCTTTAAGGGTTTAAATCTCTCGAGCCTAATTCGCGACGTATTCCTAAAGTTTAGTAATGGTTTATTATAATATCTCGCGTGGCTCCGCTACGACTCGTTATCCGGCTTTATATTATTAGAAGTTACTCGGTGTATCTACTATTTCTTCGTCTAAAAGCTCCGTGATTTAGTCTAATATTTCTACTTCTTAGTTAGAAACGGCTAGAATTAATACCGATTATAGAGGATCCCTATTATTTAATATAGTATTACTTATCCCTATAGTAGATCGTGTTGACCTTCTCGGTTCTAGTTAGACTATCTTAACTATAGTACTATATAGGGAGTAATTCGAATATAAGAATAGGGTTATTAGATAGTAGTATAGTTAGATAGAATAATAGGGTGTATTCTATTATAGAACGAATTACTACTAAACCCTTTTAGTAGGAATCCGAGAGTATATATATAAAGGGACGCCGATCTATCTAGCACGTGACTGTTCACCGCCCTTCACGTCACCTCCTGACCCTGTCAGCTGAGGTACGTGTAGGTCGGGTCCTGCCTAAGGCTGAGTCCTAACAGATGGCGTCTGGCGTCCCCATTTCCCGACGCCCTTACCTTAACAGCTTACCGCTGAACAATCGCTCCGCATCTGTCCTCGACTTCCAGACTGGGCGAGTCTCTATGCTGCCAAATTAATTGCCCGCCACCTAGGAAACAGCCTCTTTTGCTTAAAACAATACCCCAGACGTAGAACACGCAGACCTGGCAAACCCATTTCCATCGACGATGAGCGACGGCGATATCCACGTAGTCGCATACTTCCCTGAAGGCGTGAAGTACATTCTGGATTTTGGTTCGACTCATTACATCGGGTTCGTAGATGATACGACGGTCCTGAAGTATCCGCATTTTAAAGAAGAACTGGATGGCCTCGCTGTTGAATGGCAAATATACCAGAGACTTGGCAAGCACCCGCGTATCACCGACCTTAAAGGAAGACACAAGGATGGTGGTATATTTCTAGAATATGCACGGAATGGATCATTACAGGGTTACTTAGAAAGCAATGCACCACTTAACGTTGAAACAAAATTAAGACTAGCTAAAGAGACTGCAGATGGCGTTGCGCATGCCCATCGGCAAAATGTTCTAATCTGCGATATCGCTGTTCGTAATATCCTAGTGGATAGCGAACTACACGTTAAGTTATGCGACTTCCAGGGTAAGATTATTGGACCTGATGGAACAGTTATCCTTTCCGGAGGTGCCTCAGAAAACGCGGATTCGTATAAGCCACGCGATAACCCATACGACCAGAACGTTAGTACGGATATTTTCGCACTTGGTTCAACGATATATTACATCATGACCGGTCATCGGCCATTCCCTAAGTTGGATACCATACAGGACGAATTGAAGATCAACGAGTCTTACAGACAGGGTCTGTTTCCTCGTTTGGATATAGCCGAAGAAATTGTTCACAAATGCTGGAGTGGCAAATACACGTCTGCCAGTGAAGTCGTCAGCGACCTCGCTGTCCTCAGACGATCATATGTGCAGAGCTCTGAGCTTGGCCAACAACTTCAGCAAGATTGATTCAGGCCGGAGCCATGGGCGTAGGGGTTAGCCCGCGGACAGCGGCAAAACATAAGCACATGTACAATGAGGAACATATCCGCTCCGAAAAGACAGTTTGCTGCGCTACAATATGAGTTCATAACACTTATGTCCGGCGGCCCTGCTCTTGTGCAAAAAAGTTTCTGCACATGGTCAGGTTCGGCGGTTCGCTATGTTGCAGCTTTGTACAGTACATACCAAGCTGGATTAACACCTAGGGCAAACCGACCCAGGTGTTCTGTTGGTCTGCCTTCCCATGTTGTTCTTATCGACCCAGTTACCACAGTGCGCAGGGCAAGGCTTAGGAATCCACTTGGTGAGCACATGCTTTGGCTGCGCAGTGCAGTTTGTATAAGACACTTTGACCTCGTGTCGTTCGCACGTGACTTGGAGCCGACATTTGTCAGGATTGCCTGAAATCTTCATTCATCATTCCATACTCACTGTATGTGTAATCGCGGCTGCAGAGCAGAATCGGGTAGCGCTTCGGGGTGCTTATTAGTGATGGGACTGCCACCCGCAGTGCTTTAAGTACCCCACCCGTAAAACCCCGGCGGATGATTAGTTCTGGCAGGCGTTCTTGGTAGCTGCAGCTAAGCTAATTCAGCGCTCGAAAGGAACATTCTATTGGCAGAAGTTATGAGTCACATCACGAGGCGGACGGCGGCAAAAAGATATCATGTTACACCAAGTACCATACTCGAGCGCTTGCGTGACCAGCTTGAAGATGACTAGCGAGTTAGACAACCTTTAGTAAGGCGCTCCTAAGTCCTAGGAGAGTTCCTCTACGTACTTGTACGGAGATAGATACAGAGATCTTTGAGTTCAAATAACAACCTATTATCTATTATCACTAGACAAATAGAGCTACCTTTCTACAATTGTCTAGTCCACTTGAAAGGGCTCCGGAGGTCACGCTAAGGTGTATAGATGATAGGGACATTGGTGTGGCGTTATATGGTGGTAAAGTAGGAGGAATATTGACTGCACAGGTTTCCAATCGTGTCGAGGGCCGTGGAGGTAGTGAGGTTGAATTCTGTTGATTGCTTCTACAGCAAGTCCTGACAGGACCCAGAAAGTAAACAACCCAACGGAGGAAGTCGGCTCTCGATGCGCTCGTGGTGATGAGGAAGCCGTATGCGATATGTTAGGTTTGCTGGCCATAGAAGGGCTTTGCGGATGAATCCGACGTTTGAACGCGTGCCACAGTGGTATGAGAAGTGGACTCATGTACGCGTAGGCGTTTCGTGCTCACGTATCGTGAACCGTTCGGTTGAGACTGATTCAGAGGCTCGGTCTTGGGAATGCTTGTGCCTCCACGGCTTTGCTAAAGTCGGGTACACCCATGAAGTCCGACAGTCGCCTGTTGGTATTGTTTCGAGTATGGGCGTAGCAGGTGTTGCTGGCACAGCAGGTGTAGCTAGCGTAGTAGGTGAATCGTTGTCGCGCTCCTGCTTCTTCTGTATACCGTCTACTTCCTCATCGGTAGTATTCTCGTATTTCCTCTTGTTTACCTTTGAAAGTGTTTCTTCATTTGGGATCGATGGGTTTCTATTAAGTGCGAGTGAATGTGCCCCTCTGACATTAGCGGCGTATCCTTGCGGCCTAGAGCTTGGTGACAAGGAGGCCTGTGGTGATTCGGAATCCCAGTGGTCCCAGGGAGGAAAGAGTTCGACCGAAAGCTTGTGCTGCTCGTTGGTGTTATCTTCCGTAAAGTCTTTGGTATAGCTTCGTCGTATACAGCCACAATCTACAAATCGTGCCAGTCTGATGGTGGCAATAGATATAGTGATATCGGTGTCGTGTTTAAAGTTCAAATACATGGTGATGCAGGTGGGAATGGTCCGAAGTAGATGATGTTATGTCGGAAGTTTAAGGGCGGAAGATCCATCGGACCGAGCTCTTACTATGCCAAAGTCAGAACCCTCCCTCGCTTCAACCGTCGAACTTGAATTATCACCGGCATCAAAATTTAAGAATTCCTAAGTACCCGAAATGGGGCAATCTAGCATTCCGAGATCAGAAATTCACCTGTCGTGCTTTTCTATACTTAGAATGCGGCAGCTAGGAAGGCTTTTGCAAACGTGATCGAAAGTGCCAATCAAAAATAATAAAGATATCTATACATTGAGTAATCTCCGGCTGCGTTTCAGGAAGACATATATCAGCTTCAGCTGCATCAAGATGATAGTGAACGTGGTTACTGAACCAGATGAACTTACCACCAAGGACCTCATCGCCCAAGCCACTGTACTAACTGGGTGTTACCAGTTTACTCTGGACCATCTGACCGACGGAGCGTCATTCTGGCTAGTGGGAAGAGATAGTGCCGCAGACTTTCGAATCGCTGTTTCTCCACAGTCTTCAATCAGGAGCAGACATGCGGTTTTCTCTTTCCACGCCCAGTCATTCGCCTTTAGTATCAGGGCCGCTCACAAAGGGGTTCGGCATTTATCAGTCAATGGTGGGACTGTAGGCCGAGACTCGAAGGGATTGCTTAAGAACTGTTTGATAACAATGGGCGACCTAGTATTTGACTATCACTACACACCATGGGCGTACTCCGCCATTTTTGATGCCGAGAAAACAGCTACTATACGTCGATTGGTCGGTGACACGGTACCTCCAATCATGCCTCCAACACCAGATCCGGACGCTCTCGAGATCGGACAATATGTCCTAGCCCAGCATGCGGGAAAGGGCGGTAGTGGTACCGTGTCCATGGGCGTAAGCACGGGCCATAAACTTGTCGCAATCAAGAATCGGTACTGTCGCGACACATTTGCGATCGAAAGGGCCAAAAATCAAATTCCAAACATGGAGTCCCTCAGTAAAAACAGCGAAAATTCGGAACCAAAGCCGAGGATTCTGCAGCTACTAGAAGCAAAGTGGCAGTTCAACCCGGATGCGCAGGCGCGACCCGCGGACTCCAACATGGTGTACTTTGTGTCTCATGCATACCTCTCGATTACCTTAGCAGACCTGATAAAGAAAGGGCACAAATATACTGAAAGAACATTCGTCAACATCCTCGAAGCTGTTGCTTCTCTCCACAGACAGGGCTGGATCCATCGGGATATCAAGCCAGCTAACATCGGATTTACGAACGACAAAGACGATTGGGCAGTTTACTCGACATCGACGATATTATCCGAGTGCCTGAGACGGCCTACCCTCCCGAACCTGGGTGCTACGGCACCATACCTTACTTAGCCCCAGAGTTCGAGCAACAGCCATGGGGACTTGAAATCGATGCATGGTCGGTTGGAGCTACATTCTACGAGATGTTAAGAGGCACGCCATTCTGGCACGGAAAGACCAATCCCTAGCAATGCGACACAATCAACTACCCACAACAGGCTTCGTTCAAGGACGTGCACCAACAAGCAATGGACTATCTTGAGAGTGACAAATCTGAAAGTTTCATGCCTAGCATTACGATAAAGCTATTATATTTTGCGAATGCTGAGAAAACGCAATACCAAAAGAAACGTTTGCTTGTGACCGAAGCACTCGAATTGCTGGAATTAAGCAATTCCATAGACCGGCCTGCCAAACGAGCAAAGGCCCCTACCTCTTGAATCCCCCACCTGCGCGCTTCGATTCTCGAACTGCTTGTAGATTCATCAAATGGCTGCCAATGAAATGTCCCGGAAAGGACCAACCAGTATCCTACGCGCCAAAGTTCGCATAGGTATGTACACCATAAGATTCAGTGTATAACATTTGGCTTCTTTGCTCTTTCGATTAGCTGATGATTCGTGCACCGCGTCGTCTTCCAATCTCCATGACAGCGGCTTTTACCGGTGGTGGCTCTTACGCAAGACGCTCTTCTAGAGCAGCTACAGATTTTGTGCTATTTCAATTGACACGCCGACGCCCTCCAACCACCAGCGTCAAGCAGTAATATCATCCAGCACATCTGGCTTCAAGGCTTCCCAAGGCTATTTATTCTCCATCATGCTGCTAAGGCAGTGTGCTCTTGTCATACTCCTTACCCGGCTCGCAGGCTCTGTCATGGTCCACATGCGGCTCTCCCGAGGTCTTCCTGCTCCTTTACAGGGCCTTCACGTCGTTGCTTCCACAGGCCTCACCCTGGAATTTGTGCTTGTCTCTGACTAGTGCTCTTGTGGTTAGTCACTACCACCCCTGATTGATTATACTCTGCGTTCTATCCGCAGGATGTGGATCACTCTTGAATCAAGATCAAGTCAAGCCAGGAGACCGCAAAGGCTCCAAAGACTCCAAAGTGAGATCTCCTCATTCCTCCGACAGTGCCGTAGGAGCTTAAACAAAAAACGCTTCGACTGTGCATCGTGAGGTAAATCCGTTGCTGAGCTACAAGTGGTCGAAGAACCATCAAGATAGCTCAGTACTTTCTCTGGGTTCACCGATCACTTATTGCGCGGCTGAGTCTACTTATCTGCGCAAGTAGAGGACTCTTGCTTCCTGTATATTCGTACTAAACTAAGATGCAAGTCAGCTCACCGCAGGATATAGATTAGGGATATATACAGCACTCTGCCCCACTGTCTGGTATGCTGAGATTGATGTCTCCTGCGCGAGAGCAGCGAGAGCAATGCGACACTTGCCGTACATTACTGAAACTGTCACACTACACCACTCATTCGAGTACCGACGCGCTTCTTGCAAGGTGCTCTTGACCTGGAAGAGAGGCAAACGTGAGACTGCTCCTCTGAACAATATGGCTGGCCGAAACGGAGCGAGATGGGAGGTTTAGATTACGGAAATTCGCATAACCAGAAAAAGACGTAAATGGAATCGTGGGGAACATTGGATATCGTAGTCTCATGGTCTTTCCTCCATTCGAGTTGCAGACAGAAATGGGCAATCTGTCCTTGTCACGAGATTGTCCGCGATCAAGGTAAGTCTGTGATAGAAGGTCGCGTGACACAAAAGATGCATGCACAGTATAAATCGTGAATCCAACACGATACGTAAATAGAATGAGTCTTACCCCTCATTCTAATATTAGATGCTGTTAGGGTGAGCAGAAATGATTCCATACCCAAGTCGTAGTTTCATGCAATGACGATCTGATATCTCGATCCTCTTTCATGCAGTGAATGAATTTATAGATGTAGGACGAGGGCTCCTGTTGTTCGGTCATCATTCAAATACGCTGAGCGGAGATGGGCTTTGCGCAGTAATACTGTGTCATGGAAGGGTCTGGTGCTTCGCGATCTTGTTTGGTGGCACTCTTCCATCTTCGTTATCATCCTCGCCAAAATTCCTTTTCCGCTTTTGTCGATTGAGATATGGCGGATCGACGTCTCCCATAGTCCTAAGTGCCTTCGAGCCATAGGAATTGATGGAGGTGTCGTCATTCTTTCTTGTGCTCAACTCAGGCTTTCTAGTTTTCTCCTGTTGGCGCTTCGACTCGTCATCTACGTGTGAAGGGGCGAGAGGGGTCCCGTGGGACCGTGGTGTCGCACGCCAACCTGCTTGGGACGACTCTTTCATTGCAAACGACTGATTAGGTGTCTTTCCTTCCTCTTCACAGTATGGACTGTCTTCTTGGTATGATGGCATTTTGGCGAGCGAGTAGCTCTCCTTCACGTTTACAACTTCTTCGCCGACGTTATCGCCGCTATCATCTTCACTAGAATCATCTTGTTCTTCTAGCGCTATCATTTTCGCTCTGTAATACTCCTTGACCTCCGGTGGCGTGTGTCTAATTGGCCACTCGTCCGTACTGTCACGGTACATCGCCCTTCTCCATTCAAGTCTGATTTCAAGGGCCTGCAGGCGTATTTCGAGCTTAGTAGCGAACTCTCTATCATATGGCTTCTCAAATACAGGTGTGCATCTGCGATGAATTAAATAGGCGCCTTGCGTGGCAACGATGTCGGTATAGTCCTGCAAGATTATACCGCGGTTAGTAGTGTTTAAGATTGTGTAGTCGCATGACGAGAAGAGCCTCACAATGTCCGGCTCAATGTCGCCATTTGATGTGATGCAGTTATCTTGCGTTAACGACATAAGGAAACGCTTGTCTCAAGACTAGGTAGTCGACCTGGCCAGTTATCGTCGATAAGGTGTGAATAGATTGTCGGAGCGAGCCTGGATCGAGCCTGCGAGGTAGTGGATGGAAGCGGGCCTCCTTACTTTCGCACTACGTCTATATTTTAGCATCTAAAGATAGAGCGAGCACTCTATCTCTTTAACTATCTTCAGTAGTATTTCCAGAAGCTGAGTGATACAATAATAAAGAAAGTAGCTTAGTTCTAGATTTGTACGAGGCCGGGCTCCACGCACCAACCAACTACACTACAAGGAAGCGACTGCTTAGATTACACACTAGTTATAGAGTGCTGTGTGGGATCCCTATTATGTCAGCCTTGGTATTCAGATCTTATTAAGCGTTAGGCTTTTGTATATAGACAGAACTACAGCCGGATCACGTGTCTGCCACGTGACTCGCTACGACTAAATACTATCACAGCCCATATGATTTTCAAATATGAAAGTAACAGCTGCCTACTTTAAGGCTCTTACATGCTATAATAATTACTTTTAATCCTCTATATCACAAGGCCTATATAATATAAAGCTAGGTGGAAGTTTTCCTTGTACGGACCCAACATGAGCGAGACAACACTCAGCTTCGTAACCGTCGACGTCTTTACCCAGACGCGATACAAAGCCGGGAATCCATTACCTATCGTCTATCTCCCCGAAAACGCACCTATAACCCAGGAGCGTAAACAGCTTATAGCTCGCGAATTTGCACTGTCGGAGACTGTGTTCCTTCACACGCCACCCGCTGCACCGGGCACGTGGAAAATTGACATCTTTACGACTTACCTCGAGCATCCTTTCGCTGGCCATCCGACGATTGGTACTGCAGTCTACGTTCTGAAGAAGCAGTGGGAGACAAGTGGAACACAGCTCACTCAGGATTCGGGTTCAGAAAACATCAACGGAACGTTTTTAACCAAAGCCGGCCGTATAGAGATTTCGTATAACCCTTCGAACGGAATCGCACGGGCGGCCATTCCGCAGAAGCACCACATCCACGCCTGGCGATGCCCGCTTCCTTTTCTCTTTGACAAGCAGCGGGATCTTGACCCGTCGCATCTCAAAGACCCGTCTGCCGGGCTTCCTGTTGTGTCGATCGTCGATGGCATGACCTTCATCCTAGCCGAACTATCATCTCTCGATGCATTGTCTCGGGTCTTGCTACAGCACGGTAACGTTACGTGTACGCTGGACGTAGGCTGGTCACGTCCACAGCGTCCGTTCTACTTCTATGTGCGACTCTCCGATGGCATGGATGGGATGAAGAGGTTCCGCACACGTCTCTTCATGAAAGACGCCGAGGACCCAGCGACTGGGAGTGCGGCGTGTGCACTGGCAGGATATATCGCCAGGAGCGAGGGCAAAAGAGGGCAGAGTGTAATTGTAAAAGTTGTGCAAGGAGTAGAGATGGGACGAGAGTGTGAGATTGGTGTTGAAGTGAAGTTGGGAGAAGACGGTGGTGTAGAAGGCGTATGGTTGAGTGGCTCTGCAGTGGATGTCATGAGTGGTCAATTGCCTCTCTGTTAGATCAAGAAAAGACGTTGAAATCTGTGCACCTGTCGTGAAGCTATGTCCCAGTCTAGCGAGATATAGGTTCCTGATATACCATTTTCATGATAGAGCGGGCGTCATGTGTCTGCTCTCTCGCGTTGCGCTTTCCAAGCCTTGATCAGCAAACCTGTCCTAGCGTTCTTGTCATCAAGACCTTTGCGAGGTGAGCCTCTTCGTCGACATCTCTGTTATCTTTGCTTTATGCACAAATTCCCCCGCCCCTATATTTGAACTCAGCTCGTGCTGTGACCTTTCACCATTTCGCTTTATCAAAGCCTTTGCACAATCGGTGTTACTCTTTCCACTTGCTACTCGCTCTCGCAACCTAGACTAGCTCCGTAGTAGCTTTATACCTTCGTTCAAACTAGCGACGATCTGTGTTTACACCTGGTCCGTTATATTCTATTTCCAGTCAGAATTTCCTGAACGAGCGCACATAGCCTTCTCTCTTAGCCAGATTCTCTCGCTCCTAGCAAATCATTGTAGATACCTGTATGTTATGTGGTATTGTTCGGGACAATGTAAAGCCAATAAACGTTTACATAAACCTAGCATAAGTGTGGGTAAGGGATTCAGGTCTTGTCGAATGAAGAATCCCGCACTGTAGTATGGTCCACTATGTGAAAGGATAATATTCCCTGAGCCTTGCTAACAAGATAGTGCCGTATGCTTAATAGCGATTCATACTAGGCAGTATAGTAACTATAACAACTCACTGAACTTCCAAACAATTTTCTAGCTTGCAGATGCTGTCAAAGCCTGAGTGACTTTGTCCCACCCATTATCACTCGCGAAACGGGACACATCAGTCGGACAAACCGTCCCGGGCTCAGGTAGCTGTCCAGAGAGGAAGTAACTCTGGATCGTCTTCGCAGTACAGAGAGAGGCTCCACTGAGGAGAGTGGTGTGCTATACAGCGTTAGTACGGCTGCCAAAGCACACAAGTAAACACTCACTCCATAGCTATCGTGCTGCATTACCACACTGCCCTCGAACGAAGCACTCATATTGCGCGCGGACACCATCGGAGTGATTGGGTCTGCTCGGTTGCCCACGAACAAGATCGGATTCTTCGTCTGCGCCGCGAATGTCCCCTTATACTGTACTACATCGGCCATAGGCCATTGGGCGCAGTTCGCGTTGATAAAGAGAGTGAGGTCGCCGCCAATCCGACTAGACGCCATGCGGGCTTCGAAGAACTTGCGAACGTTTGCAAGATCGGAAGTTGGAGGGGACACGATGTCACTGCACCGTATTCCAATCATATGCTCGATAGGTGCATTGCTGATTGCAGCCTGACCACCATTGCCAACAAAAGATTGTACATACGTGTTCAGTCCTTCACGGTCTTTCCGAACCAGTGCATCGATGAGACTTGCGAGCATAGGCCAGGTGTTTGAGTAGTAGAGGTAGAAGTAAATAAAGAACTTGACGTTCGTGTAATCGAGAACAAAAGCACCAGCACCCTCGATGAAAAAGGACATGGGATCAAGCCTTATCTCTTCAATTGATGCATAGATCTGGGACTCAAGCTCGTCGGCAGTAAGATCGCGTGCCGCCGAACACTCTGACTTGTTTTCAACACACGCAGAACAGAATCCGGATAGAGCCTTATCTGCGTCTGATGGTGCCTCGATGTCGCTATTCGGATTCAGTTTGTGATGATGAAAAGAACCGGTGGTATGTACTTACAAGCCTTGCTGGATTTCGTGGCCGTTAATTACACCATCCAATACCATTCGATGGATTCTATCGGGATATGTTGCGGCAAGGATAGAGCCCACGAATGTGCCATATGAGAAACCTGTTCTGTATTGGTAGATTGCATATACTTGGTCAAATCACACTTACCCCAGAACCTCAACATACCATCCTCATCAAGCGCATCAACTACACCCATAATATCCCTCGCCGTGGTCGCTGACCCTATGAATCTGCCTGTCTGATTCTGGTGTCTCTCACACGTCTTAGCGAAACCTGCCGCATTCGCCCAGATATCCCCCAACGCAACGTCTGTTGCACCTCCGGCAAGAATACGCCTCACCAGCGCATCGCTGTCGCGGGCTACTGTACTTTCATAGCACTCGAACAGCAATGATCCATCTACTGTTCCACGAGGGACGACGAGGATAAGATCATGATTTTGACCTGCAATTGCCTGTAGACGCTGTCCATATGCGGCAAAATATGTATATCCGGGTTCACCTGGGCCGCCAAAGTTGAAGAGAATGCTGCCCTGTGACGGCTTACTAAGTGAAGGGATCTTAACGAGGCGAAGGTCAACAGTTGAGCGAGATGGATCGGTGTAGTCCAGAGGTGCAGTTATCGTGCCGCATTGAGTTGATACCTGTTGCTCGGGGGGTATTGTAGCGCTTTCGTTCAAGCTGCACGGTTTCCACTGGATTGGAGTGGTAGGTATACTAGATGCATCGTTGTATAGCGCGAGAACCACGCAGATGATAGCTGTTAGGATGGCCAGAAGGGTTTGTACTGCAGTCATGGTCGTGGTGTTACACAGTCAATGGGATGCCGCCGGGATTTGAGAGAATGTTGAGCATGTGGTCCAGATAGGAGTGAACCGAAGATGCTCTTAGTAATGCAACGTTCCAAACGAGGCGCATGTGTTGCCTTTTCATCACTGTAGTGAAACATTGTTAGCCTATACAGCTTGATTGCTAATCCTCTAGCATTCTTGTTGCGAGTAGTACGAGGAATGTACAAGCTTGGGGTCACGCTTTGTGTATTCGTGGCCATCGCGATGTGACAATGATGGTAAAAGGGGTGTGCCGAGTTCGGTATAGCTGGAGCAGCTCAAGATGCAGATCTACACGCCAGGATCAAGCCGGTCCGATGATAGGGATGAAGCCGAGCAACGGGACCTGATGAGATACTTCATTCGGAAATATGGGGCGATAGTCATAGCATTTCCAGGTCCCCGAAGTCTCCGATTCCTTTTTTGCGTATTTCTTTGGCGATTGGAGATGGGAACCTCTACTCTTACGATTGTAATGTCTGCTGCCAGTGCTGAACATACAGATAAAGTCGGAAGAAAGCCCAAGACTTCCCTCTTCGCACTTCTCTGAGTTCTCCCCATTATGGACCTGTCTCTGTGTGTCTGTTAGCGAAGTTTGGCAGGTGCCGGTGCGTACAAAATCGCAATGTACTTAAGGATCCGCCGGCTAGTGCTAGACTGCACTTGTGACAAGCGATTTGATCAATGCGATTTGATCAGTATCAATAAAGCACTTAAACAAACAAGTAAAAGTGCTCTACTGCATGCTCTGCAGTAACGGTCTCTTGTATGCATGGCAAAATAATCTCGGCTTTGGATCAAGGGTCGGCCTCACTTGCACAAGGCTATTGGCATTATGACATGTAATACCACACAAACTGTGACTTCTCACATGTACTAAACACCTCGCTGGTATCTGCTAAAGTCGTGCCCAACTTTCCTATGTGGGTGTATACATTTCATCAACTAGAGCTTAATTGTGGTTGTGGTGAAGTCAGAAATCGAGAGGGAATCTGGTTCTGGATTCGGTTGTAATGTACTTCATTTCATCGCCTCAGTATCCGGTTAATGAGCATCAGAGGAAGTTACTAAACCTTTCAGAGTTGAGCCTGCATAGTGTATGCGGTAGACGTAGATTTGGGGCTATATGACGAGATATTGTAAAGACCGTCATAGACTAACTAACCATATTTCTCGTATATCGTCATGTTATCGAGATCCAGCTTAATTAACAGAAGGTTAGTATAGTAGAAACTCTCCAGTCAAAAATGCAACAAAGACTCTTTGAGATCATGAATCGAAACGCAATATGACGCTACGAGACGTAGTAGGTACATCGTTTCTAGTACTCTATGTATACGAAAGGACAACAATATTGTAGCCGCAACAAACGTCCCGTCATCCTTACGCACTTCTGTTTGGGATGATACCATATGCTTTCATTAGAGGAATTTGCACACATGAGCCGGCGTCGTGCATTAGTATCAGCAATTGCACGGAGCAACAAGACGTAGAACAGAATGAGGCATTGTAATAGTTATGCTACAGGACCAACATAAGGGCTATGTCACACATGTATAAGTAACTAACGCATGGAATACACCGTTTTCTGTGCTATGCTCGAAGATCGCATTACATGCACTGCGGATGAAGAGCTCTCCGCTTCACTATCACATCACAGTGCTTCGGCTGAAAGACTCACCAGTTTTGGGTCCACAGGTCTTCAACGCCCTGCAGTTCGAGATCAAACTCACATAAGATAATAGGGAGAAGCTTACGCATCTCCAAGTCGCTCCTACACAGACGTGTCGGCCACAGATTGTCGCACCATCCCAAGGCACAACACGCCATATAGAAAGACGTACAGTTGGATGTATGCGATGAATGTCTCCTTGATGTAAGCCTGCAGCTATGTAAAGTCCTGCATATGTATGAGATGTACCATTATTCTCTCAGCAGACCATCTTCCATGGCAGCTTTTAATACTCCTGACGGAGTAGTAAGAGGAAATGGGGGTTTAAGGAGATGATACAGACAACTACTGAATGAACAGGCTGTGGTGTTGCTACCAGCCATGATGGGCTGCGCACTCATTAGCCGCGTTTCTTCTCCATGATGGCCTCTTTAGCGTTCATGCTTGTTCGCAGTTCTTAGATTCTTGAAGGTGCTATTACATGACTTTTTGAGATTGAGCTTGCTACGTTGAATACTGCTTCCCGGGGTGTCGCAAGGAAGCGAATGTTTGCCCAAATCCGAAAATAGCGTACCATTTTTTCTTCCACATTAAACATATTCACAATGGCACGCTATGTCTTCTTACTCGAAACAACTACGGAAAATAGTCTGGACATATCACAGCCGAGTATGACGAGTCCAGACGGGATCAAGAAGACCATTTTAGTTGTGCTGCTTGAAATAGTGTAGAGAGTCTGCGAAAGTCGAAGACAAACCACGATGAGCGGTCCGTCAAGGAAGTCTTATAGCACTTCGAAGTTGCACGAAGTTGTATGGCCAGAAAGATTGTTCAAGACGCGCCGTCTGCGAGATAGCATCGTGGAATGAGCAACGGTTTCATCTGTAAGGGGAAAAAACCAGGTCGGCTATCGATAAGTCCACGTCCTAGTGAGCTATTTCTTAGGTTAAACTGTTGTTTATTATACCTCCCGATGTGCTTAAAACGGGACTGTGTACATATTCCGTAATTACTGCTAAGGTTTCGTGGGGTGGTGGTAATTAGTGATGGCGAAAACGGGACCGTGGCCCCGGATGCGAAAAGGCTTAGTGCTCAACCCCTTCCGTAAATCATGGATCCGTTGCGGGTGGAGGTGTGGACTCGACCGCTTTCGTCGACGGCAACGCGTGTTAAGGAGTGGAGTATTGTCCAATTTAGTGATCAGCATGTTGTGGGGACATTGGAACTTTTAGACGTGTAGATCACTGCTGACTACATTCGGTAGTTAGGTGGAGCGTGGAGCGAAAGCGAACACGAACAGTGCATATGCTCCTTGATAAAATCCAAGATTAAACGCAACCGGCAAGCAGGGATGGTGATGGACAGACACATCGTGCACATCATGGTGGGAAAATCTTCATCTCTCTCAGGCCCAGCGTTGGGTGCTAGCCAGGCCCTAATTGACCACTTACATATGTCTTGAGTCAGCATTGCCAACACGGCGCTGTGCAACATGGACGAATAGAAAAGTAGATGTGCCGTATGCGTGGCTGATGTTGATCTGGAGCGGCGGCATGGTTGCGCTCGTGGTGTATTGTCAAGATTCGTAGTTTCGCGCTTTGACTGCGGGGACCTTGTCCGAAGGTGTTCAGGGTCCATCCTCGTTGACTGCTAGGAAAGACGTATTGATGAGGTGAGCGCAAGTAATGGCTTCAAGAATGGAAAAGTACACTCAAAAAGAATGAAATAGATCATTGACTGTAATCATATATTTTATGTATGTATATATCGAGGAGACATTACTCTTATGGCGGTTCCTCTCATTACAATCGGAGGTTCTAGGCCATTCATCGCTGTACATATCGTGAGCCAAGTAAAAACTTTGTGGCAGAGAGTTCGCCTGTAAAATGGGTAAGCCTCGCCAGATACCATCAACCATCGGTGGTACATTTTGATCGCTCGCGCAGTATATTGCCCAAAATGGAGAGAAAGAAAGAAGGCGTGTGGTAGCCTTGGTGAGCGTCCGAAGGCGCATAGTCCGTGATTACAATCCAGAACGCCATGCTTGCTATGTCAACAAAGGAGATTCCGTGCCAAGTGTCCTGTGATACATCCGCCTCATTATATGCCGTAATATGAGTATGTCGAGTTTGCTCCTGACAACCCGACAATTTCTCTAGCGATGCTATTGATTTCCGCTTCATCGTCGTCATTTTCCTCGTCGATGTTGTTGAAATTTCTCAAGAAGTTTAGTACGTAGTGTTTTCTGCTTCGTCGTGCGAGCTCAAGCGAGCTCACTACTTGCCGCGACCCATTCGCTTTCATGGGTCCCCAACCAACGATCCAATCCTGTTTCCAGCCGTTTTCCAGCAATATCTTTACAATCTCTACATCGTCGATTTCGATGGCGAGACCGAGGGGAGTGACATCTAGATTACGGCCGATGACAACGTGATCATCAGTCGATTGCTTCACCCCTACGCTGAGGAGGATATTAAGTGCTGAAAGGTTGCGTCCGGCAATGGCTCGGAGGAGAGGTGTCGTTAGAGTATATTGTGTGTGCATGTATGTCGAGTCATTCTCAGTGTGTTCAACGATGTGGGGATCAGCACCATTGCAAAGAAGAAGTCCAAGGAGTTCGACCGAGACCATGGGACAGTGAAGATGATTGTGGTCAGAGATACATGATATTGGATCTGGTGTCGATGTGGCGTCGGTAGGAAAGGAGGTGAAGATGGAATCAGGGCCGGATGTAGACGCAAGCTTCTTCTTCTCTGCTGCAGAGTAAGATGTTTTGATGCCGTATTCCAGAAGGAGCTGGACACCAGAGATAAAGCCGAAGCTGGTAAATAGAGATATGGCAGTATATTTGTAGCAGTGCACCGATATCCGTTGGTTCTCGAAGACGAAGGTCTGGTTGTTCCTTGTGTCGCCGTGTCGTGTTGTGCGAGCACGTGATACCACGAAGGTATGGTGAACGACTTGGTCCTTGTTGAAATCGTCGCAGCTCACCAGGAATCTCAGTAGACGATCGCGTTCCCTGGAGTTTGGTAAAATGGCCAACGCATGGTAGCATGAACGGTCGCTAACAATATGTTTACCACCTTCTTCGGGCATGTCTTGAATGATCTTCTCCCAATCCGTCATTTTTCGAGTTTCTAGACTTGCGCCATAGTTTCGGAGTAAACGAATAGCCATGTCTACCTGGGCGGCATAGCACGCTTCGAGGAAAGCAGCATCAATCGACTCCTGGTCAACTCCACAATCAGCATGCACCAAGTAATCAATTATGGCCGTGTGGCCATCTACTGCAGCACACGATAGAGCATCGCGATACCTGGTAGGCGATTGTGGGACGGGTGTAGCGCGGGCACCTAGTGTGACGAGAGAGGCGACTAGCGAGATGTTTCCGGAGTGAGCTGCTTGCTGAAGTGCGATACCTAACGTGGCTGGTGAGTAGGTGGACTTCTTACGCTCTGAATCGCGGCGGAATAGGCACGAGAAGCTCCTGCGCGGGAGGAGGGGGAACCTGGATTTTATGGATTTAGTGGACCGAAGGGACGCAGATAGTGAAGGCTTCTTTGGTAGTAGGTCTTGGGAAAGATCGTGCAGTAAGGTCTGTGCAACAGCATGGCCAGTGGTGGTAGGAGGGAGCGGTGTGGGTTGAGTGATGATTGGAGAGATGTGGTGGTGGTGGTGGTGGTCGTCGTGGCCATCGAGTTCGGCATTCTCAAATAAGGGAGCCAAAGATTGGGGAGTATGGGTTTTGGAGCGTGTCGGTGGACGGAGGGTGTATTTGAGCTTCTCAGTGGGTGTTGACAGCTCGTGGACGGAGTGTGTAGCTTTAGTATAGACATGACCGGAGCTGTGGACTGACTCTAAGCCTTGAGCAGGTTCGACATATTGCAGGCCATCTGGGACTTGGATGGTGTTTTCGGATTCAGTTGGTATCAGGCCGTCGTCAAGGATCCGGGGAAGCTTCTCAGAGTCGTATTTGACGGGGTTTGTTCCGTTGGCAGTCTTGATGCCTCCATAGCCGCCATAAAAGGTCATGTATTCGGTGAAGCCATCGGAATATCCATTGCAGTCACTCAGTCGCGGATTCTTCGCAATGGAGCTTGGTCTTGTAGGTATGTTCAGACCATGGCCCGGGAGCTCGGGAAGCTCCTCGTGCAATGAGGGAGGAAGCTCGAGGGAGGAGATTTCAAGAGTCATGGCAGCGAGCAGAGCAGAACATCTTCAGTACAGCGATCTTGATGTGTGTGGGCGAGTAGTCGTGAGCGACGAGGATGCGATGCGAAGTGAGAGAGCGAGTGGTAAGAGGACCGGTCAAGCGAAAGTAGGTGAGAAGGAAAGAGATTGAGGGCGAAAGTGGAGGCCGAAATGGATAAGCTGGAGAGCTGTTAGAGAGAGAGTGTGACAGGGCTTGAAGGGAACCCTAATGTAGCGTAGGTACCTTGGGAGTGTATTAACGTTGCGGGGGCGTGTGCGTGTGCGGCGCTGGAGGGAGGTATACTGTACTGAAGTAGCCAGTAATAGACAGCGAGTGATGATGATGGCCAGCCAGATAGAGCGTGGTAGAGCAAGCGGACGTTAATGCAGGTGGAAGAGACGGAGAACAGGTAACAGACAGCTAGGTGGTGGGTGTGTGTAGTCAGTGTACTTAGTGTGTGTGTGTGTGTACACTATGTAGATAGTCACGGTATGTAAAAAGTCTAGGGTGTAGGTAGCGGCCGGGGGGGGGCAGGCCAGGACTCCAGGACGCCAGGACGCCAGCTGTAGGCTACTAAACGGGTAGCGCTAAGTAATGTACCCACTCGGGGCTGGTTGGAGCCCCCAGCTGCCCCCGGCTGCCCCCGACTGTCCCCAGCTATTATCCATTCCCCCTCAAAGCTCGCTGCCCAGTTGCCGCTAATGTTAGTGCTGGGGCCTGGCGGGACTCGGGAGCGACACTGTTGAAACCTTGACAAGGAATAATCATGGGCGGATCGTCCGCACGTACTCTAAATAATATCTATCTATCTCTCTCTCTCTCTTCTCCCCCAGCGCTCGCACCAACTCTCGCTAATGACCTCCATGTACGGAGTAGAATCAGTGTGATTCAGCGAGAAATGGCCTGCCGAACGATGATGGAATACAGTCAGTCCACACAAAGAATTGCTAGCTCTACCACAGACCCGGCTACCGTCATGGCCGCGCTGTCGTCGTCAGGACTAGGACCGACAGGAGTAACAACAGCGGCAGCGGACAAAGAGAAAGCGAGGGATCAACAGATCAAAAACTAACGGCGCATCTGGAGGATTTCCAAACTCCATCAATCCCTAGGGGCCGTGGTCCTGTCCGCCAGTAGGAGTATTCTCTGACGAGCGGTCCCGGCAGATATGTAACGATATCTTGGCCATACGTATTCAATGTATTTTTTCCGGACTAAGCGTCTCTAGGCGGAGAACACGCTCTTGGATGCTGTTATATTCCTCCTATCTACAGTCTAGACTCTACTCGTAAACTTACTAATGCTCACCAAAATCTTACAGATGGTATCTATGTAACCGTTGGAAGTTTTGGACTGGACCTCAGAGACGTCATCTCGCAGCCAAGGAACAGGGCATGTCCTAGAGAGCGCCTATACACACACTTCATTGTTGGTCATGCTGTTGGAAGCAACGGCAATGATGGACCATGAAGGGGCTGAAGGTTGGCTGTAGCAATCTGCTCTCCTCGAGAGACCGAAACACGCACCCATAACACATAATGATGAATGCGCGCGTACTCGTGCAACCGATCTGACGCAGCAGACAGACAGACCCGTAGATGCAGGGCAAGGTATCAACAACACAAACTGCCTCATAGAGCCGTTGCGCCGCTGCGTCCTGACTCCTCGGCAGGTCGCGTCGCATTCTCCTCTTCATCCCTCCATCGATCCATCCAATCCACATCCTTCTCCCCTTCTCGCCTCATTCAAGTAGCTGCAGCAGACTGTGACGCCGAACGCTGTCGGCCGGGCAAGCTGATCAGTTTCACCGGCACAATGACCGCTGCCGCTGCAGTGTGCGCGTATCTTCAATGCTGCTCGCGGATCGCCTTCTGCTGCTTCTGCGAACATTTCGGCGCTTCCATTCAGGCCCCCAAGGAGGAAATGAGAGCCAATTCTACGACGCGCGCATGTGGTTTTCAGGTCAACTGTGGGCTTCGGATCAATCAGGCCGAAATGGCCCAGGCTCCTTTCAGGTGTTCCCGTCTAAGGTTGAATGGCCCGAGAGCGCAACGCCTCCGCCATTTACCCTTTCCGGATGAGAACATGACCAACCACAGCAGAACTGGCTTGATGGAACAGACAGACCCCAAATGGAATTAATTATGCATCTGCCGGGCCGCTTGTGCTTTTTCCTCATGGACAAGGGTTCCACGGATTATACTTCCCCATCCTGTCTCTCTCCCCCTCTATCATCCATCTCCATTCATCTCCCCATGGCAAACTCTGTCCCGCCGTCTACCATTCACTCATCGGTGTCATACCGTTCAACAACACGATTGATCAATTCGGGCATGTAAAATGGTCTTCGCACTTCCTGTTACCCTCCGCAAAGGAGGACGTTGTGTCACTCACGTTCAATGATGATACCCGGCTTCTTCCAACTCCAGCATGTTCGTGCATGCACCCAGTTCGCCATAGACGCCCTGTTACACCCGCGCACGCAGCAGCAGTCCCAGACTTTTATGGCCACCAGTCACTCTACTATTTGATATCAATCCCTGCTCTATCCAGTATAGGTGCAGTCATCCAACGCTGAACACATCATCCGAGAGACTGCTTTCCTCCAATCCAGCTGTGCGGATTCAGCCGCCTGCAATCTCCACGCGTTGGGGCCCAGAATAATGAGGATGTGCAGCCGTCGCAAACCTTGCCGGCTCTGCTTGTCCCTGGACCCGCTTGACCGTTCACCGTTCGCGTTGTTCTCACGACCTTCCACTGCGTTTCGTGGATCGCATTGTGGTCCTTGCCCCCCTGTCCAGGTCCAGGCACCGTCTTGGCTTTCTCAACTGTCCAGAATGAGGCCCTCTTCGAACCACCAGGAGCACTCTCTGGCTTCGCTTCGGCTCGCTTCTCGTACAAGGCTGACGAGCTCCCATTGCGCACTGTTCTGGTGCTGTTCTTCGCTTCTGCGACCTGAACTACTCTGCCCAGCCCTCGCACTATTCTCTACTGAAATTGAACTCAAGTTCCATCGAGCAGAGTTTAAGACTACTCTCTCAGCCAGCATGTGCCAGGCCCGGTATCTGCCGGCTCAGTCCATGATAAGCTAGCTTATCTGCCTTGTCGCCTGATCCATGTCCCTGTCCTTGTCCTTGTCCTCAACTCTCATCTGGTCTCCTGAATTCCACCACTCCAGAGAGGGAGTTCTAGTCCATCTGTTGTAGCCAACTCTGTGATGAAGGTAATGGAAGCAGCATACAGTACTGTCCATCCCACACATCCTGACACATCAATCCCAAACACCGTCGATCCCATGTTTCATCCCCTCATTGACGTCTAACCATCTCCAACTCGAGTTCCCATCATCCCTCTTCTGTTTAATGATCCTTCTGGCCAGAACAAACATGCCCGAGTCGCGCCATGCTTCTTGTCCTGCCCTGAATCGCATCTGCCGGCCGAAGCCTCTGCTGATTGATATATTTAGCCCTTGGCAGGCTATAAAGAAATTTGTTTGCTACTTCTGGTCCTCTGCGTCTCCACCCACTTACTGCATCTGGCCACTCGCTCCTTCTCTGCATGCACTCGATCATGCAATGTTGCTATTCCCGTCTTCCCCTTGTCAGGCACGTCTGCTGAATGTGGGGTCACTTAGTAAGTTGGTATTGTGATGTTTGATGCAGCCTGAGGTTGGTTGGTCGGTGCTCGAGTCCTGGTGGAGCAAGCCATATGCAAAGGTGTTGCACTCTTCTACAACACTACAATACACAAAACAATAGTCTGGTCCTAGAGACATTCTCGTAATATGGACCCTCTAGTATCCCTAGCCACTGCAATCTAACGTGCGCAATTGTAAAAGCTATGTTGGCGTGTTTTCCTAAACTATCTACCATACTCTTACATCCTCCATTGTCTTAACATACTCGCACGTCTGTATACACGCTACTTTGCCAATAATGTGCTTCATTTCTCTAGACTCGACCCACAATCACGTTTCCATGCATTGTTTTTCGAAACACTACCACGAACTATCACATTCTTGACATCAAAAAAACGCATTAACATGCCCTTCAAGTACGTCCTGATAGCGTCATCTCACCTGACACTCGTATCATCAACATCATCATCGCATGCGCATACATATCACAAACCTGTTCACCAATGCATTTTACATGACAAAGATATTCGTCCTATTTGAGGCACTCGCGTGACACATCACGAAATCACAAAACCATCTTGAACTCCGGATCCCTATCATCCCCACTTCCCTCAAACTCTGCATATCTGCCCCTCCTCTTATCCCTATTAATCTTCGCACACCACGCCACGTTCGCCGCAACTAATAGCCAACTCGCACACAGTAACCCAAGGATAATCTCGTGACTCCTCGTAAAAGTCGGCTTCTCCTTCCCAGGATAAATAAAACTCGCAACAAACCCACCTGCATTCGCAACCGCCAACTGCAGTCCACTCGTCGTTGCCCTCTTGTAATGTCCCGCGCTGTTATTGCTGTTCCATACCAACACACATGGCACACTGCTATACAGGCCCGTGGCCATGAGGAACGTCATGCCGTATTGCACCTTGGCGTTTGTACTACGGCTGATAACACCATAGCCAATGATCGCGATGGGAAGGGTGAAGAGCATAATCACGCCGCGGAGACGTAGACGATCCGAAAGTAGCGCAGTACACACAGTGAAGAATGCAGCGACAGCATATGGAATGACAGACCAGAGTTGTGCTGCGTTGGCGTCGTGCACAAAGGATAGCGAGTTGATGATGGTGGGGAGGAACAGTCCGAAACTGTACAGCCCTGAGAGAATTGCAAAGTAACTGCTCGCGCTGAGCCAGACTTGTACATTGAGAATGCCACGTCGAACTTCAGACCATGCAAAGTGCTCTGTGGCGTGTGCGCTGCTGTGTAAACGAGAAAGCGCAAGGTCTTTTTGCGCAGGACTCAGGAACCGTGCAGAGGAGATGCTGTTGGGAAGGAATATGGAGCAGATAAGACCACATGCCACAGTGAGCAGGCCCTCAATGACCAATACCCAGCGCCAACCTTCGAGCCCGCCAGCTGGTCCGATTGCTGAAAGACCGCGTGCAAGGAGGCCACCGAAAGCGCCAGAGAGGCTGGCAGCGGTGTAGAAGATGCCGATCCTCACTGCCAGCTCAGTGCGGGTGTAGAAGGCTGTAAGGTACAAGATCATGCCGGGAAGTAAACCGCCTTCAACAAACCCGAGTAGAGCGCGTACAGCGACGAAAGACGCGAAGTTGGTTGTGAAACCCAAACACATTGTAAGTGTGCCCCATACAGCAGTAAGAAGGGGTAGCCAGATACGCGGGGAAATTGTGCGGAGAAGTAAGTTGGACGGGATTTCAGATAGAATGTATGTGGCGTAGAAGGCACAGAGACCGATAGCAAATTGGTGGTCAGTGATACGGAGGGAGGCTTGGAGACCCTATATAAGATATTAGCTGATCACTCCATGTGAACAGACGTCTCGGTGGCGTACGAGAATCTTGACGTTCCCGACATTGGTTCGGTCGATGAAGGAGCAGAGGAAGAGAAGAGCGAGAATGGGGAGAATTCTGGTTGTGTTAGCATCATGTCTGAAGAAAGTTGCACGATTTTCACTATCTTACGAACCTCGAGTCCATCTTCCACAGCAGCCTCTTGGTCAATCTCTGCTCTTCAGCAGTAGATATCAGCCCTTCATCATAAATGTCACTTTTGGCATTCTCGACGCGTTCGTCGGCCATGGGCTTCATCGTCTCGTCCATGCTCTTCCGATCGGACCGTGGCAGTTAGAGGAAAGACTCAACAAAACAATACGGTGCTTCCTCAACCTTCCTGAGGTAGGTCTTATCGCGTAGCCCCGCAATTTACGAGTCAGACCGGCAAACAATGTGACGATGTACGGCAAGCAGGTAGAGAGAAGAGGGCGACCATGGCGAGTCTGGGGATGCACGGTATATAATTCAATGTCCGGAGCGCCAGGAAATGTGATTGCTCACGGACCCCACGCCCTTACTCAGCCGGCAGTCTTCAATGGTCCCCGCAAGGGAGATCCAACCTGTATGGCGTTCCGAACGCGACATAGACGTGTAGGACGGGCCTCACACAAATTTTATAAGAATGTCCCATTGGGATCTGAGGCTTGTTGTGTACCCCATGGTTTGCACTCCACAGCCAAGCGTTCAAAACCGTGTTGCCCAGTCTTCACAGTGGAGATGGAACGTCTGGGCAAAAGGCTTGAGCTTAGGAAAATCTGGGGTAGAGCGGCGCGGATTCGGGTCGGACCCAGAAGTAGCTGCCGAGCCGCCAATTCTTCCCGGGCCTCGTCATTCAGGCAGGCCTCAAATTCAAAGTCTCCTCGAATCTGGTTAAACTCCCTGCGATACTGTCTTCCACGTCTCTTCCCTAGCAACCAACATATCAAGGCTGGCCATCCATCATGTCGAAGCTTTCCAACAGCCTCAAACAGCTCATCAATGCCCCATTCGCACGTCCAAATACCACTCCCGCACCTCAAGACATCGGCGCGCTATACAATTCCATCGGCAAGCATGCAACTTCAAAGAAGGTCCCACCGGCGACATGGCTCACGCTGACCGGATGTACTCTCCCGTCCGTATATCGCCCTCAGCACTGACGCCAGTACGTAGACAGCGGCAACATTTACCCTCAATTCCCCGGCCTCCCTCACGACCCTGTACAACACATACACCTCTCACCATAAAAGGGAGCGCATCTCCGCAGCCGAACTCATGCGGGAAGTCGGGCTCAAATGTATTGGCCTCAATGGCGTGCCGCGCACGATCAATTGCCTGAACGCTTTCCATCCCAATCTACCCGAAGACGTGAAGGCAGGACTCACAAGAACACCCTCGCGAACGCCAAGCGCAGATAACATTGAAGCCACAAAACGCCGCGGCCGTGCCTTATGGGATAGTATATACCGGCCATTCGAGGGCAAGTTGATTGATAAATTGGCATCCACACACCCTGATCTGCCTGTGCATATCGTAAATAGCGAGTATGGACTGCTGTTCAGCGACCCACCAAGAGACGATGTACCCGGTAGAGGAGTGGGAAGAATAGGAATGAGTGTTGTTGCGGTGGCGTGTTTGCGCGCACAGACAGGCGTCGGACCGCAGGTGCTGAGCCATATCTACGGGCTGAGAAAGAGTTTGGACGACGGAAGCTGGGATGACGGAACTGTGAGCGAGGAGGGGGCGAGGTGGCTAGCGAGTGACGAGGGTGGAGAATGGATGTTAGGGAGCGTAGATGCGATTGTGGAGAAGGTCTCGAGCGGAGAGGGAGGAACATTTGCAAAAGCGAAGCTGTAGGTGCCGTGAGCAGAAGAAGTTGTAAATATAAATAGACGTAAAGGGAGAGATATGACTATAGAATCGTCTATATACTGCATTTACGCTGGACGTCAGCAATCCATCAAACTGAACACATTCTCTCTTCTCATCCGACTCCGTCAACAACACCGCGTAGCGCAACCACTTATGACAACCAAACAATCTTGCAAACCTACCTCGACTAACCAGGCCTTGATAGCGTCGGCGCTTCTGTTCCGGCATTTCCGGCTCTCGCAAGCCACCATTTGCGGCCCAGTTCCGATCCATGAAACCCAATGACCTTCAAAATACAAGCACTTACAACGCTCCCTAGCACTCTTCATTACTTACCAGCATTTCTCCCCTCCTGGAGTGACCTCCTAAGCTTCAGATTCCGACCCCGATCTCGCATCGCAGCCCCAAATACCGTATCCATCACGCCAATCAGAAGCGAGCGTGGCGCGAACCCAACCAACTGTTGGCGGCTCATAACCCGTGAATCAGGCACAAAGTCCGAGGAAGGTAAGTGTATATAGAAAGGTGCGCCCAAGATAGAGGTCAGGTGGTTCCAATGTCAGATAGTAATACCATCAAGTATCGAGTCTCAGAAACAGCTCGTGGTTTTGTTTACCTTTCATTTGAATGGGCTTTGAGGAGTGTTTGCATTATACTACACCACATTCATACAATACAACTTCTTTCCTCCATCGAAAATGGCATCAATCAACACCTTCCGCACATACATCACTACACGCAACACCGCGATTCTCGCATCCATTCTCGCATCTTCAGTTGCTACATATCGCCTAACCCGTAGACCTGTCATGGCCGATGCACCAACATCAGCGCGCCATTTCGCAACAGCGTCAACAGCGACTCCCAACACGACGAAGCCGCCCGAGAAAGCATTTGGCATTCTCCCACAAACCCTCACCCTGCACTCCACAACCCTCGTAAACGACGATACCGCACTCCTGACTTTCTCCCTCCCGCAAGGCTCATCAGGATCACCTCAAGTTTCAGGTCTCCCTTTGACATCGACCCTTCTGTCCCTAACATGGCCAAGCGGCTCCTGGACGCCCATTGTGCGCCCATATACTCCCGTCTCGTCTTCCTCGACCCCTGGCGAGATACAATTTCTCATCAAAAAGTACCCTGGCGGAAAGGTGAGTTCGCATATGCATTCCTTGAAGCCAGGAGATACAGTGCGCTTCGTGGCCGTTCCGGGCGCGAAACATGTGCCCTCGACGAATGAGATGAAACCAGCGCGCGTCTCAATGATCGCAGGCGGTGCAGGCATAACTCCCATGCTGCAACTCATCCGCGGGATATTGGGCAATCCAGATGATTATACGCGGATTCGACTTTTATGGGGTGTGAATACACCCTCGGATGCGTATCTAATGGATGAGTTCGCGGCGCTGAAATTGAGGTTCCCGGGAAGATTTGATGTGCGGTATGTGGTTAGTAAGGCAGACGAAGTCCAATCTCAAACGGAAAAGGGTCGGATTGATGGCGCGCTACTGGCCAAGTTGAGGTGGGCGCCGAAATGCAGTGAGGAGAAGGTGTATGTGTGCGGGCCGCCGGGAATGGAGGAGAGCTTGGTGGGGAAACAAGGAGTTCTAATTGAGATGGGTTATAGGAAAGGGCAGGTTGTGAAATTTTGAATTGGGTGGTCTGCGCTTTGGAGGAAGCGTAAAGTACTGGATGAATGTCTGTGGTGCATTAAGCGGCGTTCGCAAGGCTGCGTTTCTTGATTCGATTTTCAATAGCAGGTTGCTTTCTAGGCTTCAAATGGTGTATCTAAAGAGGTGGCCTTGTCTGGAGCATCGTGGATCTTCCAACAACTGTTATGCCATTGCCAATCCTCGCAGCTGAGTAGATGAAGGTCGTCGAGTTTCAGGAGTGGAGTAGGTCCGAACTGACCTCTGCGTAAGCAGATCCGCGACTACCGGACTGCGTTCAGTACGACGAAACATCGACCTGCGACTGTCTCAGCTGAACGAAAAGCCAAACTCATCGCCCCGCTGGATGTTTCCAAGGAAGTTGTCCCAGGTTGCCCATGCTGCAGTGTCCACGTCACTGGCAGTTGTCGCCGACATCAAATCAAGCTCAGAGTCCAGACTAGGCCAATACTGATTTCCATCAAAACCAGCCCAGAAGGTCGGATCGCTGTGGCTGCTCTGTGGAGATCGATGCGTAAGATTGATATTTGCAGTCTGTGGCGAGGGCTGTTGGGAGTTTTGAGATCTCGCAGGCGATGGTATAGCGTTCGGCATGGGCATAGCAATAGATGATGTAGGCATGGCGCTGTTGGACATGACTGACTGATATCTGGCTTTTGCTTGCTCCATCAAATTTTCCATCGGACCCCAGAGTGTTGAATGGCTGTCAACAACTTTGTCGCTGAGTCGAGAGAAGGCAGCATTTATCGGCTTCCAGCAACTCTTGACCAACTGCGGGTCTTCACAAACGGAAAGCTCGGAAAGTGCGACTGCAAGGTCATGCCATGGTGCCCAAAGATTGGCAAACCATATCCAGGGGTCATTGCGCCGATCGTCGGATACCTCCTTGTCTTTTATCAAAGATGTCACTGCCAGCCGAAGAAGATGTGAGCCTTTGACATTTGGAGGTTGCTCGATCGGCTGAGGGCGCAATGGCCGAACCGCATTCAGCTGCATAGATGCCACGAGACCTTCGAACATTTGCTTGATATGCCATCGTATCTGTTCAGTGTCTTTATCGACCTTGTGCCATTGAACAAGGTTTTGGATGTCCAGACGAAAATCTTCAACCAGTCGGTGCCTGGCGTACCAATCGGTTACTGTTTGGCTGTGTCCTAGACGAGGGGGAAAGTTCAATATACGTCCAACACCTTGAGCTTTGCTACCAACAAGAGAAAGAGTCATATCAGTGTAGTCAGTGGACTCGATCAAGGGACCCTCCGAATCAACAGAAAAGTCGACGTCGTTTATATTCAGTGGGAGGGCAGTCGCTTGCAGCCACTCGTTGGTTATCATGGGGTCAGCCCCACGCTAGATTCGACATCAATCAAGGCGTTTCGATGTGCTGAAGAAGTAGACACTAACCTCCATGGCGGCCTGGATATCAAGAAGTCCGATAGCCCACCACACACGTTTCGCCATTTCACGGTCATAAGGACGCATAAGATGTACGGATGGGTTATCAACATGGATGTTCAAAGACTGTGCGAGTCGCACAGCTAGCGAAAGCAAAGTCCAGACACGACGTGAACGATCGTAAGAGCGAGTTGCGACCTGAGGCATTAGGTCAGCCCGTCTTCCGTGGTATGCGAATCACTTACTAGATAAAGAACGAACGCTTGCAACACAGTCAAGTCTTCAGTAACGACAAAATCGGCTCTCGATAACGCTGCTTCAACGGCAAGTCGATATCGCTTAATGACAACATTCTTGGCCTGGCCAAACGTCTGCATTGCTTGCTCAGCCGTCAAGCTTGCTACAGCCGCGTGATAGATCGCATAGTCAAGTGCCTCGACAGCGGGGCTATCAGGAGGATAGTTTAGGTACAACCCTCCCTTGATCAAGTGAGCCGCAACCGACGGCCGGTGTAAGACCTTGAAAACCGGATCGACGTTGGATATGAAAGTTTCGCAAAGGTTCTGGTGTAGCCACGGCACGGCGGCATGCTCGACCTCATCAAGGAAAGATTGAGGAGTGGGGATAGAGTCTGAAAAGGTGAATGGCGAGCCTCCTATTGTGTGAGAAGGGGTTGAGGTTGAGGTTTTCGGATGAGGCAAAGCATCACCCCAGGTGGCTGATGGATTGAGTGGGAACCCGCGATGGCCTTCAGTAAAGCTTCCTGGCCGCGACTCAGGAGTGGAAGAGGGTTCGCCCTCTTCGTCAGCATTCGAAGGCGACTTTGTCTGCGCCAGGTTGTTGCTCTGCTGTAGCACCAGGGATTCTAAGCGTGCGAGTCGATCTCGAACATCAGCATCGTTGCTCGGCTCCGACCGTCGATTCAAATGTCTCCCTCGTGGGAGTCTCTGTCGCTCCACTGGCACGCAGGTTACTCCGGAGCGATCGCAATTCGTACACGGCACTTTCTTGTCGCATTTGACCTTGCGTCTGGTGCATGCTTCGCAGGTCAGTCGCGGCTTGGACACACCACCACCTTTGTGCATCCTAAGTGGGTACTGTTGAGTGATAAAATGGACTTGTTGGGTGGAGAGGTCAACTAGGCTTCGTGTTAGAATTGATAGGTAGCCCCGCCGAGAGTATGTAGCGCACAGATTATTAGGATTTCGTGATCAGCCGTTGGTGTTGAGGTCTGATGTCTGACTCTCAGGCACAAAAATGAGCTAGACCAAAGTGAACTGGATGCTGACAGTTCGACCAATGAATGGATGTCAATGGCGCCGTTGGAGTTGGGGGCCACATACGAGGCCTGAAGATCATCTAGACCTCTAGCTCAACAGGTCGCACTGGAAAGGTACAGGTCGTGAATTATGTTGAAATCCGAAGGAGTAGATAGCGGTGATATGGTATTGAACGCCAACCTGGGTTTATAGCAGTTTTATCAAGGTCTTTGATCGCGCTACCGGCCAGAACAAGTCGTGACGCATCCATCCGTTAGAAGCTTGGTCAAGCTCTTCATGCGCAAAGGTTTCGTGCGCCGGTGCGCATCGGCAGCCGATCCCGATGCTCAACGGACTTGTATAGGTGGTAGCATAGACAGGGATAACCTCGTGCATCAACTGAGAAATAGCTTTCTCTCATTGATAATTCACTCAAGTGAAATAGCAGTTGCCTATTGCTACTTTTCTTATCTGATGCACCTTTGCAGTGCGCAGTGTATGGCACTTTCACGTGATCCGGACACGCCTATGAATATCTCTGTTGTCAAGGTTGACGCCATGCTGACGCTTCAGTATACAATATTCGCTATAGATCATGATTACTACTTATTAAAAGGCTTTTCCTATGATAGCCAAGAAATTACAGCGTCTCTCCACGACGACTTACAACCAGGCGCCTGAAGCTTCCTGAAGCTCTCGACGGGGCGTTGATCAGTAATCATTTTCTCAGTAAACCAGTTACCATGTAGTCCGTATGGTACCCGCTGAGGTAGGCGTACCTTTGCAACGATGTCCTTCATGTCGGTCGCATCGAGGACCCAGAGCTCTGAGACGGCTTTGTCGGGGCAATTCCCTTCATCGTCTAGTTGTGATTCGTCGAAAGCGTAAAAAAGGAGGTAACCATCGTCTTCTTTGCCTGTAAACCACTTCGATCCTTCGCGTCTGGCTACGAACGTGGCTTCTTGTGCAAACCATCCCGGGGGCATTCGGAAAGCCTTGATAGGATCTTGTGCATTGCTGCTGGCCAGGATTTCGTCTATATTCCTTTCATCGACGCATCCGCCGTCAGATATATCATGCTGCTCTGCAGTCTTTATGAGATTCTGCACGTCCATCTTGAGTAATACGTCAATCTTCGTGGCTTTGCCAAGTGCCGCCCCAAATGACGACGTATACGTGCTGCAGCCGTAAATGTATTGTGCCTTTAACATAGAATACTCATTGTTCAGAGTAGGAAACTCGAACGGCAGTGTAGATAGAGCAAACTGTCTGCTGATTGAACTCTTCAAACTGCTTAGCGAGAATGTGTATAGGTATAAACGACATTGTTCGCTGGGTAAGTTCTCTCTTGCTGTTTTCTCTATATCCCAGTTGAGTGTCGATGGGGTGAGGTGATGCAGTAGGGGCGATGATTCATCCTCATCTTCGTCTGCGCGATATATTTTCTCATTCTCATATGCCGCGAAGAATGAGATGGGTCGTCGAGGATCTTCCGCATGCCGACTACCAGGGGGTGGAGGGGCTGCAATGTTCCCAGCGTTGAATACGAGGGTCGCTGATGTAAGCCGACATGCCAGCATGTTCAGCTCCACGACATCACCATTACCATCTGAGCCGCATACGTCCCACGTATTCGCGGTGTGAAAAATGCAGCAGGCATCGGTTTCAAACCACTGCACTTTTGCTGGATCTCGACGAGGAAATACTCCGAAGCGCGAAGGCTTCTTGGCGTCATACGAAACAACAGGTCGATTCTTCATAAGATTAAATGGATCTAATGATAGCGGAAGGTCCAGGATTACGGTATGTGTCCTAGAAGCACCGAAATCATGCATCATTTTGCCCCCGGACACGCCAGGAACGGGTATGTTGACCGACTTCGAGAGTCCGACTGGAGAAGAAACACCGTGTGAAGATGGAAGAATTGAATAATGAACGTAGGGTTGGATGAAAGTGCAGTGGAAGAGAAGCATCTCCTTTGAGACAGGATCGACTTTTGGATGTCCGGTAGTCCATTCCTTCATGAATCCGACTAAGCCTGGGCCGCCAAGGACTTCGGCTGTTGATTGGTGCTGAGAAGATTCACCTTCTGCAAACTCGCCGTTGAACCATCCTACTGTGTCCAGGTCCGGGAGTTGTACACGCATAGGCGGGCCACTCTCGCAGGTAGCCAGAGCACGGCCATCATGGTACAGGATGGAGGTGTTTGCTACACTAATCCTCTTGATCGCTTGTTTTGAGCCAGGTAGACCTGCTAGTATCGCTAGGAACACTGTTCGGAGTATGCGAAGTATTATATAGACCAGTGATGAGGCAGGATTGACAAGTGTTGTTATACTGGGCAGTATTGGTGTGCGCAACGTCGGGCTAGAGCTCGCAGATATGTTGACGTCTGTCAGAATGTATTGATTGACGAAGGATGGTTGTATTGATCCATCTCTTGTAGATTTCTCAAAGAGCACTCCTGCTAGCATGCCATCGCCGTCAAACCAATGAGCATCACGACCCAGTTGCTGGTTTGAGATGGGATTGCCTCCATTACGAAGATACTGTCCACCCGCGAGGTCGTCTGGTATTTGTCCGGAGTACGAGCATGGAGTGAGGGGTCGCGTATGATGTATCGGTGCGAAATTGCCGCTCAGATATCTGGTGTGATGATTAGTGTTGTCGTAGATGTAATGGCGCATTCGTTGCACACTCACGGATGCTTGTGTTGACGCTTCCTCTTCTGCCCGGTCAAAGGCATCATGGAATATCGCAGAGCAGGACACGGCGATCACGAACACATTCAGCTGGATTGAGATCAATGAAGCTGAGAATGATGGAAGCTAGAGAGTGGGACGACCGGACCCGCTAGGGTAACACATGGTGGTTTGGAGGGAAGCATAGGTAATTAGGTGCTGCCCGTAGAAGGATGGACCGTTAAGCTGTCATGACGTCGGCCCCACCAATTGCGACGGCGAAAGAGACTTGAGGAGAGGAGGGAGCCAAGAGATTCCGATGCGATGGAGCTCGAAAGCTCGATGATGGCGATGCAGATGCATGATGGAGACGCCTGGACTAGCTAGACACTTTCAGACCGGGGGGAGAAAACAGCTGGACAATGTGGGCTGGATTGAATGCTGCCAGGGATTACTGACTGCATTCACGCAGTGGTGTCGTCATGCCGTCAAACACCAGTCCAGGATCCATCAGAATGGCGCTCGGCCTCGGCTAGAGCTGCTGACTGACTCAGGTACGTACGCGTAACCTTGACCGCGGTCTTTTCGCCTTGTCGCCTTGTTGCCTCGTTGCCTACTCCTCCTCCTCAGACCTCACCTCTCTTCCCGCTGTTTCCCTTACCAGTTCGCTTCCCTCTCTCCGTCTCTCCTTTTCTACTTACTTTGCTTTTGCAGCCTTGTCGCCAGTCGCCGGTCCATTATGCTTGTTCCACAGTCTGCTCATTCGCTGTCGTGACTTGTGTACATATCCAAGAAAGAAGGTGGTCACTCTCACTTGGATTACGCTGGTTACCTCCACATGCAACTTGGGGAAGTAGATTTTTAGCGCGTAGGGACTATCTCCGGAACCATGGGCTGGGATTATGCCTTTGTGTATGTGTATCCACCCTCTACCAGGCTCATATCACGTTACTTATATTTGATAGACATCTCAAGTACAATTTCCCTCCTGCAATCGCTTTGACGCTGCTCTATAGACCATTGCTAACAGCAACGGATGTCTACAAGCTTCTGTTCCTTATTACTGTAAGCCTTCTTCTCTATCCATCAGCTATGCTGTGCTGACGTAGAAGATTGCCGTCGTAGCGACGATACCATGGGACTCGTACTTAATTCGTAGCAACGTTTGGACGTATACAGACGATGCTGTAATAGGCTGGAAACTGTTTGACATTCCCGTCGAAGAAGTATTCTTTTTTGTCATTCAGACGTACAATACATCTTTCCTATATTTCATACTTAGCAAGCCCACCTTTCATTCGGTTTATCTGCGCACGGACTTGGACAGAAGCCACAGCAATGAACTATCAATAACTTCTAGGCGTACGATTGGCCAGGTATTCCTAGCAGTCGTCATATATGCTGGGTTCCATATGCTCAGTCATGGTGGGACATCAACATACATGGGCTTGATATTGTCCTGGGCTGGACCTTTCATGCTTCTCCTTTGGTAGGGACTGGAACACGTTCGGTACCTAGGACAGTGCTGACATCACAGCAGGACTCTTGCATACCAGATGATATTAAACTTGCCCATCACCAATACCCTAATACCAATTGGCTTACCTACCTTCTACCTATGGATGGTTGATACCTTCTCACTCAAGAGAGGTACCTGGGTCATAAGCGCTGCTACCAAGTCGGATCTATATCTATGGAAAGGTCTTGAGCTTGAGTACGCGATGTCATATACCTGTAGCTATTTGATGACTGACATGCACCAGAGAAGCCGTCTTCTTTCTCATCACCAATGTTATGATAGTTTTTGGACTGTTAGCGTTCGACAATGCTCTTGCTATTCTCAATACCTTTCCGACTCTCTTCCCTGATGCTCCCGGGCTCCCAGGTCCGGTAGATCTTGTCCGGGCATTGCTTGTTCCTACAAAACGATATGACCATTACCGTGTCAAGGTGCTCGAAGATGCTGTGAAGAGGCTGGAGAGGAAGAGTCGAAGTTTCTACCTCGCCAGTGCCACCTTTCAGGGACGCCTCAGGATTGATCTCATCCTACTGTGAGTAGATGTGCTTTCTATCGATCCATCGCTCTCTAACAGTATCAGGTACTCCTATTGTCGAGTTGCCGATGATCTGATTGACAATGCCAAGTCTGCAGAGGAGGCCAAGTCCTGGATACACAAGCTTCATCGATTTCTTGATATTGCGTACGCTGAGCACGGGAAAAATCAATTGGAAACTATGGTCAAGGATGAGTTTCCAGCTAGCTTACAGTTAGCACTACTGCACCTTCCAACGCAGTATCTTTCGAAGGCGCCTCTATATGAATTGCTGAAGGGATTTGAAATGGACCTTGACTTCTTGCATCCAGGAAATCAGCTGCATCTACCGATTGGAAGTGAAACTGACTTGAGGATGTATGGATCTCGGGTTGCCGGCACAATTGCAGAGCTTTGTATTGACTTAGTCTTCCAACACTATCGCATGCTTCCGTCCGGATCACAGCAAGCCAGTATCAAAAGAGCCGGGCATCAGATGGGCATAGCTTTACAACTGGTGAACATTGCTCGCGACATCGCTGTCGACGCTCACATGGGGCGCGTCTATCTACCAAACACTTGGCTGGATGAGCTAGAGCTCACACCACAAGCTGTATTGAAGAATCCCAGGGGCATTAGAGTTGGGAAACTCCGAACCAGGCTATTGGACAAGGCTTTCGCCATTTACAAGGAGGAAATTGTCTCCATTGAACAGCTTCCGCAAGAAGTCCGTGGCCCTATGAGGACTGCAGTCGAAAGCTACATGGAGATTGGTGAAACCTTGAGGCGAGAAGGCTATGAGGTAAAGCCGGGGAAGGCCACAGTGCCCAAGCTGAAGAGAATCCGCGTTGCTTGGAATGCTATGAGTGGGCCATTGTCGCGGAATATCCGAGTCTGAGGGCTGCATTTCAGAAAGCACAATAATGGCATGGTTGATATATCATATAGATTCTTACATAGAGCGACATTAGCATATTCTTTGTTTTTATTGTTCTAGCCCAATCACGTCGTTTCATCCGCCGCATCATTAGCGCCAAACCCACCAAAACGCCAAGCAACGTCATGACAGCCCTCTTCATCTCACACCTCCTTCGTTATGTAGACAACACAGACCTGTCTCTACGGAGATGTCTTCAGATTCGGGCCAGAGGACGGCCATCGTAATCGGCGCCGGCGTGGGCGGTGTTGCTACCGCTGCACGACTTGCTAAGGCTGGCTACAAAGTCACTGTAATCGAAAAGAACGGCTTCACGGGTGGCAGATGCTCTCTGATACATAAAGACGGCCATGTATGTTTACAAACCTCCCATACGGCTCAATAACTGACTATTTGTGTGTAAGAGATTCGATCAGGGTCCATCCCTTCTGCTGCTTCCCCACCTCTTCGCCGAGACATTCCGCGATCTCGATACTACTCTCGAAGACGAAGGCGTTCAGCTTGTTAAATGCGAGCCAAACTACAATATTTGGTTTGGCGATGGGCAGTCTTTCGAGTTATCGACCGATCTTGCACGCATGAAGCATGAGATTGAGAAATGGGAAGGTAAAGATGGCTACGAACGGTATCTATCGTTCTTACAAGAGGCGCACAGACATTATGAGTTGAGTGTGACACACGTATTGAGGAAGAATTTTACAAGCCTACTGAGTATGGCAAGACCTACTTTTCTCATGAATGTGCTGAAACTACATCCATTCGAGAGTATCTATTCGAGAGCGTCCAAGTACTTCCGTACGGAGAGGCTAAGGAGAGTGTTCACGTTCGGGAGCATGTATATGGGGATGAGTCCGTTCGATGCACCAGGAACGTATAGTCTCCTGCAATACACAGAACTTGCAGAGGGTATATGGTATCCAATCGGGGGCTTCCACAAGGTTTGTTACCTGGGCAAGTGACGCTGTGGTCAAGACTAAATGATCATTTAGGTTTGTGAGGCTCTCGTGAAAATTGGCGAGCGTATGGGCGTTGAATACAGACTTTCCACCTCCGTCAAGTCAATCGCTTTATCCCCTGACAATAAAACCGTTGATGGCATCATTCTCGACGATGGAACACGTCTCACTGCCGACCTGATCGTCAACAATTCCGACCTAGTCTACGCATACAACAACTTACTCCCCTCCAGCACGTACGCCAAGAGCCTCACTGCCCGCAAAACCTCCTGCTCTAGTATTTCCTTCTATTGGGGACTCTCGGAGCCTGTTCCCGTCCTCAAAGCTCACAACATCTTCCTCGCAGATGACTATCGCGACTCATTCGACAGCATCTTCAAGCAGCACCTCATCCCCAGCCAGCCTTCCTTCTACGTCAACGTGCCCTCCCGTATTGACCCTTCGGCCGCACCCGCGAATCGCGAAACAATCGTAGTTCTCGTCCCGGTCGGCCACATGCTCACCAACACCAACTCATCCTCATCCTCCGTCCCATGCAGCGAAACGCAGGACTGGCCCTCAATAACCGCACGTGCACGTACGCAGATTCTCTCCACGATCGCGCGACGCACCGGCGTCGATCTCGCCCCCCTCATCGCGACCGAAACTACCAATACCCCGCCAACATGGCAAGCCGCATTCAACCTTGACAAAGGCGCCATCCTGGGTCTCTCGCACTCCTTCTTCAACGTACTCTCCTTCCGACCTTCCACTAAGCACAGCCGTATCAAAAACCTGTATTTCGTCGGCGCAAGCACGCATCCCGGCACTGGGGTCCCAATCGTCCTCGCAGGCGCAAAGATCGTGTCCGAGCAGATTCTCGCGGATAGTGGTGCTGAAGTACCATGGACGCGTGGTGGAGCAGTAACAAAGAAGAGGCGGGGACGGAGTGACTTAGACCAGGTGCAGGGCGCCGGGCAGTATAGTTGGGCGCAAATAGCGATCATTCTGGTTGGTCTATTCTTCGCTTTCTGGAGGGAGCTAGTGCGTACTGGATATATCCAGGCGCCAGATATGAGTGGAAGCATGTATCGAGGTCTGAAACCGTAGTGGAACTTGCGTCTTGGAGTAGTCCTGTGTGAAATTATCGATATAGAAATGTGCCTGATAGAGGATCTCTGATTTCTGGGTCCGTGATCTCTTCAACCGTCCACTAGACACTGACCGCACAAGCATCGAGCAATTCGCACGTCCGTATATCAAGTATAGTCGCACACGTGCTACATGACTCCGTGATGCACTCGAGCCAGGCACCTACTACACATCATCTTACACTACACGACGGCCACTGCTTAATTTACAGGAATACTCGCAGCAAGAGCAAATCCAATTTGCACTAATTCGCATAGCTGCATGAGTAGACACGTCACTCATGTCCATGCTCATAATTTGTAGGCTCTTCCCAACCCCGAACGTGAAGAGCCTACCCTTTCGTAATGCTAGAATGATAACACACACTCCATCCAACCAAGAGTTGAGCTAGACCTGCAAATCTGGTGCAAGCAATAATAAGGAAAAGTACACATACAAGCAGAGAGATACATGTTATATAATGTTCAGAGCAGTATTCGAAACGCGTGTGGTAGATGGAGAAAGGAATCACGAAATGCGACATTAAAGAATAGGGGACGAGCTTGAGAAGACTATGAAAGTCGAACTCAACGATCTGCTAGTGCTTACCTTATATCCCCATATAGTTCCTCTGAGAACCTGCGTCTCGTAAGCGTATGAATGGATGTTCTGAAAGACAGCCTCACGCCACAGGGTCAACTGCTAACGGAGCAACATGTCGTGAGTTGTAGCTCTTTGATATGAGCCTGGCGTCGGTCACATGACAAGCGTAAGCTGTGCAATGTGAGTGAACAAATGCTAATCCATATATCTAAACGAGTCTCAAGCGAGAAAGAACTAGGATCAAATGCGGCTTCAAGTAGCCAAAAGGTAGTGAGCGATCCAAAGGGCGTTATCATGATTATCAAAGGTCCTCGCTGTGTAAATGGATCCATGATCCGCTACTGCTGCTATCGCTTCTTTCTTTCTCACAAGCTCTTGTCCCTTACATTCTATCATGCTCACGCTCATCTTCGTCTCCAGAGTTGCGGCCTGAGCAGCACATGCATTATCCACCACCCTGTCCTGACATCCCCGCTACCTGTAAAATCGTAGCGACCTCATCCTGGCAAGCTCATCCTGGCGACCTACGGTAAGCATCACTTGCTCGGACCTCCGACTTCCACGCACCCGACCCAGGACACAACGTTGAGATGACAAGGCTTGGGAAAGGCGGAAGAGGTCTTGGCAATACGGCGGGGATCCTTAGCTCTCTGCTCAGCAGGAAGGATGAGATGGAATATATACAAGGTTTATGTACCGGGGTGTAAGAGTGTGCTTCTACCAGGGATTGACAGTGTAGTTTTGCGGGGTAATCTGGCGTTGGTATGGATGATCAATAGAAAAGTGTGGAGAGAAGAGGTGTACACGTGAGGATCCATGGTACATGGGTATAATATGCCGGAGTTGTCTCCAGCGGTTCATTCGTACTCGGTAATATTCTAGTGGGTTCAAGTTGCTTTTGCTACTTTGGTATAGTGATGTGTATATTGGATGGATAGAACCAGGAGTGAGATGTCATATTATTAACGTGCATGTTCCTTCTGGAATACTTATGCCTGCCTATCAAAATTCTCATGCTACATGCTACTGCCGTCTCCAGTATAGTAAAGGAAATCTGTATACATGGCACTTCGGACTCTGTATCTTCTGTCTAGAGTGTTGGTAAGCAGCCGCCGCAAATTTCGACCATCACACCTCTTCACATCACAAGAACCTCAACATGTCGTCACACCAGTGCCGACCGCTAAATATGCAGCACGCACGTTAGACGCGCCCCGCCCTTACGGCTGCTAAAATAGCGTGGATGATCCATGGACAGTGGATCCAATGGCTCCTTCAACCGTCGCGCCCATGCCCGCGATGATCGCCGCAAGCCGGATTCGTCAAGGTAGATGGCTGCGCTATCGTGAGATCGTCGGAGGAAATGCATGTGCGACTTTGAAAATTCAAACAAACCGCACGGGTGGCGTGAGCGCAAGCTGTGCGACTCGTGATTGTGATGAGGGAGTCACCTGAGAGATGCTGTCGGACGATGCGACCTTGTCTGTATGATCATGGAGGCCTTGTAGTTCGTGAGGCGATGACAGGTCGGTGGTGCATATTAGGAGCTTTGTATGCATGGATCATCATCATCATCACTCCAGGGAAAGCTTGCGGATGAATGCGATCGATGCATCGATACTGAGGTCCGCATAATATCGCCCGGGTTCAATATAAGTCGGCAACTTTGACCAAGGTCCTACACCAAACAGACAGAAAAGACAATATTGAAAGTTGAAAAGTCTGAATGAAGTCGATCCAAGCATTTTTCCTCCCAGAGTGAAGCCCCACACATCGCAAGCTTAATTTACTCAAATGACTGACAGAGTGGTCCAAGCTCCCTGGTGGATGGATCTTCGGATGCGCCACGACCTCACAACGACATCATTGTCATCATCGATTCATCGCAATTTGCATTCGACCATTCACCTTTGCCATCTCCGTCCAAGCTCTATCTTTCTTTGCTTATTCGTAGTCCATCAAGCCGTAATTAGTGGTACGTCTCTTTCAATCAGTCTCTCGAATGAAGCTTTGCTAGTACAACGCTTGAGGCGCCCACTTGTGATACGCCTGTGATAGGCCAAAATACAACGATGCAGTGAGCCATGGCTCTGTTTGGTCATCGCCGTGCTGCTAGACATCGTGCCGTGCATCGTCGTTGGTCCGACTAGACGCATGCGGACGTGAATTAGTCCAGCTTTCCCAGTCGAACTTTTCTTTCTCTGGGCTGTTGGGACTCTCTATCTATCTCCTTCTGATGACAGCTCTGCATCATCGCCGCATTGGGCCTCCTCGCGATCGAGAGTCGATAGGATCGATCATCTTGCACTGTGCTAGACCGAGACCGAGCTCTCGGATGAGGTCGGATCCTGTGCTGTCACGATGCTGTAGCTTGTCTGACCAATGCCGGTTCCTGCTAGCTGTCATGGGATACAATGAGATGCGTCCTGGCTGCAGATGTCCGATGTAGCCGAGTAGTTCGACTCGGTCTGGTACCACGGACTTTGCGCGGCCAGGAGATTGAGATTGAAAGACGTCATAGTGGTGTCGTGCATAGAGGGCCCTTATAATCGTGTACGCGGTCCTTTTTACATATTGTTCATCGATTACCTCTTCCATTGTACACAGCAATCTACTGGGACTTGTCTTGAAACAATCGCCAATATGCTCGACCAAAGAGATAATGGTGCCTTGAGGGCCAATCGTGAGTAGCTGCAATGCCACCACAACCACATTCAAAGTCGAGAAGATTACTGACTTCTGCTGTAGCTAGCACTGTCAATGGCGCCACTGCCGACATCACCATCACTGTTCGTGGCAGTGACTGGTATTGGGCCGTTTGCGCCGTCATGACCGTATCGACATTTGCATTCCTTGGCCTGGCCATGACCAAGCCGCGCAATCAGCGTATATTCCACTACATCACCGGTGGTATCACCATGGTGGCAGCCATCGCCTACTTCAGCATGGCCAGCAACCTGGGTTTCACGCCCATTGCCGTTGAATTCGCCCGTAGTGACTCCCGCGTCGCTGGCATGAACCGCTCCATCTTCTACGTTCGCTACATCGACTGGTTCGTCACCACGCCGCTGCTTCTCATGGATCTGCTCCTCACAGCTGGCATGCCATGGCCGTCAATCCTATGGGTCATTCTCGTCGACTGGGTGATGATTGTGACAGGTCTTGTCGGCGCGCTCGTAACATCGTCCTACAAATGGGGCTACTTCGCGTTCGGCTGCGCGGCCATGATGTACATCTTCTACCAGCTCGCATGGGAGGCACGCATCCACGCAAACCACCTTGGCAACGACATCGGGCGCGTGTTCCTCATGTGCGGCACGCTGACTCTTGTCGTCTGGCTCTGCTACCCGATCGCATGGGGTGTGGCCGAGGGCGGTAACATTATCGCGCCAGACAGTGAAGCCGTCTTCTATGGCATTCTCGATCTGCTGGCCAAGCCCGTGTTCGGTGCCATGCTCATCTTTGGTCATCGCAACATCGAGCCAGCTCGCCTTGGCCTGCACATCCGTGACTACGACGAGCCTATTGCAGGTGCCGCCGCGTCGCATGCCGAGAAGAAGGCTGCTCATCACAATGGCACTTCAAATGGCCACACCAACGGCAGTTCATCTGCTCCTGCCGACCCTGCGGTTGAGCCTGGAACTACCACCACCACCACTGTCTAAGCAGTGACTTGACCATGAGACACTTGCCCACGCTCTGACGGCGCCATTGCGTCATGTCAGTATCAATGAGAAAAGAGACTATGGCTGCAATTGCGCACAACATGATACCCACACCTGTCCGGCATGGATACTCAGAAGAACATCTATGAATTAGTTGAGAATGAACATTGGACGTTTCCATCATCTTGCATGTATTCTTGTCATCTTGGTAAATCGTTGGGACGAATCTGTAATGCTGTCATAATGAAAGTATGATAATATTAATCTTACGTGGACGGCGTTTAGACAACTCGAATAATTCATGTTGTGACGTTTCCCTCATGGTAGCTGTGGACGTGGTGAAAATAATGCGACGTGATACATAGTTAGAAAATATTCCGCTGGCTAAGAAAACTGTCAACGTATACCTATCCATGGATAAGTGCCTCCACAGATGTTTCCACATGTGTTTCCGTAAGTGGTAGGTGGGTCTTCTCGAGTTGGATAGCTCTGAATAAATTCCTATTGACCTCTTCGGTCATGAATTGATTTATTATGGTGGGCGAATTCTGATTACATCTGAGGACATTGGCTAGTGGTATTCACGTACTCACGTGATAGCGCATTCGACAGTCAGATGAATTGCCACTTGAAGCCAACCAAGTTTAACATGGTGTATGACATTCCGCAACGACCTTTTGAAACTCCTGTGGCACGAATCAGCAATCTCAGTGTCTGTATTTCAATGCTTGCAACTGAACATCCTACGTCCATGAACCAAAATGAACAACATACTTATACAGAAACAACGTAACAAGATAACATCCAACCACCCGTGTAATGCAGCAATTGTTTAGCCACAAACCAATCTCTGTCCTAGGGTCTTCTAGAACCTTACCAACACCTCACTGTCCGAATCGTCCTCCCAATGCTCATCAGGTTGATCATCTTGATCATCTTGATGATCATCTTGATCATCTTGATGATCATCAGGCAGCTGATATTTCAAATCCGTGTGCTCCGGCGTCGACCTCTCGTCCGTCAACAATGACTCAACTTCGCCAACATCCAATCCCGGACATTCAGACCCGTCACTGTGCAGCTCAAGCTCATCCTCTATCGATCTAATCGCATGTCCGCACGGACATGGGCTATGAGTTCGAGAATAGATAGTCGTGTTGTATGCCATCCATGTATTATGTGATTCCACAGACGAGGGGGGGGACTCTTCGGAGTGAAGAGCCGCGGGTCGTGGTGTACGTGGAGGTTGTCCTTCGTTCACGTCGATCGACCTCAGTATACCGAGCTCCTCCCGTTCCCGCTCCCACTCCTCTTCCTTGCTTCTCATGAAAGCTTGCATTCGGGAGTCTTCTTCTATGTCTAGTCGACGCTGTTTGGCTTGGTCCATCTCCTTCTTACATTCCGCCCACCGATCGAAAAGCCCTTCCATTGCGATGGCCGCTTGCTTGCATGATATCACGAAGTCCAAGATTGCCGTTTCCGTGTCTCGAATGCAGTCTGCGGTAGGATAAAAGCTCAAAGGAGGAGGCTCCAGCGCAGTACACTCTCCTTCAATGTTCATGATTTCGCTGTGGACATGCAATGCTGCCTCGTGGGCTTCCATGAACCCACCTATGCCATCAAATACATCGTTGAGCAGAGTGTGCAATTGGTCTGCCATGCAAGATTGCTTGGAAACCAACGAGGTACCAAATCCTTCCATTGTCCCTTCATTCGTCTTGGACTCGAACGGCAACTCGCCAATTTGAACATTCCCAGGCTGCTTGGTATCCAGTATACTATTCAACATCTGCTGTAGCACAGGTGCGCCCCTCTCCTCGTCACTTCGATCGTACCTGAGTCCTCGCATCATGAAAACTTTGGCATTTTCCAGTAATGGCGAAGCCGTCAGTGACTGTAGTTCCGGCAATGATGGCAAACGAATAGAAGGAGACTTCCTTTTTACCTCCTTCAACGTAAGTGGTGGGCTAACTTCGGACCGTTCCTCTTTGATTGAATGAAGAGATGTCAATGAGTTCGCTCTCGTCATAGGATTGCCTTTGCTTCGCTGTTTCCGATAGTACAACCGGTGAGAATGGCGAGCTTTAGCAGGCAAGCTCGCGCTGCGCTGCGGCGCTGACGATCCCCGCGAAAACAGGTGTTTGTCGAATGCCCAGTGGATAAGGCTATTGGACCGTAGATTGGACCGGGTCGTGCCTGAATTGATATTGGGCGTAGGGACACCGACAGGCGTGGGATGTCTCTCGATAGGGATAGAGATAGCAGAGCTACGAGAACTGAAAGTCGGAAAGCCAAGCCACGCCACTGATTTCCCGATGAATTTCTTGAAGCCTCGGCGTTTTCGGCCATGAGTTTGATGCACATGGGCCTTAGTCGGCCTTTGACTTTCTTTGTTAACTGCAAAATCGATGAGGAGTGGGGTATCCATCTCGATGGATCTCAAAGAAGCCCGGGCAGACGAATCGAGGAACGTGTCGAGCATAGTGGAAGGTCGATCGATAACGACAGAAGATCCTATTTGATGGGCAGAGTTAGTCTCGAATTTGATCGTGTCATGTTCTTGGCCCGAAGGTTCAAACCGATTAGGGGAGGGGGACACGTACGTCGTTGGCTAGCAGAGTCATTTGGCTTCACTGTTGATGCGAAAGATAGATTATCTTGCTTGAGAGTCCGTTTTGCTGTTGACGTTTCAGCCGGTGCAGGATATGTGCCACCATCAGATGACACGGCGCTGCGATGAGAAGGGGGAACAGAGCTCTCCTCCAGGAGAGGGGCGAGACGCTGAATCAGAGACGGCGAATCTGCATCTGATGGTGCAGCAGCACTATCGACACGCTGTTTATTCCTCTCGTTGTATTCAAGGATTTTAGCGATTGTTGGAGTCATCGAGATATTCGACGAACTGGTCGAGACTGGCCGTTCCGACTGCTTGGTGTTGGGTGTTTGTGGACGATCTTCGAAATTGAAGAGCCCAAGCTGTTCACCAACACTCCTCTCTTGGGGATGAGATTTTCCTTTTCCTTTGAACTTTACTTTACTGCAAGACTCGGCTTCTTTTCCGAACGCCATCTTGCTCCACGGTACAATTTCGTCAACGGAGGTTACACTTGGATTGTATAGTCCAGTCGCACGAGCCAAGTTGGTCAGAAAAGATGATAGATCTAACAGCTCTGACCCTGGGGACCGTCGAGGTCGTCGGCGAGTCGGAAGTAGAATTGAGCGAATTCGACGACGGACGATCATGAATCGGCTCTGCTTAGGAGGTTGGTCTGATGCTGAGTGTACCGAGCTCTGCGTTTGGCTATTCTTCTCGTCTGATTCTGGTGTTGCAGGTCTCCCACTGCTAATTGACATACGTAGCGACGGTTGAATAATATCTTCCTGGATCGACAGAGTGGTGGGTCCATTGTGAGCCTTTTTCGAGCCCATAGCGAAGCTGAGCGGGTTCTTCATGGTGTGCAAGAGAAGGGTAAAAGGTTCCAAGCGAGCGAAATGGTTTCCTAAAAATGTAGGGTTAATTGTGCTATGTTGAGAGAAATAGAATAATGCTAGTAAGAAGAAGACATCATGAGACAACAAACGAGAACAACATATTGTTCGGAACGCCAGCCAGAAAGCGGAAGCCACGTTGAATGTACATCAGTGTGGACCTGGGATTGAGGAGCCACCATGAAAGGCGATTGAAAGGGTAAGAACGATCGAGCATATCCACCACCGCACTTTCTCGATCTGTCGATTCGGGCTCCTCAGGAAACTTCATTGTATCTAAGGAGATCAGGTTTCCCATTCAGCTCGAGACGTAGAACTACCAACCTGACAGTGCTATGCATGCGCACTTTCGGCTCATGTCAAGTACTCATCTCTCCCACTCGCTGACAATCCCTCAACCTCTTTCATGCCAAGCCATCCACTCACTCGACGACTGATTCCTCTTTCAAGCATGGGAACCGTGTCTCTTCATCCAGCATTTGTCCCAGCTCCCCTCTCAAAGACCTTCACCCCGCCGTCCCCTCCCACGTAATACAACAGCTCTTTCTCCAAATTCACTCCATTCTCTCTCCCAGACTCCTCGTCGTCTCCATCCCAGGCCCCACCCCTCCCTACACATAGCACTCCACTGACATCTCTCGCAACCCCTGAATCCAAGAGCCTCAAGCCCACCACCCTCGTCGCTGTATGCCCCAATCCCACAACCAGATTCGCATGCTCGCGCTCCAGCGGCGTCGGTGTATGTGTCAGATGCACCAGTGGCGAGTCAGCGGGCAGTGATATTATTGATGAAGCTGCAAGAGTGCGGATGTGGAGGAGAGAAGAGAGGAATGCATGGACTGGGGTCAAGGTGGCGGAGAGGAGAATTGAGGGGTCGTCGAGGATGAGGAGCGTGCGTGAAGGAGGTGATGAAGGAGACGATGAAGAGGCCGAGGAGAGGGCGGACTGTATTGTCTGTTCGACGTGTGCAAGATCGGGGGATGTAAGAGTCGCTATATATTTCGGCTTCATCGAGGGCTCAGCAGACGACTGTGCCAGTGCGGATTGTGTCTTCCCGCGGATCGATAGTCCTCGTGCATTTTGCGTGACTGCGAGAGGAGCTCGTCCAGGGATTCCTGAAGGCGAAGATGAAGACACTGTCACACTTGCAGATGCTGGCACCACTCCGTCCTCCCGCAAGAACAATTCGCCCAACCCGTCCACAAACGCGAACCTCCCTTCGACCCCCAATTTCGTCAGATCCAATCCAACACTCCTCCTTGCCTCTGTCCTCCAGAAATCCCAATCTCTTAGAAAGCTCACCAATACGACCTTCACATCGCCATTACTTGCCAATCTGCTGCTCTCAGCCTCATCTCCATTCTTGCCTTTTGTGTCGAATGCGCCGAGTATGTAGCGGAGTATAAGCCAATTTGTGCTCGCACCAAGGACGCTAGTGAGGAGAGTGAGAGAGTCGGGTGGTGCGAGGGAGACATATGGGTGCAGCAATGGTGGAATGCGCGGTGGTGGCATTATGCTTTGAAAAGACACCCGGGGTTCTTTTTTTTTTTGGCGAAAGTCACAATCTGGAGCTTGTAGGATCTTTAGCGGGTGCACGTCATTTCTTAGGTTTTTGGGGTTGGGGGCGTGCCTGGCGGGGTCGTGGGGTGGTTGGATCAGTTGTATCAGGGGAAAACGCACAAGTACTAAGGCACCCTAGTTCTGACTACACATCTTTGGAGTTCGTTTTCCGTGGCGGTATGTATGTTCTGTATATATATATGATGTCTATCTATGGGTATCATGAAGCTTCAAACATCAAGAACGCCCTCAATCACGCGGCTCTCTGTGCCTCTATCAACAGCGACAAATCTCCCTGAACGTCCAACCCATCCAGCCCATTAAACCCATCCTCGACAACCCATCTCTGGCCTGGCTTATGCAAGACCTCACAAGCCTTGCCTACCAACAGCAACCCGGGCGGCCTACTCCCTTCCTCCTCGACCGCTGCACACACGTATTGCAACGTCGTCCTCACAACCCTTTGATCTGGGCAACTTGCCCGTTCCAACACCGCACATGGTGTTGTGCTGGGCCAGCTTTTGCCCTCACCAATGAGACTCTCCACCAGAGCACTCAAACGATGTAGCGCCATCAAGAACACCACAGTCCTCGATTCCACATATTCGGGGCTCTCCAGCATCGCGCCCTTCCTCCCGGTTCCCGTACAGATAAGCACCTGATCCGCCACGCCTCGATGCGTACACGGTATCCCAGCAAACAAAGGTGCACTCAATGCGCTCGTGATGCCCGGCAGCACAGTTGGCGTGAATCCATGCTCTCTGAAAAAATCGAATTCCTCCGCCCCTCGACCGTAAATATAGGGGTCCCCTTGTTTTAGTCTCACAACCCGCTTGCCGGCACGAAGGCCCTCAAGACCCATCCGTAGAAGCTCATCTTGGGCAGCGTCGGCGTTGCCGGGGAATTTACGCGCGATGTAGACTGTGGCCCGACGCGGGACAAGGTCAAGTACGGGCGATGGAACAAGTTTGTCAGCGAGGACAAGATCGGCGGAGAGGATTGCTTTATGTGTTGCGGTTGTGAGGAGATCTGGGTTACCGGGTCCAGAGCCCGCGAGCGCGATGCGACCGCCTTGAGTGCGCGTGTCGAGAGTGGCAGGCTTGAGACCAGAGGAGTCGCTAGACGTGTAGCTACGCAACACAGAGTCGACGTCTGCGTCTGTGATTGCAGCGAGACGGCGCAGCGGCCAGTACTCACAAATCTGCGCGAGCCATCTTATCCTTCTCATCTTCGCAGCCTCAGCATCTTCAGGCGTCACTAATTGATTGAAAGTAGCCGTCTGCCCCGAGTCTTCTTCATCGGCTTCGTGGTCCATGGCGAGCTCTGCAGCATGGTCTTCCTCCCATATTCTGCGACGCATGGTGCCGAGGCGCTCCACGGCCTGGCCGATGTGTGAAGGGAGGGCGGAGACGACCTCGCGGCGAATGCGGGCAGCGAGCTTGCAGCCCTTGCCGGAGGTTGTGACGCCAATTTGGAGAGCGCCGTCTGTGTGCGTGGAGAGAAGGGTGAAGGTACAGAGATTAGGGGCGTCGGCGACGTTTATGGGGATACGGAGGCGGCGGCAGAGGGTCGAGATGTGTGTGCCTTGAGTACGTCAATAGGTGATCGTGCAGTCTGAATATCCATCTTCTGTACTCACTGAGTGGGTTCTTCGACCCAAGAGTTACAAAGACTGCGTCCACGACACGGTCCGTCTCGTCCCTCCCTAGGCTAGTCAAGTCCTCATCGCGAAAGTCGCGCTTGATCCATTCGACGTCGCCTTCATCTACCCGCTTCGTTACACCATAATGCACAGTAGCGTGCTCGGATGCAATGAGCTTGGGGATCGCGCCGACCTCGAGCGAGCGCGTACACCTTGCGCCAGCCAGGGGATTTGAGCCGATGATCAAGTGGACATGTGAGGTGGAGTCCACAGCTGTGAGAAGCGCAGGAGACATCGAGGAAGTGTTCGCACTGGTGAGCAGAGCAGTGAGCGATGAGGGTTGCAATATCTGCGTCTGAAGAGACAGCTGATTGCTGCTTGTTCAGGATAGAGGGTCGGAAAGCGATGTACAAGGAGGCACATCCAGCACCACACAAGAGACCATGATGTCTGGACGTGATTGTTATATTATACTGCAATGAAGCCAAGAGTCTCTCGCGACGGAGAAATCGGCTCGTCGAAACGGGTCGTCGAATGAAAGCGCGCGCATTTGTCTGTTAGTGATGGTGCAATCTGCTCCCGATGCCGGCTTCTGGAAGTTTTCTCTGCCCCGATAACGATAAGATGCCGGGCTAAGCCTAAAAGAGTAGTCTGTCCTCTTTTTCTGTTCGTCCACCGCGGAGATGGAAGGCGTGTGTTGACGCTGCCGTGGAGATGCGCATCGATGTGAAGTGAATAGGCCAGAACAACAAAGAGGAAAGATGGTAGATCGTAATTGTCATTAGTTGTTGATATAATAAACACCAACCAGGTATCATGCAAATATTGAAGCCGTGACGAAAACCCAGATGTCCATGCCCCCCGCCATGCCCCGCCAATGCAGCCTGGATGATTGATAACTGGCCTGGGTATGAAATCGATGCATCGCCGAAACCTCAACCAACCCCTGACTAAGCTGATTTCTTTCTTTGGGGTAATTATGCCATCCCATCCACCCACCGGAATACACACTGTCAGATCATAGATGCATCCTCAACAGGCTCATCTCATCAATGCCCACACAACCCTGTGCCCTGTAACTGGGCCTCACTCATCAACACACTTGGCCGTCCCTGTCCCATACTCAGCGCTACATTGCCTGTCGCGTCGGCAACGTAGACATTGCAAGTCAGCACTTCCACCACATTCGCACCCGTCGTAAAACCCATCCCACTCGTCGTCAGCGTGTAACTCGCCACGCTACTGCCCTCATTACTCAGCACTGTCCTGACTGGATCTTTGCGCATTTGGATCACATTCGACGAATACGTCAGCACCCAGTTCTGGTACTGCGCGTATCCTGGATATCCTGACGCCGGAGTTGCTAGCATAGCTGAATTGCGGATCTGGTTGAGTAGCGCAATGTGCTTGTACAACTCCGCATTGGTGTTGTACTTTTGTAGCCAGATGGCCTCGCGACAACCGGGGTCGTCGCCGCCAGCGAGATGCGATTCCTGGCCCTGGTAGACGATGGGCACACCATCGCCCAGCATAGTGTATGCGATGGCGTTCTTTGCGAGTGCTAGGTCGCTGGTGCCGGCCGGGAAGCGCGCATTGTCGTGGTTCTCGATGAAGCTGAAGGCCATTGTTGTGTCTTTGCAACCGCCATCCTTGCACAGGCCTAGATTGTATACAATATCCGACATGTCAGTCTGCTGCTGGAACACGCGTGTTATAGAGTAGTACATTGGGTAGTCGGTTATGGCGTCTATGTACTGCATATATGGGTACGCATATGCGTAGTTTCCATCCGAAACCTCGCCAAAGCAAAGGATACCGGCCGAAGCGCAGAACGACGACCAGAAGCCCGTCTCGACATTCTTGACCGAGTCAATACGAAGACCGTCGATGGAGTAATCAGAGACAATCTTGGAGATCCACGCTCCGAACATGCTTCGTACGTTGCTGTCTTCTGTTTTCAAGTCAGGCATGAGGATTGTTTTGGGGTCTCCAAGCCAGCAGAGCTCTACTTGTGTTTGGTCCTGCCAGTTGCTGACGTTGCAGTAGGAGTGGTAATATGTGGCATCGTTGAAGGGATTCATGATGCTGTCATCTACCGTGTCTGCAGCTCCAGCCCATCCCATATGGTTAGTGACTATGTCCACCATGAGGTACATGCCTCTGCTGTGAAGAGCAGCGGATAAGTCTTTCAGATCCTGAGCAGTGCCAAAGTTGGAGTTGACGCTGTACAGGTCTGTCTGCCAGTAGCCATGGTAGCCACCGTCGATGTTCAGAGTGATTGGAGATATCCATATCTAAGATGCAACCTGGAATGAGCACAGTGTTGTGGTGATAGTGGTTGGGCATGGATGCGAACATACTGCGGTAAAGCCCATGCCATGGATGTAATCCAGTTTGTTGATTATGCCCCTCCAAGTCCCACCGCAATACTTGTTGCTTTTGACATTGCAAGCAGCGGTCGTACTTCCGTCAGTCCTCGCAAATCTGTATTCGCATTGTAAGCGCAGAGCCTAGGAAGATTGACAAGAGAAAAGAAGTTTGTTGCACAGGGAGATGTGGAGGACCAAGACAGCGGATGTCGGGCGGCTGAAACCCCGGTAGCGGGCAGCCAGGCCAGCAGAAGCAGCCCAGATCAGCCGGCTGTTGTGCCCACTTCAGAATGCAGTACACCGCCACCGCCTTATGTGATCCCAGTACATCCTGACTGTTACCCCACAGGATCGACGACTTATGTTCTATGGGGAAGTCCGGAGCTGACCTGGTCGTCGCGTGCTATGCAGACTCTGTACCCCCCGGACCGTGTTGCAGAAAGGGACATTGCATTGATGATGCAGAATAGATACACACACACCTGTCTGTAAACACTTGGTAGATGCTTCGTCCTCGCCAGTCCGCTACCTTGGCTGCCAGCGCCAGAGGCGAGAAGATTGTCCACAGGAGGAAAAGTTTCTTTAGAGCTGCCATCGTGCTGGTTTGTATACGTTCTGGCGATTCCTCGTCTCAAGACCTGTATCGGTACAGCGTCGCAGGGGGTGGTTGCACGGCTAAGATCGGTGGCTGAGGGCTTCCAACTTTCCACGGAGCTTCTGGAAGATCAAATCGAAGCATCCTGAAGGATTCATTCGGCTTTTATACAGAAGTCATTCAATCTCTGTAGCGTCCAACTGCCTGTCTGAGAGGAGATTCAGTCAGGCGCTACTCAGAGTGCATCTCACTCTCCGACCTTGCATCATATCAATCCTCCGATGCGCCGCCATGTGCAGAGCGTCCACCACGATGCCGCGACGACGGAGTGAATGCTCCCTTGGAAAGTCAGAATCAACAGACACGTCTCTACACACCAAAATGCACCCTCAGACGCGCACCTTGCCGGATCTGGACATTCCTTGACCAGGTTGGGTGGCGCATGACCGTCTCACCACACTGGCAGTTTACGATACGTCAGTAAAAGCCGCGTCGTTGTCCTATGGCAATGCTGGATATGGCTGTGCGACACCAGCTATTTCACTCTGGCTTTCCCCGCAAATGCTTTGCACTTCCCAATATGTCGTCCTTGTGATGCTTGGCGTCGCCTCAAATGCCATGCGTTCAAAATAGATCCTCCAATCACTGCTGGGCCACACTAGCAAGCCGCATAAAGCTTGCTCTTTCATGCTCTGTCTTGCATCATCTCCTTTTCTGTCGACCCAATAGCTGTTCTTTCTTTTAGCCGCTCATCCTCATCCTTCTTTACGGCCTGCCATGTCTGATTTCGCAGACTGAATGTCAGTTGTCATCTTGCATTAGCGCTCACTAAGACAATGGAAGAGTCGTTGGCTCCGCATCATGGAAGTGAATTTCGCGGGGTAAGTGCCGAAACAGATCTTTCTCCAGCCGTGAGTCAAGAACATCTGGTCAGAATGAGGCATAGCCGTAATAGCCGTCGCCCCTCTAGACTTATATATCCGTGTGATCGAAATTTCCAGGCTTCTTCTGTTGTACAGCACGAACTCTGTGCCGTCACATGTCCGTCTTTCTTTGGTTGATCTGATGCGCTCTTGACAGGACTCCCCGTAAATCTGTCAGGGGCAAGAGGAATCCGTTTTGAAAACACTCCCTTAAGCCGGACGCTCCGGCCGTTAAAGGCAGATACAAAATGCGATTTCGTCCATAGAAAGCACGAGCCACGAAGGTACTGTTAGGATCTTCCAGAGGCCTCAATATTCGCCAAGCTCTTGATGTTGTGACGAGTATCATAGCAGGGTCTATCACTGGGATACTAGTTCACGGGTCGCCACGAACGCCACAGCCGTAAGCTTGCGCGTTGCTATATTAGCCGTAGCCATCTCGTAGAGCTTGACTGCGGATGTTGCAGTCAAATTTTCATTGACGAGTGAGTCGGAGCTTCTGTGAGTCGTCAGCGCCGTCATCAAACACCTTTCAGCCCCTGTTGATGCGGAAAGGTGCGGAGAAGATGAGCACGAACCATGCTGTTTTGACACGAACGTGACATTATATCGTGGCTGCAAACCAGGGGGCGCTGGAGCATCCATCAATGAATATTGGTGATATCCCTTGTGGAGTGGAAATCCCTTCCGGATCGAAGCACCAGGAAAGAGCGAAGTTTAGAAGGAGGAGTTAGGTCATGAGCCTAATCAACTCCCATCCCTACTGACCACGGACGTGGAATAACGAGCCGAATCTTTCACGATTTGGTGTGAAGTCTTGATGCTGTGATGATGCTTGTAACACAAGTTATTAGTGGTGGCAAAATGTTACATGAACATGAGCTATGCGGTGTGTCTCACAAAGAATGGTACTCATGGCCGTTGAAGATTCAGGCTGCGAGGAAGGAGGTCACATTCGTAACGTCGCTGACATCTTTGCCAATGGCAATAAATGTCTCCACATCTGCTCAGTCGTGCGATCGTTGGGTGGCTACTAAAGTAAGTAAGTGTTAGGCGGATTTCAGCTACTGCTTTTCGTCCAGTGTTGGTTATCACAAAGGAAAAAACGAATGTGATAGCGACTACAGAGTTTCACTAGTCTTCTTAATAAAGCCTTCTGCTCCAGAAGTAGTCTATTTTACATCTTTCGTTTCGTGAGTGGTACGTACAACTCTTATGCCATGTCCGTCGTAATTCAAATAACCGCCAGCTCCCAGCACAGGCAGTGATGCACATTGATGAACCCCACACTTATGCACCAACCCCTAGATACTCCCAAGATAATCAAAACAACGCCAACACTGATGAAATCCGTCTAGAACGGTTTCGGCCATTCCTGGCCCTCTATAGAATCATTACATTTCGAGTCGAAGCTCCCGCGTTCCTTCGAGGCTGACGGATTCTTCCTCGCATCGATTTCGGACAGTTCTTGGATATCTCCTAATTCCAGAGGCTCGGTACGCACCTCAACAGTGGTCGATGTCTTCACGCCCCTGAGGTAGTGGATATCGCTGACTAGATGGTCTGTGCTGTTGTGTCGGCTAAGCCCCCGGCCTTTGTTCCTACCCTTGCCTCCTCCAGCAGCTACAATTATTGTGGTCGTTCCGAAACGTGATTCTATGACGCCAGGTATCTGAAATGTTTCCAGACCAATCTTATCTTCGGGCGGCTCATCTCCGAAGATCATGATCTTCCTTGTCAAGGTGTAGAGCAGGACATCCATCCAGCCATTGCTCGTGATCATACTACCAGCGAAACAAAGGACTTCGACCGAGGGTGACATGCGGGTGCTCATGCTCGCCATACGTGCTGATGCAAGAGGGACGGTACATATTACGTATACGAGCGGGTAGACGACCATGAGTTTGGCAGCTTGCTTTGCTTTCTTTGCTTCATCTACCGAGAACGAACTGGACCGTATGCGTTGGTTTAACATAAAGTAAATGCTGGCGTAGATGAAGACGGTGCCAAACTCTGCGATGAAGATAAAGAAGTAATGGGTCCACAGGCGGAGGTCACCGTAAGAGCTGTTGATCCAACACTTTTGATAGTTAGCAATGTGAGACGGAGATGCGGTGGCCAAAAGTCACATACCCAAGCCCCAGCACGAACATATATGTCATGTGGATACATGATTACTGGAATCACAGATGCCACATAGACAAAGACCCAGCAGATCAGGACCGTTGATAAGAAGTATGGCATCGGGAGGCGATAATTCAGGATGACTGTAGAGAATGTGTGAAGGCCAATGGCGAGGCAGAACACACCACTTGATAGGTCACCTGTTGAGATGAACCATCCCTGGGCCCAACATGAGTTCGAGGTCACGTTGATAGCGTTACCGGCGAGCCATTCTGCATTCTGCATCTTGTTAGCTCACACGACCAGCGACGACGTGGGATATTTGCGGCAATTACTCACCAGAAGGAACGCCAGCGATTGTTGAACATCCGCGAGGATTAAGTTGAAGATGAGAATAGCGAACTGATTGGATCCTTTTCCGGCTCTCATCCAACTGTCTCGAGGTTAGCACAGAGCCTAGGTTAATCTGTGTTGGGAGACTTACGAAATCAATCTATAAGAGAGAAGAACCAACAAGCCGAACGATGAAGCGAATGACAAGAATCCAAAGAAGGTAACTGCTATTAAACCTTTAAAATGACCATCCGGCAGTGGAGAGAGAGAGGTTTGGTCTGGTTTCAAAAGCGACACATCCAACATGATGGAGACCTAGGAGCAGTGGTGCTTGGCAAGTTTACGTAGGTAACGAAGGAAATACAGTGTAAAAGATAGATGTCAGCTGGATGAGCTGGGACTAGAAAGAGACGTCCACCATGCTACGTGACTCTTGCTGTGTTGTTGTGCTGCGTTACTGTCCTACGAAAGTGAACAGTGGCGAGCAATGGAATATGAACAATGATAGCGGCGAGGTTCACTAATAGTAGGTGTAAAGCTCAGGTGTGTTTAAGGTTGTATGTGTTGCGTGTAGTTGCCAGATGGCGGCTCTATGTAATACTATGTAATTGTGCGTACTCACACCACCCGCCCACATGGCCACGCCCGCTTCTCTGCATGCGGTCTGTATCCCGGACGTTTGGAGTGCAAGGTTCAGTCTTGGCCCTTGGGTCCACCTTGCTGTGTGCAAGGAATCTTCTACCTCGATACCCACCAGGCACTTGTTGACCAACACTCTCCACTCGGTCAGTCCCAAAGTGGATGCGCTAGAAGAGACCGGGTTCGGTGCGTGCACGCCATCTGACGCTATCTGACGCTTTTGGCTTCTCCCGCCTTACGCATACAAACATATATATAAATAGTTATGGTTATACCCACGAGTACCATACGTGACTCTGCACCCACGTACCAGGAGTATTCATGGCCAGAGCTCTTGGCCTGCTGCCCATAAATGCCCGACCATGATAATGCATCTGGATCTAATGCATCATTGCTATGGGCTACATCTTCCCCCTTAGCCTTCGGAAATGAAGATCGTGTGAACCTCGACCGTGGAGGATAGGAAAGCGATGAACTGCGATGAACATATATTCAACGTGGTTCCGAGTGGAAGGCTGTTCTCGCCCCCAATGCAACAACATGTCGATCTGTCTCGTTGCGAAACTCCCGCGGCGGGCCGGAGAAAACAGGAACCGCTTCAAAGAAGTAGCCGTAGCCTTGCCTGCATATTACTGTGAGCATGGTACTATCCATGTACACAGTAGAGCAGCAGTGTTGTGGTAACGCGATGATATAGTACATAGTGTTTTATAACATTGCTACTGCTGAAGAGTACATTGGGTTCGAGAATTGGCTAAATGGTTCACACGCACAGTAGGTCCTGGCGCATAATTCACACACGACTTAAGTGCATCAATTGATACAATATAGCCTCTTTGTGCCTTGCATGTTTGACCAGGGAGCTGGAGCCTGAGGGAGGGTACTGGCGTGCCGAGAATTATCCGACGCTCACTTCATCCTGTCCGTATGTGATATAGATGCTGTTGGTGAGAGAATGAAATTGGTGGGATCAATGCTGGGCAGCCTGGGCTCGTATCCATCAATCCATGATCCCCGTGCGGGTAGCAAAATCAGAGTGGTAATATACGCCAGGAGGTGTTCGGATAAGGCCTCGTGCTGACGGACGGATGGGCTGGTCGGATGTCGAGTTCAGGGGTGATCGCATGATGTCCCAAACGCCGATGTGCCTAGAGCTGTGCAGCGACACCTGATCCGAGCGCGATCCATTCTCCAAGCGTGTATCATGGATGGGATGATATTATCATGGACTGATGTCGTCGACTGACATTTGGGATGCCGACCCGCAGTCCGCCCCTCAGACCTGTGGGACCTTTCGAGCCCCCATGTGTAAATAGTGGTGGAAGTGCCGAGTCTCCAGACGCTTTCGTCGACCAAACCTGGTATCAGTTTGCGCTCCCACTAACAACAGAACACCTTGACATATGGTAATGTACATAGTACTTACTACTGATTAATTACTACCGGCCACGGCGACTAGGCAGCACTATCGTGTGCATACTATTCCATTCCCCCTTTGACCCTTAGTACTGTGTACGTAGCGTTGTCCTTCAGACGCCGCGGCTCGAGGTCCATGCAGGTCAGGGACCCCAGCGTCTTGACTCGCCGTCTTGACTAATTATGGTTTGCTGCGATTCGACCATCTTGCTTTGCGAATTCGTGTACAGTATTTCATCTTCGGTTTTTGGACCGTCTTGTAATTGTCATCGTCGAGTCGTGGCCCTTGTCACATCTGTACCGTGGGCTTGGCTGTGGTTTCGAGATCTGCAGCGTCGCTTAGATCCTTATCCTAGCAAGCTGTGCGTGCTCGTGCTCAGCCATCAGCCTTCAGAGTTCAGCCCTTAGGGACGACAGGGCAGACAAGGGCACTCGACGCATGGATCGCGACATGAGTGGTGAGAAGGACAAACGCAGTATGTGGTAGCATCGCATTTGAATACACGAAACGTAGTTGTAAGACAAGGAGCTTCCTTTCATTTCGAGAACAACGCTAGTCGAGCTGGCTTTGGCTTGACACCACGTGGAGCTGTAACGTGTGGAAGTGGCAGCTTAATCGGAATCCCACGATCTCCATCATCCGGGTAATGGGTACAAAGCCAGTCATCTTTGAAGTAATCATTCGCTTTCCCTAGAGCGTATCTCATCTGCTTGACTCAAGTTACGAGAGCAGGATCCGTATTTCTTCCTTCTATCGGTAGAGCCTTGTTGCTCGCATGAGACTGACCCTCTATCATTGGCTCGACTCGTGGAAATTTAAGCTTTCGGGTGGGTGCTTTAACTACTTCTACCACGAGCAGCCTCAGGACACGAGCTCGAGTGGTCGGAACTATACTAACTGTGCAAGCCGGCATGTCACGGCCTATTAAGGAGATTGTAATGAAAGATCTAAGCGGAGATGAGAGGAGCACTCGCCCTTTGTACAATTATCAAGCCTCCTCGCGTCTCAATGGACCTCGTCGGCCCAAAGTCTTTCATAGGCCGAGTCATAAAAATATCCAATGCCCAGGAAATGCAGGAGTACCATAGCGCTCCAGTATGCGCCATACAATGCGAAAAATATCGTACAGTTTACCGTTCATGCATAAGAAGATGGAAACGTCCAGACCGGTTCAACCTTCACACTTTCGAGGTTGAGCCGAGAAGTTTCAAAACAGATTCGTAGGTGCCGAACATGATCGCAGCACTGGGTACAACGCGTAGCATGTGAGGCACGAGACCACCATATAGACTTGCCATGCCCTCCTCCTTGAAGATGAGTTTAAAGCATTGTACAAGTCCGGTGTACTTAATTTGGCCATTCTCCGTTGGGGCAAGTCGTAATCGCGTGCGGACGACCTCGTGCGGGTAAGTGACAAGCGCGGCCACAAACTTCGCTCCGCCCGCAACGAAGAGTTGACCAGTCCAAGATACTGTGTCATCCCACGCAGTCCTTGCTTTTCCGGACCTCTCTTGTCGCTCTTGTCGCTCTTCCAGGTATAACTTGCCCTGTTCATACAGAACCCACTGCATCGTACTTTCCGCGACGCCCAAGTAACTTGCCGTAAGGCCGCGGTACAACCCCTTGATGCCTTCTGTGCGGACTGTTTGTAGCGTACAGTCCAATGCATTCTGATATTGCCGTCCACCAGTTACGCGAGCATTGGCTTTGTCGAGTTGTAGTCTCGTCTTCACTAGCCATATAGGATTTGTAGCAGTCCCAGTTGCAAGTCCTGCAGAGGCGGCAGAGCATACATGTACCCAGGCCGTCTCTTTCCCTCCATTGAAATGGGCGCTGATGAGATTTTTACTATTGCCGTAAACATAGAAGTTGATTGCGCGAGCAGGTACGACTCCTATAAGATTCGGACCAAGACCTTTGAACAGCGCTCTCCACCCTTCTGCACGTGGAACCGCGAATAGTATCTGAAATGTTTCGCGGACGTGGAGGAGTGAACTGCGCGTGAAAGACATCGTCTCAATCGGGGGTAAGCCTCGCGCGTGTCTAGAAGCAACAAGTTGCTGTTGATAATAGGTAGACTGCAGCCGAGTCTTCAATACGTCTAACGGTGCTGTCAGTGTCGCTGCCGCCATTCCGCCTGCGCTGCAAAGACTTTAGCTATGATACTTGCGCGGTATATTGCCTGATGCTTACGCTCCAGCGACGAGATGAGCCCATGATTTGGCAAAGGGTGAAGGTTTTGCTCCCAACCTTGAACCATCGCTTGATACTGGATAGACGGCATCTCCGACTTCTCTTGATTGCGGCAAAGCAGCGTGCTCTACCGCAGTGCGCGCATGTTGCGCTTCCGGATTGGGTGGCGCGTCGAAAATCATATAAGTGGCGGAGATGAAGAGTCTGGGGAAGATGAAAAATAATGCGTAAAGACTTTTCTATAAGCTGGTCGATAATCTTGCGATAGAGACGGGTGTTTGGAAGAGACCTTGCACAATAGTTCGAAAGGGCACCGAAGCTAGAATTTTAAGTGGGTCTAGCTACGGGATCGTGAGATCACCGCCGCCATTCCCGTCAGAGACGTGCTGTGTAGCTATCCACCACGGTACCTAATACTTTGATGTTTGGAATCGTTGACCGCACCCCGAAAAAACTCAGCTCGATATCATTATGATCCCCACGTATGCTTGTCTTGCACGTGCTGGGTTCTGGAAGAGAACACTCGAAGAGGCTGCTACGTTTACGCGACAAGGTAAGTGCTCTTCATCGTGATGAGGACACACTTCTGACATGGGTTCACCAGCTGTGACGTTTGAAAATGCCCGTGAACCGTCGGGGCCCCTCCATTTGATAAATTTCGATTCGCCCGACAAGATCGAAGAATGCAAAGTCATGGGCGACTTTCATCTCAGTGGGTTCTCAACAGCAGACCTCGATTACCATGCTGTGGCCCCTGGTCAGCCTTCACATGCTCGATTTCATGGCAACATATCTCTTGAACTACCACCAAATAGGCCAGAGATACAGAGGTCTGGTTTTGCCGGCTGGAGAACACGCGACCAGCAGCGAACTCTGTTTGGTAGACCTACCTGGAATACCGATCGATACCGATATCTAGCTGTACTTTTCAAGTCAGACGCACGTAAATACTACATAAACCTACAAACCAAATCTATCGTTCCTACAGATATACATCAGCATCGTCTGTACGCTAAAAAGCCGGGTGAATGGGAGACGGCATGGATAAATTGGGATGATTTTGTGAGAACAAATCATGGATTGGCTGTCGAGCCCCAAACAGAAATGAACCGGCAGTATGTTAAAAGTATTGGTATCAGTATCATCGATCGTGTACCTGGCACATATGATTTGAGCATAGCGAAGATGTGGGCCACAAATGAGGACCCAAGACCAGTGGAAGAGGACTATCAAGGCACGGAACAGCCTGTTGAGCAACGATAATGCATTACGGCAGAAATCGTCTTCTTGGATGGGCGCACTTGGGTAAAACATACATACTGGTGTTAGGCGGTCAAAAATGGATTAGCGATGCTGCATGCATATAAATGTATATCTACGCATAAGTATGGTGTCACATAATAATCGTGATACTTGCCAAGGCCCTGATTACTCTGCCTCTGCTCCAAGGGATGTAATTAACGTCCACGGGTAGATTGAAACATTCGGTCTGTTCCATCACGTCAGCACGTGATACCGCGTTTTCACACCTCAGCGTTTGCACCAGAGTGGCCACACTTTCCCTTGCCAAGTTACAACTCTAGCACTTCGACGGTGATCACATATAAAGCTGGGATTTTATGACTGGATTCAGATAGAAGAATTCGATTCGAGTCCCGTATCAAAGTCCTTTACTACGGTGTGTTTTGCGGGGATGCTGGTGCACACTTCAATTACTGACCTGACGTCAAGAATGGAAGCCTGACTTGCTCTCGCTAGCGGCTTACAGACCAATTAGAGAATTCTGTGCTCAGTAACTAATACAGAAAAGCGATATGCTGTTAAACCGATAGACGCGACATGTCTCGTTACTTGACGCCACCCAAGATAGGCCTCCTGGCTCTGGTGCGTCTGTACTGCGAGGGCGCAATTTCAAGCTCTGGAGCGATCTCCATTCTATCATTCATTGTGTCTCATCTACTACCTCCACTTGCAGAAGGTTCAGATGATGAACATTCAACGAGAAGCTTCACTTTACCTGTCAGCGAGTTCGACAAGGCTACTAGCACCCTTTCATCCATACATCCTGGTCAATCAGTCTTCGATCTGCTGATCCATAGATTATGGTCCATCGACTCGTTCCACGCTCTTCATGAATTCTTCTCAGGCCTAACTGACCTGCTTAATCATAGCAAAGAACGAGACAATGAATCGAGCTTTTCCTCGCCACCAAGTGCAACAGTCCTTTCTCGCACATCGCCATTGGGTGCATTTGTCCGGAGAGCTCAGCTGGAGTTCACAAGGCTTCAGTTTAACGATGCTCAAAAGCTCTGGATAGCTTTTTTGAAGTACAAGAGCCCTACTGCTGCCGCATGGAAGAGGCGGAGTTCAGCCGCGTCTCGCATAACCTTCGACGTTAACATTGATGAGCTTGGTATCGGCTCCGATAGTGACCTTTTCCAGGTGGCGTATGGAACCTTACACCAGCCTATCCATAGTGAGGAGCTTAGTAGTACGGATGACATCGAACGTTTACTCGCGTTCCAAGCGGACAAACTTCAACGTAAGTGTAGAAGATCACAATACTTCTATGTCACTCACAGTCATGCAGGGCTCGGTATACGGATGCCACATGATATGAAAGAGAACCTGCGTGGTATGGTCGGTCCTGCAAGCACAGTGCCGAGTTTGTCCCATTTTGTCAGGTAAAGACTTCAAAATTGAGTGAAGTGTGACGTACGCTCAATTCCAGAACAGTTTCTTTGACGCCTGGAGAGCTGGAAACTATACATCAGCATTTGACAATCTTCATCGCTACTTTGATTATACGATGCAAGCAAGGGAGAAGACATTTTACCAATACGCCCTGTTGCACATGGCAATCCTACAGACAGACTTCGGATGCCTGAGCGAAGCCATATCCGCCATCAATGAAACAATTGCAACGGCTCGAGAGAACCAAGATATGAGCTGTCTCAACTTCTCCTTGGGTTGGCTCAACCATTTGAACCAAGCATTTCCCCATCAGATGCGAGGCATCAGGGATCAGGGTTTGAATGGCTCTGAGAGGGATGCTCTCAATTTTCTGAAGTTGAAAGCCAAAGAGAGCAAGATGTTCTCTTTGTTAAGTTCAGCACTCCTCAGTGAGGCTAGACTCGACTTGTCATACGTAAGCCGCTGGTGTAGGATCGTGATCGAAGACGATACTTATCAAATATAGGGCGAAAGAAGTATTACCAAGGCTTTCCAACATATATATCAAGCCTCGCACATCAACATTAGAGAGAATTTATCTGGAGGATTTGGCTCTCAGCTACTCATGCATTCCGCGGTCTTTGGGCGACTCGGTAGGTTCATCCTCGTTGGTGCATAAAATTGTGCTGATCACAATACAGGCGTGGAACATCTAGCGAGTGCCTATTGCGACATCATCCTCAAATGCTACCGACCCAATGTTCCAACAGAAGAGATGCTGCGTGCCATTTGCCGCATGTCGTTTACTGTAAGCATGCGAGCCTCAAACAATGTCGGAAGCTTATACGTGACAGGCAGCCCGCTCCGGACGATACGAACATGCAATTCAAATGCTCGAGAGTGTCAGGCCAGGTGTACACCGGACTTTGAAGTTCAGTCAGACCATCACGGGCTATCTCGGCCTTGTGAAGCTATTGCAGGCTATGAGGAGGTGAATCTCAATAGTATACACGCAGTAATGCTGCTAACACTACGCAGATCCAACCGTACGGCTGCCGAGCATATACTTCAACAACTAGCTACTGGATTCTCATTCAATCCGGATCTTCGCACACTGATACTTCAGCTTTCGATCATGTTCCACATCCGATTGGGATCACTCTCGAAAGCTTTCGACCTTATCGAGGAACTTGCGAATGAGTTGAAAGAGGAGACTGCTGATATCTCTCAGCGACTTTACCTACTCGTTATGAAGGCACGTCTATACGCCAAGGCTGGAGAGCCGCAGAAAGGCTTCAGCGTGGCATTGAGGGCTGCCAGCACTGCCCACCGCTTCCAAGCCTTCCCCATCTTCTGGGAAGCTATCGGATTCATCGCAAACATTCTCAGCCACTTGAATGAGTTTGATGCTGCTCGTCGTATGCTGGATGCAGTCATCCCACAAGTAAGTCGTAGCTCTGTTTGAGCGAGCAAAATGCGTGTACTTATATGAAGTAGTGTCTCGAGAATGGAGACACTGAGCTGTGTGCCTTGCTCTATTCTTTCCAAGCGGACGCCTACATGGGTTTGGCCGGGCGAGCCGAAGAGGCTGGACGGCGAAGGACCGCTTGTGTGAGTAAGGCTGAGGTCTATATCGACAGGGCGAGACAACGTATGGCTTTTATACCTCTTCAAGGAGTACCACCTGACTTGTCATAGACTATAAGCGTATTGAAGACTGGCGCGGTGAATGCGAAATGCTCAAGAAGAGGGCGATCATCGCAAGGGTTCGGGGGGACGACAATTTGGCGAATGATTGGGCTGCTCAGTGCCTTTCGGTACACAACGCAGCTCAAGAAAAGATGGAAAATATCGTCGACTAGGTCTCTGAATCAGTACCTTTGGAGGGTCACTAGGCTGGACCATTACAGGCGTCAAGTCAGAGCCATTTATATCATGCGCGACGAGGCACCTGCAAGTTACCATCGACTTATGTGTATCCGTGTAGGGTTATGATGATAAACAGTTTGCATTCGTCACTCTCCGCAATTGACGGTTAAACAAAAGGAATCTACTATCTGACATCGTCCTTTCTGTACAGTGTGCAATTCGCTCTCTTCTGATAATCCTTGTGATTGTTGGACAAATGATTTATTCGTCCTTTTTGTGGTAGTTGACCTTGTCGTTCCAGAAAAGTGTCTGCGAGAAAAAGCGTCAGCGGCGGAAAAGATTGCATGGCAGCGTGGCCGTGTCTTTGCTCACCTTGTCACCATTACCCCAGAAGAAGTTTTTAGTCCGAATGTTTTGGTATGCGTATTCAGTCCTCTCCTCTAGAGGGGGCAGGGTGTCCCAATGCGCCCAATGGGCCTTCCATCGGACCCAGGCGTTGGCAACTCCGAGCGCGATGAGAGGAAGAGCAACGTAGATAGAAAGCTTTCGCCAGAGTTCTGCGTGCAAATGTTAGCCATAGTCCTTCCAGTAACCGATTCTCAAGATTCCGGGGAGTTGATTGCCATACCGGTGGTTTGGGCAGCATGCTGCTTGACAGCCCAGCGCTCGCGATTGAATGCATTGTCGGCTGCGCCTTGAAACGGGCTGGGTCCAGAGGAGTAGGGACGATGAGCAGCGAAGCGTTGAGCGCGAAGCAGCTGTGCCGAGCGAGTGGTGAAACGTTGAGACATCATCTTCGGGCGTCGGTGGAGTGGAGAGTTGCAACGGAAATGGGAGCACGTCGAAGTTGGATTGACGTCGAAGTACCTAGGTAGGTGAGGTTCCTCTAGTGCTTGGCGTGCGCTTTGCCGAATTAGACTGTCACGTGTTGCTGCTTTTAGCGCGTTCCTACTGTGACGTCTGCCTTTGAGGCGTAAGTGTGCCTTCACCCAACAACATACCGGACGACGCGCCGGAAGGAGGCCCTACGGATATGAGCTTCTAAGCTCAAGTTGTACGTCTCTAAATATCCGCCGCTGCGCTATATATCGACTTGATGGATCGCAATGCCTTTGCGCATTACCACATGGAACGTGAACGGAATTCGTAATCCATTCGGGTACCAACCATGGAAGGAAGCCAAATCCCTCGGTGGTATGTTCGATATCCTGGAAGCTGACATTGTGATCATGCAAGAACTCAAAATACAGCGGAAAGATCTTCAGGATCACCATGTGCTAGTTGATGGATGGGATGCGTACTTCAGCCTTCCAAAGGACAAGAAAGGTGCGCAGCAGAATATCATGGTGGTCATCATACTGGAGGTTGACTGACTTGATCTAGGATACTCTGGTGTTGGAATTTACACTAGAAAATGCAAATGCAACCCAATTCGCGCCGAGGAAGGTCTTCTTGGCGTTCTCTGTCCGCCAAACTCTGATGAACCTTACTGTGAGATGAATCCCGAAGATTGTATCGGCGGCTATCCAACGCAGGCTCAGCTAGAAGATCTGGGCGTTGATGTGGACGCGAAGTACCTTGACTCTGAAGGCCGATGCGTGGTTGTGGAGTTTCCGGCTTTCGTGCTTTTTGGAATTTATAGCCCAGCCAACAGCAATGGCCAACGTGACGATTTTCGCTATGGGTTCATGTGTGCAATGGATCTGAGAATCAGGAACCTTGTGAAGATGGGCAAGCGTGTGGTCGTTACAGGCGATCTGAACGTCTCACGGGAGCCAAAGGATACAGCGGCGTGCATGGAAGACATAACAAAGGGAGGCATAAGTCTCGACGAGTACATATCCTCGCCAAATCGGCGCGTTTTCAATCAGTTGTTGGAAGGGGGGCCAGTGTTACAGCCTCGAGATCCTGGGCGTGATTCGCCTGTTCTATGGGACATTTGCAGAGGCTTTCATCCAGAACGCGAGGGAATGTACACACATTGGGAAGTTAAAGTCAATGCGAGGCCTGGAAACTTCGGAAGCCGAATCGATTATGTTCTTTGCAGTCTAGACATGAAGGACTGGTTCGAGGCGTCCGATATACAGGCTGGGCTCCATGTAGGCATCCCCTCGTACTGGCTCAACTCTCACTAACACTTCAGGGCTCCGATCACTGTCCTGTGTATGCAGTTATCAAGGATAACATCGACTTGAACGGAAAGCCTACTGAAACACTAGATGTCATGAGCCTTGAAGGGGTTTTCAGAAACAGTATCAGACAACGAGAACTGAACACGAAAGAAATGCCAGAGTTCTGCGCACGTCGTATGCCTGAATTCTACAATCGTCGCAATATAAAGGACATGTTCACCAAAAGACCGTCCTTAAGCACCCAGAAGTCAGCAGTACTGACAATCGATGACACTGTTGCTCAGTCTTCCCGCGAAAGCGCCGTTGACTGTACAGCGCAAACATCAAATGGCAAAGGGGCCGGTAAAGCCATCCACGGCATCAAGCGCGCTCGACCGGAATCCACACAGAGCAAGACCATCAAGCGTATAAAGTCCACAAGCCTACCGAAAGGTCCAGCGCGCCCTAGCGGCCAAATGTCTATGCGGAACTTCTTCCAAAATGGCCCTCTATCTCCATCCAAGCCCAGTCCCTCTAGAACACCAGCATCAGACACCACAACTCCGCCCACTTCCACACAAGCTTCGAATGATACAGAGATAATTGGACCCGTCGCTTCCTTTTCTCCTTCAACCCCCTCTACAAAATCCATACATCGCACTTGCCGCACACCCTCCCCGACGCAAGCAAGATCGAGGACTCCCACATCAACAGCAAAGACTCCACAGTCATCGTATGAACCTCCTTTAGAATCTGGAAGCCCTCACGACGCAAAACTGTCATGGGTCAAGCTATTTAGCAAGAAACCTCCACCCAGATGTGAGGGACATGAGGAGCCCTGCATAAGCCTCAAGACGGGCAAGAAAGGTGCAAATCAAGGTCGAGAGTTCTGGATATGCGCAAGACCACTAGGACCTAAGGGTGAGAAGGAAAGAGGTAGCGATTGGCGTTGTCGCACATTCATATGGTCCAGTGACTGGAACAGCGCAAGGGCGTGAAGAACATCGAACAAAGATATTCGACACGCCTGTTCCTCTGGCCGTCCTCAAAAGTACCTTCTTAGTAAGCTTCGTTGTTCTTCAAGAGTCATTTCTTGGTATATCAACACATCGTATAGCCGTGAGAACGAAGGGTGTGGGCACGCGTGGGCTTGACGAGACAAGCCACTCTCATATTATGCGGTACATGCCATAGCGAATCATTGGATAGTAGAATCTTGCATATATATGCAGCAAGGAATATGTTTTATTGCTGGACGAGGGTAGGTCAGCATCTTACGACCAGTCACGAAGCGAATTTCTAATTATATTTCCCTCGACGTTCAAATACCTCAAAGTTTCCTATCACCTGTAGTTTCAATTCTCCTTGTAGCCACAATTCTCCTCGTAGTCACAATTCTCCTCGTAGTCCGAATTTTCCTTGTAGTCGCAATTCTCCTCATGGGCCCAACTTTCCTTGTGGTCCCAACTCTCCTTGTGGTCATGCTCTTATTACGGTCTCAGCTCTCTTTGTAGTCTCAACTCTCCTTGTAGTCTCAACTCTCCATGTAGTCTCAACTCTCCTTGTAGTCTCAACTCTCCTTGTAGTCTCAACTCCGGTGTATGAACAAAGTCGTTTGAGTTTGTGTACTGTGACTCTTCTCGTAACTCTACGCAAGGTATCTATTTGATTATGTCATGTTTGACAAGACAGCTGAATGATTCCTTTAAAGTCTAGTCCATTGACTTATCGACTGACTGATGCACGCCATCATGTAGTACCCGCGGCCCATCGACTGAAGCTTCCACACCACCATGCCAAGACTCACGATAACCCCTTAATATCCTTACATCCCTGAAGAAAGCATATACGAGTAGGTTTGCGATGCGCCTTAGAGATGGGAATAAGTGTAGCGCAAAAAGCGTCAAGGGTGAACCTGAGGTTTTGCAAATGTTTGATAGCGACGTTTGGTTCGCACGCCAAATGCACCGCGCACACTATGGCAGAATCTGACAAAATCTGCTACTACTGTTTGGCCACATGTTGATGCCGTCAGTGTGTCTGGTACATCAGAGCGTCATCCCCAGGTTCGCTGCCTCACCTTGCTGCCGCACCGCCACTCTGTCCCTGGCCGCCACGTCCACAAGCTCAGGCCCTCAGGCCATCACAAGACCGTCATAGCTACGAGCCTCACTCTTTGGGCTCACCGATGCCATTACGTATTCCCAGCCTCACGAATTAAGCACTGTCGCACCGATCTGCCGATCTTCAGGACGCTGCTGCCTGTCCCGTCCAGCCCCCCTTATGTCGGGTGTCACAAGGTGGAGCTCGAGCAGTCCCCGAACGTAGGAGTCATCTGGGTGGCTGGGAGACGGGAGATTGCGTTTCAGGCCATTTTGAAGCAATCGCCGAAGCCGGCATTGGTGCTAGCGCCGTGCAAAAATTTTCTGAAAGGCTGCCGCCCCCCCTCGTAGTGAGCGCGAGAAAAATCTGGGCAGCGAGGGCTCCCACTTTTTGGAGGGATGTGGGCGCCTTACTGCCTTGGCCTGCGAAGGCGAAGCTGAAGGTCTCCCAGCTATGAAGACAATCACATTGGCCAAGATGCTCGCGATGCTCGTGATGGCATTGCGAGCACATATCGTAATAGCACTCGGTCAAGATCCAGTCGTCACATAGCAAGCAAAAGACGAGCACCACAAGCAAAGCATCATGAGACCAGTGTTTTGTATTTGATGTTGATTTCATTGTTTTACTATGGCACTGAGCCAGATTTTCTACGGAATTGCTATCTAAACGCTCCATCCATCCATCCATTGCCAACTTTTCTCTACAGGAAGACCGAGTCCAAAGCCTCTGGCAAAGCTCATGCAAGCGTGACCAAGCAACACAGCCAGCCAGTCCAGCCAAGAAGAAGGAAGACCATGATGAGGGAGTTGACCAAACAATAAAGCAAACGCATGCATACCATTCCTTTCAATGTCTCGCCGTCGCTATGCCAAAGACTGCCGTCCGCTCCTATGCATCCGTGAAGAAGAAAGAAACTAAACCTGCCCACCAAGTCTTTTGCAATGAATGATGCTCTTTTCGCCGCTAGAGTCATTGCTAAACATGCTTCGAGTGACAGGACAAATTGTAAAATGTGATGGGATATGAGTATGGGAAAACAAGTGTAAGCGACTGCCGAAAAGGTCGAGTCGAGGGTGCAGTGGTGATGTGAAAACAATGGAACATTCGAAGTAATGAGCCGATAGTCCGAAATGGGGTGTGATCTTGTACCTGCACCACACGCTTGAGAAGAAAGTCATAGTCGTGAATCTTCGTGTCCGCAAAACTTTGTCTCAGTGCCAGCACGCTAGGCTACGTCACCCATTTACCTTTAGGCACGGCCACGTGCCGGACTTGAATAGGCTGATCACAACCGTTCCATGAACTTATCGTATAGCACATCGTCCAACCGCAACACAGAGTGGAAGTCAAACATCACGTTATGGCACTCAACAGACTGACTGGAGGCATTGAAGGTAGAATCATAATGATGCACGTTCCATGTTTCTGCTAACCTTTCCTAGGCCAGAGGCATTACTCTTTCAACATGTTGAGCAAGTTGAAACAAGACTTTGCCAATCTTCCCTATCAGACTTTCCGAGATTATTATGAGAACCTTGAGGATTATGCGAAGCTCGCAGCAAAGGTCAATCGAAGGGTGAAACGGCTTATGATACAGTGTGAAAGTCTCTACCAGAAGCCTCAAATCTTCCCACCAACCGAATCACGCGATACGTTCTTTGAGAATCTGGCACCCTTCCTTGAAAAAGCTGGTGTGATCCTTGAGGTGATAGAAAAGCTGGCACCGCTTGCGCAAGAACATCGAGAGCTGATAAAGCGAGGTCACACTGCTTACATGAGACGGACTCGACCAACATTCGTTTGGGGTATCAAGCCCTGGAGTCAATTCCTACGACCTGGTGCACCTGGCGCATCTTTCGCTTTCGCATCCAATCTTCCCCAACAGCAATTCAGCTTGCAGGTTCTGCCGCGCGGGGGCATTTGTATCTGGTCGACATGGCTCGCTGATGCGGAATCGGAGCTGGAGAAGGAGGAGCTCAATCGTACGGGCTATCTGTCAGATCACGAGGACTTGTGGCCTGATGAATATTACTGTACGCAAGGATATGACGGACTCTACCGCAAACTTTCAAGGGAGGCCGATCAAGAGGAGTCTCGTATAAAGCACGTTGGGTACGACGACGAAGAGCCTTACTACTTCGGCCCCAGATCTCTCGAGCAGTACAACCAAATGCTCTCAATTGCAGATGGCGAGCACCATCATGAATTCGAAACCGCAGACCTGGACCAATTCGAATACTACGAGATCACCACTTATATTCCTTCGAAGGGAACTCACAAGGTCCGAGAACCAAGAAGGATATTCCCTAAGCTGCTCTATACCAAGTTCGAACTAACAGAAATCTCTTATCCTGAGCTGAACCGAATCGTAGGACGCAAAGCAAGTCATGAGGAGGTTTACGGCTCAGTTCTAAGACGTCAAGAATTCACGACTCGCGCCCCTGAACCTGAACTTGAACTTGTTGATAATAACAAGCGCCAAACCCGGAATAGGTTTCCGAAAAGAGCTAGAATTTTGAGTAGAAGTTACGCAAAGCAGGCATTGGCATTCTATCATCGTTATATCAAGGATGCACCAAACTACAACCAGCGGGGTGGGGCTATTCCTTTTGGTAGGATTTTGAGTCGTCGTGTTAGCTTGAAGGTTTCAAAAGTCGAGCGAATTATGGAGTTGAAAGCCTTTGATGATGTTTGGTGGACTTTGCTTCACCATATGGAATTCTTAGAGGGGGTCAACAGGAATGACTTAGATAAAATATTGGGCGATATCGGCGACCATGTTTTGGCTGAGCTCGATCTGGGAGGCCTAGAAGCGTTGTTGTGAGGATTAATCGGGTTAGCGTGTTCGGGATAGGAAGTGAACAAGACAATGCAATCGCCGAATCTACCAACATTTTACACACAGAAAATGCAACAAGTGAATCTGCTCAAGAACGAATTCAAATGACGCTAGCAACCAGCCTCTTCTAATTTCTCTGTTGATATAAATCGAGCTCGCGAGGTGCAAAATTTTCTCCTCTGCAAAAACCTCAACATACAACTTCTCCAACATTTCCTCACCTCTACTTCTTCTACCTTGCTAAACCTCACTTTCCACCAACCTTTCGACAATTGCCTTTGTCAATCAATCGTCGCAATGTCTTCTTCTGATTTTGATCATGTTGACTGGGCTGCTGATTTCCTCACGCACCAGATGCAGGGCTGGAAACCTGCCCAATTCGCCCGTTTCTTCGACAAGGTTTCCATCGTTCAGTTCCAGCTCCCGCAGGACTTCAGTTTCGGCAATGACAACGATACTTACTCTGTCAATGACTTCAACTTGACTGCTCTTGAGCTCCAGGGCTATTCACCAGGCTTTTCTGGAAACTACAGCGTCGTCAGCTCGCCCTCGGTTGTCAACAGTCCTGAAACTGACACTGATGATGCTGATGGCTCCACTACTCTTCAGGTCATTCCAAAGGCTGAGCGAGTTATCAAGCCTGAGCAGAAAGATCGCCGCAACAAGAAGCTTACCATGAGAAAAGCAGCTGATCTCACTGTCAAGCGCCCCAAGGGTGTCAACGCTTTCATGTGTTTCAGAGGTTTGTGCATTGATTCTCATTTTCAAATGTTCACCTCAGCTAACTTATCCAGCTCACCATTGCACTGCTTTCTTCAGCTTGGGAGAACAGAAGCTCCGTTCTGCCTTTATCGGTCAGCTCTGGGCAGGAGATGTTTGCCGTCGCGAGTGGATCATCTTGGCCATTGCCTATTCCACCATTCGTGATGCCGTTGGCAAAGACAATGCCCCAATCAAAGTCTTCCTTGAACTCGTCTGTCCTTGGGTCGGAATTCCAGCTCCAGAGAACTATCTCTCAGCTTATGGCTACTCTCTCACTGAAGCCTCTGAGCTCGTGCAGCCTGCGCACTTCCCCAACCGCGAAGAGTTTAACATCCGCTCCGGCTTCACCGAGAAGGATGTCATTGAGTACTGTCAGTCCAACGGTTATCCTCATGAGCTTCCAGTTGAGGAGACCGCCTCGTCTACCATGGTCATGACAGTTGCCTCCGCGCCCCAGGAGATGGAAGTCACCAACATGATGCCCCAGCCGGTTGTCAACAACGTCGACTTCAACATGGAGTCTCTGTTCGATCACCAGGACTACGGTAATCTCTACACCCTCGATGGTACCTCCTTCGACCAGAACTTCACTGCCATTCCTCAGGATGTTGGTATCAGCTTTGCTCCCGAGACCTTCTGGGATCTGAACTAAACTGAGTCAACCTGCACAAGATCTCAGACTTGGGTCTTGTCTTCCGCATACTGACCAAAGCTTGCATCTTCGGCGCGTTGGGGCTTACACACTCTATGGGTTCACTCTGGTTTGTCTTCATGTCTTCACGTTGAGTTTGGCATAGCGGCGGCTCTTTTTGCTCAGATCTTGCTTTGAACTTCAAGGCATTATCACTCTACAAGTCCTGAAGCACTAACTGGCTTATTTGTAATGCTACTGGGTCACTATACTCAAGCACAAGCAACTTGCGTACATAGCTAGCGGCGTGATCATTAGGATCTCGTTTTTAACGCTTCATAACAATGAAATCGAATGCTATGAATCCTGTCCAAGATATCCGTGAAGCTCTCTCACACCTCAACCCTCACCTTCACCCTCATACTCCAACAGTAGTGTGAAGCCAAGGGTAGCCAGGGTTCAGGGCAGGCACAAATGACAGGGCGAGCGACAGTCGGCAACAAGCAGTGAGGATGACCGCACGGGCCACGAGCAAGCAAGGAGCCGAGGGCGGCTAGCACGGACCCCAGCAGAGATTGCGCCAACAGAACGCTTTTGGGCGGCAAAGATGCACAGACGCCAGACAAGGCTTCCGTCTTGCCCCCCCCTCTCTCCAGTCCAAACGACCAATCAGGGATGACAGTTCAGATTTCCTAGAAAAAGTGAGGGCGGCGCGGATTGGATGGCGGAGATGAGAGATGTGGGTACGTACTTGATAGCTTGGTACGTTGAGATACATGATAGATTTGGTGGCGGACGCGACACACACACACACTGACACAGACACCCACACACATATATGAGATGATGAGGGATAGAATGAGGGATGGGATGCGATGGGACGTGTCAGGAGTTTGCGAGAAGTGAGTATTTGGAATAGCAGCTGTTCCAAGGCTGATGATGCTGGCAGGACGGAGTGTTGCGAGTCGAGCGAGGGAGCAGCAGCACAAAAAGAGAATACCATGTAGATATAACCATATACATACACATACATTCACACTCCACGCACAAAACAAGACATTGATCCACGAAGAAATGCACGCGACGACGAGAAGGGCGGGATTGGCACATCGCTGCACAGCCATCTATCACTGCAAACACCCAGCTACATGCATGCATGCATGGACGGCCGACGACGCATAAAAGAAGGCAAAGAAAGTAGTAATTATGGCGAAAAAAGCAGATTGCACATTCCAGAAACTCTAAAAAGAAGCGTAATCTGACCGCCCGCCCTCGTGCCGTAGCCCAGACCGATCTTTCGTGCGTAACGGCGGCGATCTGAATGAAGACTAACACCGATATCCTGACATGTAATTCCCAAGGTTGATGTCGACAGAATCGATGTGATGCGGGCGGCAAGATGGAGCCGCGTCCTCCCCGCTTGTAACAGTGGTTGTGTTCTAGGTAGTTCCATGGATGTCGGAGTGGGAGTGATGGGACCCCCCTCCCCCCCCCTCTCTCTCTCCCCTCTCTGCTACCCTCTCCCTCTCCCAACAACTCTCTATATCTCTATATGTCTCTATATACTTCTATCTGCGTGTCGGTGTGTGGGTGTGAGTCATCTACGCATGGACAGAAATGCAGCCAGCCTCCCCATTAACATTGATGACCTCACATGTTGTCGCAATCTCATGTCGCACAGTTTCAGTGAAGAACCATCCGCTAAGCCAATCTGGGTAAGCGAGGGGAGAAGTGGGGCCCAAGGGTTCTTTCTATTCAGGGCAGCAATTGAGAAACGATGGGGGTCAAGGCGTCACGGCGGCAAGTGGGGGTCAACTTGTCAACTTTCAAGGGACTGTCCGACCAATCATAACACCGGATCACGAGTTGCGTCATCGTAACGTGATGCTGCAGTGGGTGAAATATGAGAATGAAAATGAAAATGGAAGTTACGACGATGCAAGTGCCAGGTGCAGAAGTGGCGAAATACCCCGTGGGCAGCTCGATGAAACAGCGCTAGGCTGGATGTAGAAGTGTTCATTCGCTGACTCGCTCTGCCTCACAATCCAGATGACAGCGAGGTTTTGCCGGGCGAGGATTCCATGCAGATCAGCTGCAAACGGCACTTTACCATCTAATTAATAGTGACCGCTGCGAATCACTCTGTCCATCATGACTACTACCACCATCCGTGATATCCACACCCAAACCACGAAATACGATGGTGATGCATGGCCTCGGGATATTGTTTGCCTGCTGCACATACACACGGTGCATGCGTTCGTCGGGGGAATTCCTGCACGCAGATAGTAGGGTCTTGTACCACCTGCGTATCCTTTGTTTGCTTTCCGTCCTGTGCATTTCTTCAAGGGTCTCGCTCGTCACTTTGTTTGCCTCATATCATACTCCTCTGCATCGGCTTCTGTATTGGTCTTGGACGATCGAGTCTACATCAGGACCACCTCCACTACTGCCTTGCACTTCTTGTCTGGACATTTCTTGACTATTACTTCTTGGTCCTCGGTGCTCTTCGCCAGCCGGACAACACTCCGACCAGAGGTAACATATCCAAGCCCATCACATCCCTCGCTGTGCCACTATGTAAGAACCACATCCCCATAACTGACCATGCTTCGCAGTCAGCAGCCTCGTATTACTGGGAAGCATGCTTCCACGCCTCTACCAGCTCATACCCAGAGATGAAGGCCGCCACCAGCACGCTCCGAGTCAGCGTGCCTTGTCCGTGCGAACTTCTTGACGCTATGTCTCGCATCCGCTCAGGCGCCGACGACAATCCCAAGACCATCTCCGCCACGGAAGTACATCGCCATGCCTAGCCTGTCATCTGCTATACTCTTCACCCAAAGACCGGTGTCTCTACCTCACTTCCACCAGCCATGACCGATCAATATACCTCAGCCTCTCCCAGATCCCCGCGCACGCAATGCCGAAAGCAACGGCGGACCAACAGTCCCTTCTATCATACTGCATGCCGTGTGACACGAAAAACGTCGATCCCACAGAACAGGGTTGACATGACTAGGAGGTGCACAAACGTCCCCGTCCGTAGAGCTTGGTGTTGGTTTCCATTGCCTCGCAGGTCCCTTGTCGAAAGGCTAGATGCAGCACCCTCTACGGGCTGTCGACCCGACGGCAGCAATATAACAGGTAGACGGTTCTTCTGTGCCACTGACACATATTGTTGTGTCTATGGTTGTCGTACGAGAGGCCTTGCCGATTCATATATCCCCGCTCTTGTCACTATGGTCATGTATGGCCGCCTTATTCGGATGCATGCAGCTGGGCGCCGAGAGTTTACAGATAGGAATGCTGTTTGATTGTCAAGGGAGCAAATGACAAAGGTATCCTCCATCTGTCAGGCCGCCTCCCTAACGACAAGCCAAATCCAACCATGCGACGATATTCTGTCCGTCGAGCTGTTCTTGGCCTCGCCAACAGGTTGTATGCCGTGTCAGATCCACAACTCCCGTCGACAGCCTTCTTATAAGATAGATGTACTTCACTTGTTCGTAGACAAAACACTTTGACTGTGCGTCTTGCTCAACTGTTGCTCGATTCGTCCAAAGTCATGAACAGACACAATGAACAAGCAGAGAACCAAGCCGAAACTGGCCCTTGACTTATGAATACGTACCTCAGATGACAGGACATCATCGTGCTACGCGACAGTACTTACGTGTATCGTGTCCAGGGGATGTTGATGAAGACGACGCAGAACAAAACTACATGATTGAAGCAGCGCAATGAATTCATCATTGTCTTAGCGGGGAAGGTGCGGACCCGCTAGCGCGTCGGTCCCCAGCGTCATTCCGGTTGTAACTGACAACCCAGCACAAGTCGACATCTCGACCTTTGACCGCAGTCGGGAAGCAGTATCACCTCTTGTGACCACGTCGTCCTCTCTCCACGGTACAGTACCGCCCAAACTCTCGTTCAGCAGATGGCTACGATCCACATGCCACGTACCTGTCAACCACCGTCATGGTGAGCCTCTCCGGCTTTCTGTTCATCTACGTCCTGGGCGGAATCACCTTCATTCCACTCGTTCTCGTCGTCGTTCTACTACACGCTCGTTACCTTCTCCCAGTCCGCGACGCGACTTCGGATACATCCCACACTACTACAGACAGACCGGGAGAGAACAGCAAGTCTTCGAAAGACGACGATAAGAGCTGGGAAATTGACTCCGGCAAGCTTCCGGCCGAGCTCAAAAAGCGTACACATGAGCCAGACGTCGCGGCCGGTTACTTTGCAGTATGTCGAGAATATGTGCCTGGAGGTGTCAATGGCAAGCCGCCAGAGCGAACGACACCGGCGGGCGAGGTAGTAGCCACGGAGAGTCCGAGCGTGTACCAGAGCATGTACCGCAGTATATTTGACCGGAACAAGAGTCAGATCCCTACATTGGACAGCGGTAAGACAGGAAGCAAGCCTCTGAAGAAGGCGCGGAACGTGTTCTTTGTGGTCCTGAGGTAGTTTTCCTGCTTTGAACTCAAATGGAATGTAAGGCTGAAAATTGACGCAGACATGGGCACTTGATGCTATATGACGACGCCGAACAGCTCGAAGTACGCCATGTTATATCGCTAGCCTACTACGACGTCGATGTATACGCTGGAGGCGAGACCATACCGGAAGGAGAGCTTTTCATCAAGCGAAATTGTGTACGGCTGGTCCGACGTCGAGCCCTTGGGACTCTTGACACCGACGCGAAACCATTCTATCTGTTTTGTGATAACTGCTCCCTGAAGGAAGACTTCTACCACGCAATGCTGGCGAATCAAGAGAAACGACCCGACGCTTCTGACAGCCCTCCGAGCCCTCTGCAATTCGACACGCAAGACATCGTCAAGCTGGTGCAAACACTTCATGCCTCTGAAGAGACTTTGCAAACCAGATGGTTCAATGCATTGTTGGGGCGCGTCTTTCTAGGCATATATCAGACGCCAGACATCCTGGATCATGTGAAAGCAAAGATCACCAAAAAGATTGCGCGAGTGCCCAAGCCTGCGTTCATCACCAGTATCACTGTGCAGAAAATTGATATGGGAGATGCCGCTCCAACGATTACGCACCCTAAGTTGCGAGACTTGTCGGTAGATGGACAGTTGACATGCGAAGCGGACGTGCAATACAAAGGGAACTTCTCCATTGAGATTCTAGCCGTTGCGCGCATAGACCTTGGAAAGAGATTTCAGGCTCGTGAGGTCCATCTCACTCTTGCGGGAGTCCTCAAGAAACTCGAAGGGCATCTGTTGATCCGGATCAAGCCACCACCGAGCAACCGAATATGGATATCCTTCGAAACAGCGCCCCAGGTTGAAATGTCCATTGAGCCCATCGTTAGCCAACGCCAAATCACGTACGGCGTCATTCTCCGCGCCATCGAAAGCCGAATCAGGGAGGTCATCGGGGAGACTCTCGTCTATCCCAATTGGGACGATGTACCGTTCCACGAAACACTTCTCCAGAGATTCAGAGGAGGCATCTGGCGAGATGATCACAAGCTGAGGCCACTACCAGACCAGCAAACCGATGCTGCCGAGCATGGTCTCGTGGACAAGGTGGACAAGTTGGACAAGGGATCGGATTCTGATGAGTCAGATCTGCCAGCACCGTCACAAAGCCTTCGCGAGAAGACAATGAGCATGCCCTCTCTAGTCGACACCGCCCCGAGGATCACGCATCGTAAATCGATGTCCTCCAAATCGGCCATGTCGCTAGACGGTACTCACACTGAGCAAGGAACTTTGACCAGTTCTGAGTCCAGGTCGAGCCCAAAGCCAAGAGCTATGCGATCGACATCCTTCGCCAGCGCTGCCACCCCTGTCGTCAACCTTGACCCTGCGACTGTGGAAGCCTTGAAACGTCCTGGCAAACAGAGTGTGGCCCAAAGCGCCATCAAAGACATCTCAATGCGATCGCCCCCAACTTCTCCTCCCGAGTCCCCATATGGATCACCACCTCAACCGTCTCTAGTTGAGCATGTCGTCAAGAAAGACAGCGTGTCTTCTCAGGAGTCTCAGAACGAGGATGCATTGGAGCCCGACTCTGTCATATCATCTTCCCCAAAGCGCTCAATGACGCAAGCAAGTATCTCTACCACCGATAGCTCCTCTTCACACGACTCAGGCAAGTCGAAATATGCCACAATCAACGCAGTCTCGCGAGCAGGCCTGAACCAAGCAACCATTGCGGCCAAGAAGTGGTTCGCAAATCGCCAGCAGACACACAACCAACCCAATGTACCCACATTCACGGCAAAAGACGCCGCCGCTATTCTACGCGGCGACAAGGAACTCGAAGCATCACACGCTGCGCCTGCACCAGGAACTCCCTCGAATCCCATAGGCCGCGGCCAACCACTACCTCCACCCGGCCAACCTCTTCCTCATCCTCCGAAACAGCACCAGACTGCCGGCGGCTGGTATCTCACCAAACGCAAACCCGCACCACAGTCTTCCGGCATGGTATCACATAGTCCTTTGATGCCTGCAACACCCACTCGTCGCACATCAAGTTCGGCATCCTCGACCATAGCAGACGCCACTAGCCTCGCCGATCCTGGGCGGGAAAAGCAACGTGATAGCGCGCCTGACACTCCCGATCTGGTTCCCACCGCGCCCGATCTGCCTCCGCGCCCCGGCTCGGCCCTTGATCCCGGACTTTCATCCGCTGATCAAACCCACGACATGTTCTCCATAAATACAGCTCCACTGAATGACAAAAGCATGAGCAGTTCCAAGTCCATAGCCGCGAACGAGCGTCGCAAATCTAGCACAGCCAGTCTTGCTGGCACAAGCACCCATGCTGCCCCTCCATCCTCGCCCCGCGCGCCCCCGCGCCGGAAGCGTCTGAGTGTTGCGCACGCTCGTGATGTAGATACCGGGCCTGATAATGGGCTGCTCGTTGTCAAGGCTCCTGTCGCGGACGACGTGAGTCCGCTGGCAAGTCCGGAGAAAGGCGTGATGGGTGTTATTGATGATCCATTGGATGTGGAAGCAGACAGAGTTGTGCGCAAAGAGGTTGAGAGTGCCAGTGGTGGGAGTGTCGATGAGAGCAGGACGGAGAGGATGGGACGCCACAGACACGAGAGGAGCGAGAGTAAAGACGACGATGCAGATGCGGTATTTTTGAGTGCAATGGACATGTAGGCGCCGCTTATGCATTGCGTACATGTACATACATATGCACGCACACAGCTTCTCCGTAAGTGTCTTTCAGTGTGTGTGTGTGTGTCTGGGGAGTGCAGCGACTCTCCTCGTTGTAATCCGAGTATACGACACCTGCGACGTGTTCTTGCTTGACGTGTTTGATCTCCACACCCATACCTACACCTATACCCACGCCCACGTCCACGTCCACACCTACACCCACAACCACATACATACCCACGCCCAACACCTACTCCCATGCTCGCAGCGTTCCATCCTCCTGATCGTCACCATTAATGTTCCCGATATTCACCCACACGCACACATACACATACCCAAACAACATCCATCCACATACCCACCCACACCCACGACATATCAAACTCACCCCCCCATTCCTTCCTCCCACGCCCCAAAAACACCAACACCAACACCAACAAACCCCTTGTCCCCTGGCTGACCCCTCGCCAAGTGGCATATTACCTATATCCATCCATCTACCAGTTCCAAACCCTGTCTCTATCTCTGTCCTGGTTCCTGTGTCTCCGTTGATCTGTCCCTTTTTTCGGTGACTCGTTATGTGTTACGTTCTGTGCTTTCGTGCTACGTTCTACCGGAAACCTCGAACCATCGAACCATTGAACCGCCCAGTCAAAACCCAACTAGCTGTTCTGAATGCTGCTAGAGTGGCAAATTACTGTCATGACCATCTTCGTCTCAACTTCTGCTCTGCTCTGCTCTGCTCTGCTCTGTTGTGCTTGACTCCATTCCAATCTGTTCCACCTCTAAGCTTTCCTCCTTCTCCACACACGCTTCAGACTACCACTCTACGCCTTCATCCCCATTCTCATCTTCATCTTCATCTTCATTCTCAACTCATGCCCTCCGTCAACGTTCCTCATGTCAGGTGTCAGGTGTCAGGTGTTAGGTGCCATGTCATGTGCGATGTGTCAAAGTGGCAAGCTTAAGTAGCCATCTGGCTGGCTTGGGTTTAGTCTGGATGCAAAGACGCAAGTCGCAAGATGCACGATGCACGATGGATGCAGATATTACTGCACATCATCTGCTAGGGGCCCTGAGCCGGCCGAGAGCAAGTGGTACGCGGCGATCTGTGAGTGTGAGTGGGAGAGGGAGAGAGTGTGTGTAAGACTGTGCGCGCTGTTATGGTGTGATGCGGGTAGATGCGGGCTGTGCCGTTTAAGTTGCCGTAATGTGGGAATGTGGAGACTGATCTGCAGTGGCTGTGATTGAGCCTTGAGCGAGAACTTGTTGTACGACTGCTGTAGTGAGTCCTGCAGGACCGTCATGCTAATCTCGGCATGTCAGAAAAAGCAGCCACAGTGTCCCCCCGCGTTCTCTTCAGAATCGTTGCAGACGCTGTATGTCAACCATGGCAAATCCAGGATTTCGGGAAAAAGTATCCACCATCCTCCTTCCCGCTTCCAAGGTTCTTTCGTGACGATTCGCGGGGTCTATGTCATGCAGCACAGGGGACGGGCGGCTTGAACATGGTCCGATTCTCTCTTACATGAAACATGATATTGACTTGACGACACAAAAGTAGAACAATACTTTGATATTTCTTGTCTGCGTACTAGGGAATGACTGCCTGCTCCTACATGAGATCCACTCGTACAATGGCTGACTGGTCAACAATCGCCACTAAGGGAAACCATCCCACGCGCACTCTGATAAAAGGAATTTGCGGCTACATGAAAGAAAACACATCATGGACGCCATCGTTGCTGATTGCTGTGTGCATCCTCGGGCTCATCTCCCCATTGGTGTTGAGGCTAGACTTGTCTGACGACCAAGCTCGGGGCTGATATGATGGCACCCCATCTAGACTTAGTAGAGGTGCTGTGTCAAAAGTTGTGATCACGACCATCGATAGTGTCATGCGTAGGCTGGAGCCGCGACGTCGAGGTTGGCGAACTTTCAGGCTCGTAGAGAGCGTTGGTTACGCTACTTATGATTTTGCTTGGGGAGGCAGTGGGCGTTCCAGGTTTTCCTGTGGAGACTCTTGGACGGCGTGCATGTTCGTGTTTACCCATACCTCCAAGTCCTGACTCAAGGTCCATGGTTCCATCATGTCCTACGCTAGATTGTCGCTCAGAGGCTACTTCAGCATCCTTGTCGTTAAAGTCTTGACCAGGGTTGGCAGTCTCGTACTCAAGAAACTTCACAATCTTATACAGGATGACCGCGAAGACAGCCCCGAGACCTGGACCAAGCCAGTAAACCCAGTGGTAGCTGGCAAAGTCACGTAAAACGACATTTGGCCCGAAGGATCGAGCAGGATTCAATGAGCCTCCGGTAAAAGGTACAGCTACAACAGCTTGTCAGTGAATTGCGTAGATCGATGGGGGAATTAAACATACCTGCGAGCTCCGCAATGAACAGAGCCAAGCCAATACCGAGAGGTGCCAGATACGTAGCTTTGTGCTTCTCAGCTGCTAACATGAAGATTGTGAATATAAGCTGGAATGTCGCAAAGACTTCGATGAAGAAGCCTTGGGTGACAGAAGTTCCAGGACTCAGTGTTGTCTGCACGGGCAACGGACCAGTGAGCACTACCGATACGATGCCTGCTGCTGCGATGGCGCCAACTATCTGAGCGGTGATAACGATGCAGCCACGGACGAAGTCAACCGCCCCGATGAGTACCAGCCCAAACGTGACCTAAAAGGCGATCAGTGCCTGGTCTGGCGCGTCAAAAAGGTGGACTCACAGCAGGGTTGAACATCCCACCACTGACACGAAAGAAGACCCAGACATTGACAGCGAGAGAGCAGCCAAAGGCTGCAGCAATGTAGAATGTGTAAGCTGGCACTGCGAAGCTGGCTGGCTCAGGACCCTCATCCTTGAGAGCAGCAGCAGCAACGTTGGCAACCTGGGTGGCAGAGAAGGCGAAGAACAGGAACAGGAACGTGCCAATGAACTCAGCAATCCAGGCTACGACATGGTTGCGGGCTGTATTGGGAAGCCAGCCAAGGCCCTTTGGGTGACGCTGGACATTCCCTTCACGAGTAGATGAACCGTGGTCCATGTTGCTGCTCATAGAGACTGGCGTGAGATGATTTGAGATTGCTTAGGAATTGAAGAGTGTGTACTTGACTGGCCGAGAAACAGGCAATCGACAAGGTGAAGGTGTTATGAGACAAGAAATGTAGGGGCTGCTTAGGAAGGCGGGAGATAGATGGTTCAGATGAAAGGATGGAGGAGTGTTGTCGGCGTCTTGCAAGACTGTGAGGAGAAAAGGAAGATGGAGCAGACGGAGGGGGAAAGGCTTCCTTTAAATGATTCCAGAGAAGAACGTATGAGGCAGGAACATAGCACTGCTACTGCCATCTTTACGCTTACCACAATTCCCACATGTATCACATCTACCACGCATCCATCACGCATCTCTCTCACACTGGTCATCATACATCCACTTGCGCCCAATGCAATGCACCAACCTTCCTACCGCGACTGTAGACAATTGACGCCCGATGACTTGTTGGAGAAGCTGCAGATAGAGTATCCACCGACCTAGGTAGCAATTCCTGTGCGCCTCTCTAGAACAGGCTATTATAACGCCAACTCTGTCCTACTCAGCCAGGTTGCTAGCGCTCATCCCAATCAACCATGGCGGTAGAGGTCAATCACAAGGCTTTTAGCATGGTTGAGACTTAGGGATGGTGCTTGTACATAGCCAGTTGATCGTGCTAGGGATGATATAAGGAGCGGATTGTGATTTGATCTTTGACATGCAAGCTGGCATGATGCGCTGTGCGATCAGCAATGACCTGGCAATGGTGGGCTTTAGGCGAGGAGAATGTAGGAATGAATAGACAAGGTAAAGATAGACAAGGACAAGACAGACGAATGGTCACAGCTCTTTCACGATCCACCTGCAGGGCTCATATCTTGGATACATGGCAGTGAAAAGTGCATACCGTTGTCAATCTCGAGGCATCCTCTCGGCGCTGTCTGTGCCGATGCAAGCGTTCAGGTGCAGGTACATAAAGCCTGAGATAGATATAAAGAGTGGGCCAGAGTAGGTAGTGGAGCCAGAAATTGCCTATTTGAGGTAGAATACACAGTACTCAATCCTTGATACTCAGGTAGCTGGCTGAAAAGAGGGTGACCAAGATGTCATTGCTAGTATAACTTATGTCAACGCCGGTGATATCAACATACTCGAGACGAGAGCAAAGCAAGAGTTGGAAAGGAAAGAAAAAGTAAAGCAAAAGCATAGGATCGCCGGGACTACTCACGTGCTGCTTCACACAGGCGCCATCATGCAGGCGCATGCTGCGATTCGAGTTGGCGGTCTATCGCTGATGATGAATACATTATCACAGACTTGAATCTCTAGTTTGTTGTCGATTGTCGCATTTGTAGTTATTTATAACTATCTATAGTGGTGGAGAACTGTGTTGTTTGTGGTATAGTTTTTGTTGTTGTTGTTGTCGTTCTTATTGTTGAGCAGTAGAGAGAGTACTCGGGACATGAGTCTACTAGGAACAACTTTAGCTACTCTTAGACTCATAGAGGATGTTGGTGAAACTAGAACACAGGACGATGTATGTGAGCGAGCGGTCATGCGTATGCGGCCGCGTTGAACACACTGACGAGTGTTTCAGAAGTGACTTGGACTGATGACCGTGGCCTAACGACTGCTGATGGTTGACTGTGGATGTTGACTGCTGCTTCATTCATTATCATCTCGCCTCATGAATAAGCCATACGCTTGACTCGTCGCTTACTCCTATGCATCGTCAAAACAGCATGCTATCATTATTTATATGCTGATGAATGATGAATGATAATGTAGTTGTACTTCATTTCTAGCCGCTTTGAGCCTATTGATCCTTCTCCGCTGTCGCCAGCCTTGCGATGTCTGATTGGCCACAGTACATAAAGGCTAAATTAGTGTGGCGGTGTAGCTTCCACCCGACCACTTCACATCAACTCCACTGCTATCCGCCTTCAACTCTTGACTCTTGTGTTCGTCACTCTGTGTATCCGCCCGCAAACAATCACTAAGGGAAATTCTTCCGTAGCTTTACGTCGTCGCGGCGTCTGAGGACTCGCATTGTCTCCCGAATGTTGACGACTCTACAATAACCCACTCAGCCGCCGCCTCTCCTCTGCGCCCCGCCTGGAGCCTTATTCCCATCATGCGACCATTCAGATTCCTCTTTACGCTTCTCTTATGCCTCCTCCTCCTTACTATCCTACTGTGTATGCGAAGCCCTGCGCCTAGCAACAATGCCAACCTCATCCATTCTTTCCCCAAGACGAAGGGCTCTTCTCAGTCTGTCTTCTCGTGGTCCACTCCCTCTATCCTCTTCGCTCCGACCGCCAGCATCAGCTTGACCGACGACAACACGACATATTTTCTGGCAAGACCCGCCATGTTTGGTCCTACACTTCCACCTAAAGGTCTCAGTGGTCCCCTGTGGGCTGGCAGTGGGTTTACCGACGATGCTTTTGCTTTCGGAGGTTTCGTCGGTCGATCTGAGGGCGAGCTCGGTTGCAGTGACATACCCGACTGGGAAGAAGGCGACGAGCCGTATATGCATGTGGCAGAGTTCGACATGGAGGACTGGCGGAAGAGCTCAAACAGTAAAGCGACTCCAAATCAACTCAGAAGAAGAACGCCGCGGTCCAGGCATGAAGCTGCTAGGGACGGGCCTTATGCCTCGTTGAAGAACTTCGATCCTAGCTTGCATGATTCATCGTCTCAAAGCCCACAACATTCAACACCGCGTCATGTGGAAGAGAAAGAGGCAACTATGACAGCGCATGCAGATATCCAATCGCTTCAAGAAGGAGCTGAGATAGCTGGAAAGGTTGTTTTGCTGAGCCGCGGCGGCTGCGGCTTTCTTGACAAGGTTCTATGGGCGCAACGGAGAGGCGCCACTGCTGTGATCGTTGGCGACAACCACAGCGGTGGAGGACTAATCTCTATGTATGGACGAGGGGACACAACGAATGTATCCATTCCAGCTATTTTCACCTCCCATACGACCGCCCATCTGCTTTCATCTCTTATACCATCTGGGGTTGATGGAAAGCGGTCCAGGCCGCAAGCGAGCGGATCGACACACAATGTTCCTGGATCGTCACGCTCGTCACCTAAAGAGTATTTCAAATCCCGCTTAGAATCAAGAAGCGCTGTCAGCAGAATTCTTGGATCCTTTCAACGCCCCAAACAGAGCTCACGTGACGCCAGTTCTAAGGAACACGAGTCGGTGAGTTGGGCATCACTCGAGGACATTGCCAAGGAGAAACCATTCCAGCCAAGTACAACACCTGTTCCATCAAACGATGACAACTTCGTTATAGGCGTCGATGACTGGAGAGATCCCGATATGCTGTCTAAAGAGAGCAGCACCCCGACGGGAACCACCGACCACAGTGACCGCACTTCCGACGAGCGCTTCAAAGGAGGAAGCACTGTGCCGGGAAGTGGAGAGTATGCCGGTGCAGATGAAAATGGACACTCAGGCTGGTTTTCCTCATTCCGTTGGCGTGGCGGAGATGATAACGACCATACCTCAGACGACAATCTCCACCACTCCTCGAGCACGCCTCTCGTCCCTGACGAGCCTGAAAATCTACACCACGACGCGCTCTGGGTAACCCTGAGCCCCAACAGCATGTCCACAAATCCGTTCTTCGATACCCTTCTGGTACTCGTCGTCTCACCTCTCGTCACATTGACCGTCGTATACGCGCTTCTTCTCTTGCGCTCTCGCATTCGCCGCCGTCGCTGGAGAGCACCAAAGTCCGTCGTCGAGCGTCTCCCTGTACGCACATACCATACGCTCTCTTCATCCATAGGCATTCTTACGCCATCCCCGTCTGGAAGCCCACTTTCCTCCCCAATCGCCACCTCTCCAACGACTCCGCTACTCACCAGTACTCCTCGCCCGGTACTCACCACGCGCCGCTCTCGCCCGCGCGCACGCACTACTCCAGAAACACACGCATCTTCTTCCTATGACACAACACGCCATCGCAGCCGCTCTCCCGACAGTGAGAAGCGAGAAGCGGGATTGGCCGAATGGCGACGTCGCTATGGCGGCCGCCAGAAGGAGTGTGTCGTATGCCTCGAGGAATATGAGGATGGAATCAGCAGAGTCATGAGTCTGCCATGTGGCCACGAATTCCATGCAGAGTGTATAACGCCATGGCTGACGACGCGCCGGCGCACGTGTCCGATCTGCAAAGGGGATGTGGTGCGAAGCTTGCGTCGGAGAGATAGGAATTCTCCCGATCCTGACGGTGGCTCTGATAATTATTCCGATGCCGATAGTGACGATGCCCGAGACACACGAAGATTCAATATGGAAGGTGAGCTCGTCGAGCAAGATGAACAAGACAGCGTTGCCATCAGAAGAAATGACGAACCGGCCGCGCAGCTACCGATGCGTGCCGAGGATCTGTATGCCGCAGATCTGGAGCAGGGTGCGGGCGAGCTCAGACGTGATGCCGGGGAGGGGGTGGTAGAACGGGTCTGGCGTGCCGTGGAGGTATTGAGTGGGAGTGTGAGAGAAAGAGGATGGTGGGGGAGGAGAGAGGAGGCTGACCGCGATCGGTAGATGGCTGTTTGGGCGTCCCCAATAATTGTGATGATTGATGAGTCTGGGTATTTTGAGTTTGCGTTTCTGCATAGCGCCGCATACTGGGTAAATTGGGTGTGGCCTTGGTATTGATATTGGATGAAGTGTGTCGATGGACTGTGAAACACACTACGCACCTACGATGCATCTATACATAAGTAGTATATACCCACCTCATTCCTCGTTCCATATTTGGGGGCTGGCGTTGTGGCAAAGACGATAACACTGTCGTATGTATCGTAATCGAGGATGCTTTCATATAAGCATATATAGTTGTGTCATGAGGGAACCAATCGCTAAAGCTCATAGAGCAGGGACGCACGTTACGATAACATTGAGGGTTAGGATCTTATACAGGTCAGACTAGAAGTCGATGGACGCGATGAAGGCGTTGCGTTGTACAGAGAACCATTGATAGACCATATCGATGCTTATATTCGAAGCTACCGAAGCCAACGATACTCCCGAAGGAATGCAGTAGATGCATATATCTACTCCATGCTTGCCTGCCTAGCTGCCGAGGGACACGTATGCTGCAGCCGTTTTTGAACACCTTTCCTTTTCCATATTCATGATCTATTCGAGTGCACCGTTAGGGTTACCATTCACTCCTCTTCCTCTTCCTCATCACCACCGTCCTTCTTCTCCGCAGCCTTGGCCTTCTTTCTGCGCACACGACCGAAGCGGCCGCCGCCGAATGGCGAAGTAAGTGCGAAGTCAATGTGCTTCTGGGAGTCTAGACGGACGACAAAGGAGGGGACGTTGACGATTTGCTTGCCAACTCTGCAACACATATTAGCTACACAATTTCATCTCTACGCGAACTGCTCGTTGGCGAGCTGGAAGGACATACCGGATGTGCCTCTGGCGGATGAGCACACGGGCATGATGAATGGACTTTGCGAGACCAAGCTTGTAGACACAGGTCTGCAGACGACGCTCCAAGAAATCTTCCACCTTAAGGGCGAGCACGTAATCGAGCTTCATGCGGGATTCGTCGAGGACACCGACACGCACGAGACGACGGATGAGGGCGTTACCTTCGAATAGGCGCTTGGGGTCCTTCTCGTCGAGGGTGAGAAGCTGACTGCATAAGTTTTGTTAGCGGGCGCATACTTAAATTCGAAGCGTTATTCGACTGGTTATCGTGCGCAGTCGTGCGAACGACGTGAGAGATGAGAGAAAGGAAAAACGTACCGGGCAGCACGACGGATCTTGGAGAGCTGAAGCATGACACGCCACACCTCGCGCTTGTTTCTCAGACCATATTCACCGACGAGCTTCAATTCCGTGTCCCTATAAACCCAGCGTTAACCTTTTGTGCCGCGACATGAGTGCAGAGCAAGCTGCGACTCAGTGGCCGGGGATCACATACAGACGAGCCGACTCGAAAGGACGACGAGGAACCTTGTAGGTCTTTGAATAACTCCTGGGAGCCATTGTCGCTGTGTTGAGGTGTTAGTACTGATCGATGAGAAGTTCGCGAAGTTCTGATGGGGTGTGGTGGATTTGTCGTGCGCGCTTGCACTCGCTAAGCCCGGAAAAACTGTTTTGCCGCACACACAGAATTGGACCCGGGCCTACCAACACCAATGTGTGTACGAGATTTCGACGACAGCAACCATTCTAGAGATTTCGACCAGCTCAACTGTACGCATGCCAACCTAACATCGTGGAAGTAGCTTGCATACTGACTGCAGACTAGCTAAGATCATTTCACAATGGGTCACTCAGCTGGTCTTCGCGCGGGTACCCGCTATGCTTTCCAGAGAGGCTTCAAGAAGCGCGGTACCATTCCTCTATCCACATACCTGCGCCAATACAAGTACGATATCAAGAATTCTCTGCGCCAAACGCACAATTTGCTCACGAACCCAGGGTCGGTGACATCGTCGACGTAGTCGCCAACGGTGCCGTACAGAAGGGGTCAGTATTCGCACTAATATAACATAATGATGCGAACTAAAACTCACACACCACACAGCATGCCATTCAAGGACTTCCACGGAAAGACTGGTGTAATCTATAACGTCACCCCAACTTCCGTTGGTGTTATCCTCCACAAGCAAGTCGGCAACCGATACATCGAGAAGCGCGTAAACGTCCGCATCGAGCATGTCCGCAAATCTCGCTCGCGAGAGGAGTTCTTGAACCGCGTGAAGGAGAATGCCGCGAAGAGGAGAGAGGCGAAAGAGCAGGGCAAGTCGGTGCAGCTTAAGCGCCAACCTGCTATGCCGCGTGAAGCTAGGACTGTGTCGACAAAGGGTAACTGGCCGGAAAGCGTCGTCCCTGTGCCATACGAGACCACGATTTAGGTTGGTTGTATGGGTGGGTCGATGGTGTTACGTGCGTGGGTTATGGGCATTGCGATGTATTTACCATGCGTAAAAGCGGGATCTTAGATTACCAAGGCTCCGAAAACCAGTTCAACGTATAACCGTCACGGTTTCTACAATACTCTCAGAGGGTGTTGAATTGTTTAGTGGTGCAATCTAGGTGTGTTGTATTACTACTTGAATACCCTACCCACCAGAGATCGCTGGTCAATCAGGCTCTCAATACCTGATTTTGTATCTCCTGCCTCACTGCGTCTCTCTTTCGTAAATTAACCTGGTCCTCTTCAAATCCTGCTGGTGTTTTCTCGGCTACAAACCCCAACACTTTCCATTCTCCAACTTCGTTGTCGTACAACTTCTGTTGTAATACAATGTTCTCCTTAGCACTGAAACTGCGGCTGCTTAGTGTTGTTATTGTCCCGTCTAGTTCCCTCCTGAACCGTTTGTATTGTTGCTTTGTCCGAAGTCGTACAACACACTCACGACACGCCAGGCGTTGTTCGTCAGCCTCGGGGACTGCCAATAAACCAGCGTAATCCGCCACCAGACATGGTTTCTCGAGAACTTCTGTGACTTCCCAGCTAACCTTCTCTTTGGATTGACGCCTGTTAACAAATTGCTGAAGCGTATAGTAGTTAATGGGTGTAGTAATCTTTTTAAGCTGTTTCAAGCTTTCAGGAGTGCCTGAAGCAAGGGATTCAAAGTACTGCATGTGCAACTTGACAGCTTTTTGAATCAGCGGGTTTTGATATTTGTTGTACACTGGCAACAAAGAGGTCCAAGACCAGCCGAGGTCTACAGCCTTTCTTGTGCCTCGTATGCGATCATAGAATGGTATGAGGGACTTGAAAGTCCAACCGGTGAGATCGCGATATCTCCACCAACAGGTCAATATCCTAAAGAATTATAAGCAGGGTCTTCAATAGAGTTATATCTGCAGAACCGAAACTTTTACGTACGAAAATTGGCCCTTAATGCGCTGAATCAAGTATAGTTTCGTAATCGCAAATCTGGCCTTGGGCTGCTGCCACCATGAAGGCAGATCTGATCCTGATGGTTTGACGTACATATCTAATGTGAGACGAATGAGCAAGCTTCGCAACTGTAGACACACACCAAGGACTAACCTCCAAAGAAAGGTACGTCGAATGCCATTTCTTGATATTGTTGCTGCACACGTGCCTGCTGGCTTTGTATGTCTTCAGTAGTCCTTGGTGAATATCTGGATTCCGGGAAAATTCTCGTGTCGAGCGCATTTGCTCTTCCGCTCGATTTTCTTGAGCTGTATCCCCTAGAGACATTCGGTATATAAAGCCATGGACGTGTCTTCAAAGCAGAGCGATTAAGCCAGAGCGACCGCGGTATTGTGTGCGACATGATGAGAAATGCTCGATAGTTTGAGTAAACGATGGAGGGAACGGTACGCATGCAATTCAAATTCTGGCTCGGGCCATCATAGAAGAACGTGGGGTGGTGATGCGCTGTTGTCAACACGGTCAGTCAATCAACTATAAGGTAGAAGACGATGCCCGGATGATAGACATACGAGTAAGGAAGAACAGTGGATATCACGGCTGCTACTGCACTGCTGTCGATATCTGCGACATCAAATTATGAAACTACGTGACGAGACTGACAGGAGCAGCACACTACACCGTATTAAGCTAGCGCAGAACCACGAGGTCACCCATGAACCTCACGACCGTCACACGAAGAAGCCAGCTCGACTCCAACTACGATCTGCACCCGGATTTCACCAGGCAAAACGCTTCCCTCAATTTTCTTCCCAGTCACGCTTTCGTTCCATTGGGTCTCATGCATCTTCTGAAGTTATACATTTGCTGAAAGCTCTTGTTCCTTGGAAAGTCAGGTGCATCACCCAATGTCTGGAGAAGGGTCACTGCTGCTAGGGCGCTCTAGGTTCGTTCAAACCGCGGAGCAGCATTGAATATCTCTGGATTCCTATTCTCTCATTCCGTATATCAAATCCTGTTGGTCTCTTTTGTTGATAGTCGCTCAAGCCTCGCTCCAGCGCTCAGGGTTCCGGCACGGCAACGCAATGTCCATGAAGAAAGTACTGAAGAGAACAATAACACGTCGAGCCTGCTACAGCCTCCACCTTCGCCAGACGCCGGGGACCAGGGTCTGCCTAAACGTGATTGCAACTATTGCGCATATCTAAAGTTCATATCTAAGATTCTCCCATCTTGCTGCTTTCGAAAGCTTGCCCTGCGGCTTGACCAGCAGTGTTCTGTCGACAACCTGGCTTCTCCCCTTAGATCACGGCCGCCTTCTCCGCCGCCTTCATATACTCCTCCTGTTTCATCACACGATACTTTACCACACACAATCCTGGCGGGCATACGTCCACCACTGTCGACAACACAGTCCGCCCCTCCAGCAAATTCTATGAAAAATGCGTCAAGTTCGGCCACCGCAATCGATACATCAACGTCTGGCCGAGCTGGAAAACGCACTAAATCAGTGTCAGCTCTTCACCCGCAAGTAGCCGTCATTCTAGGGGTGCCTAAAGTCTGGCATGTCTTCCTTCAGGGTGCTCGTCTCATGGCAATGAGTTATTCTATCACTTGCTGCTACTGGTCTCTACAGATTTTCTTCGACCTCGTTTTTGTCTACAGCACAACTCCACCCAGGCTCGAATTGCGCGAGACTGAGAATGGGTGGACTCTGGAAAGGCGTCTAGAGGTAGCTTGCGTTCTGCTGGCCGCACTATGGGTCTGTGGCCCCTAATAGTCTTCTAAGAGCAATGTGGCTGACTTCTGAAAGTGCTCGGCATCTGCGTACCTATCATTCTTCTTCACGGATTGCCTGATGTCTCGATGGTGAGCCTTCACACCACATGGCTATCCTTCGCTCACCCCTAGCTTAGGCTCCTGAATTATACTCCGTTTGCGACACTCCTTCGCCTTGGTATGACAGACTTTCTTCTTGGTTATGTACCCAAGCTCGCTTTGGCACGCCTTGGAGCCTTCAAAGTTCCCTCACGCCTTGTCCCATCATGGATCCTCATCACTCTCGTGAGTTTACTAATTCATTACATCTACCTGGTCGTTTGTCCAGCTTGTCTACCACGACTCAAGCTTCGAATGGAATATATTCCTGTGGATGACCGAAGGGTATAGCTTCCTCCAATCGAAACCACCGAAAAAGCCTTCAAGTCACATTCATAAAGCAACAAATTGGTATCAAGTCTATTGCAACGAGCTAACTACGACTTCCTAGACCGTTGCTATTGCGTATCACCTCACACATGACCTTACAAGCATCAAGCGTGAGACTGAGGCTACTAGGAAGGTTTTGTTATTCGCCATGACTGTTACGTTGTTTGGCTTAATCTTGCCGCATCATGTTCCACTTTCATCTGAGCTCTAAGCATGATATTTGGGTTAGCGCCACGTCATTCCAACTCTACGATCCGCTGATTGCTTGCTTAATCTGCTACCTACTACCTCTTGACTGTTCGAACTGTTCCATGTTCTGTAAAGCTAGGGTAGCTTTTGTTACTTTACAGTCTCATGTATTAGAGCTAATTGATTGAAATAGCTTTTTTGTTTATCTTTTGACTACAACTGTCGCCACAGGCTGTGGTGATGTACCCTTCTATATGACAAACGCCAATGAACACACATTACTTACTCATTCTGCAGTCAGCTTCACAAATGCTTCCTGGTACTTCTCTCCGGTTTGTCTCACTACGTGGTCGGGCATGGTAACACTTTCTTTTCCTTTTAGCCCTTCACTCGTGAGCCAATCGCGCAGAAACTGTTTGTCGAAACTAGGCTGTGCGCCACCCGGCTTATACTCGCTCAGTGGCCAAAACCGGGAGCTATCCGGTGTAAGAACTTCATCTATAAGGACAATCTTGGGTTCTGCGGAGGACGTCTCAGGGGCAGCTGCGAATTCGAACTTGGTATCGGCGATGATAATGCCTTTGGTGAGTGCATACTCATGAGCTGCAGTATATAGGGCCAAAGATAGCTCTTCGATTGCCTTTGCGTACTCTGCACCCACGATATCTTTTGCTTGGTCCGGGTGGATGTTTTCGTCTTTGTCGCCTAGTTCCGCCTTGGTGCTGGGCGTCCAAATCGGCTTGTCAAACTTGTCCCCTTCGCGAAGGATTGCACCCCCTGGGCCAGAGACTTTAATGCCATGCACTGTGCCTCTTGACTTGTATTCGGACCAGGCGGAGCCGGTGATGTATCCTCGCACGATACTCTCAAGAGCAAAAGGCTTGAGGCGGCGGACTTGCATGCTTCGTTTAGACAGCATAGCTACGGAATCAGGAGAGAGCTTGTATGTGACCGCAGCGGGCAGATCGGAGGCGAGGAAGTGAGTTTGTAGGCTTGGTTCGACTCGGGATAGGTATGAAAACCAGAAGGATGACATTTGTGTGAGCAGAGCACCCTTCTGGGGGATTCCCTAGTACTACAGTCAGCATGAAGTCGATCATGTATGCAGTGTAGCTCACATTGCGCATGATCACATCATATGCAGATATGCGGTCGCTGGCAACAAACAGTAGAGTGTGTTCATCAATCTCAAAGAGGTCTCTAACTTTCCCTGAAGCAACGCGCTTGAGGGAACCTTGCAGGTCGATTTCCACAAGAGGTACGTTGGATGCCATGTTTGTCAGTAATGCAGGAAGCAAAATTAGATTTCTAGGAAAATTTCTCTCTCTAATATATGCGACAGGCGTAACACATTCCTGTGAAGCTGTTTGCGGAAGTGTTGCGGGCAAAATAAAATTGTGTCACTCCATCTGCCAGGGCATCCCCGCGCCGCCCGCAATGAATCGATAAGTTAGCCTGGGCCTAGCCTGGGAGCTCCATGCACTAGGCGACAACGACACCTCTTCTTCCACACTTCACTCACCCAACACACACGGGAAATACTCACCAATCTCCAGACAATAACGCTTCACTCCTCTCTGTATACTCTGCTCTGGTATACTGTTAGCTGTCGCAGCCATGTCTGACGATGACTTCATGCAAGATTCCGACCAAGAGGAGTAAGCTCGTCCATTTCCGATACGTCACCCAGATATGCTAAAACATGCACAGCTATGATTTCGAGTATGAGGACGATGATGACGAACAAGGTGGCGATGTGAATATCGAGAACAAATACTACAACGCGAAACAGTTGAAAGGCGACAACCCGGAGGAAGCCATAGACGAGTTCCTGGGCATACCTGCGCTGGAAGAAGAGAAAGGAGACTGGTTCGTGTGACTCTGGGTTGAGGGATTCATGCAGGGCTAACCTCAATGCATAGGGGCTTCAAAGGTCTCAAACAGGCTATCAAGTTGGAGTTCAAGCTAAAGCGTTACGCAAAAGTCGGCAAATATGCACTTGATACCCCATACACACTCGCTGACAGTTCTAGGCTGCAGAACATTACCAGGAGCTTCTTACCTACGTCAAATCGGCTGTCACGAGAAATTATTCGGAAAAGTCGATAAATAGCATGCTTGATTTCATTGAGAAGGCTGCCGAAGACGACGAGGCGCACCAGTGCATGGAGAAATTCTATGCGCTGACATTAGAATCGTTTCAGAGCACCAACAACGAGCGCTTGTGGCTGAAAACGAACATCAAGCTAGCAAAGCTTTGGTTGGAGCGTAGAGAATACCGACTACTAGCAGACAAGGTTCGAGAGCTGCACAAGACATGCCAACGGGAAGATGGGTCAGACGATCCAAGCAAAGGGACCTACTCGTTAGAGATATACTCCCTGGAAATTCTCATGTATGCGGAGACAAGGAATAACAAAAGGCTCAAGGTAAGTGGGTCCGACCAGATACCAGGCTGGCGGGAATGTTAACGAGCTGCAAGGCTCTCTACAACAGGGCATTGAGTGTCAAGTCCGCCGTTCCACACCCGAAGATTATGGGAATTATTCGGGAGTGCGGCGGTAAGATGCACATGAGCGAAGGTAGGCTTACGCCAAAACGCTTCCTCAGACACGGTCCTAATGTGAGCCAGAGAACTGGAAAGGGGCGCAGAGCGACTTCTTTGAAAGCTTCCGGAACTATGACGAAGCGGGCTCACTACAGCGTATCCAAGTGCTGAAATACCTCGTACTAACGACCATGCTGATGGGGTCTGACATCAACCCGTTCGACTCACAGGAGACCAAACCTTACAAGAACGATCCTCGCATATCAGCAATGACAGACCTTGTAGACGCGTACCAGCGCGACGACATACACAACTACGAGAAGGTTTTACAGAACAACAAGGATCTATTAGCCGACCCGTTCATCGCCGAGAACATAGATGAAGTGACGCGGAATATGCGAACTAAGGCAGCTCTCAAACTCGTCGCGCCGTACACCCGGTTCACGCTAGAGTTCATCTCAAAGCAACTCAAGATCTCGCTAATAGAGGTGCAAGACATAATCAGCTTCCTGATTGTGGACGGCAAGCTGAATGGGAAAATCAACCAGCACAAAGGTACAGTGGAGATCGAGAACGGAGTTGATACGCAGAGGATACGCGCGCTAGAAGGGTGGACGTCAGCCATCACGGCGCTGAATTCCGCTGTTCTGAATGACGGAGACGGTTTCAAGCCCGATGACTCCTCGTCGTCATATTCAGGGGCGCGAGAGGTGGGACAAGCAGGCACGTCGGACGACTTTGGACTGCGAGGAGGCAAGTCGGGCGGAACGCTTGGGAAAGTCAAGAGTGGAGGAAAGCACAAAGGGCAGTCCGGAAGGGGCCCGGGAAATGGGTTCAGGTGACGAGTTGATACGTGGACGCCCAAAACATGTGGAGGGTGGAAAGGGACCACTAGGAAAGGGCGCCGATGGAAGAGCAGAAGGGACGGAACAGCATTGTGGCACCGGAGCCAATCAAAAGCGTGTCTAGGAGAGGTGTATCTTGGAATACGTCAAGCCTGGATCGATTGGGCGCCTGTGGTGCAGGGCAAGGTTGTGCAACGCCCTCCAGGCAAGACCTTCCCGAATAGACCAGCTGTGTACGCTCAGTCTTTTCTCGCGACACAGTCGCCGGTTTGTGTCGGGTAGCACGGTCGGATAGACTGCGAGCATCCCGGACGCGACGTTCGTAGCAAAGATAGCTTGGGTGCACAGTACACGGATATCCTTGATGACAGGCGGTTGGAGCATATGCAGATTCCCGTGGCCGTGCTCCCTCGAATTGAAAGTGTTCACGCGATATGTGGCGTCTGCGTATCTGCACGTTGCAGCGTCTCGTAAGATGGTTGCTAGGTCGCAAGGCTATTATTATTGAGCAGTCCTGGCATGGTGTCGAGTAGAAATGATGACTGGTTTCCAGCATAGTGGTTTGGAGCGCGTCATGCAAGCTTTGTGATGAGGGCATGCCCGGGCCGGAAGAGCCACTGGCAGCGCAGCGGATCCAGCGGGATGTAGGGACCCCCAGCTGCCTAGGACCGCCCCGAAACCGCGAACAGCGTACATCCTGGATAGAATGAGTGGTTCGGCGGGAGCGTCATGGTTCTCGTGCGTGCGTCTGGCTGATCTTCGCCGATTGCCGGAGAGCCACAAGTTTTACCTCGAGTGCAGCAGAGTGGTGGCGAAAGGGGGGAGGGGGAGGGGGAGGGGGAGGGTGGAGGATGGAGGATGGAGGAGACAGGGAGTGTGTCGCGCCGATGAATATCCTGGCGGGCATGTGGAGTTTGTACCTCGCTGTGCTCACGGCGACAAACATAGCAACGCAACGGGTCGCAAAGCCCTGGTCAAAGGAACACTTGACGTGAAGAGTTTGCACCTGAGCGTGGATGCGTGGACGAGTGGCTGCTTGTCTCTGTCCAGCACGCACGCTGTGTCGCGCGGTGCTACGCTCGGCAATCGAGAATCGTTGAGAGGCGTGCGTAGTGGAAGAGATCTCTGGCTGTGCAGAGTCAGACAGCAGACACTAATTAGACACGGTACAGCAGAGACCAGATACTAGAGACCAGATAGCAGACAGACATACGACGAGCATTTGGATTGCATATTCTGTTTGAGGCGTGCTGACCGCTGGCCAATGACGGCGGCTGAGTCTGACTGCATATCCGGATATTCCTTCTTCAATTCTGAGGTTGACTGATGCATGCTAATGGATCCATACCTAGCCTATCCTCCTCGGCCTTATTTACCCCACGACTTTGAACGAAGGATGGGCAAACGGTTATCCCACACTTGTTGATTGCTGGTAGACTGACTGCGCTAAAAAAAATGGAAGGCTACCATGAGATGAGAGTCCCATCGTTATCTTCTTTGGAAAGCATTTAATTAGCCTGCCAAGGACCGTGGGTAGATTTAAGGCATGCAGGCCATGTCATGCCACATTCACAAGCTTTGAGTGAAGCTCGTTGCGACATGGAGTGAGATATAATATTATGCGCATACTAAGTAGTCCATAGTATAGTCGCAAAGTACTATTATGGAATGGATGGTCGAATGATTACAGCGCTGGACTGAAGTAATTAGTAGTATCGGGTAAACAAAGGGAATGGGAATGCCGGGTGGGGCCAGGGTCCCGCCATTGTGCCTGGTCTCCCTCCCGTACTTCTCCCGTTTTCCCGTTCCCCGTTCCCCGTTTCCCGTGTCTCCGGCGACGTTTTAACTTTGAATGATGGCGGGACTATGTATGTAATTAGGAGAGGAGAATTGGGGCGTCTGGCATGAGCATGAGATGATCCCGCACCCGTCAGCCGAGTGCGGGCGTATCCGGTGCTTACTAGTGTAAGAGCGTCGCGCTATGGTCAAGGAAATTCCTCCGATTGCTCGACCATTTTCCTGTGCGCTGGCAAGCCTGCAGCTCCATGACTGGGGGTGCTGTGGGGAACGACCTGGAAAAAGCTTGCGTTCTGCAGTGCAGTTGGATTAGTGTGCAGAAGGGGGAAGAGGACCATTCACTCTGAGCTTGTGTGGGCGCGGCATTGAGGGATGGATTGTTTGGTGCCTTAGTCTTAGTATCACGGACAGATGGCTAGTATCACTCGCACATACGATACATGCTGGATGCGTGTCGACGTCAGTAATACCGTCAGAAGAAGGCTCCATGGATGCAATACGAGCTGGCATTGCTCCAACTTCGGTACTCCTGCATCTTTCACTTTCTCACTCTAAACTCTCTTGTCTTTCTCACTCACTCTCGCTTTCACTCGCACTCACTCTCCGCCTCACTCTCTATCTCTCACATCTGCCCGGCGGCGGACCAAGGACCAAGCAATTGTCCGCAATCGTTCCACACGAACACCTAAGCAAACCCACTCACGGTCACGGTCACGGTCACGGTCACGGCTGTGGTTACGTGACCTTTGCTGCCAAAAAAATCTCCAGGTCGCACCCAGCTCCACGGCCGCCCCACAGGTGGTCGACTGCATGAGCGGCAAGTCTAGCGATGCTGAAAGACGATTTGTCGCCGTCCTCGTGAGCATTGAGAACTGGAGTTCAGGTGCAACGAAGGCCTCGCCGTTTCGAAACCAGCGGGCTCTGCGGCGCCCAAGAGGTGTAGCAGAACGGATTCGTACCTGAGAGCCTCTTATTGAAGACTCCACACCTCAAATCCCCAAGCCCGGGTGCTGGAGCAAGCCCTCGCGTTAGGTGTATTGGTGGTGTGCTGGGATGGAAAGGGGGGGCGTGTGTTGTTGCACGAGAGCACGAAGACGACATTCTCATCTCTTCCCACGGACGTGGTTCTTCACATACTAAAGTCGGCCCTTCATCTCTCTCGCTCCATGGATGATCGAGGTGAGCTACAGAAGTCCTGCTGCTGCCCTCTACCCGGTTCCTGTCGTGTACCTGCAAGAAATTGAGAGACCAGACCACTGAACGGTCTGCAGTCTGGTTGCTTGCTTGCGTGCGTGGTGGTTGCTTTAGCTGCCTTCTTTTGCCAGCAGATCCCGTTTCTCAGAGACAGATTATCATTGTCTTCGTCTTGGGATCCTCATCCTCGTCGGCCTCCTTGCTTGTCCCTAACTCCCACCACCTCGTCATCTAGCTTCATCCTCGTCGGCCCTGTCCCTGCAAGCACGTAGAGACGCTGCACGCGAGTGGACTTGTCAACGCAACTCGACTGCTACTTATCATCGCAGATCGCCGTTTGTCGTCCTGGGTGTCGGAATCTTGGATCCAGAACATCGTGTGTGTGTGTGTGTGCGCCGCGTGTGGTTGCGAACAGCCCGACGACTGACCGGGTTGGGCTTTGATAGATCGATTATACGGAACGAAGCACACAATAACAACAACAACACCAACACACATACATACACAATGCTTCAGCACTTCCCGTCGACGTACTCGGGGCAGCAACATCACCCTCATCCTCATCAACATCATCACCACCGTCACCATACACAGCAGCATTCACAGCACCAGCATTACTCGGAAGCAGCGCTGGCATCCTCGTTGTATGGGACAAGTCCAACGGGGTCAGTGCAGCAGAATAATAGCAGAGGAGGAGGAGGAGGATTAGCGTTTCGGGGGGCCACCACCACTAATCCCGCAGAGCTTCCCGGCGCGTCTCATGCCCATTCAGCGGCAGCTTTAGGCGCCCGCACTCACGGTCAAACCGCCCAAACCGCCCAAACTCTGCCTCACTCGCTGCCCCATCATCACCAGCAGCAGCAGCACCAACAGCACCAGCAGCAACAGCCCCCGCAGCAGCACCACCACCACTACGGGCAGCAACAGCAGCAACAGCAGCAGCACCACCACCACCACCTCAACACCACCGCCCTCCTCCCTCATCATCTTCAGCATCCCGCCCCACCCTCCTCCCTCTCTCTCCCCTCTTCTTCCGCCCTCGTCCCCCACTTCAACTCTCAATCCCACCAGCTCCTCCATCTTCATCACCAGCACCACCACAACAACAACCTCGACCACAGCCGCTCTCTCTCACATGCTGTTGACACCATGGCCGACGACCAGCAGCAGCAGCAGCAGTACTCTGAGCAGGATCTTGCCAATCTTCAGAAGCTCTCTGCTCAGTATGAGCCTGAGATCACGGTGCGTTCTGCTTCTTCCACGTCCTAACCCTTCATCGCTACCATGCCACCATCGTCGTTGAAGCTGACTTTCTACCTTTGTAGGGGCCAATGGTGAGCAAGAGACTGTCCACCACGTCCATCACCTCCGAATATGCCAATGCAGACCCTGTCTATCAGACAAAGACTGCTGTAAGTTGCGTTGTTTGCCTCGTCTACGTCAAGCGTGGAGTTACTGCCCCAAGCTTCTTCACTCTCGACCTGTTGCCAATACGATCCGTCAACTAACAAATCCCTAGGCTCTTCCGCAGAAGTTTCACGAGTATCGGACTGTTCGTGGCGATGGTCACTGTGGCTGGAGAGGTAATCACTTCCTGACCAATGCTGCTGCTGCAGTCTCGTGAACATGGGCTGATCATCCTGCTTACAGCCGTGGCCTTCACCTACTTCGAGACCCTCCAACGCCTTGGAGACTTGGGCAAGTTTGATGAGGAACTCGCAAGAATAAGCTCCATGCGCAACCTGCTCGAGCATTCTGGCTACGATAGGTATATGTGGGAGGACTTTGAGGCAGAGACACTTGAATGCCTCCAACGCACACGTGATGCCGTCTCCACCAATGACGATGGACTTGCTCTCTTGAATACCTTCAACGATGAAAGCATGTCCATGAGCATCATCACACATCTCAAGGTACCTTTCCTTCTCCGCCACTTGTGCACACATCCTGCAAAAATTCAGCCTCTGACTCGCCCTAGCTTCTCGCAAGTTCGTGGATGAAGACGCATGTTGCTGACTTCGAGCCTTATCTGGACAACATGACAGTTCCAGAATACTGTTCAAATCATCTCGACCCAGTTCAGAGCGAAATGGACGATATGAGCCTCAATGCTCTCTACTCCATCCTGGTCAAGCCTGCTGGTATTAACTTGGAGGTCATGTACCTTGATCGCTCCATTGGCTCAGAGATCAACACACATCGCTTCGAGGTCGACGGCGACGTTAGCGGTCCCGTGATACACCTCTTATACAGACCGTAAGTTTTTCGCGCATCCATTGTTCGATATAGAACTACGCTGAATAGACCTAGTGGTCACTACGATATTCTATATAGAATTCCTCCTCAGCATGGAGTTTCTCAGGCGCCGCTTGTGCCTCAGTCAGACGTCTACGTTGGCTTGATGAGTCGGCATGATCAGTTCATCCCCAGACACCAAGGTGGGCCCGATGTGCTCACATTACTTCCTGGCATGAGTGGACCGAGCTATATGCAAGGCGGATGTTGGGGCCAGAATGTCGATTTCACACCATCTCCAGTGTCTGCAATTCCCGGTAGCTATATGCAGCCATTGCCATCATACAATGCTCCACCTCCAACCCCCTCGACGCCATCTGTTCCACATGCACAAGACTATGCATTGCCACCGATATCTGCGGCTGGTCTTCAATCTTCCATGGAGCTCCCCTTGAGAGGCAACATGAGTAATGGGGGTCCGTTTCGTCCGTCGATGTACACCTTCGATGGCATGTTTGGAGGCATGCCACCGCCAACATCAACATGTCAGACCTCCATATTTCGCAAGTAAGTAACCCTCGTTTGTTCTCTCTGTCCATCAAGGCTTATATCGACCAGCTCACACTTCAACACTGCGCATTACCTGAATCCAGAATTTGAGCCAGAGCAATGGGATCCTTCTCAAGAATATGCTACAACCAACAGCCATCGAGTCAAGCAAAAGCCATAGCACATGGTGTGAATATCTTGGTCTTGCCATTTCACGCTAGAGCCAACAACATACACCCTCTGTTTGAGCAGCACGTTCTCGCCTATTCTCAACAGGTTTCGGTCCACATTGATTCAAAGAACTCACACAAAGTCGGATACACGACCTCACAATCTCTTTCCACATCATTAACCTATCAACATCATTAGCGGCATGTTATCTCGCTTCTGGAATCGCCTGTCAGTCCCCTCAAATGCCTCAGCTCATGAGAGCGGCGATCAATCCACTATCACCTCGGTTCCCCTGTCACGACGTCACGACCCTACAGAAGACTTATTTGCCTCAAGGTACCCTAGCATCGACATCAATTACCTATTCATCACTCTATCGAATGCTACTAAAGCCGGTAATATCACGCCTCACACTTCATCATGCCTTATCGCCCATATCGGTCATCACATTTTGCGGTACCTTCAGCCGTCCCGTTCCGTCCCGTTCCTGGACAAACACATCAGCTCAAATGCGCTCTTAACATTTTCTTTGATCTTCTTTCACTTTTACATCTGCATTTTAGCGCGACGGAGCTCTGGCGCTGCGTTTTTCAAGGCAGTTTTTTTTAATCGAAAACATCGCATTCCGACCTCCAAACTGCTCCTTTGTCTCATGGCAATAGACACTGGATTTGTGTTTTCGCCCTTCGTGCTCTTCCGGGCCTGTCTATTCCGGCTTTGGCCCTCTCAGGTCCTAAAATATGGGTATTCGGTGCGCAGAGCGGTATGCGAGGAGTGTGAGTGGAGTGTATGAATGGAATCGCGTGAATGTGGAGGGAACATGTATGAGGGGCCACGCAAAGCCTCGGTTTCGGTTCTTATGTGGTAGCACCACTAATTGGATATGCAATGATATATCCCTGGCGACACCTCGCTCTGCTGCTTGATGTCATGCGTGCTCTAGTGAGGGTGTATGGGACGGAGATGTTGACGCAGAACGCCGCAGATCTTACTCAAACACGTGTTTCGCTCAATCGCTATTGTCTCAATCAGCCCCCTCCGGCGACATCGGTCATCTACGAGTTGATGACACAATCTTGGTCAAATACTGGACTTGATTTTGCCATGCAAGGGATACCACCTCGCCCTCCTGACGTCCAAGCTGACATAAATACGTGCACAAGTGTCGAAAAGACAATTTATATCTTGCAAGATGGCAGTCGGGGCTCGCAGAGTTGGTTTATGTGACTCAGAAGAGCACTATTACATATCGGACTGCTATAGTCAAAATCAGAACTCGGAGCACTCGTGTGTCCACGAAGTCTTCAAAAATAGCACGGCTGTTTCCTAGGTCTGTAACGAATATAATTGCGATTAAATAGATACTAACGAAAGAATATATATAAGTAGAGAGTGTGGGTGCTTTAAAACAGTGAAGGATCTTCCGTTGCATCGAAACCTAGGTCTCAATGCAGTGAGAGAATCATCCACGTTGCCAGCTTTACAGTGTTTCCAAAGTCTTCTTGGGTCATTCCCCGTCACACTTCACATTCCTTGTTCCGGCGTAGCGTCCTATCTCAGTAGCGATGATGGTGCGAGTAGTCCGGGGTTGGTTTGTCTGGAATGGGGAGTTTTAGATGGCAGGCTTCTAAACCGCCTTGAGCGAATAGGAAAAGAAAGACTGAGGCAAGTGCTCCTGCCTCCCACCGGCACTGTAGTAGGTAGCAAAGCTGCTGGTCCCATGGTTCTCCAGCCGGGCAGCATTCGAAGCAAACTCCTCGGCCCACGTCAGCGTCAGGGACATCTTCTGGTTCGTTCTGCCGATCACGGCGTCAAACGTGGCCGTGACAATGCCGTCGACCTTGTTGACCCACGAATGGTCGATCTTGAACGGCCCAAACGAGAACGAGCCGTCGCCCTGGACGAGGTTGCCGTTGAGGTGCCCGGTCGCGCCACCGTCGTCGGTGATGTAGTGGTAGCTGATGTCCCAGACCCAGGTCGTGCCGGCGGCGATGCCGTGCAGCGCTTGCTTGAGAGCGAGCTGGATAGTCCGCTTCTGGTACGGAGAGCTGATGAGGCTGCGCTTAGCCAGTGCGGTCGTGTTCTTCTCGTCGAGCTCCAAAGCGGGGATTACTGCCGCCATTGAAGAGACTTCGAGACCTTTCTCCAGTCCGGTGGTGATGGCAGGGGCCTCGGCTTCTGGCAGTGAGTTTGGTGCATTGTCGAGCGGCTGGATGGCTGCTGCGTCGAGGGCGGCGTATGGAGCGGCTTCGGCGGCGCAAGCCAAAGCGACGACAAAGAGTGAGGAGATGCGCATTTTGAAAAGTAGGTAATGAATGTATGAACTTTATCAGATATGAGATAGGTGTAGAGAATGTTTATCGAGTACGATTTGGAGAATAAGAAAATACTCTACGGGGAATGAAGTCTTATATGTCTTTCATCAGAAACGTGCAAAGACCTACCTGGGTCAGCTTAATTGACCAATGTTTTCCTATACGACCTTTTTACGACGGGTTTCCCAGTTTCTCTCACAATGTCACGCCGTATCCAATCTCCCTTGAAACGTCCTTGATTCTAGGATTCTCTGTCTCTCTCTCTTTCTGTCTCTTCTAGAAATTTTGTTTCTTTTTTTTATGTGGAGTTACGGCGCCGCTAGACAGCAAGAGGAAGCCGAAGTAAACCTAACCACCCGATCCGGATCAATGGAGTAACTCCGAGAACTTGACTCTTGCCGGCCAGCCGGGTACGAGGGACACCTACCAAAGTTTGCTGTTCTACGCAGTGTTCCAGGGTGTCATGTTGGCTTGGTGAGCTGTTGGAAGATAGTGGGATAAATCACTTGCGTATTTTTAGTATAGTTAGAACCTATCAGCCTACTTGAACACGCAATGAATGTCGAAAATATGAAAGTGTTCTCTCCTCTTAGAACACAGCGTAGATCCCCGACAGATTCTTTAGTGACTCGTTGTCGTCCATGCAAATGCTAGCATGTAAGTGCTCACGAAGACTATCATATGCCCCCTTACGTACAACGTTGATATAACCTCAAGAAGCTACCACCATCCGCTCGACTGCCTCCAACCAGCATGCTGTAATCCGAAGGCCGCAGCAACAAAGCTGCTCCTATACCATAAAGTTAATCCCTCTACCCACAATAGACGCTTCAAGAATGCCCTAGATGACTGACACCCGTGCGGACCATCTCATAACCTTGACAAAAGAGCTGCAATTCAAATCGACATCGCACAGCTTACTCTTACACCAATACGAGCATGTCGGTCCTTGCTTCCACCACCGCCGGTGATGCCAAATCCGGCAACTCTCTACCACACCTGTGCTGTGTTTGCTCTGCCCGGAGATTTGCTTGGCTTGAGCCTGGATGTCCAACCGACTCATCAGGCCTGAAATCTGGACAATGCGTCTCCGCCCCAATGTCTTTCTGTGAACGCCAAGCACAGGATGCAAGGATGTCTGACGATAGGTGTCGAGAAAGCTACAGTAAGTACTACGCTCTCCAGTGGAATAATGTCAAGTCACGAACTTAGTGTCTTACAAAAGCGGGGAGTTCCGTGCTTGGACTCCTTGACTACTTCTGGTGATCCGGTGGTTATCATGGATCCTTTGGTTTTACAAAGTGCTTGAAAGATTGGGTGCTGACATATAGGGAAGGGTACACACCAGGACTGAGACATCCTACCAAGACTTTTAAGCAACCCTTCGAGTTTCGACGGACAACTGATCAAGGACGAAAGTGGCATTGATGGACGCGTGGCGCGGTTCCAGTAGCATGAACATGCGTACACGTCTTCATATACTCAGACGGGAGATCTTGCGTATTATGGGTGGATTGTGCCGAATATCCTACCAGTCTTCTAGGGAAAACAGTCGGATCATTGACTGAGCCATTCTACAGACGGACCCTCCGCGATCCGCGTTCATCGAGACTCAAGCCCACGCTTCGAACAGTCCACAGCTACATACGGGTACATCCTCCCTATCGAACTCTATCCTTGATAAGCGACTCTATTCTGGACCAAATATAAGCAACCTCGTCCGTCACGCTCACCTATGTATACCTCTATCAAACATGAATAAACTACCTGACTACATTCATCATATCTAAATGATGCCAAGTTGTAGTCTCAATATAACATCGGTTCGCATGTTTGGAACATCACAACCTTGCTACCTCGACCCTGATCCACCATGCCAGTCCACTCCCTCCTCCACTGCCCATATCCAGGCCGTCGATGTCAGAGCCTGGCACAACACTGCTGGACGCTTTCCATCTCTACATGTAGTCTGATACCCGTCTGCACATTAAGCCATGATGGAACGAAGCTCTATATAGCAACCCTACATGGGAATGTTTAACCAGACACAGATGAAAATTGAGACGTGTCAAAGACGACATCAACGTGGATGCGAATGTGCGGATGGACTTCAGACTTGACTTATGCTCGATCGATAGGAGACTATATCTGGTAAATTCTCCGAGACATCCCTTTGGACCTCTACTTAGCTGGAGATCAGAGTGCGTTATGACTGATATCCGCCTCCTGTCCTGAGAGCTTGGGCAGAGCTGAAGCCGGCCCTCGCATCGATGGGCACGAAATAATATCTACTCGAGATAAGGGTCAGACATGAGGTCGTGGCTGGAACCAAATCGATCTATAATCGATCTGCGGATGTGCTTCCGCGTCCTTGATGATACTACTCAAATCCTCATCAGCCAGTTTCCTCTTCTGCAGCTCAATGCATCGGTGACGCATATCCTTTGTCTCCTTTGCCAAGACATGCTCTTTGACTGAGATGTCTTCGAAGCCGACCAATGCGTCGTCGCACGCAAGGACACTGTCCATAAACTTCTGCTGATAGAAGTAGCATTTGGAGAGTTCGATGAGCGTTCCAAGACGGTCTGGGTGGTAGCTACGGATCCGGAGCGATGGGGTCTTCTTTTGACGCATTGAGACATCGAGCAAGATGGCTTCGGCTTCTACGTAGCGATGCTGACGGATCATAAGCATGCCTAGAAATTGTCTTCCGAACAGTGTGCCGATGTGGTCTTTTGAGAGATTTCTCTCAGCCATATCGAGACCGGCTACGACGAGTGTCTCAGCGGCTTCATGATGTCCAATAGCACTGTGCGCCCGCGCAGTATGGACCATTGCTAGCAATGTGTAAGGATGCCCCCTGCCGTGCTTACTTGTTCGCTTCGCTAAGATTTGAAGCATGGTATCTAGGGATTCAGCGTAGTACTCTTGGCTGATTCGCAAGCCTATCTGGGCCCGGGTTTCTTGTGCAAACAAAAGATCGTCATCATCTTGCTCTATCTGACACGAGCTCTGCATACCGACTACGGCTTCTGTAGCCAACTCGTACGCTTGCTTTAGATCCTGATGGTCCCAGAAAGCTGATACGAAAAGAGCCAAATTATGTGTGGCTTTCAATGTGTCTTTGTGCCCTGGCTCCAGGTATTTTTTGAAACCCTTTACCACGTCCAGCTGCATAGTCTTGGCGTCTGTCATGAAACCTTGTTGCCAGAGTATTTTACTATAACTATCCTTTGCTCGAAGCGTTTCTGGATGCCATGAACCGAAGGAGTGTAAGCAAGAATTCAGGACTGATTTCTGTAGCGTAGCAGCTTCTTTTGGGCGGTCTAGATGTCGGTACGTCTCAGAGAGCGCAAGGGATATTCGTCTCGTCTTCTCATGGTTTGGTCCTAGCAATTTAAGAGTGTAGTCCCTGACTTGAATTTGTAAGGAACGAGCGTCATCGTATCTCCCGCACGACATGTACACGAAACTGAACTTGGCCTTCATCAGTGATCGATGGGGACTCATGTTTATCTTTGATTGGAACCATGATGACCATGTTCTTCCGCGAGATCGATTCCGCTCGAGGAACTCCTTGATTGCGATTTCGTAAGTCTTGAGACTGTCCAAATGTGGGAGCAACTCGCGAGCATAACGACTTTCAGTGCTGGTATTCTGCAGTGGTGGTAGAAGTATCGAGGCAGAAATCATCATTCCAGCGGCCTCACAGCGAAGCGCTTGCTCAGAGAATGTTTCAGCTCCTCGTTCGCGGGCCCATTCATGCACAACGGGGTGCATAGAATAGTTGTCGTTCACTTGGTCGTGGCATATAAGGGACATCTCGACAAGTTCCTTCAACGCTACACGTACACGAAGAATGAACTGATCCTTGTCCTCAGCATTGATTGCTTGTCTGATGACGGTTGGATATACGGGTGGATCTTGCGGCATGATAATGAAAAGGCGAACTATGTCTGCCATAGCTTTGATTCTTTCAACCATTGAGGTTTGGACCTGTGCTCCTTCTTTCTTCTGGTCAGCGGCCATGCGAAGCTGTTGCTCAGCCTCGAATTTCGAGTTGTTCATCGCTCGTTTGAGGATGTCGAATCGAATGCTATCGCCGTGCAGAAAGGCAAAGGTATGAAGAAGCTCTATAGCGTCTCGCGCGGCTTCAGTCTGCTTTGACTCTATGTGGCGATAACATATATCTAAAGTCGTATAGACCTCCCAGAAGACCTCGTAGTTTCTTGCGGTATTCATGCTCTTAGTCGGTCGTCTTTTAAACTGCCAGTAATTTCTATGAAGGATGAGATAGTCTCGAAGCGTACAGATGCCACTGCTGATAGCTGCCCCAGCACCTCTGATTGCAAGAGCCAGATGCCCCAATGTCTTCGAAATGTTTGAGGCAAGAGAAAATGTGTCGACGTCCCAGGGTTCAGGCTGCTCAGCGGCTCGCAGCAGCAACTCTTTTGCCTCATCTATAGCCAGACCACCAAAGTCAAATGAGCGACTCCCAACGTTGCCGTGGACTTTAAACCGAGGATTCCGGGTAGTCACCAGTATGTGACCTCTATTTCCAGGGGGAAAATGATTCTCTAACGTCATCGACGGATCATCCGCATTATCAATGATGAGCAGCCAGGGGAATTGTATGTTTACAAGCCAATAAATGGCGGCTTTCTCGTTTGGCTCAACTCCAGCTATGGTCGCAATCAACGAGTAACTTTGTTTGATGAGCTCCTCAGACCTTGCATTAATGCAAAAGACGCCCCAAAATCTGACTTGTCAGTACGCATACCACAGCTGCAATGTAAACATACCTATCGCGATTCTGTTCAGCAAACTTTGAGCAAAACTGTGTCTTGCCGGAGCCTCCCATTCCATATATGACAAATCGTTTCTGTTGTGCCGTATATACCGTCGATCCGATAAAGGTACGTGACAGCTCATCCAATCTGTCTTTTCTGCCAGTGAAAATACTGCTTACGGGCTGTGGGACTCGGAAGTGCTGATTGACAAAGGTTGACGGCGGTGACTGAATCGGCTCTACTGTATCTCTTAGTAATTTCATCGTAAGTAGGTTGATGAGCTGGTGTTGTGAATCCTGGCCTGTGCCTTGTGGAAGTTTTTCGTGAGGGACAGATGTTTCCTCCAGTAATTTTCGAACGTCATGGGAAAGAGCTTGTAGAGTGTCATGGTTGGTATGGCCAATGTGTCTATCAATGTCAGATCATGGCGTTTGCGAGATGGAAGAAGTGTTTTACGAGTTGATCATGTGAAAAGCCAAGCTAAGGAGTAGTTGATATCGATGCAATCTCTCTCGACATTGTCGAAGATCGGGATCTTTGGAGCGCTTGCGAACCGTCTTTTTGAGTGCGTCCAAAGAGTGTTTGACTGTTGGTCCGTCTTGACCAACGATGGTAGCAGCGTATTGTTCAAGCTCTACAAGTGTTGTCGTACAACAAACTAATGTCTCTCCAGCACGGGACCATAGATCTCGGAGTTGAGGGTTTTCATGGTCTGGTGAGCATAGAGCTCGTTGTCGATCGAAGACTGATCTGATGGATTTACTGACATCGCCTAGTGTTTCTACTTCGGCCTGTAGAGTTATGAAGTCATTCTCAAGAGAGGCCACAGAATCTCGATAATTTTACAAGAATATGACAAGGCGTACGGAGATGTCAATGAGTCCGCCAGCTCCAGCAATAATGGAGAAGGGGTCTGCCATTGTTCAAAAGCCCGATGAAGGTGCCATTGATGTAGCGATGGTGAACGATGTTGCAGCAGATGACAAGGCTGCAATATCGATCCCACCTTGTGATTGTTCTCACTGATGTCTGGACGGGTCTGAAGGCTAGGCTATTCGAGTAAGCCATGGCAAAGCTGGATCTCATCAATGACAGCCAAGGCTGAGACTATGCCATGCTTTTTCATGGAGTGCACATATGCAGTGCTGCGGCATATAGCTTGATGTGGCTCGTCAACCTATCACTTACCCATCATACATTTCAGCTGCAAATATGATGATGTGTGAGCGAGAACACAGCGTATCAAGGGCTTCAAAAAAGCCTGGTAGGCCCTTCGTCGTCCATTGGAATATGCTGTGTGACATTGGCGCATTGCAAGCATTAAAGCGATCTGAAAAGGAATATGAACACATAGATGCGCGTCTCAGGAAACATCCATGGATTCCTGCCGCTCTTGCCAAGGCCGGAGCCATCTCCGATATTCCCTTCACCACTAAGATACAAGACAATTCCGTCCCGATCATCAAGTCTTGCTTCGACGAACGCAATGCATTAAGCACCTGGGGCCTTGCTGGCCCTCCTCTCACTGGCTAGCTGCAGATGGTGCCGCAATGTAGGCATACGTCTGTAATAAATGTAATGCTTTTGCACGATGGAGGATGCCACTGACCCGAGTTCGAAGTCCACAACTCGGCCCATCATAATACAAAAATCTGCGGGGCTCCTGGCCGGTACGGATCACACCAGCTTTACTCTCGGCTGAATGTGCCAGACAAGACAGGTACCAAAATGCCACGTTTGATACTGGCTCTATGCGCTATGCTGTCGCTGTTTGCCTACAAACTCTGGCTAAAACGCAAGAAAGAAAAGGTTGGTTTGGCTGACCAGGCCAAAATTTGGTGTCACGAGGCTGGTAGCTTGAAGCTTCAGACCTCGTTTACAGTGATCATAATAGCTGACAGTTGTCAAGATTCGCCAGCGTTTTTCAAGAGACAATGGCTGTCAGCCTCTCCGAGATTGGGATTCGCATTGGCCCCTGGGCCTTGACCTCTTACTTAAAGCCTTTCGATACGCTCGCTCACATCAAATCCTTCAGTTCTTCCTCTCCGTATTGAAGAAATCTGGAACTACATGTCAGCAGAGTTTGCTGGGAGCGACTGGCGTTTTGACCATAGATCCAGAGAATATTGAGGCTATTCTTTCTACAAAGTTTGAGGATTTCGGTATGGGACTGCGAGCACCGACGTTCTACCCACTGCTTGGTTCCGGTATTTTCACCCAGGACGGTGTAGAGTGGCAGCATTCGCGAAACCTATTGCGGCCGCAGTTTATGAACAATCGCTTCCAGAACTTCGAGCATATCAAGGAGTGTGTGGAAAATCTGCTCAAACATGTACCCGACTCAGGGGTGGTTGATCTTCAACCTCTTTTTTTCCGCTTCACATTCGACACCACCATGTTCCTACTCTTCGGCAAGGCCATCTCATCATTAGACTCAACGGAAATCGCGAACAAAGAGTCAAGGTTCGCACATGGTTTTGTCGTTGGCCAGGATTATCTTGCACATCGCGGCCGCCTCGGTGAGTTCTACTGGGTGCTGAACGACCGGACATTTCGCGATGCGTGTAAAACATGCCATCAATTCGTCGATGAAGCAATACAATCTGCCATTAATGACGCCACTAGCAGCACCCAGTCAGATGGAGCAGTAAAGTCCGATATTGATGACCATCGAGGTGTGAGCAAGAAAGAGTATATATTCATCCACGCACTTTTACGAGAAACACAGGACCGCAAGGCGCTACGTGACCAATGCCTCAACATCCTCCTGGCCGGGCGTGACACGACGGCCTGTTGTCTCATATGGACCTTTCGCCTGCTCGCTCGTCATCCCAATGTCCTTGCACGGTTGAGAGACGAGATCAAAGCAATAACAGGCTTAGGGCCCACCGCCGAAACACCGACACGGGCGCACATCAAACGTATACCCTATCTCGACCTGGTTCTAAAAGAAGTACTGCGGTTATACCCCTCTGTACCAGTCAACTCACGTACCGCCCAGTGTGATACCGTCCTACCAGTTGGAGGTGGCCACGACGGGAGGGGTCCAATTCTTGTACGTGAGGGGGAAGCAGTGGGATATTGCGTGTATGCCATGCATAGAAGGAGAGATATTTACGGCCCGGATGCAGATGAGTTTCGACCCGAGAGATGGGAGGGACATGAGTTAAGCGAAGTTGGTTGGGGCTATTTACCTTTCAACAAGGGCCCCCGAGTATGTCTTGGTCGTAAGTCACTAGCCTTCGATGAAGCTTGCCCTTTCACGCATATACTGACCGTGTATTCACCACCAGAGGATTTTGCTTTATTGGAAGCGGGATTTGCCATCATCCGGATCATTCAGTCGTATCCTGAGTTTACAGTGCCGGCAGATGAAAAAGAATTTAAGCTTGGTGATGAAGGACAGCACCTAACATTGGTGGTATATCCTGAAAAGGGGTGTCGCATAGTCTTACCACCACAAAGATGAATAAATGCATTAAATTCTGACTACCCATCACATAAGTGGTATATTCGCAGCCAAGAGAAACGTCATGCACATCATTGCCGAATGGGTCACCACGTGCTTTCCAAAACAATGGGACCAGGACAGCTTCAATGTAATCACCTACCCCGCCTCCTCATTCAATGACGATATGAAGCTCTTGTGGTATCTTTGCACTCTCAACATCCAATAAGCTACTTCGAAAATCTACATACCAGAATCTCTGACTCCTCTCATACTCCTGAAATGACGACAACAAACACCGCTGGAAACCCACACCTAACCCGTGCCTATGCCGTCACCTCGCCAGAAGAAAACAAAGCTCTTTACGAAGATTGGGCCGCCACATACAACGCCGACGTACTCGACGCCTCACAAGAATATGTCGCGCCCGCCCTCGCCGTGCAAGCCGTGGTATCCGCAGGCGGCAACACAGCAGGCACGATCCTCGACGCCGGCTGCGGCACCGGCTTCGTTGGCATCGCGCTCTCGCAAGCCGGCGCAAAAACCATCGACGGCCTGGATCTCTCGCCCAGCATGCTGAAGATCGCACGGGAACTGGGCGTGTACAGGGCCTTGGACACGGCAGATCTGAGTAAGAAGATTGAGAAGGAGAGTCATGCGTATGATGTGGTCACGTGCGTGGGCACGCTGACGCATGGTCATGTTGGTCCAGACCCGGCGCTGAAGGAGTTTGTGAGAGTGGCGAAGAAAGGGGGTGTGGTAGTTGCGACTGTGCTGGACGATATTTGGGTTTCGGGTGGGTATAAAAAGGAGGTGGAGAGATTGGCAGAGAGGGAGGTCGAGGTAGTAGGGACGGAGAAGGTGGATTATCGGAAGGGGGCGAATGTGAGTTGTCGGATGGTGGTGATGAAGAAGAGGTGATGGATGCGTGTAGTACAGGTCAATAAAGCGGTAATGAGCGATTTGCGAGTTCATATCACTCTCTCCTCCTATTCACCCTCTCACCCACCCGCTAAGCCCGATGATTTTCTCGGCCATAAGTATCGTGCCCAGTATAATTACAATTGAACTGCACTCAGATACTCGTTCACGTGAGACATCTTAGTATGACTTAGTCCACGATCTATGAAACGTTCTTATAGTGAATGCCAGTGTACGTCGAGTTCGCCGTACGTAGATGTCTGCAAGACGATCAATGTATGACATAACGATGTGCGAATCCCGCGCTAGAGCGAGTACTGATACACTGAGCTGACAGATACGTATCCTGGAACTTCTAAGCTTCGGATTCTTACACTTCGTTGCCTCTTTTCCACCTTCCTGCTTGCCTCTTTAAAATACCCAACCCACGAGGATGTCGTGATTGCTTACAAAATCAGGAGTCTTCCTCGCTTGCGAGGAGCTCTTCTCTCTCCTCTACGTTGGTTCTAGTATCGTACGTCCCGAGTGATGCGTGAGTAGTCCCACTCATAATCTTAGCCATAGCAAGTCCCTCCTCTCTGCCCTTCCCTTCATCAATCCACCAAATGAATGGTGCAGGCACCGCAATGAAAAGCGCAATAAAGAAGAAGCCCCCTCTCAAGCTTCCTGTTGCATCAGCAATCCGTCCTACCACTGCGGGTCCAATTATGGAACTCCCTTTATCTGTGAATGCATACAACGCGTAGAAGGCCGCCTCATGCCCCGGGGGTATGAGGTTCCCATAGAACGAGCGACAGTAGGCTGAAAACCCACCGAATGCAATCCCATGTATACTCGCCATCATATATAGCTCCATTGCAGATTGAACGCCACCAATACCGATGATATGGACAAACGGCAGATAGCCAAGGATGCCGTTGATCGGGATGACTAGAAACAGGACTATAGCAGCAAGTATAACAGTCTTTGACTGCAGATTATAGCGAAGTTGGAACCTAGGCCACATTAAAGCCCCCAGAACACCAGATCCTGTTGCAATGAGTGCGATTGTAGCGACGCCGGCCGGACTCATACCAAGTTCAGTCTTGCCGAAGAGCACAGCAGTGTCTGCCATTGTAGCGAGTGCATCTGATAGGAACACCCATGCTGCAAGAAACTTGAGCATCTGACGCAGTTTGCATGCCACTTTGATCGTCTCCCAGGTAGATTTCCACGAGAATATGATGTATGCAAGCCAAGAGAATCTTTTCGCACGCAACAGGGTAGGAGGAAGTGGAGGCCCAGGTCGGGGCCGCAACCAGCGGAAGGAGAGTACGCTGAATAGAAGCCACCATACGCCGATTGCGAACAACAGGACACCTAGGGGAGCTGTAGACACGTTCGGGGAAAGCCGTAACATAGCAACCAGTACAAGGAATCCGATGCTCAGGATCTGGAAGAGAAGGGCAGCAGAGTATCCAATACCATACCCACGAGCACTAATCTGCGTTGATACTTTCAAATCAGACAGTTCCTTTGTCCTTGCAGGCTGATACTCATTCAGCTCGTCGATGAATTGCGACGAGACACCAGCATTGTTCTGTGCATCCTCCAACGTTGCCAAAGGTATCGCCAAATCATCATCCAAACCATCATTGATCCGCGATGTTCTGCTCTCACGTGGATGATGCTTCGCATATACAGGCAAGTATGCGTTCAACAATACAAAGCTTGAGCCCAAGCACGTGACGCTCACGACAATGAGCAGCGGCGCCAGGAGGTAGAAAGCGCGTGAAACGAATACTAGAGAACTGCAGCAAATAGAGCCGGTGAATGCGAGTGCTGTGAGAAGCTTCTTTCTGTTGTTCCCTATGTGAAACGTCAGCACCAATATTTACGGTCAGGCTGTCATGAAGCTGGAGGAAAACCAAACCACACGTACCGTAATCTGCCAACGCACTGCTCGATACCAGAACCACTACCTGCACCAGAACTGCAAGCGAGAAGGTATACAACACGAAACTTGACGTGGTAATTTCGAAGCCGAATGGCGATATAACGCATTGCTCGTCTCTGCCAGAATCATCTCTCGTACCTAACCTGACTCTACCCGAATCACCACGAGGCTCAACACAGGACACGCCATGATCTGATCGCAAGACGCCATTTTCTCTTGCGAGGGACTCTAAGAAGACTGGTAAGAACGAGCCGACGCCACAGATCACAAATACTTCTGCAGCCGCGCTGTACGCGTACCAACCGCGAAGCTCAAGCGAGGTTGTCGGGCGTGTATCTTCACCCTCATAGCGGGCAGTGTGAATCTCGTGCTGAAGAGGTAATTCGGTCATGCCATCAGTGGAGATGAAGACGATGGAAGATGCGGTGGTCGAGGCCCTGGGCGCGAGGTTGAGGTTGAGCCTGAGCCTTGGGTCTGAGCCTGCTCACACGCCAAGCCACGATACGCGCATGTGGGATGCACGTTTTGGGCAGATTTGTCCGTACATTGCTAAAACACTGCGTCTGATAAAGAAAGCTGTACAGCACTAGCAAAGCTAGGAAGGCTTGGAACACATAAGTGAGGACGTGTCGATGCAGAATGCACTTCTTGTATATAATAGTACCTAACCCGTTGCCGCGCTGAGCCAGCCAGCTGACCTCAGAACCACCAGGATTCTCACCCAGGAGCCCCTAACTGCACTTTCGTGATGTCCACATGTGTGTTTTCGTGCCATCATCTTATCGTTAATATCATATTTCCAGCTGCGCCTGTCCTGTATATCCCAGATTTGCTCGCCAGGTGTTCCACACGCCATACAAATGTACCACAGCACCAATCACTACACAAACGTGGAAGATTTGATGCGAGGAGCCGATGATGTCAAATTTCCCTTTCGTACTCAAGCTTTCCGGGATACGTGTGGCAAAGAAGAATGCGCCAATGCCATAGGCTACACCCTCTGTTAACCAATACTGCATGCCAGAATACAGTAACGCTTCTTCGAGCCCGTACGCAATGACACCATGGAAGATAGGGGCTAGGCCAGAAAGCGCGGTGAGTACGAAGACTAGGGTGCGGATACCTCGCCATGCTTGTCCTTGCAGCTTGGGGTGCAAGGTGAGTACGCAAGCAACCGTGCTTAGGGTGGTGATCATCGCCCAGTACAGCTTTTGGATGTTTGGATGGCGATAGAACCCGACGTAAATACCAGAAATAAAGCTCGACTGAATGAGGATCAGGATACCAAGATAGTCGACTTTCAAGCTAGTCTCCGAGATCCACTGACTGTGGTTGATGAGCGTATGGTAGGAGCTCGATAGCAGAGCAGTTGTGAGAGCAGCGAAGAGATTGAGGTTGAAAATGATGCGATCAATGGGTGAAGCTTCGGGAAAGTAGTTGTTGATGAGCGTCTGGAGTTGCCAGAATATACAGACAATAACGATTGCTGGAATCAGATGGGTCAAGATGTTGAGTGTTTGGTTATGCATGATGAAGATTGACGACGAGAGGCAGGCTTTGAATGAATTGGAAACTGGGCGATAGCCGCGCTTGATGTACGGGTTGTCTTGATACCATGGTGGTATGTCTTCGTATTTCAGCAAAGGCAGGGGTGCCTCAACTGCCTTATCATTGGCAGAGTCCTGTTTGTGCTCTAGATTCTTGATCGTGGCATCAGTAGGTTCCTGATAAGTTTTTGCATGCGATCTTCGTGTAGCTGTCGAGCTCATATTTGCACGGGTGCGTATATATTTTCAGTGAATCTGCGGGTCAGATGTCCAATTCCGAAAGACGAACATGAGCATAAAAAGAGCTCAAATGGACAGCGAGTGAAATATGGGTGACGGGACACGAAGAAAGAAAGGGGTGAATGAAGATGTAGTCGGGCGCTAGGCAGAGGTTTCGAGCGCATCTTGTTGGCGCGCGCGGGGCCGGACAAAGCTATTAGGGCGCAGAATGGCAGCGGCAGCTCAGATTATCATTATTAATGAAGCCGCCGGAGTGATCCTGGATGAATTAATGTTGGGATCCTGTCAATGGAAAGCGCATATTGTGGTGCGTTCCTGGAGTCTTCTTTTTGCTGCTGGCCAGCAAATCTGTGCATGCCGGTGGGTGTTTTGCAATGGCATCACTAACCCACGGCCGGACGCCCTTCAACCTACGATATCCTTGTCAACGAGAAGATAATGATAAACGAAGTTGCCAAAACCCTATTCGTCGATGGTTCCACAGTGCATGTGATCGAAGTAATGCACGTGGCTCCATCAGATCGATTATTAGGTGGCATTCCCTTGCATCCCTGGACGTCGTCTTGGACGGCCTCGGGTGGCCAATCTCGGCGTGAAAATGTCCGCCTCAACACCAACACTAGTACATCACCAGAATCATCTTCGTCAGTAATGATGAAGGGAGCACTCTTTGCCAGACGTCGAAACAAGCAGTCTTTAGCCTCCCAGCGGAACAACACCGGGCCTAAGGTCACATGATGGCGCGTTGCTGTGCGGCAGCCCATTCCAAGTTCCAGGCGCGTCCGCGGGACCGCAAGGATGTAGTGAGGTCATCATCACTGCATCGCCCACTGAAATCCCTCACAAACAACAACACCAAACACCGACACCACCGTTTGCGCAACAATTGATTGATCGGTCTTCCTGTTCATACAGTACTTTGTATCAACTGTATTACATCCGCACTTCATAATTGCGCAAGATGGTCTCCTCGAAGGGAAAACCTACCGATCCGAAGCTCCGCGAAAAGGTTAAAGAAGGCACGTGATCCACTCATACATTTCTCAGCCCAATCGCACGAATCGCGACTAACAGAGACCTCCACAGAGATCAAGAACAAGCCCAACAAGGACGGCGGCGGCAAGGGCCAATGGTCCGCATGGAAAGCCACGCAGCTCAGCAAGGAATACGAAAAACAGTATGTAGACTTTCTCGTATTGCGCCAGAACCTCTATTCTTCTATGCTAACAGTCTCCAGAGGCGGCTCTTACGAGAACGAGTCCGGCTCCAAGAATGAGCCGAAAAAGGGCGCCCCAGAACCCAAGCCTGAGGCCAAGAAGAAGGATGAGACCGCCAAGACGGACGCCAACAGCTCCAAGAAGGATGCTGGCGAGAAGAAGGCCAACAGCTCTAAGAAGGTCGACGCCCCTAAGAAGGAAACCAAGGCTAAGAGTGCACCAAAGAAGAAAGCGGAACCTAGAGAGGGCACAAGGAAGAGTGCACGGCAAAGTGAGAAGAGGGGTGCGGAGGACGAGGCAGATGGTGGGGAGAATAAGAAGAGTAAGAAATAGATATATGGGGACTAGGCACGGTCGGGGGCTTTGGAGTTTGTGGAGCGTTGGCTAGGGCTTTAGATACCCGGATAGGTGCACTAGGATTAATACCATAGGATATGTAATTATTGGATGGGTGTTAATTAGCGGGCACGATGTTCATAGAAAGCGTGTGCTCGTTTTGTGCAGTCATGATAGCATTTTAAATTCCTATAAGCCAAGAAGCACCGAGCGTCCCCGGTGGCAGGCAAAGGAAACCGTACAAGGAGTGTGTCTGTCGAGCCCAAGTCTTCATATTCCTCCCCTTAACCTCCACCACATGACCTTATGGCAGTAAGGCTAGCAGGCCATCATCACCATTGGTCAGGCCTATTCCTTGTAATACCCACCCTTGGTCGTGCAATCGACCTTCGAGCTGGTATATGGCTTGGTAACAGTCACGTAAGATGTGGTCGGGTAGAGAGAAGTGGTCTTGGACGTGCTAACGATCACAGTGGGCACCTTGGTGACAATCGTGGAGTGCTCAGTCTTGACGGTACTGTGGATTTGTTAGTGATATACTCTTCTCAAAGGAACGACTTTATTTACGTGTGAGGCTTGGTCACGGTCTCGACGTACGTGTCGTATTTGGTACCAACGGATGTAGTGGTGATTGTAATTGTTTTGGCTAACAGATGTTAGCAAATATCCAAGCATGCGCGTAGTTCAACTAACTGTAGGGTTCGGCCTTAGTCTTTGTGTAGAGGTTCGTGGTGTAGTCGACAGTGGTGTGAGGCTTATCGACAACTGAAGTCTTTGTTACGTAGCCAGTGGTGGTGACCGGGACATAAACTGTCTTAGTGGATTCGATTACGGTCTTTGAAGTCTCGACCTTGCTGGTCACGTAGAATTTGGTGGCGCATGTGGTATACGCTGGAGGTGGAGGTGGTGTATAAGCAGGCGAGGCAGCGACAACGGTACTGTTAATTGTTAGAGAGCTGGTTGGTTGATCAATCGTAGATGGCGTAAAAGCCTACAGATAGGCCACAAAGGCGACGAGGCTAGTGTAAAGCATGTTGAGATATATCGACAATCCTAATGAAGGAGTTTGATGACTTGCTTTATGGTGAAGCTTTGGGAGCGAAAGACTTGAGCGACTGTCGAGGATAGAGGGTTTGGTCCTTGGGTTCCTTAGTGCTTCAATTGAGTGCGGTTGTCTCCTCTACTTTATACTTGTCAAGTCTGAGCCTTCCGAAGCTGAGCCAAAATTAGACAATGGAACCCTATGAATGTGCTACATCATTTCGTGAGCATGCATTGAACAGCACCATACATTCCGTCCGTAAGCTGGGCATTGCTTCTCAGCTCGATCTTGAACCCCTTGGCATGATCCCAGATCATGATTGACCCAGATACGCGGAGAAGCGAGGTTCCATGAATATGTTGTAGTCTGTGGTAGGACTAGCATACGATGCATATATAGCGCAAGCTGTGCTTCGTCACGACCAAGGAACCATTGTGTTAGTACACGAATAACCCATCTGGATGCTTACAGTCCAATACACTCAGACCCAGCAGGGTTGGCACTTCGAGTTCAGTGCCATCGTACTGCTGGCGGGAGGACATTCTTTGGTTGGAATATACCCTAGAAGCTCGTATTCCACTCGAGGTGAGGCTGGACCATTGTTGGCAGATCGAACTATATCGAACACCTCCTGGCTACGATTCAGTCCGGGTATTTCATCTCGTAGAGTCGGCCTATAAGGTGGCTTGGCTAATTGAAGCTCTAGCCTGTCCGGATTCCTTGGGACTTGGACATATTCGCGCACTGAGCTTATTCGATGCTGGCAGCTACGTGTATGGAGCCATAGTAACACAACATCTCGCATAAGACAAGTTAACCACAAGTCTCCGATCTAATAGACTTACGGTGGGTTAGCTCAGTCAGAGCCAGGTGGGTGCTGTCTGCGCCTTGTGAGTTTCGTTCTGTGACTAAAGAATGACCGAGCTCTTGAAATTTGACTCCCATTAGAGCGAGCTATGTAGGTTTCCTAATTGATAATGCACAGCAGTGGTCTCGAGCAGATTTGTTGATTCACTGGCATCTGCAATGCTCATTCGGTGGAGAACAGTGTGCGAGCGACCAGCCTCAGTATCAGATAGAAAGCAGCTGCAACAATTGAACTATTCGTCAGTCCATCAAGAATGTTTGCAAGATATGGTTTCCGAATATGTCTCGACATGGCAGTGTTCAGATTCAATTGAGTGTCGTGGATGTAGAGCAGAGGGCGAACACTAAGCTGAAATAGGCTAAGAGGTCTCCTCGCACGGACCAACACGACGAGCCTTGATGATTTTCTTAGGTTGAGCTTCTCGATCACATCCCTTTACTACATCCAAATCATTTACAAGTCCAATCGTAAGGTTAAACCTGCGGTGCTTTCCACGACTATTACTGTATCCTCCGCTTCTTGCTCTGTATTACTTGTCTCCCTGCGTTGCTCCTTTCTTGTACCATATTTGTAGCACCTGTTCTTCCGTAAAGCTGCATCTGCCTGCTTACGATTGACTTGACTTTCAATCCTTCCATCTGGATCTCGAACCACTCCTAGACAACTTGGAACATACCCTGATCGCCATGGGCCTCTTCTCGAGGTCGGCGCAAGCTCCGACCCCTGAAACCTCCCCTGAGGCACGAGCAGCTCCGCCTGCTGTCCCTCGTACGCCTTCCGAACATGAACCTCCTACACGGCTTCCATGGTCAGAACCCCGGAAACCACTCGTCATGTTCTTCGCTGGCGCTGCGTTTCTACTGCTCTCGACGACTTTGACAAAGAAGGCCATTATGCGACGGTGGACGGCATCGAAACCGAAGTACTACCAGCCAAACATGCAGCCAAACAAAGTGAAGGGAATCATAGAAGCTGTGGAAGCATTACAAATAGCAACCCTAAATGTCATGAGTGGAGCTATCATGTTTACCGGAGGCGCACTTTGGGCACTGCAGATTTCAAATAAAGAGATATTACGAGCGCGGTTAGGTGTATTCAAAGCCAGTGTGGGACTGGACACATCTGGTGGACAAAGCAATGAGAATGAGAGCTAAAGAGAAGAATAGATGTGCTATTTAGCTGACGTTCTTCCAAAATTGTTCAACTCATGATACCCGATTTAGAACTCAATGTACCCTCGCAAGTTGCGACGGCATGGGGACTAGATGCTACTCATACCAGCTAAAGCTGCGGCGAAAACGGGGTACATATAAACAAGGCGGCGAAACCAGCATCTTGCAGTCTCGAATGTATCCATACGATATGGTGGTGGACGTTGAAAATAGATCAAATCATGGTCTTTGTACTTGCGCAATCATGTGCGCCGGTATAGTGCGAGAATGGCTGCATTCACGGAAGAGAAAATCGGGTGGATGGTCCACTGAAACGTCAGCTACGTCGGGCTGCATGTTAACTGCATACGATAATACGAAAGTCACGACATTGTTAACGCACCAAGCTGAAGAACACGAGTCTTGGTCGTATTGGCTCCAAGTTCTACCGCAACTTTGGCCTTTCCCCTGGAGTCGATCTATTGTGTGCCAGTCATCACAATCAAGTACTCCTGTGTCCATTTTCCACTCAACAGTTGCCTGACCCAGAATCCGTCGAGCCGACGTCGAGAGCTGAAAGGACACGACGGCATGCCCATACGACTCATTCCTTTTCATATCGTTAGTAGCCCTGGATGAAAAATAATGGAGTATTTTCCAGGTATGACTTTTCACGTCTACACTCCCATGCCGACGGTGACATCATACCACACTTCGAGCAGCCGAGCGATGGGTTAATTGCATATGGTGACGGCCGGGTCTATCTTCAACGTTCCTATACACATATTTCAAGGTGCTATGTAGGAGTATCGCAGTCTACCCACATTGAATCTTTCAACCTCATGTATTCGATATCAGTCAGGTTGACCTCAGACTTTCTCGCATCGTGACCATATATACGCGCTTCATGTGCTTGCGGACCTCCGATGATATAATCTCAGATGCATCAGCCTGATCGTACACATCTCATTCATTGCATCACATCACCAGCTCAAAGCTTCGAACAATGGCATCCGAGCCTGCGGACTCAGAGAAAGGCGGCGTGCGCGAGGAGCCGAACATCCACGTCGAACTCACACATGCCCACCTCTCTGCCCAAACCATCATTGATCGTGTCAAAAGCCCGAAAGCAGGCGCCGTAGTCCTCTTCGCCGGTAAGCCAACAAACATCTGACCCCCGAAAAGTACCATTAACCATGGCCGTGAAGGCACAACCCGCGACACCTTTGCCTCCAAACCTGTCTCCCAACTCGTCTACCAATCATACGTACCTCTCGCACTCACCACGCTTCTTAGCATTGCGCGCGAAGTCAAGTCTAAACATGACCTAACCGCAGTTTCGATTGTGCACCGGCTTGGTGAGGTACCGATTGGCGAGGAAAGTATTCTGATTGCGGTGAGCGCGCCGCATCGGCAGGCGGCGTGGCGCGGTGGCGAGGAGGCGCTAGAGGAAACGAAGAAGCGGGCAGAGGTGTGGAAGTTGGAGGAGTTTGTAGGGGAAAAAGGTGTATGGAGGGCGAATAGGGACGGGGCGGTGGGGGAGAAAGTAGATGAGACCGGGGAAGGGAACAGACAAAGTAGTTGAGAACAATGTTTACGTCAAATTCGCGTGATTTTTAGACTGACATCTATTGCTATAACATGCAGACTACTCTGGAGCTACGTGTATCTGCCAGAATTTTGCGATATTCTTGTCCTGTGCTTTCTTACGTGCCTCGCTGCGCTCGTCTTCGTTGTACTGTGGATGCGAGACTTTTTCGGCGAGGATGCCAGTCTTTTTGCCGTGTCGGACGAATTCTAGGAATTCCATAGTCACGGCGACATATTCCCTCAGTCCATCTACTACGCTGATCGTTGCGCCAGTCGTCCATCGTAGGAGCAGGGGTTCGATGATCGGAGCATCCGTGATGCTGGGATGGCTGGTGCCTAACATAGTAGTAAACCAACTCGCGCCTTTGCGGTCCAACACGCTCTGCACAATCTCTTTGACGGCATCGAAATGTGGGCGGCCAAAGAACACGCTGATTTTCTTAGACCAGGAGTTCGAATGGACAACGAGGATCGGAATATCGATCTTGGAATTGAGACGTCCGCTGCTCTTGCCGGGATCAAACATTATAGCTCCTATAGCGGGCTGCTTTTTGGATGGCGCTCCCTTGACGGCCTGCATTGCGCCTGTCGCGCCGTAGGAGTGGCCGCTGATGACGATTTGATTGAGATTTAGGCGGCCTTCCAATGACTTTAGATTGTGCCCTTCTCTCCTCTCGTTTAGTCTCGTTATCCGGGGTGCATTGCGTTCGCTAATGGTTCGTAGAACTGTGATAGTTTCTTCAATCTCGGCCTGCCTGAAGTCGAGCTGCTCCTTCTTAAGCTGTAGGTCTTCCATCGGTGGATCTGCTAATAGGTCCTTTTGCGTGAAGCTGTAGACTCTCTTTTCTCCGTCATCAGACTTGACAATGGATCCAGGACCACTCCCATCACGATGTTCGATGGCCGCTACAACGACGCCGCGGCTTGCCAGTTCTCCACAGTACTGCGTGTAGTCCGTTCGTTTGCTCGCTGTGCCATGTGAGAACACAATCACAGGAAACTCTTCTTCACTGTCGTTGATTGGTACTGCAGGCACATCAACGAGTGCGGGAATCTTGATGCTTCCCGCAAGAGCCCACAGTCCAAATGTAAACAACGGTCTTGTAATGAAATTATTGATATGTGCCACTCTGGCATAGCCTTCTCCTATAAAACTGACTGGCTTCGGTACCCAGAGATGTTTTGGCAACTTTGATTTAGCGCCTCTCTCTGCCGGATAGTAGAGACTGAATAGTACTGTTTCGAAATCAAATGCTGGTAATCCAGTATCTTTGTAAACAGTCTCGCTGATATTTCGTCGTTCCTGCACAGGCACTTCAATATCTACTGTTCCAACGTCATACGGTCCAGTATAAGCTGGTAGCCGTGATGCTAGCAATGGCGAGCCTTTCGCGAAGCAGTAAAACACGTAGGTTAGAAATAGTACAAAGAGAATGTATTTCCAGCTGAGTCGTGGCCGCAATATCAATGGTACCCTCCGCAGGATCGACTGCCATCGTGTATTCGAATGATCCAGCCATCGCGGTTTATGGCGGGTCCCCGGTAACCCTGATGGCGGTAGTGGGAAATCAGGCTCGTCAAAGCCTTGTGTCAATGTTTCCATCTCAACATCATCATCCCTGTAGCCAGGAGAAGTCATGATGAATTAGCCTGGTATTAAGTGATAATTATTGGAGTAAAGATATGTGTCGGTCGGCAAGGAAGAGTTCCGGAGAGGCGGTGCTCTTGGCCTAGGGCCTAAGGTGTATGAGGCTGCAATTCTGCCTTACGAGAATGAATGCCGAATACTGGCGCTTACATTCTTAAATAGCAGACTATACTGTGTAGAAGCCATTAACACTTCGAAGCTCGTCTGATGCGAGATGCAAGCTAATTAGTCTGATGCAAGATGCAAGCTAGTCTAATGCGAGATGCAAGCTCGTTACAGCGAAAGAGCTAGTAACATGGAAGCTGCGAGCAGAGCTGTAAAGATCGTGTTATGAGGAATTGATAGCGTTTGGGGAGTCGGAATTCTGCCTTATAATACAGTACATCAGTAGACCGAGCTTCAGAACTCTCATACGAGGCTCGGGGGAGCAGTTTGACTTCTGATAATTCGAACGAGTCATTGTGTGCCTGAGGCTCAAGCTCCTTGAAGCTCTGCCAAGATCCATCCCACACCACCAACTCCCTAGTTGATTAAGGCAGATACAACCATTGACGTCCAGCAATGCAGATCTGATATCATTGTCCTGTGGGCTCGTCCATCAGTCCATACACCTTCTCACATTGTCCTTCAACCCGCACTTTCAATCAGCGACCGAAGCCCCAGACTCCATGTATGCGTCCAGGTTCCCCGCACGTCGTGTGAAGAGCAGGGGTCATAGGCAGCGGATGCCGGTCGTCCATGAACATATCATCAAGCGAAGATGTGATGAGCAGTAGCAGGAAGAGAGCTGGCGTGATCTTTCAATGGCTTCATAACTACCAATGTCCGCTCCCTCCACGGATGTCTGTCTCCATTCGAGGTCTTGACCAATCTCTTCAACTCCAATCAACGTAACGCCAACGGTGTATAAGTCGTTCATACCAAGATGGCAACTCTGACAGATGATCGGACCTCCACGGTTGATCCAGCGCTTGCGCAAGAGGCGCAGATACCTCTCCAGACCTTCGAAATCCCTTCCTTTCCTCCTGAGGCGCAGGGCTTGCGGGCTTTGATTTTAACATGCGACATCAAAACCGACGAATACACCGAGCTTCTGAAGACACATGTCGTCGAGACACCATCTCTTCCGAAGTGTATCACAAGCCTCACCCTGGAACTTTTCAGCCTCGGCTACCCACCAGGCTTCTTAACGACGCTGGCTAAAGCCTTACCAAATGTGAAAGAGCTTGTTGTCTATAGCCAGATGCTCGGTGGCATCACAAAGGACAGCGAGGCAGATGCCATACAAGCTTTCCAGGAATGGAAAGAGTTGCGAAGCTTGCATCTGCTTGACGTCTTTGCGAAACCGCACTTCTTCCAGAGAATCGGCGAAGGGTTAAGGAAGAGAGAGACCGGCTTAATGTTTCTTGAAATCAATTATACGTTCCGACACGAAGACGAGAACTTTTTGACGCGCGTTCCTGCAGGTGAACTGCCGTTGCTCATAACTCCTGGTCTCATAACGTGCGCGTTGAACCTCGCACCGTCGGAAGAGACCCAGGATGAGCAGGATCCGAGCAATCTCTCTGTAAAAGGAGATAAATCGGAGATTGGAAAAGATGGAGTTATGGCGTTCAACAAGACTCTCTCTCCCGATCTCGTTGAGGAGCTCACGAAAGAGGAGAAGCCGAAAGACTTGCGGATGTTGAATATCACGCTCTATACCATCGATGTAGACCAGCTGATCCAGATCCTGAAGTATCACAAAGCCCTCGTGATGCTTAGCGCGACTCTTCATTGCGAGCCGACTGAGGGGTGGAAGCAAAAGCTTCTAGAGGCGCTTGCACTCTGTCCTGAGCTTGAACAGGTCGAGATAGTGGGCAACCCGAGCTTGGAGTTCGCAATGCTGGTATGTCCTCGATGAAGCCCTCAAAGTCCAACGTGATTTTCGAAATAGTTGTTCTGGCCATGACTCCGGGTGTCTCACACGGAGACTTATAAAAAAGCTAACATTCATATCAATCCAGATGTCCAATCCGAAACGACGTCCGGAAACCATCTCGAAGACCTTCCCGTCAGAAGCCGACATGACAATGCTCTCGATATCGTGCCCGAAATTGAAAAGCATGGCGGCAAACATCTTGCGGACGACCTATATCGGAACTGCCTCTTGGAAGAAGGTCGGAGAATCCTGGAAAGGAGGCATTCAGAAACCAGACTCTAGCGACGAGTCCAAGGATTCCATGCCAGGGCCTGGGTCACAGATATATGCGTCAGCATGAACCGTGAGAGAGTTTTGCAGTAAACAAGTATGCTACAAGGCAAAAGCAGTGCAAATGAAAGAGGAGTAAGTTTGAAGCAAAACTGATTGTTAGCATCGCGTTGACTCGATTTAGGAGATTTCAGAGAAGAATACCAAGATGCATGTACAGTCAATCAAAGCTCAAAAAAGTCTACAACACAATGCAGAAAACAGACGTGCAATGCAAAATATCACATACCACAGGTCTCCGCAATCTACCTGTGTGTTTTTCGTGTACTGGACCTTAGGCAACAAACTTATCCGGAAAGCGAAGGGTTTCGTAGTCTGCAATGATGCAGAATCCAGCTAAGTCCATATTGTCTTTTTTACTTTATGCTTTCCTGTCGTTCGTTATGCTTCCAGAATCTCACGTCTTCTTTTGTTGAATATGCACTCTGGCTTTTGTCATAACACTCCACCGTCCTGAGATCTGGAGGTCCACGCAGAGCTTGGTGTTGCTCTAACTCAACAGCGCGGTACTATGGTCTTAACTCGTCGCGTACCGGTTAAGGAGCTCATCTTATGGTGTACCTGTCTCTGTCCACTGTTTAGAACTGCTGTAAAAGGTTTGTGGTTATACTGTATACCAGTGTTGCAGTTATGTACACTGTCGCAATGTTAAGGCGGAACACTTCGTGAAGGGCTTCGAAGTCAGGCAATCTGGGTATTGCGCTTCTGCTTACCTTGATTTGGATCGCTCTTGGAGCCTAGATCTCTCTGTCTTCGAACGCTGCATCTTCTTTCGGTGGTATTGGAGGCGGAGGAGGCGCTGGGAGTGCGATCCCGGACACGTCGTATCCTGCTCGCGCCATTGTTGCAGAATTGAAGTGGTGATGGCTTTGAAGTAGAACAGGGTCTTGCTTGATGATGACAATGAAGAGCTTGGGACTTTCAAACCTTGGTGAGATGGAAAGAAACAAGAAACTGTCTGCAGCCGTGGTTTTGGCTGTTTTCGGGAGGTGGTCACAAGCTACGAGAAGTGGAAAACCTCAAGTCAGGTTTACGTCAGGCACCACCACGATCGAACAACACCACAATATTCACGCGACCTAAGCCAACCTGCAATACATTTGCAGGCCTGTGTTGGTCATGCTCCGGGACTTCTGCTCAAATTCTAGCCTCTCCTATCGTCTCGCTGTAGGCTCTCTGGTCTGATCAGGGGCTATACTGTCTCGGCAATGCACAAAATATAGGTTACCCAAATTGAAGCTACTTCGCCTTCGGGCACTTGGTCAATATGTAACACTACAGAGAAGATTAGCATGGCCCCTGCACAAGGATGACACGCTTAATCAAAGAGAGACAAAAGATTTTTTTTGCACTTTCATTCAAGGTTCGATTCTCGGTCCAGTCTTCTTGCCCGGCTCGCATTTTTGTTCACTACAGGCGCACGTCTTGCTATGGCTTTGATATCAGCGTACGAGAAGAGCCTATAGACCCGGCTGTTATGATTCTCAAGCTCAAATCCCACTTTCAGTCAATTTGGCGTAGAGAAAGTACTTCCACAGTTGTTACGGCGAGCACGGCAGATGCAACAGAACTCTCACATTTGATAGAGCACGAAGCATAATCTTCCCAAGAGCAGATCTCAGGGTGAACATAACAGGAGTAGACTGTATCTAACAACTCAGTCATGATTTTGAGGATCTCGAGGCTATGAGGACAGCCCCTTCAGCTACAAGTTCAGAAATGAACACTTTTCAGAGACTGACGGCGAGGTCTTCTTCTCCATTCCAGTCCACCCAACCGCAATCGATAACACGACTGTGCAGAGGAAAAGTCCACTCAACCATATCGTCTACTGTGCACGAAGCCAATTCTCGAACTGTTCTCGGAGAACCTCTCTGCTGCTAGCCCCTATACCTCATGAATAAAAGCTTCGATCTCGGTGTTCCTTGTCCTGTTAACTGCCACATTGCGGCAATCTCTGCCCCTGCAACTTACTTGTTGTCACCCAAACAAGCCCTAGTGGACTGTGCGTGCTGAGCCCCGTCCCCATGACTATATATTTCGCGAATACCCTCCCTGATCCTCTCTTTCCCTTTCTCTTCAGCACAAAGCTCAAGGAATTTCTCATAGCAAGCTCAACTCTAGCTCCGACGACTCGACAATTTCCTCTCTCGATAAACACCATTACCTCTCCCTTCTATCTTTACATCTCAACTCTTTTGCGACTTGCGAGCTATCACTGTCTCTCTAGGCATGGGGCCTATGCAGCTGCGTCAATACACAGAGCTTCCTTCTCACCTCTCGCCTCTTCACTTCTACAGCAAGCTTTACAGCTCCTCAATTTCTCGCGTTTGCCTCAACATCAGTATGGTCTCGTGTTGCCAGTCTATTCGGGTTCTGAATGAGCTTAAGACGACTTTCCCCCGGCTGAGTCCGGTTCGCGAGCCTGATCCTGTTCCTGACCTTGCGAGTAAGTCACGGCACCTTCACAGACATCTTCTGCTGTCTTGATCTCATGCTAATATCTCGCTGGGTAGTCGATCTTACCGTCAGTCGACCTATGGTGGCTGAATATCACATAAAGACCATTCCACTACTTAATCATTTCGAAACTCCGGCGAATCTGCCACATACTCAACATAGACCCTCAACTTTCATCAACCAATCGACTGGACCTCTGACAACCTTACTATATGACCACTACCTAAACGCCACCTCTATGCATCCTACCGAATATAGTTCCTATGATGCTGGTCGTGGTTGTGTGGCTGGGGTGTCATGTCCAGTTTCTACGGGTTGGGTCTCTAATGACAACTCCGACAGCTTTTGCTTCACACATGATGGGGGTAGTCCTGAGCCAAGCAGGGCCCTATCGACGCTATGATGTCAAGGAGACCTGACCCCTCTCTCTCTCTCTCTCTCGATCTCTGACGGGTAAGTCTTTTCCCCCTGATACCCTTCATATGTCTCTCCTCATTCCATACCATTCACATTCAACTCTTCCATCATGTTACTCGATGAAAACACAGTGCTGACTTGTCATACATAGGCCCCTTGCGGGTCCATCTGCTGCCTCATGTTCTCTCTTCCTCGTCCTGCTGGAGCATTGGTGCCCGGCACCTCGCCTTTAATTCAATCAAGCCTTAAAAAGGGACTATGTCGGACTCCAGCCCTCAGCATGGCTCGGCACTTCTTCGTAGTGTTGGGGACTAGTAGCCAGCAATGGTGAAGCCAAGTTCGGGTCTTTTGTATTGAATAGTTGGATCTTGTAACGAAGGTTTCCGCTTGTATATATAGAACGATGATACTCTCCTCTCCTACCTACTTCTTTGACCTGACAAGCGTGATGATTTCTTTGTGATATTCGGCTTCTCCATCGTTGTACTTGCTCCACACTGTCAAACTATCTCGCTTTGTACATACTCACAATGTGTGTCGTTTCGCCCACACCTGGCATTTGCCTATGATTCAATACCTTGGTACGAATCACTGGTATTGTCCGTCGAACAGGTTCGTTTGGCCTTCAGTTGCACCCGTAACGAAAACTATCCAGAAAATGTCAAGTCATCATCACTCAGCTAGCGCCGTGCTCCTAACCGGTCAAATACTGTACACACAAACACAAAAGCATAGTCACCCTGCATTGCTTGACATCTCTTTCAGCACACGGGTCCCGTACGACTCATGAATATCTTGGCTTGTACCAACGTGCATCATCGCTCTCCTGAACTAAACAAAACACCCTACGCACAGATATCTAGGACCACTCAGGCCTCATACACCAAGATCCATCGTGCTATATCCCATACCGTACGTCTCCGACGTCCCACTTCCTCAGCTCCTGATCCGTCTACTGGATCAAACGACTGACTACTCCTCTAGCAAATCTTCATTATGACCACCCACTCTCATAGATGCTTACGCCCTCATCGCGTCCTCGCACATACCCAGACGAGAGCTAGTAGACATATCTATCTGTATTTAAGGCAAATTCAACAACATACCTACTTTCGCAAAGCAGATCAGGCAAAACGAGGGGTGCAGCGGCGTAGGCAAGGTCAGCAAGACCATGAACATGTACCAGTCCCGAGTAGAGCTTGTGGTAAAACAATTGGGCATATCATAAGACCATATGAAGACCGTAAGAGGAGGGTTGAGAAATGGCGACACGGTTGTATGTCTCTATCTAGCAACCCATTACCTTCTCTGTCTGTAGACTAGCATACTCACGCACGTAGTAGATATGCTAGTTGGCAGTCCAGAGACAATACGTCCATGTATTTAGCATTGTACATGATGAGGAAGTCCAGATACCAGACACTCTAGAGACACAAAGATAAATCTTTTGAAGACCAGAGCTTGAGACAAAGACCAAGAATATAGTCCCGAGACGAAACTATAACAAGCACACTACCACCACCCTCTCTCTCTCTCTCCCTCACGCCATTTCCATTCAAACGAGAGAAAAAAACGAAGCACAATGACACCAAAGCGAAGTTCTCGCATAAAGAAACCCTCATTATGTATACACTCAATCCACGGATGCCTTTGCAAAAGAGAAAAATGTAGCGGCGCATGAATCATACCCTACGCGGAATTGACAATTTGGTGAAGGGGTAGAGATAAACGTATCCCACCCGAGAATCAGGAGATTCGGACTACATAGGAGAAGTGATAGTTTTTCTAGCACTAGACGTATCTATATATCAAACATAGCATATTACCTGTTTTGCTACAAGGACGTTAAGGTGGGTGTGTAAGTTTGAGCAGCGTGTGTGCGTTCGGTGGCCGATATAAGGCTGGCGATTACGTCTCTCCAGCTCGATACTGCATGACCGGACGCAGTCTAGTCCAGTCCAAGGCTTTAACCGAGGAATGGATAGGTGTGGTAGAGACAGGGAAGTACAACAACAGTTCCAGATATCGAACGGACACGTAAAATGGCATGCATTTCTTCTCATCACGTCAATCTATATCAGTAAGGGACCAGGCTTACGAATCTCCCCTAAACCTCCCCCTAAGCCCCTTTAATTACTCCCCACCTTCACGGCCAAATTTCTTTCCGTCGAGCACCTCATCCCTTCAATCACTGCGTCTTCTTCTCGCCCTTTGGATGCTTGATTGTCAAGCACCAGATATCCAAGTAATCGCAAATCGTCACAATCACATCCACGACCCAACTTCCGTAAACGCCAAAGCCAAGCCCAACACACATGAACACAAATGCAACCTCATACTCCTCGCCCAGCGCACTCGGCCACCCCAATTTGCCGCCTCCGATCCCCTTTTCGGCGGTGAAGGACTGGAGGACAGGCCCGAAGCTATCGAGGACGCCGAATAAGAGAGGGAGGATAAGTACATTCTGCATGGGGAACGGGGACTTGGTGACGTGTGCGGTGATCATCTGGCCTACGCTGTACGCGTTGATGAGTCCGACGTAGAAGACAAATGGCACGAGATGCGAGTTCAGGATGATAGGGTTCAGGGCCAAGTACATCGGTATCAGTACCCACGCTGTGGCAAACGGTAGCAGGCCAAGCAGCGCGACACGAGTCCTCTCACCCCTTGCACGCCGTGCTTTGAGCACGTTGTGCGCGGATGTGATGGTGTTGAAGACCAACACAATACTGCCGTACACCATGTACCACTCGTTCCAGGCGAGGTTGGCGAAGATGGAAGGGATGTAAGAGGATGAGATACCGAGAGTGGACAACATGGGTTGTTGCCAGAAGGAGCCACCCCCGAGGTAGGCGGTGAGCGCGTAGACGAAGCAGAGTGTGAGAATACCTTCGACCGGGCCAGAGATTATACCCAGAGTGAGTACATGTGTGTGGTATTCGTCCCAGGTTTGGACGTAGAAAGTTAGAAGGGCTAGGAGTGTTAGTCTTAGACAGAGCGTATCCTGCGAGATTGGAGATGGTTCTCACATGCAAAGAGCGTCATGACAGTCTTCCAACCTTGTCCGAGGTTGACTGCAGCTGCGAAGAGCAAGACTTCTAGGGTTGTGTTCAGCGCATCAACGCCTAGGTTCTGTCAGTACGTATTCTCTCATCTGGCTCTAGCCAACTAACCATGATCAAACATCTCCCCAAGCGGCCCGCTCTGCCCTGTCCTTCTTGCCTGTGTCCCATCAATCGCATCGAATGTCTGGTACAAGAACAGTCCAATCGCCCAGCTTGCATATACCCACGGCGGACAGTCCTGGTCGAGTGTGGGATTATACCACAGCATAGTCAAAAAATTAACTATAACGAATGCGAAGCCGGAGAGAGTGATCTAGATATCATCAGTATGCCATGTATCTTCCTACAACTTTTGATATTCCGCTCTTCCTCTTATCTCTTCTCCTCTCCTCCCGTTTCACCCCCTCAGTACGCGTTCCCCTCAACTCTCTGATAAAAGTGCAACTTACGAGATTCGGCCTGATCGAACCGTTAGCCACAGCTCTTCTCAATGACCAGATAGGAATGAATACTCACGCCATACTCATCGGAAACATATTAATAACCACATTGGTGTAAAATGGCTTGAGCACATAGCGGCTCACCAGCGAGTGGTCAACACCCGAGTACTTGTACTCCTTGAGCCTGTGCAGTTTATCCTGGCGTACATATACCATCTTGCTTGTCTATATAGTCTGTCGTGTAGTATCTCGACTCGTTAGGCCCGTCAGGGCTATCCGTCTCGTCGTCTTGCTGTCTCTTAGCTGTTCTTCTTGGCACTGGGGTACGCGGTAAAAGCACGGTAAAAGCGTCGATATAGGAGATATGCCGGTACGGTTGCGTGTAGAGTGGTATGGATATGGGCTGCTATGGAACAGCTCGCCGTGTTGTTGTGCGCTGCGCTGTCAAAGAATGCTGATGACGTCCCCAGGTTTTCAGGGCCAACTTTTTCCGCGGTTCAGGGACGCGTAAGGTCCACAATGACGTGAGGGTCCGTGCGCAACAGATCCCTGAGAAGCATGTGAACACACTGCTCGAGACATGTATCCAGAAGGATGTACACGAGTCAGGTCGCATAGAGCTGTCTCTAAATGAATTGTGTTTTCAGTAACTATAAATTGCTTCAAACGAGGTTGGCTATTTCCCTGACTTAGCAGTGTGGTCGAAGCTATAAGAGCTCCTGAGAAAGACACTGTGCCTATTCTGTCTTACTTCCCAGGCAATATCATAAGAGCAAAAATAACAATACAATCTCTTTTCGAATGTCATTTCTCTGTTCCCCGTAGCATGCACCAACCCAACAACCGCCTGACTTGCTCGCCTGATTGATTCGAACCCAGACTTGAGTAGTGGAAGTACAAACTAACACCCTACGCTCAGGCAACTGGACTCCACGGCATCGGTACGAGGATGCTGCTCTTCATGTTCTGAATCAAGGGGACCGTCTTGTGAACGGTCTCACCCCAGCCCTCGACGCTCCAGCTCATCTCTCGGCGCTGCTTACGCTCTTCCAGGTTGGCAAACTGCCAAAGGTGGTGAACCGTATTGAGATCTCCAACCTGCACGAACCATGCTCCTACGCCCTCCATAACCTCTCTTCGGGCCTTGAGTCCCTTACGCCAGTGTGTCTCCCATTCAAGTAGATTGCCTGGGTGTAGGGTGTATGATCGCAGCTCGAAGAGCCCGCCAAGCTGTCTTGGAGGTGTTGTAGGCCAGAACGAGAATTCTTGCATCAACGACGTCTTCTTGCTGTGGATGAGGGTCTTGAGCTTACGCTCAAGATCAGGGTATTCTGGGTGATGATGTATGGCGTTCAACGATCCGTGATAACCAGCATATTTCTGGTATTCCCAGATATGTACTGCATATTGACGTTAGCTCGCGAAGATCCATAAACCAATTTTTAAGCACGATTATTTCACTTACCAAATGTATCACAGTCTCCAACTTCTGTCCTCCAACTGCCCACCAAATTGACTTTGTTCTCGGGTGCAGAAGCGACTTTGGGATACCACTTGCCGACCAGCTCCATGTACTCTTCCACTTTCTCGGGCTTTACTTCGTGAAAGACGATCGAATGAACATATTTGCCGCGGGCGAGGACTTGTGAGAAGCTTCGCTCGATGTCTTTCTCAAGCTCTCGTCCCTCGGGGGTCCCATAGATGAGCTTCGATAGCGGACCGTTCTTCTTGCCAGCGCTTTCTTGTTCTTCACGCTCGCGGGCTTCTTCTACGTTTACAAAATGATGTGAGCCAGCGGTCTTTACAGAAGCTTGGGGGTTAGGGGACTGGAATATCTGCATCCAGGTCCGTAGAAGTATACACAGATTCATGCCTAGACGCAGACACAGAGAACGACCCACTTTCTTGTTGCTCCTTCCTTTTCTGGGCCTCGATTAAGCCATCACGGAACTGCTTCAGTCGTTCGTCGAATTGGGCAGCACCGTCCGGGGTGATCTCAGCGAGCGCAGGAGGACGATGAGCTGAGAGCTGTGCAGTGGATGACAGGGGCCGTGTAAGGGAAGACTTCGCACTTGTCCGAAGACGAGAAACGAGTTGACGTGACAGCATCTTGACTGAGAGTAAGAAGTGAAAGCAGGTCAAGAGCTGCTGAACGGAGAGGGAACGGTTGGGGATGGAGCTTAAGCAGCGGAGCACGAACGAGGCCGATCAGAGCTCGAAATGTGGGTGAGAAGGGCACGGAGCCACAAGAAAACAAGTAGAGGTCGTGTGTAATGGTAATGAACGAGTCGAATGCGAGAGAAATGTAATTGGGAAGAGGAGAGGAACAGATAGACGATGCCTACGTCTTGATCTCTTGGACGAACGAGTCGCGGTAACGACAACGAGGGTGGAGGTAAATGCCCGGTATTGTATATCAGTCTAACCCGATCTGAGCTGATCCATTCACGCAGACCCACCTGCGCCTCGATCCACACACACACACACGGACGCGAGCCTGATCCATCTGCGTCACTAATTTACTGGGTACTGTAGGTAAGGTACTATTAAGGTTCCTGGTACTGATGGGCGCTCCGGTAGTGGTAGTGCATGAAATAGCACTGCGAGGGCTCGTGTAGGGCCATACACAGATAGACGCGGGCTTTCATCAACGCAATACATCCAACTATTGGCCTGTTCAGGTATAGAATGACAAAGACGAAATAGAGCGCTTTTCATTTGTGGCCGGCCATGTGGTCTGGGGTATCATGCAACCCCGCAATTCGCTAACAACGGCCTCAGCCGCTTCCAACCCACCCACCAGTTCTTTTCCCAGCATGTCAGCAATAGCAATACACGGGCATACTAGAACAACCAGAGACTGCTATCGAATATCAAGCTATACCGGGCCTTATTTATCTTGGGTTCAACCTGTTGTACGAAACGAATGATCAGGGACGTGTTACGGAGTGCTTGCATCGCCCGATGGCTGTACCCGGCCGGGAAGGCAATTTCATAGACAGTGTATCAAGTATACGCAATATGGATTGTTTCCCAACTAGCGAGGCCTCAGCCTGCTATCAAGATACATATAGACGCTATAGATGCATTCCAGGTCCACATAGCAGCGAGGGAAGAACGAGCTCAGCACAAGTGCCCACTTCCACGCTATGCTGCTGGAATATCAAAACAATGCATCGTGTCCTGCTCCCAGCGACGATGCAGCTTTGACAAGAAAAGCCTAAAAAAACTCGTCACACAAGGTCCACTCCATCCCCAGACTCCAAGTATGCACGGTACCCCCTACGCCGTTCCACCTGTATGCTCCAAGGCTGGAGAGAACAACCCATTCCTGACGCCGAGATGCCCGATATGAGCCCCAATAAAGTAGAACATGCCAAAGCAGAGATGATTCTGTCATCACTCTCCGCTTGTTCAGCAGGCAAAGGTTTGAATGCTGGTTGTAAGACTAGGGTTGTATGCGAGAGCTATCACCAGCAGCAGTAGAGTTCCTGGCACACCCTGATCAATGCGGCCGCATGATGTTCGAAGGACGGACATTGGCCTTCGATACCTTTCCCGTCTTTGCCGTCTTCGCAGTTTTCATGACTTTTGTAGATTTCGGAAGTCTCGAATGGATCATTTTGACCTTTTTTATGTAGGTCCGCTTTTTTATAGCAGGGTTGGCAGTATTCTTACGAGCTGCAGTCTTGGACGTCTTGAGGACTGGTAAAGCTCTGATCTCGTTCTGCAGCTGCTCAGCGAGCTCGTTCGCAGTCTTGTCGGAGCCTGGAGTCGGCTCATCGTCATCAGTGTCGGACATGACAAAATCCTCTTCTTCATCCTCAGACTCGGTATTCCTGAGGATGTTCAATGCTTTGAAGAAGTTACTGATCTTCTTCTGACGAGGACTCAATCTCGTACCCGCAGTGAGATTGGTTGTCATCGTCAATTTCTCACGCTTCTTTTCATATGCCTTGGAAGCAACACCGGATTTGATTACGGGCTGACTAGCTGACTTGGCGGGCTTGCTGGCAGTCTTTTCAGCTTTGGTTTTCTTAAGTGTTTTCGATTGAGCAGCTTTCGGTTCCACAGCTTTCGAAGGCTCCTTGGTGGGCTTCATGGCCCTCGAAGATGTTAAACGTTTTCGTGCAGCTGCTTTCTTCTTCTCGGCCGCCTTCTTGACTATCTCTGCGCGCCGAGTGGCCTCGTTCCTACTGGCATCCTGACGGCGGGCACGTTGTTTCACCTCTTCGGCGTGGCGTGCTGTAGCACGTGCTTCACGGCTTGCCGACTGAGAAGCTTTCTTTGGGCTAATGGCATCAGCAGCAACCGCAGGTGCCATGAGTGCTTTCTTCGAAATCTTTGAAGTCACCGATTTGGTCTCTGTATGCGTGTCCTTGTTGCCACGCTGTTTTTTGGTAGCAACGCCACCTAGCGACGCCATCCCTTCAAATGCAGCTTGAGCAGTCCGTTTGACGCCCTTAGCAACTTTTGCCACTTTAGTAACCATGTCTTTAAGACGAGCACCGTCCCTTGGACGAGGACCAAGGATTCCACGGCAGTTATCAGCTCCACATCTGCAGTCTTGTTTCCAGCCCTCACTGAACGCTCTGCCGGCTGGTAAGTCTGGTGGATTTACAAGAGGGATTTGAAACTTACTCAAAATTGTAGTCATAAGTCAGCTCGTGACCGGCGGGGATATGGCCATCTTTGGCGAAGAGAGCCATGCGAGGCTTCCCGCGGACCAACCACATGATCATCTCGCAGTTGGGGTCGCAGGAATGATTTACGAAGCGTGCCATTGACCCCTTGGTGGCATCAATGATCAAGCCGCCATCAAACGTCATCAGATAGTAGCACTTGTGTGTGTGTCAGTGTCAGCTCCTGATGAGAGTAACTTTGAAATTTACCTCGTTATTTTTGTACTCCTTGCGCATGCGCCTGTCGCATTCAGTCTGATCGATCATTTCTCCGGTGTATTCCATAATGATTTGACCAGGTCGGAAAGAGCGCATTGCGCGCACACCATATCCGCGATCTTGAGTTTTGACCACTTCTACGCCGATATCGTACATGTTGCCCCTTCGTCCTTGGGTTGAAACGCGAGCCTCTAGACCTGCGAAAGGCCTGTTGTTACAGTTGTCTTTACCTGGCTTGCAATTCTTGTCGTCACATTCGAAGTTCATAACCGCGTTGAGGCAGCTATCGGGATCACATAGCTCTTGACATTCGCACATAGAAATGGCTTCTTGCTTCTTCCTTGTACATAATCTCTGGTAGGCTTCGCGGGAATCATCATCGACAGCACGGTCTGGACCATATTAGTGTACGCGCGGTAATCACAGCGGTGCAGACTCACTCTTAGAAAGTATTTTCCAGCCTTCGACTCTTTCCCCTCGAGGAAGTGGATTGAGAATTTCCCGTGGTAACTTAAAGTCCCTTTCTTGCATAATGACTTTTGCGCCATGGAACATGGGAAGAGGAAACCAATCGGAGCCTTTGCGCGGAGGCTGTGGAGTCTCTCCAGCCTTTGACTTCTTTGCGCGGGCATTCTTGTCTGAATAGTCTTTCTCAGGGTCTGCACGTTGCCCTATGTAGATACCCTCGCTGACAATTCGATATTTCTGCTTTTTTGCTTGTGTGGCAGGTTTTGGAGTGGGTTCCGGGGTTGTGGCCGCGGTCGCGGTCGCAGGGGACTCTGTGGTCGCTGCACGAGCACGCTTTGTCGGAGTTCGCGGTGCTGCGTCAGCCTTCTCCGACAAACTCGGTCGCGTTTGAGGCTTCGTGGATGGTCGGACAGCATTCGTGCGTGATCCGATAGTTTTTGACGTTGCTGACGTCGCCGCAGCTACTGCATTAGTGGTCGCTTCCTTCACAAGATCCAAACGCGAGGAAGTTCGCCTTAGATTCTTGTCTGAGGTGTCAGTGCTGACTGTATTGACTTGACTGCTGGCAGGACGCGGTCGAGGTGACGTGTCGAGTTTCCAGTAATCACCAAGCGAACTCGCTAGAACTTTATCGTCGGTGCTTGTGTAGTCTTGCACTGGAGGGGGTACTTCTGGGGCCTTAGGAGTAGCTTCAGCAGCCTCAGCCTGCATGCGAAGGTACCGAAGCGGAGTGTGAATGTTCGTGCCAGCGAGAACTTGTAGATTGTAGGATCCTACACTATGGCGGGCGCGTGAGCTACGGCGTTGGTCGAGTGGCGGCTCGTCTTTGTTCGCGTCGGCAATATCGCTCGGCCCTGAAGACAGGCTTGTCGGTGGAGTGGACGAGCCATGCTTAACGCGAATGGAGTCGTCAGTGGCATCGCCTAAGTTAAATGAGCCAGAGGAGACAGTAGATGCCCTCTGCTGGCGATCTTCGCTCATCTCAAGCTCCATACTGTGATGTGAGGCTTGCAACGCCGAAGTGTCGCGAACAAACACGTTTGAGAAGGCTTGAGAATGAGAAAGGACAAACGCGCTAATAAAGCAGGAAGGGGTGTGAAACGTTCGGGAGACGATACTTTCACGCCAAATAGTCCTGCACCAAAACTCGGAGTGGTGGTGCAGCACTCACGGAGTTGAGGTGTGGAAGTGATGTTGATTTGCGAACAGTGGATGGGAGGAGGACGGAGGACGGACGGAGGTTAGTGGTGCGCGGAGAAAGCCTGGGGCTTTCATCCATAACATCGTTTGTAGCTAGCTCTACCTGAGGAATATGGGCCTGAGACATGCCTTACTTCGCTTCACCTTCATCAAGAACTAGTTCTTGGCTATTTATAAGACTATTGGGCCTGTTTGCTCTCGAGTGTCTTGGTTTGTCTTCATTGATAACTATATATATCGCCATCGCATGCTATGGGTTAATGGAATGAAGGCACCCCTGAATGATATGATATTCATGACCAGCCGTCACTTATAACACGTAATCACACGTGTCTTTCATCCTGAGGCATACCATTATGTTTACAGAGGTCCCAATATCGGGCCGTACCAATGGTATGGACGCGTCTTAGCACCGTCCTGCTTAGGAATCTTTGCCGTGCTCTGCATCAGTGCGAACACACTCCAATACTTTTAGCCAAGCACGATTGAAGGCAACATCAATGAGCGGTAATGATACCTAAACTTTCAGGGTTCTACAATATTTGACTGCCGTGATACACCAAGTGAGCCATATTCCTCTTCCAACGTCGTTCAAGTATGTTCCGTAGTCACCCATTTAGTGAACCTGGATCCATTCATTCTTTCTCGTTCTCTAAGTACTTTTTATATGGGGAAGTACAGTATATCCTGATTGGAGTTGATTTTCCCCTTCCATTGCTATCGTATTTTCGCAGCAGGACCATCCTTCTCGACTGTGCTGGGAATGTAATGAAATTGTTGCACTGGGAGAATTCTAATGCCATACGAAACTTTTCCTAATCACAACATTCAATCTTCGCCCGGACGGGGACGTTATTGCAACACTCGGAAAAGGTCACCACTCAGAGCGATTCATAGCGAGGGTGGAGATGTGGCACCAGCGAAGCGTTTAGGTAGATCGTGGACGTGCCATGTCCAGCTTTAGCCAACAACATTAATCAACTATCTATTCAGATCAGTTTTGACAAGGTGTCGTTTCACCAATTCAGTCTTGGTACCCGATTTCCGCAATACACTTGTTGTGTACTGTACCTGCTTCATTGGCCCAAACAGAGCGCAATACATCAGCCCGGATAATTAGCCAAGTGTTACCATATAAACCGCTGGATGTATGTGTGATTTATGGGAATTCACTCGCAAGGACTCCTACTGGGTCAAAAGGGGGGGCAGCAATGCACTCTTAATTTCCACGTAAACGGGCTGCTCGGCTGCGCTGGTGGGTGGGAGTCACTGATGTTCTCCCAGACCGGGACTCAGACGACTGGACGAGCGTACCTTGCCGTTGCCACCACAAAGATACAATAATAGTACATCATTAAGCATCACTCTGACAAGTCTCTGTTCTTTCTGCTGGAAAAACACTTCCCGTGGCCTACGAAACCTTCACGAATCGAATGCAGCAGGCTTTACTATCACTCATCCAATGACTAAAATCTGCATGTCAGGCCACACTGAGGCATTTAGAAGGAAGCTCAAGAGAAGAGGACCGTTACACGCTTTAGAGAAGTCTCAGATCCGACAAAGATAAGAGGCAAAACGTAAAAACCTCCCTCAGAATACTACCGCATCAGAGGGTATTTTGTACACTGTAAGTAATCACTTTTATACATCGGGCCTGATACTGATCCTACACTTTGAAAAGTGATATAGCTGCATCAAAATAGATTCAGATCGTGATTATAAGTCCAGGCAGACATTCTAGGAGAATTTGCATTTGATGAAAGGATCTGTGCTCATTCCACTTTGAGATTCACAAACGTGGGCCAAAAGCTCAGTCTTAGCACCTATAGACCAGCGACCGTTCTCAAATCTACCAGGATATTATCTGATCAGAATCATATTCCATCGGAGTTATGGCCCGGAAGGCCATCATCGAAACGCTCAAATTGGACATCGGACTTGAAACACCCACCGCTTCTAGCGAGAACTATCCATCCTAGATTTCCAATGACTTCCTCAACTTGTCCGAACAAACAGGCAAACATGCAACAAAACTACACTGCACCCGACTTTCGCCTTTCGACCTCTTTTGCCAACACATTGGTGTCCCAAAACGCCTTTCCTTCGTAAATGATGAGTCCATCAGTACCCGCCCCCTCGACTGCTGGGCCCACGAAGAACAGCATCAACCTCGGCACCACAATCACTTCTCCTTCGATCGGATGCGCAAGCTCGATCTCAATCTCAACATCCCATACGAGTAGATCACATATCCTGCCTGACGTATCAGGGGTGTCTTTAATGACTCGGAGGGTCTTGTATCTGTGGTTCAAGGTCTTGAAGCTCCCGAAGAGGGTGACGATCCACTTCCAGATCGTTTCTCCACCGTTGTATACTTTTCCATCTCCATTGTAGAAGACACTGTCCTTTGCGTACCATTGCAGATAAGAGGTTTCATAGTCGAGTGAATGGATCACTTTGACATATTTGCTGATGAATGACACTGCTGCTGGGTCGCTTTGTGAGGTGTCGCCCGTCGATGCATAAGATCCAATGTAGCCAATCTCAGCCATAGCAGACTCTTTTAGAAATGTACGTTTTGTTCTCGTGGATTGGTTACTCTGGTCTTTGATATGATTATATGTTGTCTTTCTGGGGAGGCAGTAAGGTTTGCAGTGAGAGAGCACAACGTCAGGACAATGAAACCAAAATCATTGAAAAGAAAATGATACAAGATATAACACTGGTATCCTGGCTCATATCTTATACTCTCACCTTCTAGACTACCACGATGTCTCTATGCTGGATCTGCTCACTAATCTATAAAATTGTGTGGTTCATAGCATACTAATCAACACCTAAGCCATTTCAATGGAGCCTGAAATAGTCTATGGGATAAACTTGACGGAGCCGGCCATTATAGGCTGTTGCAAGGCTGTCAGCACACCACTCGGTTAAGAATACTAATCTTAAGCAGAGGAGGATCCTCAGCGACACACCACGTACCTATAAAACCACAAAGCTTAAATTGCATGAGTAATTACTGGTGCATTTAAGCATCCCATAACGAATTCTTGTACAAAAAATATATACGCACGTATCCGTAAGTCTCATGGAGATTAGTATATCAATCACGCCCTGGGGCCCTTCACTCCCTTATCCTTGGAACCGTCAATCGCCGATAGTTGTACTGCGGAGCGTTGATGCATCCGCATAGGCAAGACGCAAGCTGAAAACCGATTTTGACGTAGATCTTTTCGCGTCAAACCGTAGCTCTTGGGGTCAATTTCATGATCATCAACCATAAAGATGACCTGTACGACTCAAGTATATGAGATTGTCCGATCTACGCATTTTCCACGTGTGCTATAGTATACAAACCATGACACCCTACATACAAACTTCTATAGCTTCACAGGCGTTGATCATGGACCTTAATAGCAAAGTTTGAGCAACATATGCCAAAAACGAACTTAGAGCCCAGGTCGAACGTCACTGAAGCTCTCGCTCGTACAGTCTCAGTTTTCTCAACCCTTTGACTAATCCACTATCTATCGATCATATCGCGAATGACGATCTGAACTATGAAGACCACATCACTGAAATTACTACTTCTATCATCAGTGCTCACATCTGTAGGACGAAAATAGAAGCGACCAGGTATGAAGTTCGCAAGCCATCGATTACCACTTCTAAGTACTAGAAATACAACTCCCAGTGGCAACCAAGCGTCACCTCTGCTGCTCCAACATTTCATTATTACTCGAATCAATGATATTGCCTCGTCCGGCAGGACCGTGGAAACCACCAGGCGAGCTGCGCACATCTTGCATCTCAACAGCACCACCTCCACCTTGCATCTCGTTTTTCAACGGCGCAGTCCTTTTACCTCTCCGTGGACCAAACCGCTGATCACCTTCTTCATACTCACTTTTGAAGCGCAAATAAGTCGGCGCGCGTGGGCGGAGCAGTACAGCCAAAAGGTTCTTTAATACACTGCCTTGTGTGAAAGGTCGATGGCGATCTGTAGCGACGAACTTGTGGCTATTGAGATATTCGCGAGTTGTTTCTCCTCGACTAATGAGGAAGAGATGGTAGCCCAGGAGCGACGTAGGGTAAGGGGTGATGACGACGCCGTAAATGAACATGGCAAAGGGCACTCTCCAATGATTAATTGCTGTTCCGAAGGAGGAGGCTTCGAGATTCATCCAGGTAAGCAAATGAGCCAAGCTTGCTCCAAGCAGAAAGAAACCAAGGATAGTTCCAGATGATACAAACACAAAGAAATAGCGGTAGTTGCGGCGGCCAACGCAGTTGTTAAGCCAGACACAATGGTGATCCTGTGTCTCGATACAGTTGTCGCAGACACGACAGTGATGGGCACGCGGTGGACGCCATATATTACAGCTTTTGCAATATTTTGTAGGCACTTCCATAGCAGCGGATTTAGAGGTTGCGGATACGACCATAGTCCATTCGGTAGTGGCTGGTCCGACCGTCAAGGGGTCCTCGTTGGGATTAGATGGAGGGAATGGGTGTAAGTTTCGAGGTAGAATCTAGACGCATCAGCAGTGTACATTGATCGACACGATCTGTACTTACGCCGGGGTCTGTAACAGATGCATGAAAGAAAGAAGACAAGCAGATTAAAGCAAGGTATGCAAAAATGATGGGTATCGCTGGAGAAACATGCTGCCATAGCCACGGCGCACTGTTGGAGTCAGTAAACCCTCGAGCTGCGAATTTCGAAGACTTACGAGAAAGCAAAAAACAAAGCAGAAGGAAGTGCTACTAGCAACCCAGTGATGATATTTATTGGGCGATCTCGTGTATTCTGTAGTCTGCCACCCCAGCAGAAGACGGTGTTTCCAGAAAAGTATTGGTGATTTTTCCCTAATTCTCTCCGGACTGATTGTTTCAAGGCTTCCTTCTTCTCTTGTGTAAGTCGTGGAGAAGATGCCGCAGAGGCTAACTTCTCGTGTCCCTGAGGTCGCGGTACTGACGGAGCACCGCCTCTGCTGGGAATAATGAAACTAGATCGAAATGATCGTGGAGACTTGCTTGGCGTCTGAAGGGTGTTCTTGAAAGTTGATGACAAATCTAGATGTGCTGGCCTATGCTGATTCGAAATTTGATTGGAAAGTGGAATATGCAACGGCACTACACTGTCTCCACGACTCCTAACAGTTTCTATGCCACTCGGGGATGTGTTTGCGGTAGTGCGGTCCGGAATGTCAGATGTGATGTCGGTACCTCTTGATGGGGGAGGTCGTAGTTCCGACTCCTGTAGCTGCGCAAGATTTCCACCTCTTGTCGTCATATTTGATGTCATACTAAGTCTATTACTGCCCGTTTCACTCTGCTGTGCAGACATGTCTCCGGTCAGGGATATTGGCCTTTGATCACGCTGTCGTTGCAATTTCTGCGCACTCAGAGGACGAAAAAAGGCGGACTGTTGGACCGAGGATACGTGTGTTCTGTTGGCAGTGCCTGCGCGAGTGTTGCCACCAGATGTCCCAGAAGGTCCAAATGGGACGAGACCTGCGCCTGATTGTGATTGTGATTGTGAGGATTGTTGCCATGATCGTCCTTTAGAAGAATGTGCGGTGTTGGAGGGACGTCTTGCAGGGGATAATGCGGGCTCTCCAACGGGGCCGGTCTTTGAAGTTGTAGAAGGTGACCTCTTCCCAGCCGGAGCAGGAGGTTGATTCTCATCGTGAGAATCGGCCGGCACCGAGGCGCTGTTGGGGAGGCCGTCAGTCATTGAGGCGATAAGAAGACACACGTAGAGTGAGAGAGTGGACGCGAAGTGATGAAGAGAGACGTGAGAGAGGGACTAGAAAGAGAAGGCAAGCATGATGCGACACGGGCGAAATCACATTTGGCGGCAGTGTCGGGGCGACGACGAGGTTGAGTTGGACGTTGGAGAGAAAGAAGGTTCAAGGCTTAATAGTGGGAAGTTGGAAGAGATTACCGAAGCGACGTGCCCAGAGGTGAGTGCTATTAGGTGAGAGGTGCCTTTTCCTGTCTCAGGGGTGGGCCGGGATCAGCGATCTACAGGCACACCACCACGAACCTAAAAGCTGCCGAACCACTACCTAGGCTCTCCTAGGTACGAACAACACACAGCGACGATTACTTCTCAACCATAAGAACTCTCCACCAAGATGACAGACAGTACTTACCATGTTCCAATCTCATATGACGTGTAACTTCATTCAGCAGCCGCTGCTCTTTATGTATAGCCTACTGTACTTATTCGCAGGCGCCTGATTCAGCATACATCCATACCATACGTTGGACCGGGGGCCCCCTAATTATCGAACAAAAAAAAGAACCCATAAAGATCATATTGAACTTTCTGACTATGAGAGAAGAGTGCTTGAACAGATGTCAGTCTCACACTCCATGTCAGTGATATGTCTTGTATCTGCAAGCAAATAAATAATACTGCTCGTACATAGTGTTATACAGTACTGTACTGGAGGCTGCTAATAACATCATATCTAGATTATATATCTTGATAGAGTTCATGAGCATACGCTTCTTATCATAAAGTTCACTTACTTCGAAAAATGATTTGTAGGTAATTAGCTATCTGGATATATATCTGGTGTTTAGAAACTGCAGGGCAAAAATTACCCATTGACCCGTGTTATGTAAGTAAGATATCATACCTAGCTCCTCACATCATCGCAAAGCTCCCCTCTTGAGCGCAACCTCTATCTCCAACGTCCACACTCCACTCTGCCATCATGTCCGCCATGATCGCTCGCTCAGCCATTCGTGCCGCTCGTACAGCAAGGCCTGCCCAGGCCCGCACTTTCAACACTTCTCGCCCATTATACTCCAACCCAATCACAGGCGAGGGCAAAGAAGAGGGAAAGGCCGCGCTCAAGGCCGGAGCTCGTCGTGATCCCGAGCTCTACGTACGTGAACCTTGGCCTGAATCTGTCAAATTGAAAATTTGGGGATTCCATTCATAGCTGACAAGCCTCTGATAGGTCCTATTTGCTATTATGACCGGCGTTTTTGGTCTTGCTGGATGGCATTTTTGTACGTTCTCTACCCAATATTGCATACCCTAACGGCAATCACGAGGCTTCTGAACCACGAAGTGCTATCGCATACTAATTCTGAACAGCCCGTAACCCAACGTCGTCCTCTTCCGAGAGCGCTGTTGGCCAAGCCGCCCATACTGAGCCATGGAAGGAGGGAGGCGGAAAGGGCAAATATCAATTCCACCCCGGTGGTGATAAAAATGCTCCCCGCAAGGATGCTCCTTCCGCTCTCAATGTCACGATCATTCCAAACGTCAATCTACCTAAATCCTTACATGATCAATTCAACAAGTACGGCAAGGAAGACTGGTAAATTATAGATACCTTGACTGGGGGACGGAAAGAGAATCATTAGAATTGCTTCGAAAGGACGCATGTACAGTTTCGGCGCCAGGAGATATCGTTGATGTAGCATAACAATCGTTCAATCAAGTACCTTTCTTTGTAATCGCGATGGGCCGTTAAACTACTCGAAGTTGCGAGGAGCCACACACTTGGACAGAGGAATAACTGGACGCAAACATGACCCTCGCTGCAATTGGGTGCCAGAGCACCATATCTATCTTCACCGATCCGATCCGTCCGGGCTACCACACCAAGTACAAAGTAATAGTGTTAGTTCCTAGGCAGTGCGTTCATTATACGGTCAAAAGCCAACAAAATCCAGATACCAAACGTCTGGCTACTGGTAATTACATGAGAATATCGCTAGACCTGCTATCGTACTGGCACTTCCTGCATACGACATTCGGAGTTTGTCTCATGGCTATTTGAAGCTACAACCAATTACGTTAGCCTGAAGCTGACCTGCGCGCCACCTGTGCCACGATCGCCGTCTGGAAAAGCCAACCGCACCTCCTAATAACACGTGTTGAGATTCTATACACAATTACATATTGCAGTAGTTCTGCTTCCTAAGACCTTGCAATTCAGGTAACCTGACACTACCGGACGCCTAAATTGGTGTCTGTGAAGAACAACTTTCTACTTTTTCACACTTGTCTAGCCCTACGTAATTAGCGGGTCTTTGTCTGGACACGAACGCGAAAGCACCTCTAGGCAGTTCCACAAACCATAGGGGCTGGCAGCTGAAGCGTCCTCTCCTGCCACAATTCACAAGGCAGCTTCATCTTCGTACATTCTTTTAATCACACTTCCTTAATTCCTTCGTATCCACCTACTTCTATCTTCACTGCTTAGTTGGACTATTCGAATCCGCAAGCCTGGTATGAGCCATCCTCCGTAGACCGTCCACTATCAACAAGCATTTGCGCGGCCTCATATCAAGCCTGCGAATATGGCGCAGAAAGCTGGACAGGCTCTGCAGCCTCAGAGTAATACTCCAAGACGGACTGGAAAATCTCCATCGCGCTCTCCGGCGAGATCACCGGTGCGAATGCCTGCTCAAGGCAATGGGTTCAAGTCGCAAGAGAAGGTTAAGAATCGAAAAGATTACACTTCCGAGGGCGTAACAGATCACGACATATTTGATCTTCCCGGGTCAGACTGGCAATTGCTGGCGGTATTGACTGTCATTGCATCTGTTGTCAGACTGTTCAGAATCTACAATCCCAGTAGTGTAGTCTTCGATGAAGTTCAGTACGTGCTGAGTCCATTGAACCTGACCATGAGTGGAGAACGATTAACCAGAGTAACAGTTTCGGCGGATTTGCATCCAAGTACATAAAGGGCAGGTTCTTCATGGACGTCCATCCTCCTCTCGCGAAGCTCTTAATCACACTGGCTGGTTTTATCGGCGGATTTGACGGCAACTTTGACTTCAAAGAGATTGGCAAGGACTACATTGAACCTGGAGTTCCCTATGTGGCTATGCGTCTGTTGCCCGCTATCTGCGGTGTGATGACTATTCCGACAATGTTCCTAACGCTGAAGACACTCGGGTGCCGCACTACGACAGCAGCACTTGGTGCTGGCCTAATTATCTTCGGTACGATCTGACGATATATGAAGGCCCAAAATGGTATCAACTAATATATCGTATAGAGAATGCCCTCCTCACACAATCTCGTCTCATACTTCTTGACGCTCCATTGGTCATCTTCACCGCCTTCACCGCTTTGGCCTGGCTGTCTTTCATGAATCAACATGAGCAAGGCCCATCCAAAGCGTTCGGACCTTCTTGGTGGTTCTGGCTTGTAATGAGTGGCTTGGGTCTTGGTGCGACGGCGAGCGTGAAATGGGTTGGCCTGTTCACTATCGCCTGGGTCGGAAGCTTGACGATCGTGCAGCTCTGGGTACTCCTGGGCGATCCTAAGACTGTCACTCCGGTAAGCACAAGAATGACTTGCGATATGGGATAAAGTATTGATTGTGTACAGAGAATCTGGTTCAAGCATTTCTTCGCCCGTGTTTTCTGCCTCATAGTCATCCCTGTCACATTCTACATGGCTATGTTCGCGATCCATTTCATTTGTCTGGTTAATCCTGGAGATGGAGATGGATTCATGTCATCCGAATTCCAAGCTACATTAAACTCCAAGGGTATGGGTGACGTACCAGCTGATGTTGCCTTTGGCAGCAGAGTCTCCATTCGTCACCACAACACTCAGGGCGGGTATCTTCACTCACACGCCCACATGTATCCTACCGGCTCAAAGCAACAGCAGATCACGCTTTACCCGCATAAGGATGAGAACAACATCTGGTTGATGGAAAACCAGACTCAGCCCATACTACCGGACGGCACTCAGATCAATGGAACTACTGCATGGGATAAACTAGACAACACTACGAATATCGCTAACGGAGCTGTTGTCCGACTTTTCCATGGTGTCACAAACCGTCGTCTTCACTCGCATGATGTACGACCTCCGGTCACGGAGGCCGAATGGCAGAATGAGGTGTCTGCGTATGGCTACGAAGGATTCGAGGGTGATGCAAATGATATGTTCAGGATCGAGATTGTCAAGTCATTGTCTGAAGCTGGCCCAGCTCAAGATCGCCTTCGTACCATCCAGACTAAGTTCAGACTCGTGCATTTGATGACTGGTTGCGTACTATTTTCTCACAAAGTCAAGCTTCCCGATTGGGGCTTTGAGCAACAGGAAGTGACTTGCGCGCGTCAAGGAACATTGCCAAACAGTGTCTGGTACATCGAGTCTAACGAACATCCGCTTTTGGACGAAAACGCTGAGAAGGTTAATTACCGCAACCCTGGTTTCTTCGGCAAGTTTTGGGAACTGCAGAAGGTGATGTGGAGAACGAATGCGGGCCTCGTAGAGTCTCACGCCTGGGACTCCAGACCTCCATCATGGCCAATACTCACCCGTGGTATTAATTTCTGGGGCAAGCATCATCGGCAAATTTACCTCATTGGAAACCCAGTCGTCTGGTGGTCGTCCACTGCTATCATTGCTCTTTACATTGCGGTCAAAGGTCTCGCTGCCCTGAGGTGGCAACGTGGTTACAAGGACTATGCCAACGTCGACTTCAAGCGTTACGACTACGAAGTTGGTATGACGATCTTGGGTTGGGCTTTCCACTACTTCCCTTTCTACCTGATGCAGCGCCAGCTGTTCTTGCATCATTACTTACCTGCATTATACTTCGCAGTCATTGCACTTTGCCAAACATTGGATTTCTTCGGCCACCGATTCTCTGGCCTTGGCCTGAAAACAAGGCCCGCAATCGGTCAGGCCGGCATGATTGCATTCCTGGCTCTGAGTATCGTTGTCTTTACTCTTTACTCTCCCCTTGCATACGGCAATCCGTGGACCAAGTCTCAGTGCAATAAAGTCAAGCTTTTCACGACATGGGATTGGGATTGCAACAATTTCTACGACAACGTAAGTATTGTACGACCTCTCAATATAAGGACGAACTGACACAGTCATGCAGTATGACTCATATGCGAAGGAAATAACTAGCAGCGTCGCCACGGTACCATCTTCAGCGGCCCCGGTGATTCCAGTCGCGAACAACCAGCAGCAGGCGCAGCAGCCTATTGTTGAGAAGGCTAAAGATGACAGCGCAGTCACTTCCGAAGCCCCAAAGGTGGCTCAGAAGCCCAGCGCTAAAGTCATTGGCCGAGAGGAGAAGATCGAGTACCGTGATGATGAAGGCAATGTTCTTGATCCAGAGCAGGTCTCAGCCCTTGAAGGCAAGGTGTCGTTCAAGACTCGCTACGAGACACGTACCAGAATTATTGATGCCAATGGCAACGAAGTGTATGACGGCCCTGGTGAAGAAGCACCTGGTGTCGCGCCACCCCATCCCGATGTTGAAGGCCAAAATCCAGAGACAATTGGCCAGAAGCAGGAAGATGCAAGTGATGCACCTCCAACCGTGGGCGTATCAGAAGACATCGAGAAGGAGAAGAAGCAGAAGAAGGGCGTCAAGGGTAAGCCTAAGCCTGCTAGCGATGCCAACGAAGCCACGAAACAATGAATGATTAGAAGGTTGTACTTGCTGTATGAAGGTTCAATAGAATCGCTGCGTGCAGCTTGACGCTTACAGAGCAGGCAATATACTATGCCGCTCAGATTTCCTTTCTGATATCTTGTATGATAAAGCCTTAGCATTCGCTGGTTGAGAATCAAAATGGAATCGGGGGTATGTAGATCTTATGACGACATATATTTGGATCATCCCGTATGAGGCCAACAAATGCTGGAACGAGCCTCGTGCCGTCGCAATCTCTTTCTCTCTTTCTCTCTCGTCTACTTTCAACAGTATCGTCCCCCTGACGACCATTCGGAGTTACTCTACCAGGTACTCTCAACCGCAAGACTTTCGTTCCATTGCGACGATTCGTCATTGAGGCGCTGACCCTCCGCGCGTTCGTCAGCTAGTCTTGTTTTAGGGTTGATTTGGCGCTGGGTTTCGGAATTTCCGACTACGCGTGTAGACACGCAGTCCAGTGTATACAGGATGCGGTAAATGCTCGATGAAGACGCTTTGATTCACATTCGATAACTGATTCAGTGTTTGAAATATAAGGTCGGACTTTGCGCTTGAATAATGTGTTTGGACAAGTCCCGTAGTCCACTCCAAGCACTTGGCGACCAAGCACGCAATTTTCCTATATGGCACATTCTCAACCGAGTCAGACATGTTCCGCAGTCAATTCAATGTTGTGGAGCGTAAACGTCAAGTTGAGGAAGACCAGGACCAGCCGCGTAAGACACGCTTGGCGCCAAGGCTACCCGCCGGTGCCAAAATCGACAACATCCGCCTTTTACCCACTCACACAGCTGCATTGCATTACCAGGTTAGGGATACACGGGTCTTCCCGCCATTGCATGCGCGGAGGTCTTGTCGACGCGCAAGTATATCCTAAGTCTTAGCCAGCACTTATCTTGCTGCGCGATTTTGGCCAATAAGATCGTGTCCGAAAGTCAGCTTCGCGGTCGGAAGATCCCGATCAAGATGTGAAACCGGCTGTTGGATGCTCCTGGAGCGTTTGCATTGTGGCGAGCACTGCATTCCGGTATGTATTGTCGCGAGTACATTCATGCCTACTCCCCTTCTTGGATCCAGTGAGTCAGTCGCATATAGTGTACAGTGGAGTATTCGTGGCTCGAGTCTAGGCTCACCTACTGCTTGATTTTGATAACTTGACTAAGCCTCGATGGCTAATAGGAGTGATGTTGTTGGTTGAAAAGAGGTGGACTGTGGTTTCAACGACCATGATGTCGTTTCGTGGACGAGAGTCAAGAGGGAGCTCCACTTTGTTTACGTCGCCCTGGTGGTTTGGGGATGCGTACAGTCTCGTAGTACTATATAAGAGCATTCGCTCAATCTGTGGCGTCAAGATCATTCCTGTGTTCAAATCACCACAGTTTCTCGTATTTATCCCTTTATCCTCAAGAATAATCTCCCACGTATGTCATTTTCGATCGTTGCATCTTCACTCATACTCCTTACTTTTGCACTATGGTTCAACTCAGTTCATTCCTCTCCGCAGCGGCGGCTTCGGTATTCCTAGGCACTAACATTGTGCTTTCTCATCCTGGACATGATGTCAAGGCCGAGTATGCTCAGCGTCATGCTGCTCTAGAAGCCATGCCCTTGGAGAAGAAGAGCTTAGCTCGCTGTGCTGAGAAGCTTAAGGCTCGTGGTCATGAAGCCAAGCTCAAGGCCAGACGTGAGGGCATCGTTGCCAATCTGAGGGAGAAGAGGTCCATCGAACGTGAGCTACAATGAGATGTAATGGTAAAAAGATGAAGTACTAACATCACCACTTTAGGCCGAGGCTTCCTCCGCGCGCGTGACTTGGACACGGTGCTTGCCACCGATCACCACTCCAACCTCACGGGAGTCTCAATTGATTCGTCTGCCGATGATCTCTTCGGTACCCAGAAATCGTGTATTCTCTCCCCCGAGGTCACCCAAGGCCCCTACTACGTCAGCGGCGAGCTCATCCGCCAGGACATTACCGAAGGCGGCGATGGCGTGCCACTCACCGTTGATGTCCAGCTCTTAGATGTCAACACCTGCGAGCCTGTTCCCGATGTCCTTGTCGACTTCTGGCACTGCAATTCGACCGGTGTTTACAGCGGCGTTATAGCGTCCGGCAATGGCGACCAGTCAGACACCACCAACATCGACAAGACCTTCCTCCGCGGTATCCAACAAACCAACGAAGACGGAGTCCTCACCTTCGACACGCTCTTCCCGGGCCACTACACCGGCCGTGCAGTCCACATACACATCCTCTCCCACACCGGTGCCACCCTACAAGCCAACAACACCATCACCGGCGGCAACACCTCACACGTCGGCCAGATCTTCTTCGATCAAGACCTCATCTCCACCGTCGAAGCCCAGGAGCCCTACGCCAGCAACACCCAAGAACTCACCGAAAACAGCAAAGACGACATTCTCGCCGAGGAGGCAGGTGATATTGACCCTTTCATCGAGTACGTCCTTGTCGGTGACGATATCTCCGATGGCGTCTTTGGCTGGATCGCATTTGGCATTGATCCCAGCGCTAGCTACGATGTATCGCCGGCCGTCATGTATTATGCTGAGGGAGGTGTGGAGAATGAGAATTCGAACTTCGTGGGTCCGGGTGGTGCTGGGGGTCCGCCGAGTGGCGCTCCAGATGTGCCGGGTGCGCCAGGCACTACACCTGGTGCGGCTGCAACGCCCACGCCGACGATTGCGGGGGTTGTGAGTGCAAGGACTGGAGCTGCAGCAAAGAAGGGCCTCGCGCTTGGAGCGGCAATGGCGTTGCCATTCGTGCATCTCCTTGGCTGAGGGATGCCGCCAGTCAGAGGGGGACTAGGGTATAAGCTGATGCTTAAGGAGGACGATGTATATAGATATAGTCAAGAGTTGGTGTTCATGATATTAAGGAGGGTAAGCTATATAGATATGGTCTCAGAATGAGTGCGTAGTTTTCATATGGCGTTATTTCATTCGTTTTCTCGAGGCTCTGTGACATCAGTAAAGTATCTCTCTGCGGTGTGAGCCAGTGATGTACACCTAAAGCTATCTTGGGAACTGATGAACTCCTATTGTAGCATACATCGTATAAGTGTTACCTTTTGAGCGAAATATGAACGTTATTCTACCCAGTCATTTTCAGTCTCGGAGGGCGATTTGGCCTAAAAGGAGCCCCCTCCGTGCTAAGACCACTCTAACTTACTCTCCTTGCCTCACATACACACCCAAGCATAAGGGATTAAGTTTACTTATATTAAATTAATTCACTTATACTATATAAGATTACCCGATTAGAAAAAAAATAGGGGTAGTATTTAAGTCGTCTCGCTAAGTATCTTTAACGACTATATTGAGTTAATAACTAAGGATCTTTAGATGGGTAAAAACGCGTAATATTTTCTAGATATTAGGAATATCTAATATAAGCAGACGTATCTAGTAGATTTTAAAGAGTTTGCGGCTGAAATCCCGCCGTCGTCGTTCTTGAATCCGTAAACTGGGTCCATTTCCGAGGGTACAGCACATTTGTGGCGGTCGGACTCATTCGCCATCTGCTGTTTTCCTTTGATAACCCAAAGTTTTGTGCGATTCTTTTCTGGGATTTGCCAGTAATCTACTGGAAGCATGGCGACTCCTCCGAGTAGGTTACGTCGGCAAGCAACCTCAAACCTAGAATCTATCTATGTAATATATTTGACTGATATAATTATATTATAGAGTTAGGTATATTTAAGAAACTTACTATAAGAACCTGGTTAAAATCGAATAATATAGCTATATATAGAGCCTTACATTATGTTTAATACCACTCTGGTGTTTCTTAGCTGGCGCCAATTCATGTCATCCATCTGGACCGGAGGAGTAGCGTCTGGAATATCCGACCAAGCCCAGTCACTGTCAGCGTTTATTGGCCACTGAGGGTAAGTTTCCGAATCGTTTAGTCGTATCGCAGTTTCAAGCTCGGGATCGTGAGCATGCATTGGACTTTCAGTAGGCGTCTCCGAGGACTGTGTCTGATTGCCTTCTTCGTCTGTAATGACAATCTTAGGAACTAGTACGTCTTCCATCAGCGCATCTTCTGCGTCATGGAAGTCGTTCACGGATTCTGCATCTTCGCTATCTAAGGACCCGTATTGCGCGTAAAGTAATATCCGCCCTTTATATTCAATCTAACATAAGTAATCTAACTAATCGGATTAATAGTTTTAGTGATTTTCTATAAGGCGTAGATTGGCCTTGTATTCTATTTATTAGAATATTTAAGCAGATTGAGCTTACATGGATTCAGATTGTATGTGCCGAAGTCTGATCAGCATTATAGCCAACTCAACGAGTCACCAACAACTCGGAATTGATATTCTTACTGCTACACTGTCGTCTCAACTCAACTTCTGAAACCCCACTATGACACCATAGTATGGTCATGTATCTTCAGTGGGAAGTGGAGCAAACGATAGGGTGTTGTGACTTAGTTGGAGGAAGGCCTGCGGAGGACTTCCTGTCTACAATCTCTCTATCAATCTGTTATGCAGTCGGTGGTAGAGGTTATTAAAGTAGTCTCTCAGCCTCGCAGACCACTGCTGCTTTGATGTATCCAGATTGTCAAAGGCCTGTGACTCCAAACGAGAACTCAATTTTATCATCGCCCCGATTTGGTCACCACAGTTCTCTCTTCATTACCACGAGATCATCCTGTGACAAACAACTATTCCCCTGTGACCGAGACAGATCTGCAAAGAGTAAATGTCACCGTTCCGCGCAGAGTTCTGCTAATTAGCTACAGGAGGTCCAAGAGCCCAGGCTGCATGAGACTTTGTGAAAATCAGCCGGGCGACTTATATGTTTGGGCTTAACAATGATGTATATTGAATTACGTCAGGATTCTCGCAATGTCCTTAATTAAATGTGCGCTGAACATCTACTTTGAAAGGTTTGGGCCAAACAGCATGTGAGGTATAAGATCCTCTCGCCGCTTCTCCATTTTAGTACTTCATTGGTGCGCATTCAAGTTTTTACAGATGTTTAGAATATAGACCATCTCTAGGTTACACATAATCATAGCTTATATCAGAGGCAAACACCTTGCTCAGATATAATTGCTCAATTTGAAATAATATAAGATACTCTATATAACCTGGAACAGAATCGGGCGTGTAGTGTAGTGTAGTGGTATCGCGCATCCTTAGCATGGATGAGGTCCTGGGTTCAATTCCCAGCACGTCCATTTTTGTTCCTTCAACTTGTGCTTGCCTGAGGTGGCGACAATGCTCTATAAATTTTGTTGTTTTTGGCGCTTATTTGTGCGTGAGACGACTTATATGGGGCTGTGGGGCTATGGAAAGGTGCTGGTACTAGTGCTGCATGCGAGGGACCTTACCGGATTAGGTAGCATATTTGATGGTGAGGATAATCAATCATATAGCCCATAATGAAGATTCATTAATCATCGCATACAAGGGCTCACAGAAGGACTTATGGTGATGACAAAAGATGCGTATAAGGAAAGTAGAATAGGAACGTGAAAGGTAATTAAGGTATTATGGGGCTAAGCTCCAAAAGTCTAGCGGCCTAGGAAACCAAAGCGGTTACATGCTTGCTGCCAGAGGATAGCAGTAGAGGGAGATAGTAGAGCTTGATGAGGGGGGTTGGGAAGGTAGAATAGGAACGTGTAAGGTGAAAGAAAAGACCCACCGGTTGCCAGAACTGTGGACCAGAAATAGATTGAAACCGGGCAGCCTAATTATAGGAGAACAAACAGATGAGAGCACCCGACCGTCTTCACTGCCGGTCCGTCGTGGCTACTGTGCTCCGCGTCCGTCATAGGTACTGGATCCCCATCCGTCATGGCTATTGTACTGCCCGCCCGACTGCCATGGCTACTTTACCGCACAACCGTCATGCTCCTGCACTGGCTGGCCGTACGAATCACAAGATCAGGCCGCTCCGACACAGATCACCACCCTCATGCCAAAGTGGACCACCCCCTGAGGCATCCGGATTCATGTCAGGACTCGGCGTCCCCAGCAGACGACGGCAATACTCACGCTACCCCAAGGCTGAAAGAAGAAGTACGACAGAGAGGTGTACGATATAAGAAGGGAGTAGAAAGAACATTCTATATAGCGACGGTAGAGAAATGAGTCTTCACCACACAGGTTTCTCTCGCATATAAGATAAGTGCCTAGACCGGAAGGGGCACATTTTTATCGGGCGGAATGAGAAAAAGAAAACCCTCAGACACGGTGTATGGACGAAGAGAATATATCTAGGTCCTTGACGTAACCTCGATGGTCCTGGCTCTTGAGTGACTAGTGTTGAAATAGCATCATGAACATAGGGTAAAGAGAAGACTTAAAAGGAAACAGCTGTTCGACCCGGGAGGAAATTTGGAATATGGCTTGCCATTACTTCTCTGTTGGGTATCTTAGAAAGACACACTCTTTCATCTATAAGCGGTCGCTCGTCACCGATCAGCGAAGATTGCGAATGACGAAATTAGCTCCATTCGCTTGAACACTTGGGCTCTCAGGATACAAGTCATATTCCGAATTTAAAGATATCTTTCAAGGGCAACTGTCTGCTTGTCAGCAGCTTCGTTGAGTTCAAAGCCTGCAGATGCAGACCCAGGAAATTCGATCTTTCCAAGTTCGTGTTGTCACAAACATTACCATCGGAATAAGAGATATCCAGAAACTTTCCGCTGTCATATCACCACGCCTGCGGTACCCTGAAACCCACTTTCGTGAGCACTGACACACTAGCTGGGTTCACGGTGACTTTTCCTCCGTCTTGATTGATGTTTGAGGCTTGCCCAGGGATGTGGTATGAGTTGCCCAGCGCCACGACTGCAGACAGTGTTCTGCCCTCCTGACTGTCAGGAGAGGATTCCTGGAGAGCCCGATTTGCGACAGTGGCGCCTAGGGAGAAGCCGAAGGTTGTTATGCGTAGATTTGACCTGGGAAATTGTGGATGCTGCGCTGAATCACGCTTGCGATGTCTTCAACACCTATGAAGGTGCTCTCTTGGGAGATGTCGTATGTTGCCGGATAGTCTGTCTCGTGAACAGTGTCCCCTAGATTGGCGGGACAAAGCCTGGCGAGCATAGGCGCCGTGGCGAAAGATGTGCTAGGTCTCTCCCGTGCCGCGGCTGTTGTTTGAGGTCAGGATTGTAGGATGGATCTCGAGGTGAGATTGTGGACTGTGCGGTGATTCGCGTAATGGGCACCATAAGAATGCGGGCGGAGATTAGGTGCCTCGCGTCACAGAAGGAACCATAGGAAATATAAGAGATAAGTTATGAGATCAGAAATATCACTCAATATATGAATATAAGAACTATACATGTCCCTCATGCCACATTAGACAGACCGTAAATGATGCATGTACTACATGTACGTGTAGACATATCGCTTGAGCTTTGACTAGTCATAGGGCCACCCAAGAGCACTGTGATTTCTCGATGTATTTCAGTATACAGAGTGGCAAGTACCCGGGGAAGTGATATGCTATGTTCGACGTGGATTAGGTAACAATTCTTGTCTCTGGGAACGTGAACAAGAGCATCGCGCGAACCTCGCCGGTCAAAATGCGCAGGTGTCTAGTACAATTTCAGCATAAGCAGCCCATGGCTGAAGAGGTAGTAGATCTAGCAGAACAAGAGTGTCCGCTACTGCAATGGAGATCCGAGTCTAAACCAGGATGTTAGCTACGCAACGGCGGGCGAGAAGCATCTAGTAGACAGCGACGAGTGCTAAGGGCCCTAGACAGCGTTCTGCGTAGCAAAGCATATGCTAAAGGTGTCGTGTTCTGCCGGGGGCGTGGCTGGGGTTCGGGTTGGATAGGCGCCGCACGAGTGAGGTCGAGATAAGAGCGAGGACTAGGCCTCTGACTGGGTAAGTATCGAAAGTCTCATGTCGTATACTATGATGGCTGCTTGCGATCGTTATGCAAGTAACGTCGGGTTGGTGATAGCCACTAGAGACAGCGTTCATTATCGAGCTACTAATGATGGTATATTTGTCTTTCTGCTGTCAGAGTGTGAGTCCGGTCCGGGAGCGTGTTGATGGCACGTGCCGTCTTTTGATTCCTGCGGACATGGTCTTGAACTGAAAAGACTCCAAGGCATTCGGGAACGACCAATCTGATGGAGGGAGGCGCGCAGGTCGCCCGGAAGTCTACCGTCCAGAGACACATAACATGTGTACTGGAGAAGACGTGGAATCCGAATAGCACACGGAGAACGCACGTGATACACCCATGTGCCTTGAGGGAATTGAAGCTGGGACAACGCCAGTAAGAGAGGCAATCTGACCCGAGCATTGACTTCCCATGGCCTTTCAACCGAGACGCCGCGGGTTGACGTCACATCGATCGTGAAAGATGCTTAGTGTCCGAGAAGATCACGCAAGGTACTGTGTAAGCCGAAAGCCACACCATGGGCTCTCGAATCTCATTGTTGCGAAGATGAGCACCTCAATCAACATCGTCCATTACGATTGACAATGCTAATCGGCCTCGTGACACAGTATGTTCGAGCGCGCTGAGTTTGGCCATGGCACTGATCAGACTGGGATCTTGGCTTTCTACTCTTACTTTCTCTTTCACGCAAACCTTCTGATGCCTGTACTCGAATGTCCGATGTACCTCATCATGTAGAGGTACACGGCTAGAGCCCAGGGCAGCAGCCAGTGTGCCTCGGAGACTGAATCCAGACTGTGGCTCCTCCGGAGCAGGTTCCAGAGTTCGTATTTCAACAAGGATCGCAGCATCAGAGACGTACAAATGAAAGGCAACGTTTGCTGGCAGAGGCGGTGTAAAGATATTCGGTAAGACACTGGTCTCATTCCACTCAGGGATAACGTCTGGGGAGCCTTTCAGATTGTGACGAGCTTCCTGGAGATTGTCATGCAGTAGCCGCAGCTGGCCGGAGATGAAGTTGGCATTCATGGCGTCGCCGGTCCAAGTGCTCACATCTATTATGTCTAGACAAGTGTTTATGAGCGTGCGAGCGCTGACAAGCTGAGGGACAGTAAGAGTAGGAGAAGATGGTAGAGTCGAAATGGTGAGATCGTATGTCGCGGAGCCACGCGGTGGAGGGAGCGACGGTACACGAAGTTTGACATCCTGAGCCGTTAGATGATTTCATTCTCGAGAGGTAGAGGAGTGAACGTACGCCTTTAACGATTCGTGTCCCCTCCCGTGTGATGAAGCCTTTCAGGGTTTCTGACTTTACAGTTGACAGCACCAGCGTTGCTCCAAATTCGCTAGGCGCCAGTAGGGCCGCACACTCTTCTAGGCCAGCTTTGAGGGCCTGTAGAGTCTCTTGTAACTCCCCAAGAAGCCATTCTAGTTCTCTTGTCTATGGGACACAGTTAGCGAATGCAGCATTGCAGGACTCCCGTAGACAAACCTGCGAGGCAGCTTCTTCTTGTAGCAATTGGTCTGGAGGTATTGGAGGCCAGACAGCGGTGGACATGATGGTCGAGATTCGCAAGCGGCTGGAGAGAAGTAGTACTGCTATTACCGTTGCGCATGGATGTGATCCAGTGAGGCGTGATGTAGTAGCGTTAATCCATAGCAGCCTGAGGTAATAAGCAGTATTAGTGATGATGCACAACTCTGCATAACTAGCTCCCTCTCTGCATAAACCTCCTTGTGATCAGCGTGCACGGACCAGAGCATCTCCTCGGGCCGGGGTAATTAGCTGATTAGCTGGATCGGGCGCTACCTAAGTTGGAAGGCATGCACATGTTTACTCCTCAGGCATCTTCGCACCTCAGGCAGCAAACTCATGGACGTTCGATCCGATCGCCAGGCAGACACTCTGCTTTACTCTGACATGAGGTCAAGTCTGCACGATCTGCCAACTTCGCGCTCGTGTTAATAGTCTTCGGTCTAGACCAACTTTGAGCTTTTGCTGCTCTGTGCAGTTGTCAGTTGAGTTGATGGTGACGAAAAGCTTGAGCTAGCGTGGGTTTGGCGTGTCGTCAGGTCGTCAGTGATCGGAATACGTCATGCACAATTGGCACAAGCTGCCTGCGTATTAAAAGCTTGGTTGGAGCCGTGCGCCAACGAGCAGTCCAGCGCATTTCCCCAACCTCGCCCTTCAATCTCTTTCTCATCCATCCACGACCTCACTCTATCCCTGTCGCGCCTTTCGGTCCGATAATTGTCTCCAAATCACCTCCAACCTCCTCGGATCCATCTCTGACGCGATCTCTGGTAATAGTCACGTACAATGGCTGCAGCGCGTAAGTCGCACGGGATGTCCCATACATATGCTCGGGCTCATCATTGACGCTGTGCCTCGCAGGACCAATCGTGGGACTTGTTTCCCTTATTATTCTCGCTGGTGGCATCCTGCTACAATTCTTCATCATCCTCTCCGGCTCCATCAACAGCAGCCCTGAGAACCTCGTGTATTTCCTCCAGGCAACGACAAACGGCATTAGCAACGCGCGCAACCCAACGAGATGGACATACTTCGCTCTTTGCGGTGTGGATGGCAACAATCACAATACTGATTGCGGTTCCCCAGTGCCCGCTCTTCCATTCGACCCGAAGCGTAATTTTGGCACTACCGACGGCATACCAGAATCGCTCATGAGGTACGTCAAGACTCGTTGAAATCAGCGCCATCCTAACAATCTCGCAGCGGAAACCGATACTACCTGCTGTCGCGCTTCTCATGGGTCTTTTTCCTGGTCGCGCTGATCTTCAGCATCCTGACTCTACTCACTGCGCTTCTCGCCCTGTGCAGCCGTCTCGGCGCATTCCTCACCTCTGGTCTCGCCACTCTTGCCTTCGTCTTCCAGGCTCTTGCTGCGGCTCTCATGACGTACGTTGATCTTTCGAGTCTTACTACCTTTGCACTTATTGACATGTTCCAGCTCCTGGGTCATAATGGGCCGCAATGCGTTCAGATCGAGCGGCCAAGACGCTAGCATCGGTCGTTACGCCATGGGGTTTGCCTGGGCCTCCGTTGCTTGCTTCCTCATCAACATGGTTCTTGGCTGTATCGGCGGCGTTACTGGAGGCAAGAGCGACAGTACGTCTTACAAAGCGCCCAGGAAAGGGTTCTTTGGTCGCAAGCAAAGCACCAGATCTCGAGGTAGTTTCCGCGACAACCGCATCAAAGACGACTACTCATAAACATATTCAGACATCTAACCGCCGACACGAGAACATGTGAGAATCAGCTCCGCGACTGTTCCGGACTGCTGGGCCATGGAGAGAATTGAATAATATACCCCTTCAGCAGAGCTTCGTCTGTATCGTTCGATGGAAGACATCCCCCTAACACATCTTTATTGATAAAGATTTGAACCGCGTACACGCAAATGCTAATCTAACAGCACCAGCAATTGAGGATTAAAGCGATTGAAATCATCATTAATGTCTTTTACCATTCTTACTGGGGAGAAGCCCGATCGCTGAACAAAATGTTGAATGTAATAATGAACTAAATAATGTCTCGAATAAAACTATAATAACACAAACACATCATGAAGGCTTTGTCCGTAACATATCGATCAGCTCCTCTCTGTAGGCCGACTCAACTCGTGATATATTACTATGAAATTGCAAGATTCCCTTTACGTAGACGTTTTGATGAGGCGACGCCCAATCTCAGACGAGACGTCTGTCGCGGGCCCGAGCGTTCCCCACCACTCACTGACAGGAACTGCTACTACGTAATGCTCACAGCTCTCCACATGCCAGTGGCTCCAACGTTTATCTTCCAACACAGCGTTCGGTCCTACATAACTTCCAACTCGTGTCCATTCACGCAGCATTACTTCGCGCGAGCATGGCGGCCCCGATACTCAACCCAACAAATGGTTCATCTCCCACAATGGCGTCGTCGCTCCCGCAAGAAGTTACAGCCTGTCTTCAGAATGCACGTTTCGTAAGTGCATACTCTCTTACCAAAAATGGTGCCTTGCTTGCGAATGTGATGTATGTTGACAGGTATTCAGCTTCATCTCGCAACATCTGCCGACAATATACCTCACGTATCCCTCATGAACTATACCTACCTTCCTGCAAATTCCTCGCCCTTCAATAGGTCACCGGCCATAATCATGACCACACAACCTTCTAGCACAAAGACGTCGAATCTCGCCTCAAACCCACGAGTGTCTCTGCTTGTCCACGATTGGGTCTCACATCGACCCCCAACCCTTCCCGAATCCACTGCGTCAGGTGGCTCAGCACTTACTGCACTTCTACAAAACTTAAACACCGCCTCCCTGAGTCGAATAAGTGCGACGATAAACGGCACTGCTGAGTTACTTGAAGGAGGTAGCGAGAAGGAAGCATGGTTCCGCAAAAAGCATATCGAAAACAACACATTTGGACCAAGCTCCGAAAGCCAAGCACAGGCCGCGCTAGGCTTATTCTCGAGCAGCCCGTCGGATGTGAGTGGATCATTAGGTGATGATTCTGGAGATGGTGATGGAGGGAAGAAACACTATGTTGAAGGAAGTGAGACGAGAGTCGTGCTAGTCACTATCAAGGATGGCCGGGTGAGCGATTGGAAAGGAAGTGTACAAGACTGGAAAGTAGAGGAACCACTCATGAATGGTACGTGAGAGAACGTGTCTATTAATGTGCGGCTGCTATGGCAGTCAGCACCAAAACACGAGATGCCTTAACAGGACAAGAGTATTACCGTAAAATCGCCGAATCACTCTTCGAATCCAACAAATGCCAGCATCTACTCAGGCTTCATCGCTTGCGTTGTCATACTGCGTAGGACAGAGACACAGTCAATAGCATATGTTGCTGCATGACCACTTCTATTTATTGCGCCCAATGAGTGACGCTCTGCTCTATAACACAGTTCGATCGGGCGGTTTGTGCATGGGAGTAATGTATTATATCACCAAAGACTCTTTGTTCTGAATCTGCTATCAATGTAAAGCTCTCCCCATTGCGCACATTCCTTGCTATGGTACTTTGGACTAGGATAAGTTACCGGGGTGATCCCTTCATCTGCTCACTCGAGCAAGCGACTATTACCCAGCAGCAGAAGTCGAAATTACTTACGATCAGGCCACAGTCTCGCATGCGCTGATTTTTAGAGTAAAAATGACTGGAGGGGGCGCTGATTGAAAAGCGAAAGCGATGTTTTCCAATTGGAATTATGGACTGACGACACACTTCTACTGGATCCGCAATCCGGAACTCTTCTGTGAGAAGAATCTTTCGAGGGGTCGCTTAGACTGGCTAATATGCATATCTCCCCTTGAAGATGCACTATAAGGGTGGATAATTACTTTCCCACCTGCATGTCCATAGTGCTGAGTCGAGGGGTGCCTGTCCTTGTGGAATCAGCATAAATGCGACCTAACCTCGCAGAACCTAATATGTACAGTCATCAGACATTCTTCTACTGACAACATCATTTACAGCCATATGATGTTCATAAATTTGTTTCTTCTTCTTTGGACGGCGTTTGTGAGTGCCAGCTCTTTGGCATACCAACAAACGCCAGGCGCTCTACAACAGGTGACCGACTTTGGCTACAATCCCACAAACATCGGATTCTACATATATGTGCCGAATGCCTTAGTGAGCAATCCCGCTATCGTGGTTGCTGTACACTACTGCACTGGATCAGGTCAGTCTATCCCAGAGCGTGCGTGTAACGAACTAATGTTTAGTAGCCCAAGCATACTATGATAACTCCCCTTATAAGACTCTCGCAGAGCAGTATGGATTCATCGTCATCTACCCAGAATCACCCTGGAGTGGCGCATGCTGGGATGTGAGCAGCAAAGCAACTCTGACACACAACGGCGGCGGCGATTCAAATGCCATCGTCAATATGGTCTCGTGGACAGTGAGCAAGTACAGAGCCGACACTTCCAGAGTCTTTGTGACTGGCCTTAGCTCTGGTGCGATGATGACAGTCAGCGCTCCCCTACCTACTCCCAGTCTTTGTATTCTTTCTAACGCATCCCCCCCAGAACGTCCTATCAGCCACATACCCAGACGTCTTCAAAGCCGCCACTCTCTACGCCGGCGTCCCTGCTGGCTGCTTCGTCTCAGACACAAACCAGCAAGCAGCCTGGAATACGTCCTGTGCAGAGGGTCAAGTCGTCCACACACCCGCCGTCTGGGCCGACATCGTAAGGGATATGTATCCCGGCTACAGTGGGCCCTACCCTCGGATCCAGATCTACCATGGCGGCGCAGACACGGGTCTGTATCCGCAAAACTACTACGAGACGTGCAAGCAATGGTCAGGGGTGTGGGGATACGACTACTCGAAGCCGCAGAGTACGCAGGTGGATAGCCCTGCGAGTGGCTGGACGAGGACTGTGTTTGGACCAGGCGTGCAAGGGATATTCAATCCGGAGGTGAATCACAGTATCAGTATCTTTGGGGATGAGGATATGAAGTGGTTTGGGTTTACCGGGGTGAGTCTGTGGTGAGAGTAGTCTTTTCGCACACGAAAGCTGAGGCGATGATAGTCTATGCCATATCCCCCTCCGAGCACAGGTGCCCCAATTGCGATATGGGGGCAGTGTGGGGGCATCATGTGGACTGGGTCGACGAAGTGTGCTGATGGGCTTGGGTGTGTCAAGCTGAATGACTATTACTCACAGTGCCAGCGAGAGCGCTTGGGCAACAACGGGATGTCTCCTGAGTCCTGATACGCGACCTATTCAGCGGTGGAATCTTCAATAATTCCCTCAAAGTCAACCGCTTCTAGGAGGCGCACTATTGGAGATTTCACTGAGAAGTAGGAGTGAAGATACTGGACGGAAGAAATCCCGCCCAGCTGTGATAGTGGATTAATATATATCTGGGCACGGCGGGCCGCCGGGATCTGGGATGAGCAGTCGGATGCCACGCCTTAGCAGGGTTCTCCGCGATGTCAAGTATATCCTTCCAATCATAACGCGCTTCTTGGTTTCAATCTTTATGCTTATGTTTAGTCAAACTTTATTACGTCGGGTCTTGCGGCTCTTGTATACCCGTAATCGCTCTGTGTTATAATTCCTGCTAATGAGCCATCATCTAGTTCGTCAAACACTCCAGCAATATCGCTCCTTTATCGGCATCAAAGTAGTTATCCCATAGACTTCAGATGATGCTTCTAACAATATTTCTCCTGCTTTTCATATTGGCATGGCGTTCGCAAGATCCTGCATGGAGCACTCATCTTGTGACGAAGCGCAAGGTGGCAACTTGAAGTAGTCGCTCTTATAACAAGCTATCTCGTCCATTAAACTATAGTTATGAAGGTCAAAGGTATACCCATGTCTCGGTGTCATCGCCAACTTTGAGAAGATGATAACTTTAAACTTACCGATACTCCTCAGCGCTATCAGCGGGTGTTTACTGCAGCTTGTACAGGGACAGGCTGCCGGCTATGCACAATGTAAATGTCTACTATAAATACCAGCTCCATGAACTCACTTAGAAACTAGGTGGTGGACCAGAATACACCGGGCCTACTACTTGTGTGGCTGGATATAGTTGCAAGGTTCAGAACCCCGTAAGTCATACAATCGTCTGAGGCTTGAATAGCTGACTGAACTCGTATAGTTCTACTCGCAATGTGTACCATCAAGTGAGATTGTGTCGTCTGTGAAGTCGTAAGTGCTCTCCCCTATGTTTATAGAGCTAAGAACTTACAACTAAATACAGGTCTGCAACGCTGGTCACATCAGCCAGGTCGAGCAGTGTTTCCTCAAAACCTGTATCAGCCGCTCCCACAACAAGCCCTTCGGGTACCTCTGGTGTCAAATGCACCGGGACATTCAGTCCAATTTCAGCATCAAGCTTCGTCGCCGCTCTCAACCCAGGATGGAACCTCGGAAACACTCTAGACGCGATACCAGACGAGACAAGCTGGGGTAACCCAGCAGTAGTAGCTGCGACATTCGACGACATTAAAGCCCAAGGCTTCAAGAGCGTTCGTCTACCAGGTAGGTAGAACTCATTCCATGCCACGCAAACCGACTCCACACTGACAAATCGCAGTAACGTGGGCCTACCACTTCGCCGGCGCCGTAAACACCGGCACATCCCCCGACTGGACCATCCAACCCACCTGGCTCCAACGCGTCTCGGACGTCATCGACATGATCACTGCGCGCGGCCTCTACGTGATCGTCAACGTGCACCACGACTCATGGATCTGGGCCGACGTCACACAGGAAAACGCCAACTACACCATGATCGAGGAGAAGTTCTACCGGATCTGGTACCAGGCAGCCCAGAAGCTGGCCTGTAAGTCTTCACTTGTCGCGTTCGAGCCGATCAATGAACCACCTGTCAATACTGCGGCAGACGGGGCGCGGATAAATACGTTCAACGAGCTGTTCTTGAGGGCGATTAACGCGGTTGGTGGGTTCAATGCTCAGCGTGTGGTTACGCTGGTTGGTGGTGCGGAAGATTCGGTGAAGACGAGCCAGTGGTTCGTGAGGCCGAATGCTTCCTATACCAACCCCTGGGCTATACAATACCACTACTACTCTCCATGTAAGCCCCTGACCACGCCTCATCCCTCCCACCACCTCCCCCTCCCCAACTCCGTCCTTCCAGCCAACACTAACGCCCCTCCAAGACGACTACGTCTTCTCCGCCTGGGGCAAAACAACCTGGGGCTCCGCCGCCGACAAAGCCGCCCTCGAGACCGACATCGCCCTCATCCGCTCCAACTTCACCGACGTGCCCCTCCTCATCGGCGAATGGGCAATCTCGCCCGTGCAGACCGAGCCCGCCGCGCGCTGGCGCTACTGGGATTTCCTGATCCGCACCGCGGCAAAGTACAACACTGCGACCATATACTGGGACAACGGCAACGACAATTACAACCGCAACACTCGGGTCTGGCGGGACAAAACGGCGGCCGATATCCTGATTAGTGCAGCGAAGGGGGCGAGTAATAGTTTGCCGGATGGGACGACGGATGCGTCTGCGTCTGAGCAGTCGAGTAGTGCGTATGTGTGGCTCAGGAAGGGCGAGGCTGCTGCGGCGCAGAGCGTGCCGTTCTTGCTTAATGGGAATACGTTCAAGAGTGTGTCTGACGGTGCGGCTGTGCTCAAGCTGGGCTCAGATTACACGGTCTCTGGCTCGAATATCACGTTCAGCGCGGCGTATCTAGCCCCTTTTGCCACGGACACAGCAGGTATCAAGGCAAACCTCACAATTACCTTCTCTGCGGGTGCTCCATTGGCCCTCCAAATCGTGTCCTGGGCCCCGCCGACCCTGTCTTCCTCGAGTTCGAAAGCAATAGCCGGATCCGATCTCGTTATACATGTCACTTACAACGGCATCCACAAGCCCGCGACCGTGCGTGCGCTAAAGGCGGACGGTACGTATCTCGTCGACGACTGGACGGTGTATCTGCCTGTGCTGCAGCAAGCTAGGACGACGTTCGGGAGTCAGTGGCGCTGGGACTGGAATCAGGAGAGCGTGACGATCACTAGCAGCGCGGTCGACGCGGTGATTGCGGGTGGGCAGAGTGTGCAATTCATGATCGAGGCATGGCCGCGGGTCAGTGGGAATAACGTGAACTACACGCTGACGGTATAGGACTTTATGCAACAAGCTCTATATACATACACGTCTTATATACTGTATTGAACCTCACACTACAACCCCCAATCACCCCAAGTCTACCATCCCCCCAAAAGCCCCTTTACCCCCCTCGTCCCTCCAGAATCAAACTCGCAATCCTCTCCGCAACAGCATACACCGTCGCACTCAAATGCCCACTAACCTGCCCCATCACACTCGCATCCACAACCCTCACCCCACGCACCCCATACACCCTCCCCTCCCCATCCACCACCCCGCCCCGCTCAAGCGGCAGCATAGCACACGTCCCAACCGGATGATTATTACTCCCATACGACGCCTTGATCCACCCCGCCCACACCGCATCACTCGCATCCGCCGGCACAGCATCCAGCCCGGGCACCAATTCTGCACCTACATACCCGCTCAGCGGCGGCGTGGCATATGCGGCACGCACGGCCTTTGCAAGCGCCACGGCCATGGCGACGTCGTACTCGAACATCCACATATTAGGCGTGATGGCAGGCGCATCCAGCGGGTCATTACTAGCAACATGTACGCTGCCGCGAGCGAAAGGCAGCAGCGGCCAGAAAGCAAGGATGACTTGGGGGCCGAAGGGGGCCCAGAGGAGTTCTGCGGCGGGGGTGCTGGAGTTGAAGAGCAGGGCAGCTTGGACGCGGAGGAGGGAGTCCTGGGCTGCGGGGCTGGTGGCGTACAGGCTGGTGCGTGCGATGTGTGCGGCCATGTCGGGGATGTGAGCAGTGAGGGTTGCTTCGAAGGCGTGGGTGGCGGAGCGCAGGATGTCTGGGGCGGTGGCCATGGTGGCGAAGGTTGGGTATCCGGTCCAGGGGACTTTGCTTTCGTAGACGAAGGCGTTGTTGGGTTGGTCTTGCATGTGCATGCCGACGCCGGGTAAGGCGTGGACGAGCGGGATGGAGTGCGCGGCGAGGACGGACGGGTGGCCTATGCCGGAGTGTTCGAGGAGAAGTGGACTGCGGAGGGAGCCGAGGGAGATGATGAGTTCGGAGAGGGGGCTGGGGCTGAGGTGTATGGATGAGGTAGCGTTTGAGGGAGTGAGGATTTCCACGCCGATGGCGCGCGGATGAGTTGTGTTGTTACCAGTAGATGATGGAGATGGGCCCCAGAGGATCCGTAGTGCTTGCGTACGAGTGAAGACGTGTAGATTCTCCCTCGTCTCCGCCTTACCCCAGTAATACGCCCTAGCAGCATCGGATCGTATATCAGTCTCCGCGTTCAGCGTCTGCGGCCATGTGCTGAACCCCCTGACCGTCCCGTCGTTCGGATCCTCATTGAACGGCCACCCTAGCGCCTCATTCGTCGCGCGTAGAATCCCACTTACATTCTGTCCCATAAGATACGAGCTCCAGCCCACACCTACGTTGCCATCCTTCCCATGCACAGCTTCGACGTACGTCGCACCTTTAGCCTCACGCACGGCGTCGGGGCGTGTAAATGTTTCTGATTTCTTATAGAACGGGAGCAGCGATGACCATGTCCAGCCGGTGTTTCCGACCGTCTCCCAGGCGTCGATTTGAACAGATTCGGCACGAATATATGTCATGCCTACACTCGTCAGAAGCGAAATCACTCTTCCAAGTTCCCTCCTGAACAACAACACACACAACCCCCATGATAACCCGTTCCCAATCTCCACCAAAGTGATCTCTTCGCCTAGAAAAGGGAAATTCAAAACACACCATTCAGAACACTCGTACCACCAAGCGCCCTTCCAGCGCTGTAATTCAGCACACGTCCGTCTTCGTCCGGTAGTGCTGCATAGAGCCAGTCCAGCTCCGTGTTCTGCGCAAGCCCGAACGCACTCACATTCTTCACGCGCGCGTCGTCGTAGACTGAACCGCCTGCTTCGATGACAGCGACGCGTATACTGCAGTCTGCAGATAAACGATTTGCGAGTGCAAGGCCAGCAGTGCCGCCTCCGAGGATTATGTAGTCATATGTTTCGTTCATACAGGCACATATTGAGGCTATTGAGAGGGTGGCAAGTACATGGAGGAGACGCATCATAGCCGGGTGAGATGGAGGAGAAAGAGATGTGGATTTGAAGATGCGAGAGGCAAGCCGGTGTTCATATAGACTATTTACTAGCTGATTTGAACCTTATAACTAAGGCAACGGGAGCGGGACGGGACCTGTTTCTGGAATAGATGAGCCGGTATTTGCCACGTGAGCGAGAGGGGAAGCGGGATAAGCGGGATATGACGGGGATGCAAATGCGGTTGGAATCCTTCGCGGACGCATCAGAAACCATATTTCTGGGGGCCGAAGAGGTCTAGCTATTCGTATATTTTTGGCCTCTGATCACCTAGCCTAAGACAACTTCGAGATACCAAGCGGTAAAATGCAACTGCAGCAAAAGGGTATGTTGAACAAGCTAAGGGCGATATTGTACAGCTCCATGCTGCAACAAATGGCTATGATTGTCCAACTTGGAATGCGGGTAATGTTTTGCTCAGACTTAATTGCCATGTTCCATATATCGCTGGGGACACACTTAATCTTCTTGCTGGTATGAGATCTTTCTCATCTCTCCAAGACGGGTTCGTGCCTGCGCAAGCGAATTTTCCAGCTGCAGAATCTCAACCTGGAACCTTTGTTAGCAGATGGACTGAAGATAATGATTAGATCTCTATGGTCATGCAACATACCTGCTGTTCCATCTCCTGTACTTTAAACTCATGTCCACTGAGCTTGCTGTAATCAACAACCTCGTTGTCATCACGGTTTCTTTGTGCAATAATCTCCTGGACCTGCCGTACAAGGGACCTGCAGGCACTCGTCACCGCTTTACTGGCTGTTTCCAATCTGTCCTGACTCTTGCTCATGAAGGAGGCCTTGACTCTGCTGGCTGCGACGAGCTGTGCCGTGCTGGCTGCGACGTCGTTACTAGCAACGATGAGCTGCTCGGGCGAATTGCGTCCACTGATGACGCCGTCGGCAGTCTCAATAAGCAGATTCGTCGACGATGCTACAGCCTTAGCTGCGCTGATCAACCCCTCTGTCCACCGGTTGTGTTTCTTGTAGAAAGCAGTTCGCGATGCAGCGCCACGACCTTCTCGTACAATTTCTTGCTGCGATGCCGTCGCCGCCTTGATGAGCTGGGCGATTGCATTTGTGACAGCAATGGCGGCGGCAAGAATTGAGTCATGGATCTTGAGCTCGTAGGTGGAGTACGAGTCACGAGGCTTGTTCATGAGCTTTGTAAGTCGCTCCGTTGCAGCGTCAATGGCATTGGCAGCATTGGTGAGTTCACGGTCGACCAGGTCACCAAGATCTCCCTGAGCGTTAGTAATCTTGCTCTTGGGGGCAAATGCGTCGGCAAGCTTGGAGAGCTTTTGCAGATTTACTTGGACATCATTGTTGTTATTGATGACAACGTCTGTCTTTTGCAGTGGCTCCAGTCCCTCCAGGCGGAAGGACTGTAAGTTGCGGAAGAACTGTAGCGTAGAAGATGCAGCCTGTCTTGCAGCATTGATAAGTTGGTCTCCTTTCTTGTCATCCGAGGCAAAACGCGTAAGCCCCTTGGTATTGCTTAGAACATCGGCGATAGAGCCCGAAAAAGCGTTAACTGTGCGAATGATCTCAGCATGTCCGCTAGTAGCTCCATCGGCGATGAAGTTGTTGAAGGCCGTGGAAAACTCCATAGCGTTCTGTGACGCCTTTTCGATCTGCGATAAGACAAATGCGCCCGACGCGTTCTGGTTTCCAGCTTGCATCGAAGAGTCAAGCTCGTACAAAGCTTCGTCCACACGCTGCACTCCACTTTGTAGTACCGAGTCGATGATATCATTGATGCGTTTGATGTTGTCAAGAATGAGAGAGTCGATCTGTCCGTCCATGGCTCTGTCCGTGTCACCCTGGCCTAACTTCAATTCGTTAAGCTCAAGAAGAGTTTGATCCATGCCAGCCTTGAAAATTTCCAGTTCCTCTTCCTTTTCACGAAGCTGGCGCTCCAGATCCGAGTCTCCTTCTCGATACTTCATGTGGAAATCTTCTAGCTGCCTGGTTTTGTTGCGGAGAGCTTCTTCAAGGTCGGCTATCTCCCGATTATGTCTCGAGAGCATTGCCGAAAGCTCTGAGCCTTTTCCTCGTTCCGCGTTTTCGGCCCTCTCCATCGCGAATCGAAGCTCTCGCTTGAGCTTCTCCAGCTCTTCTTTGTGCCCACCCTGGGAACGATCTTTGTCCAAGTATGCTTTGTCGCGTTCTCTAATCATATCTGCTAGCTCCAAGTTCTTCGTCTTCAGCTCACGTGAGAGCTTTTCACGTGCATCAATTGCTTCCTGTGCTGAAGCCGCTTTTACTTGAACTTGCTTGAACTTCTGCAACAATTGCAAATGCTCGTGTCGAAGCTGCGAGTAAAGCTTGGCAAGAGCTTCATATTTAGTCCTCCAAGTGTTTAACTGCTCTTGAAGGGCACGGATTTGGTCATCTTTGGACTGCGATTGCTGTTGGAAATTTGCGTTGAGCTGATTCAGCTCCCCCTCCAGTGCTTTCATTCGCTGGTCGTATTGCGCAAGCATTAACTGATCCTGTTCGTATTGCTGCCTTGCACGAAGATTCTCCTGCTCCAACTCCGCAAGGCGACCTTGCGTCTGCTGTGCGTACTGATCACGAAGTAGCTGATCGTGAGCAAGACGCGCCTGTTCTTGCTGTAATCGTTGCTGCTCTTCAAAGTCTCGCTGGGCTTGGAGTGACTGCTGTTGCTGCAACCGTTGGGCCTCCTCCCACTGAGCCTGTAGCCGTCGCTGCTCGGCCTCATATTCATCTTGCTGACGCTTCTGCTCGTTTTTCCAGAACTCGTTGATAGGCTCTGGATCGGGTGCATTGGATTTTGGAGGTGATTTAGGGGCTGCGACTTCCCGTGCAGGACGTGTGGGTAGCGCTGGAGCAGATTCATCTTCTGACAGTAGATTTGGAGGATCCTGTGGCAGCTTCGGGACTGTAATAAGGCTTGTGAGATACCTCAGATTAGAGCATTCGTAGTAGAATTTGACCAAGCGGTAGTGCTGCGCGTCGTAACGTCCTCTCAGGGGAGATAGAGCTTCATCGTCTCCCAAGGCTATTTGATTTAGCTTCCAGTCCTTGATAAATAGTATGAATACATACTTGTATGCATGGCGCGAAGCATGCTTGTGATAAATTTGTATATACCATAGCTCTCTTGCACTAGCGGCACTAGTGCGGAGATACGGCACTCATTGTTCTGTCCGCTACGGAAGTGCGAGAAAATCAGTTTCTGGAAAGAGTCGATTTGGTCCTGCAGCGTCATAAGGTCTGAAATGGTTTCATAGCTTTGAAGATATGTATTAGCATTCTCCACTCGCGATGGAGTATGTACTTACCCCTCGTTCGGGTCATTGATCGATTTGAGACTAATGTATTCTTCATACTCGAATGTTCCTATTCAAGTTCAGTATAAGCTCTTCATTCACATATATGGGCCGTACCATTGAATTCCGGGTGCTGTCGATGGAAAGCGAGTTTAGCGAGGAGGAAATATACATATTCCTGAATCAATGGCATATACCCTATGATTATGAGCAGTCTGCCAGTATATATTTCGGAGATGATAGTACCTCTTAGGCCGTCCCCGCCTCCTGCACCTCGAGACAAACTTTCTATCCAATTGACATTGGCTTGCGCCTCTTTAAGTGCTATCGGATGGCCTTCTTGTAGCACTTTGTGAATGGTTTGGAGGGCTTTGAATGTTTGAACCTCGTCAGCAAGGATTGGTTGGCTGTGTGTTGTAAGTCATAGCGCTTGAGGGGTAGCAGTGAGTGCGTACACTTTCATCCCAGCCCAAAACGATCCCGACGATTTATGGTCCCAAGTGTATACAATCGCGCTTCGTACATGTTTTCCTGTATTGTGTCAACTCTGAGCTGCTCGATCTTCGGTGAATAGGACTTCGCACTCTTAGGAGCTGTCTCATCTGGAACCATAAGTTAGCAGGCTACAGCTTCGTGGCAGTGAAGATAGCATACCAATACTTGTCGCTTTCCGAATGTTGATCGCAAGCTCGGATTCTTGCCTGGATCTGCATCAACTAGTTACTCTTGTATGATAGATCTTGCAGCTCACTTGGTCATGTCCACATTGCGTGTGGACCCGTGGTAAGCCATCGAACAGGCGCGCTCGAGGCGCTGGACGTCGGGAGTGTTTGCGGAAGAATTGGATCGCGGCACCAGTACACAGGCACGGTCCTGCAGGTGATTAGATGGTTATATAAACGTTGACTGGTGGATGTGTGCGTAGAGCTCGATGGCAATGTAGTTGTGAGGTCGGACTGCTCCTTGCACCAGACCGGAGCTTCGGTCGAGGTGACGACGATTCTTGGCATTACGCCAGCTCACACAGCCTGAGGTTCAAACCTCTTATCGGTCTCGCAGAAATGGATGAAATGATCATTACAGAATTTAACTCTAGATGCTCTCGTTCTGGTCGCCCAGAGAACTCCAAAATATGCTATGTATATCTGCTCAGCCTGCGCCCCAAGGCCTCTCGTGGCTGTGGCCATGGAAAGTCAACCAAAACACCTACGCTATGCAACCAAATCTACAAACCGCCCCTCGCATCATACGAGCGCTGCTAATGAAGTAGCTCGTCGTTTCCCACCATGTTTGACATAGGGTCTGCTGCTTGCCGACGCTTGCGCCTGTATTCGTCCATCTCTTCCTCCGTGATACCTGCAGCCATAACATCAGCCGTTCGTTTCCTCGATGTTGCATCAGCCGGGGCGGTTGCTTCATTTTGCTCTGCGCGTACAACTTCGACGTAATTTTCCGGGGTTTCATTATGATCAAGCCCCAGACTTTCACCTAGTCTAAGGCGGCTCGCTTCCTCCAGGGCCGTCTTTCCCTCCTCGCCAGTACAATAGCTGTTCTTGACGAAAGAGTGGCAGCACGCATATCCCCATTTGAAATCTGACCACCAGCTTCCCCATACACTCGTGTGATTGTTGATCAGTACGTCTTCGGGATACTTTGACTTTGCCTTGACCTTCGGCGCCCCCTTGATTCCTCCATGTTCGTCATATTCAACATAGCGTTCTGATTCGACGACCGCTGTTTCTTTCAATGACTTATCGGTGACTTCATCTTGTCCCCCATACTTTTCCAGTAAGGCTTTGTGATGGGCGAGCTTCTTGGCTTCTGCCTCTTGTATTTCTTTCTTCCGTAAAACTTCTCCCGATGTAGGATTAGCCTGTAAATGTATCTTATTCTTGCCGCGCTGCTCTTGAGTCTCCCAGGCATACTTTTGAGCCCTTTCGAACTCTGCCGCATCCCCTGATGCTCTCATGAACCCCTCCTCCGCGACTAGAGCTGCAGCTTGATCCGATGTAGCTCCACTATCAACCATAGAGCGCGTCTTTGGATCATACTTGGCGGAATCTAGATCGAGATTGACTAAGTATTTTGCGGTGTCCTCTCGAAGGCGGAGGTTCCGTGTGCCCTTTGATTGTTGGCGACCCATTTCAGTCTCTTCTTCATACTTTGCGCCTTCGTCGTCCTCGCCCCCTTCCGTCAATGCTCTCGCTCCCACAGCCTCTCCTTGCGCGGCTTTCTTCATCGCCTCGAGTTGGTTGTACTCCTCGACTATTGAGGCGTACTCAGATGAATCGAAACCGTTCCAGCGATCTCTCTTAGCTTCCCAGCCAAGTTTAACATCCTGTATGATCTCATCCGCTTGTATGTCCTTGCCAGTCCATTTGGCGCCTTGTTTTCGAGGTCGTTCCAGACAGTCTTTCGCCTTATGCGTCATAGCGCCACAGTTCTCACATGCACCTTTGCGATATTTGGTGGCAGCTGGTCCTGCCTTGCGCCCGCGATCGTACCATTTCGAATCTTCGGCCGCTTTTTGTAAACGTTGATGCTCTAGGTAGTCGGCAGACTCGTCGATATCATTGACATAGAAGGGCTTCTTCGAAATGAAAGACGGAATATATTCTATCGCAAGATTAATTATTAAACTCAAGCTGCTTGTAGGTAAGGACCGACCATTCTTTTCTTTGTTCGCCACGGACACGTCCACGCGCTTCTTGGGATTCGCTGGAGGCATTTTTGAGTGTGCACGCCACACCGCGCATGTGTGTGTCGGATCACTGTTGATAGAATAATGGTGCGATGGCCAGGCATTACCTCGCGGACTCGCGGAACCTTGAACTTAGTCTGTTGCGATTGAAGAGGTCAGCCCTACGAAATGCCAAGCCGCTAATTGAACCATGTTACAACGCGTCGATGTCATGCAAGCGGACGCGATTTGCCTCATCAACAAAAACCAACGTTGATAACTACACGATCCCTGGTCCGTTGCGCTACATCATGTTATGCCGGCTCGTGGTCACCGCTTATTGGAGACTCGAATGGATACATTTCGATTCCGTTTGAACTGCCTGGACCATTACCAAGCGACCCCAACTGAGTTAGACCCGCAGTTATCTTCTGGTGGTGGTCTCTCGCAAAGACACAATGCTCCACCTATTGTTGTCATTCGTGCGTTTGGGGCAACGGAGACTGGACAAAAAGTGTGTGCTCATATACACGGGGCTCTTCCTTATGTGTACCTGAAATACGAAGGCAGTCTGGACGATGATGCTGGTTTGTTTCTTCTACATAGCATTGATTAAGGCTGACAATCGTCAGTCGACAGCTATATGCACGACTTGCGTATTTCAATCGATCACGCGCTTGCTACTAGTTACCGCAGGAATGCTTACGATGGGAAAGCCAAATTCGTAGGCCATATCACACTAGTAAAAGGGGTGCCCTTTTACGGCTACACTGTTGGGTATGAGTATTTTCTTAAAGTCTACATGTTGAATCCGACAAACATGACGCGACTAGCGGATCTTCTATCCCAGGGCGCTGTAATGAATAAAGTCATCCAACCGTTTGAGATGCATCTACAATTCCTATTACAATGGATGTGCGATTTTAACTTGTACGGGTGCGCCTATATCGACAGCGCAAAAGTCATGTTTCGCAGCCCGGTTCCCGCATACATGGACATGAATAGCCTGTCACACAAATGGCATGACGAATCGATACGTCCTGATTGGATATCAAACACTGAGAGCTTCCCCAGACAGAGTCATTGCTCCCTAGAAGTGGACATATGCGTTGAAGATATCTTGAACAGAAAAGAGATCCGACCAAGGCCCCTTCATCAAGACTTCATTGAAAGGTTCCACCAGATTGGTCCAGATGAAAAGTTTGTCAATTCTATGGCCAGTCTATGGCGAGATGAAACCCTGCGGCGAAAGAGGCGCATGGGTCTAAAGGACCCAGGTAGCAGTCCGTTCCCACCTGAAGTCTTTGTTTCCATGTCAGCAGGCCCTAGAAACACGGACAGTGGAGGTTGGATTCATGAAGACGAGTTTCGTCAAGTCATCGAGGATTTGATCAGAGAAGAAGAGCAGAAAGGCTCCGACCCTGGCAGGAACTTTGAAAACTTTTTGGAACGAAATACCCTTGAGAAAGGGGTTCAAACTGCACTGGAAAGTGTAGCTGACCTGTTTTCTCATAACGTCCGCCGCGCTCGATTAGAGCCTCTTGAAAACTTCACAGTCTCAGAGGCATCTTCGGATCGCACTCCCGAACATGTCAGTGACGATATGACCATCAATCTTGATAGAGAACCCGATGTGTATCGTTCAGAACTGGAGACGATTGGTGAAGAGCCGGGAAAGGGGATAGATTCTATGCTCGATGATAAGGTGATGCAGAATGGTAAACGCGTGCAAACTTCGCCGGCGAGAAATCGTGCTAAACGATCACGAATATCTACATCCGAACCGCTGTCTCCGAGTCATGCAGATATCAATGCTCGAGCGAACAATGATATAATGGCAGCAATATCATCACAGAGTAGCATCAAATCCACAAAGGGGCCCACAACCTTCTCGTTCCCAGTCGTAAAAGACCCAAACGACCCGGAAACCAGATTACGATTGAGCCAGCGTGAATTCTCTAATTCGCAAAAGGCCCCACAGACACCTGCGTCAAAGATCATTCAGCAGTTTTCCACCCCGGCGGCGACACGAACTCCTTGGGGTCTCTCGATGGAGCTTACCCCTCAATCTAATAGGTCTCACACTAAGCTGTCGTCCGAAGCCGCTCAATTAGTAAAACACTTACAAACAGGGTTGATAGGAACCTCTAGGTCCTATTCCCTCTTCTACGGTTTCTTGCCTCCTTCATCGAGTCTTGTTGAGTCATCGATGATAGACTATGGCGTTCCGCCGACAATTTACCAAGATGCATACTATGGCGATGAGAAAGACGTACCAGATCGCGCACGTGAGTACGCAGGGCGAGAGTTTAGATTACAAAGTACAACTATACCTTTCCTCCCTGCGTTCGATGCTAGCGGAACTTCATCAGCTTGTCGGGGCGAAAACTCTCCGGTACTTGTGGATAAGATCACGGAGGAGCTGCGGCATTCTCGTCGTCGTCATGGATGTAGCTACCGATGCTGGGAATATGCTGAGTCGCCTCCTGCGTGTAAAGAGGTAGAGAAGTGGACGAGGGAACAGCTTTACGCACGCAAATCCGATTTAAGTCCTATGGGCTCAGGCTCGACATCGAGCACACTAGGGCAGGCTAACGTTACTGTGCGGAGCGATCCTTCACAAATTGAAGGCCCAACTCAGAGAAACAAGCATGGCTTTAAGTTCTCCCAAAATAAAGCCTCTACGAGCGTTCTGCATGAAACGCAATATATGAGCATCATGAGTTTGGAAGTACACGTGAACAACCGTGGTTCTTTGGTTCCAGATCCTGCAGAGGACGAAGTGGCCTGCATATTCTGGTGCCTTCAATCAGACGATGACGGGGTTGCTAGCTCGAACGGCTTACGAACTGGGGTGCTCGCGTTGTCCAACAACGTGCAAATATCTGAACAGATTCGTGGCTTCCTATCGCCTGATATCGAACTTGAGACCGAAAACGACGAACTAGATCTGATAAACCGCATGGTTGATATTGTTCGAGAATGCGACCCAGACATTCTGACTGGCTATGAGGTGCATAACGGATCTTGGGGCTTTCTCATTGAAAGAGCTCGACTAAAGTATGAATTTGACATCTGCGATGAATTCTCTCGTATGAAGGCACAGTCTCATGGTCGTTTTGGGAAAGAAGCCGATCGGTGGGGTTTCACACATACTTCGACCATCCGGATTACTGGCCGGCATATGATCAACGTATGGCGAGCCATGAGGAGTGAACTCAACCTGCTACAGTACACTCTCGAAAACGTAGCGTTCCATCTACTACATAAACGCATTCCTCACTACCACTATTCAGACCTTACCAAATGGTATAAAAGCGGTCTACCAAGCGACGTCGCAAAGACGACCACGTACTTTCTAGATCGGATCCGCCTCAATATCGACATCTTGGAAGCAAATGAACTGGTCGCCCGCACGAGCGAACAGGCGCGCCTTTTGGGGGTAGATTTCTTTTCAGTCTTTTCTCGAGGGTCACAGTATAAGGTGGAGTCACTGATGTTTCGTATTGCAAAGCCGGAGAATTTCATTCTGCCGTCTCCGACACGAAAACAGGTTGGGCAGCAGAATGCTTTAGAGTGTCTACCCTTGGTAATGGAGCCACAAAGCAATTTCTACAGCAGCCCTCTCCTTGTCCTGGACTTCCAGTCTTTGTACCCCAGCGTCATGATCGCATATAATTACTGCTATTCGACCTGCTTGGGACGTATCGTCAGCTGGCGAGGACAGAACAAGATGGGTTATACCGACTTCAAACGCGCACCAGGACTGCTTCCTTTAGTCAAGGACTATATCAACGTTGCACCAAATGGTATGATGTACGTCAAACCGGAGATGCGCAAATCTTTGCTGGCCAAGATGTTAGGAGAGATCTTGGAAACAAGAGTGATGGTGAAGAGCGGAATGAAAGTAGACAAGGATGATAAAACTCTCCAACAGCTTCTCAACAACAGACAACTTGCCTTGAAGCTGATTGCAAATGTCACATATGGCTACGCATCTGCGTCTTTTTCTGGTCGCATGCCTTGTTCAGAAATTGCGGACAGTATTGTGCAGACCGGGCGAGAGACTCTCGAGAAAGCTATCGCTTTGATCCATTCTGTCGATCGATGGGGCGCCGAAGTAGTGTACGGCGACACTGACTCACTCTTTGTCTACCTAAAAGGCAGGACAAGGGATCAAGCGTTCAAAATCGGCCACGAGATCGCTGCAGCTGTCACCAAGGCCAATCCTCGTCCTGTCAAGCTAAAATTCGAAAAGGTCTATCATCCCTGCGTACTTATCGCCAAGAAGCGCTACGTGGGCTTCAAATACGAATCACCTTCACAGACCGAGCCCGATTTCGACGCTAAAGGTATCGAGACCGTCCGTAGAGATGGAACTCCTGCAGAGCAAAAGATCGAGGAGAAAGCACTGAAGATGCTGTTTCGAACAGCTGATCTCAGTGCAATCAAGGGCTACTTTCAGAGCCAATGCACAAAGATCATGTCTGGCCGCATCAGCATCCAAGACTTCCTTTTCGCCAAAGAAGTCAAGCTTGGCTCCTACTCCGACAAAGGCCCACCACCACCAGGTGCACTTCTCGCCACAAGACGCATGCTCAACGATGCACGTACAGAACCACAGTATGGCGAGCGCATACCATATGTCGTTGTCAGCGGGGCGCCCGGCGCTCGACTCATCGACCGGTGCGTTGATCCGGAAGTCCTCCTCCGTGATGACCACTTAGAACTTGACGCCGAATACTACATTTCTAAGAATCTTATCCCGCCCCTCGAGCGCATCTTCAATCTTGTGGGCGCGAACGTCAGACAGTGGTTTGACGAGATGCCGAAAGTGCAACGCATCCGCAATGTACAACAGCATCAAGCAGATGAGATGGAACAGCCTATTCTTAAGAAGACTATGGAGAGCTACATGAAAAGTTCGTTATGTATCGTATGTCGTGCGAAATTGCCGCCGCCCACAAACGAGCAGGAGAATAATGCTAACTCTCGAATACCGCTTTGTGACGCATGTAGCAGGTTTCCCTCGCGCTCTCTGCTGACGCTGCGGAGACGTATGCAGAAGGCGCAGACCAGAGCGCAAGATGTAGAGAGGGTGTGTAGAAGCTGTGCTGGTCTCACATTTGGTGAGGAGGTACGGTGCGATAGTCGAGACTGTCCGGTGTATTATACGAGGGTCAGGGAACGATCTGGGTTGGCTATGATACAGGACACAGTTGGAGTCGTTGTTTCCGCGCTGGAGACGAGTGAGATGGAGAAGGAGAAGGACCTTGAGTGGTGAGCAAGTCTTTTCGGCCTGTGTTGACGTAACATACTTGTATTTTTACATATATGTATTACGATCAATTCACGGTCCAGGGTCACATGAACATTTCCAAGTTGTTGAGATGTACAGGCCGCCGGAGGGCACAGCCTTGTTGGCGGGGTAATGGAATCATCCATACATGCGAGCAGGATGTAACAGTGGCACTTCAACCCCACGTCATATTGAAACGTACACTTACCTCCCAAACATCCCCGAAAGAAGTCTAGCAGGTTGTCGAAATGGAGCCTGTAACAGCATTGGGCCTTGCCGCTGCGACAATACAGCTGGTCGACTTTACCCACCGTGTTCTGCGGACGACGAACGAGATCTGCAAGGATGGCAAGGCTGTGGACATCGACACCTTGCAAAACACTACGTATGACCTGAAGAAGTTGTCAGTCCAGGTGCAGAAACGCCAGAAGGTCGAACAACTTCAAGACCCCGTAAGATACGCGTTGCACTCGTCACTTGGACTCGCGATTTGACGAGCTACAGGATCTTGATATGATAGCGAGCGGTTGCCAAGACGTTGCTAAAGAACTCCTAGATGGTCTTACGAAGTTGACGCGAGGGCCCGGCCGTCAAAATACGTGGTCGGCTAGTCTCGTGATAGCGTTTCGAACTATCATGGCGAAGGACAGGATAGAGGCGATGTCGAAAAGGCTAGAGAGCTATCGGGCTCAGATGCACCTACGGATGGTCAACTCGCTGGTCACAAAACTCGATCTACATAGTACCGAAACCAGGGAGCAGTTCCTTGCTATCGGACGAAAGCTAGACCCTCCAAGGCTCTCCGATAATTCACAGACATGTACACCGCATGTTGTTGACCACCCTTTAGAGTCTCACACTGGTAACCTACAGACAGAAAATCTGTCCGAAAAGCTCTTACAGGCGCTCAGCTTCGAGACACATGATCTACGTGAAGAAATGATTGCCAATCATCATATTTCGACATTTCGCTGGGTACTGTCGGATAGTACCGAGAAGGCTGAGTGGTACCATCTACCCCCATGGTTGCGGAGCAATGAGAAGATCTACTGGATCCATGGAAAGCCAGGATCAGGAAAGTCAACACTCATGAAATACATCGCCAACGAGCCTAAGACAGCGTCTTTGCTCAGGGACTGCAGCGATAGCAGGGTTCTTGTTCTGGCCTCACACTACTTCTGGCTGACCGGGTCGCCTCTCCAGCAATCCAGGATTGGACTACTACGGTCTTTGCTGAAGCAAATACTTCTATGTCACCCATCTTTAATCCATGACGTATACCCCTTCTTGGAGAAAGACCTTGCAGGACAAATGACAGGGCCTGAACATGTCTCAGGCTTCCGTATGAGTAGGCTCCAAGCTTCTTTAGAGTCTGTATTTCATAAGAGGAGTGCAACTCATCGCTTCTGTTTCTTCATTGATGGTCTTGACGAATGCGGAGACGACCATGATGAACTTGCGGAGTGGCTAGAACAATTGTGCCAGCACAACTCTAATATGAAGCTAGTGCTCTCAAGTCGATCCTGGAACGTTTTCGAGGATGCCTTTGGGTCATATGCTAGCATGAAAATGCAGGACCTCACGCGCCCAGATATCGAGAGGTATGTTGCTTCCAAGCTTGAAAGGAGCCGAGGCATGAAAATTCTTCTTCTGGCACACCCTGGAGCTGCTGAAGTCTTCAAGAGTCTCATATGCACAAGGGCCGATGGGGTCTTCCTCTGGGTATCCTTAGCAGTGGACTCTCTACTCAGAGGCTTCTCAAATTCTGATTCACTCGAGCAATTGACACAAAGGGTAGAGTCTCTGCCAAAAGAGATTGAAGGCTTATACTCTATGATATTCGACTCCATCGATCCCATGTACCGATGTAGCGCTGCTAGACTACTCCTTGTCATGCTGGAAGTTTCAGACTTAGAGTCAATCAGTGTTTGCTTTTTGACCGAAACTTCGATGGAAACGGCCATGGATGCCACCATAGAAGATCTAACGTATAAGGATGTACTCATCTACGACGAGACTGCACAGAGACGATTGGATGCTTACACCAGAGGTCTGCTAGAGTTATCCAAGTCAAGCGACTTATCCAGCTCAACGCGGTGCAAACGTGTGTTGTTCATTCACCGAAGCTTTGCAGATTTCTGCCGAACGGACCCGTTCCTTGCGATATTGCTGAAGGATTCCGGAGAGGATTTCGACCCACACCATGCGATGATGTGCGCCAAACTAATGCAGTTAAAGAAGAATATCTGGCTTTCCAACGACCACAACCAGCCAAGGGCTCTGGGATCTGTGCTGACCTCTTTGTGGCATCATGCCCGGAAGACCCAGAAGCCAATTCAATCACGTTCATCTATTCTTGAAGAGACTGAAGAGACCCTCAAAGTTATCATGGGATCTGATCGGATGCAGAATCGTCTTAAGCATAAAGAGGCCAGGGGCACCGCTGCGAATACTTTACTGGAAGTAAACGAAATTAAAGCAGATCGAGGACTCCAGATCTATTTCCGATTGAACTTTCACGAATCATATTCTGGGCTACACGAGAGGTTCCCGTTCTTACTCACTGCTATCAATTTACGCGACCCAGAGTACGCCGTGTATCGAGTAATCCGTGATCCAAGCATGTCGTTTGCAGACAAAGTCTCACTTGTAGACGATATTCTCGTGGTAGGACTAGGTCATGAGACATATCGCGACAGACAAATGGATGTTAGACATATTTTAGGTGACATTGAAGTGCAGATAGAGGCCTTAAAAGGTCTGCTCACGGATATCTCCAAGACACGAGCCGGAACGGATTATATCTCGACGCTCTGGCGAGGACTTGTGAGCAATATGTTCGCTTATCTTCTCGAGAGTGTCGACGCAAGAAGTCCGGTCCTGCTCTATCTCGCCATAATGTACCTTTTACTTCATCCTACGTTCGGACTAGGTCATGAAGATTGGGAATTTCGTCCAATTAAAGTAGGCTGGATGCTTCACGAAAGGCGACGGGCTTATTTACTTGAGGCAGCTTTGGAGATTGAAGGGAAAATATCTGCTGTTAGCGCGCTTGGTATTTTCGAGCATGAATACCCAGTGTATGTGGCTAAGCGGTATAAAGTGTGGAACATCTCCGCATTATGGACTACAGAATACAAGGAGCGTTTTGAAGCGAGCATGGAAATGGTACAGACCCGCCTTCAGGAACGCATGAATGAGACACACGTGTCAGACTCGACCGTGACATGAGACCATTGCCCTTCTCACAAGGCCTTGCTGTGACGACTAAAGATGCTAAGCTACAATTCCGGGCTATCTCAAAGGAAATGGAGGAATCGAAATGAGACCTTATAGCGATCATGATGTACTATAGTTCTAATACTATAGCAGAACTTCATATACTCACTCTCAACTAGGAATCAATCATACAACGTTACATCACTTATAGAAGTAGATGGCACGGCAAAAGTCTACATATACCCCTGGAATCTTGAATAGCTTAGGACAAATGTACTAACAAGTAGATTCTAGTTGCTTCTAATACTTTTACTATGTGGAGAGATGAAGCCTACGAGTCTTAGGAGTACAAAATCTATACTTTCGAGTGGAGGTAGTACAATCCTACTTTAGTTGACTCAGGGCTGTAAAGCGGTTATCTACCATCTCTCTGTATAGTATCGAATGTCGCAAGGAGAAACTGATGATCTCAGGCACAGAGGTCCTTCTCAAGGCGGATTAATGTATCTACATAGCACGTGAATGTCAGGCCCGGCCATGTATGCATTGCACCATACGCTGCGACGATTTTCATAGACTGCAACAGGATTACATCAGAGGTTGGCGTTGTCGCGCACAAAGTTGTCTGAGCACACTGGCCATAATAGTATAAGATATACCCCTATCTCCTGCCATGGAAGGGGTATTTCTCGCGTTGATACTACTGGAACATGTATGATGGAAGTTCCTAGGACAATGGCTTGGTCATATCTTACTATCAAATTGCTTGAGAAAACATAGAGAGAAGCTGGTCACCCTATTCGAGTGTATCGTTTGCTATTGAGCCTCTTCATGGAGATGGCATTCCCGCTTGTGGGCTGTACACCGACTTTGCTGTCCCTACAAGCGTCCTTGGTCAGTATTTCATAGCGCTACTCGCTGGAATAGTCCAGCGCCAGTGCCTAGTTTTCCAGACTGCTTTTGACTTCTGAAAGCATCAATACTGTGGGAAGACTGATCATGATTTATGTTACGCGGTATCTCGTAAACAGACAGAGTAAGAAACTGACTGAGGTGCTTAGGACGGGAGCTTTCATCTTCAGCCAAGTAAAAGCTACGTAGTATAGTGTGACACCTATTCCTTGATGCATAAGGAGTGGTGCTATATTATATGCTGGGATAAGTATCTTCAGCGCTGTACCACAGAAAATGACGGAGTCACCTAAATAGGGCGCTTGTATATCACTTCTCACTAGACTCATCCAGATGATCCGTCTTGCATCTGAGCAGAACTCATCTATAAGAATCTACCTCCTCAAAAACATTTAGAGTCAACATCTCCCATCCCACCCTTCTTTAAAAACCTTACCGTGATTCTTTCTCTATGTCTTGTGTTTTTCACTACATAATGGAGAATTATGAATTCAAAGAAGCCTTTTGCGACTGCACTCACCACCTTATGCATAAGCAAGGCTGTGTAATTACTATTTACTTTCCCGAGCTATAATAGTCTGCATTATCATAACATTCAACGTTGGGCATTGCCATACGATTTCGATGGTTGGGAGTAGTTCAATAACTTGTATTGGGGACATCACATGGTCTAAGTAAGCATGTACATGAGCCCCAGCTGAACATGCGTCCGGAAACGGTCGCTGCTGCCTAAATGACTCACGCCAAACTGCTAAGGGTAATAGATCATCCCGAGACCGTTTAAAATACATCTACTTAGTATCTAGAAGCTGCAGCTGCCAAGTGAGGAGATTAAACACCAACGTTATAGGAATCAAGTGGATCCAGTAAGACATAGACCATGGCCTCACAAACAAAACCAGACATCACTCTCTACGACCTGGCCTGCACAAAAGGCGTCTGCTTCTCACCTGTGGTATGGCGCATTAGACTGATGCTCAATTACAAGAAAGTCCCCTACAAGACTGTCTTCCTCGAGTTCCCCGATATCGAGCCCGAATTGAAGAAGCTGTAGGTCTATCATCCATCTGAGCAGAAACAGCCCACTGATTGTTGAATGTAACAGCGGCATCCACCCGCACTCGGACGCGTCATCCACAAAGCCCGCATACACTGTTCCCGCAATCATCCATCACCCCAGTAGCACATACTTAATGGACTCTGTACATATCAGCCAATTCCTCGAATCCACCTACCCACATCCACCGGTCCCACTCTCCACCACATTCGGCGATGGTATTATATTGGCCGCACGCAGCACCGGCGTCCCCGCTTACCGCATCTCGCTCCTCTCACGCGAAATCTCTATCTTGTCGCCGCGCAGCCAGGAGTACTTCCGTAGCACGCGAGAAAAGGATCTAGGACACCCACTAGAGCAGCTATTGGAAGGCGATAAGGAGGAAAAGGTTTGGGCAGAGCAGCAGGAGGGGATGGAGGAGCTGGGTAGGTCTATGAGGGCGAACAAAGCGAAGGGTATGTTTCTGGAGGGCAAGGAACCGGTATATGCGGATTTTTGGATTGCGGGTGTGATGCAGTGTGCGAGAGTGGTGGACGAGGGTGTTTGGGAGAGGTTCATGGGATTTGAGGGTTGGAGAGATGTTTATGAGGCGTGTGAGGAGTTTATGACGAAGAAGGATTGAGAGTCGGGTTTGCGTTCGGATGTCAGATCGCTAATGTGTGATTTCATGATGAACGCTTGATAGAACTGAGCATTCCGTTCATAGTTCCCAGTGCGCCAGACAACATGGTGTATCCTTGATCTCCCCTAACTTCAATTGTACCACGTAGTACTCCCAGAGACTCCATCAGACTTCATGACAATGCTACAACGCAGGCGTTGTCAATACACCGATACTCAATCTCTGGGATTTAAGAAGCTTATACAATGGATGCACCAGTATATCAGACTAATCGAAACTGTTAGATGGATGGTGAAGCATGGATAGCGACAGAACATCAAGGCAAGTCAACTCAGTAATACAATTAGTAGACCGTCCATGGCTCTTCCACTTTCATATGCAAATCTCTTAGACTATTGTAACTACAATAATGATATGATTTTCATTAGCTAATTGGATCTGTTTTTATGGAGTCTAGTACTCAGCTAGGATGCTTCAATTGTTATGTTTAAGAACTAGAACAAGAAAGTAGAGACGTATCATTACGTACAGTGTTAGTCACTCCATCAACAAGAGCGGCCGAGTCGGTGATGGTCTCCAACAGGGCCGTGCCTCTGGCTCACTGGACTAGGCTAACTAATGTCTCTAATACCCCACGTTCAATGTCTTTAACCATAAGTAATGGTATTGCCACGATCCTGAAAAGCAATACGATGTGGAGCAGGCGGTGAAATGATTGCGTACTCCGGTATGTCAGCGTCCAAGAATCTACGAAACTTGCATGTCTTGGCCCATAGAGCTAGTACTTCATCCTTGCCTCTCTGTTGCAAAATCTTGCTAAAGCCAACGAGGCTTAGAGGCCAAGAAAGGTATGCCTCAGCTAGAACTGGGCATCAGCTTGCGTCTGCGCCTTTCGCTTACTCTTCCTTGTGATACCACAATCTATGTCCCCTTGAGGCATGGCCAATATGAGACAAGATGCGACACCCAATGTTCTGTGGGAATGGAATCATTCATATGAATCTCTTCGTTCAGCTGTGAGGCCTAACATGCATAAGGACCATCATGAATGAATTCCTCGACAACAAACACAGCCTAAGCCTGTTCGTAGCGACTTGCTATAAAGATCGTGAACGCTAAGTTGGATAATGTTCATACTAAGATATATACATAATAGCTATTTTTAGAACAAGTACGTGCGTACAACGTGAAGATAGGAGCCAAGCTAATCGGAGATCTTCGGTAGAGCGTACGTTAGTCATCTTTCATTCTAGTGCAACTCTTGGCATTTCTAACATTGAAAAGCTTTTAGGGTAATATAAGTTCACTCTCAAGCACTATCTGATGAGAAAGTAGCGTTAAGCAAGTAGATAGAGGCATTTTGATAACTAATTATCATGAGTTTGAAGTAGTCAATCTAATGAAGTCGAAACTCTTAGGAGCTCGCGTACTTCTATGGAGCTGGGCAAGTATACCCGAGAAGTGCCAAGAGTCACGCTAAAATGTCCAGCCGGATCCAGTGTCTCAACGAATTGACTCTCTAACAAGTAACAACATCACGAAGCCAAGACGTATTAGCTAGAAGGTCTACACAGCCGACACTATACCACGAGCTGCCGTGGTCGGCTCAGATCCCGTCATCTTATCAGTACCGCTGTTTGTCGGAGCAGAACACGTAGAGCTCTCTGGCATAAAAAAAGCAAGGATATAACGACTCTTTACCGGGGATTCCGTTGGCCATTGCATCCTTCGGAGCTATGGATCTGCCTTACTATACATGCAACGCGACGATCGTGTCTTTTCCAGGCCATCACCGAAGCCCACTCTACAATCGTAATAACTGCCTTCGCCTCCAAGAACAACTCCCAGCCACGCAAATTGCGGGACTTGGGTACTCTGATACTGACGCGACGTCTATTGCGACTCGGTAGATGTTGACTGTGTGCTTGGCGAAAGAAGCTTCCCTCTTCGCAAGGAATGCGGCAACTGCTTTCCTTCTTGTCGGCAGTGTCAAACGCGTCACAAGAAAGCGGACGTCTGAACTCAAAATCATGTGCGGTATGCTGTTCTATTGCCCTATCGGTCTAATACAAAGGTACAGAAAACGACACCGCTCTGCAATAACCCGACAATTTGGCATGACTTTCTCTACTAGGATACACATTGAATGACGTTTCGTTGCCATAATGGCAGCTGGGGCGTACTATCGGCCTCTGTCTTCCTCGTATCAACTAAGTCGACACCAGGCTTAATCTTTGTTTCTGGCTGTTAGCAAACAGTTTCCATTTGTGTTTTACATGGGGTTCTAGGGGAGAAGCCCGACATACATTCTTGCCAAACTCTTGGAGTACCTGAGAACATCCATGGGCATTCACGAGGCCCACCCCCACCCTCGCTTGGCGCATTCGGCTCGGGAAGATCAACGCCTCTGCAGAAAGTCGAACGTTAACGTACCTTACCCTTGCCTACAATACTGGTCAATCACAGAGTTCCCCGGCGCTTGTTATCCATCCAGAATCCTCCTCTGGTGGTGCAGAAACTGCTTCGCAAGATGACGCAGCCATATAGCACTATTCGCAACTCATTAGCTTGATATGTAATTTTACCTTGAACGAATGAGGCGAACCAGGAGTGTTATCTCGAAGCCCACTGCGAACCCTATTCCCGGTCGCTGTTTATGACAAAACCTTCAGTGTGGGTACATTGTTCAACCATGACCTTCTTTGCGGTAATGTCAAGTTTATAGGAATTTTCAGTACTTGACTGAATCTTCTCACGTTCACTGTTGCTTGCTTTTCGGATGCAAACTAACAAACATATTTCGAAACAAGACCAGCTGTTTGCGTTCAACATGATACGCAAGCGCAACACTCAATCAAGTAGTGCGAACGCTCTATCGCATACCACAGATAGATCGCCGCAATCACAACGGTGCCTATAGCGTTCGCTTCAGCCGGGAAACACCGCTCTAGCAGGGTGCGCAATGAGCACATGCAATGTTGCATTATGCATCGAGGTGTCGTTCAATGATACTACTTCTTTCCTTGACTATAGCTGCATATATGAAGTCCATCTGTCGGTTCTTATGGATCCTTTGATATGCACGCACTATGATGCGCAGGGTCAGTCACTCTGGCCCACCTTCTTAATACAAGAGACACGTGAGTACCCTGGCGCTCGACACTCTTACTTATCTGATCAAGGCTGCCAAGTAAATCCCAAGACTGCTGTCAAAATCAATCTATGCACTGTAGCCAACATGGGCATAATTCGCACTCCACATGTTAGCAGAGATAGGCGTCTTCAGCCAAGCCAAGCTGACCAGGCCAATTTTAATTGAATGCCAAGCTCAAACTTTCAGAGTTCTTGACTTGGGACTGGCTTGCCATCTACCCAAATAGGATTCGATCATTTGAGCTTGCAATTCTCGGCTTGTTTGTATATATAATGTGGTGTTAAGTCACCAGGAGGTGAGCACTACGTTATTGTCGACTATATAGTTCATAGCTAAGATTGACGGCGGGTCATAGTGACGGCGAGACATAGTAACGGCGAGGTATAGTGACGGGGAGCGCACTGCTGATCAGCGCACTTACTAAGGTATAAGAACCGTCAGCCCCTTAGTAGTCATGCTTGGCTTACTTATGGAATGTTTGAAGATGTCCAGCCCCGTAAGTCCGACAAGGAATATTGAACATCCCTACTGAAGTACCCTGTCATACTGATATACCGTTCTTGGCGACGGAGAACTTCCTCTTTACGGTGTGACACCTATTCCTACCTCTGTGAGACTGTACTCCGACGCCTGTGTAACGTTGTAGAGTAGTCTTTCAGCACACTTACGGCATATCCCACGTTACATAGTGTGATGGCAAATGTGTATATAATATATGCTTTGCAGTCCCAATTGATCATTCACTTAACTCTCTAATGTCAACATGGAAGAAATATCAACCCCCTCTTCGAAAAGCCTCCAGAATTTATATCCCGACCATCGAGCTCTACCTCATCCGTATATTTGTGATGAAGAAGCTCTACCTCCATTCCCCACTGTGCACGCCGCTTTCTTCCAACATGCCCAACTTCGTCCACTTAACACCGCACTCATAGATCATAGCTCTACGCCAGAGCGCAAACTGACCTACGGTGAATTGGCTCGGCATGCGTCCGAAATAGCCGACCAATTGATTTCCGCAGGCGTTAAGGAGAACCAAAGAGTTCCCCTTGTCATACACCGGAGCTTGGAAATGGCCGTTGGTATTCTTGGCATATTGATGGCTGGTGCTCAATACATACTACTTGACAGTGGTTATATACAAGACAAGAAATTCTCTTCCATATTGAGCGATTTAGACGGCAATACACCGATCGTGACGACATCTACTCTATCGACAAGAGTCAGATTGGATGGCTCATCTCGTCGAACTCTTCTTGTGGATATAATTATAGAGTCTCGTTTGACGACACACAGCTCTCCAAGTCCGGTTTCATCGCAGTACTCACGGGGGGATGGGTCTTCGGGATGTTATGCAATCTATACAGCAGGTGAGCCATCCATTGTATACTTGTTGACCTTACTAACATTGAAAGGGCCCACAAACCACAGCAGAGGAGTAGATGTTACACACAGCAATGCGGTCAATTTGCTTTGCCAGTCTCCTGGAAACCTTGGAATGTCTCCCGGCGTCAAGGTCGGATCTGTTCAGCCACTGGGTTCTGATATGGGTAAGCTATGAGTTGATGAACCAATACAGAGTGCTACTGACACTGGATAGGTGCATGGGAAATACTAGGTGCGTTCTGTAATGGAGCGATCCTCGTTATGAGAGGCTCAGATTGGGTAGAAACTCTTCGCGAAGTACCATCTCCTCTCTTCTCGTAGTAAATCTACTGACAAGCAAAGATTGAAATACTCGTTGCAACTCCTACGATACTTGCGAGGTTCGACCCTCAAGACTACCCAAACATCAGAGTAGTCGCGTCGAGAGGCGATCAGATGCTTCAGAGGTAGACTTCCACTGTTATTTTGCCATCATGTGCTGATTATGAACAGTACTGCCGACACATGGGTAGATGCAAATAAGACATTACTCATTGGGTACGGCACCCCAGAAGTGACTATTGTGAACACACTCAGCAAACACACATCCGGAATGCCAGTATGTATGGGGCGTCCCACGCCAAATAACACCATATACATACTAGACGAGAATAAACTTCATGTGAACATGGGCAAAGTTGGTAAGATCTGGGCTGGAGGCAGCGGTGTCGCCCGAGGTTATATTGGCACGTCTGAGTTGAATGTCCAGTGGTGGTGGGAAGATCCGTTTATCAATGATGGGTTCGTTACTCCTAATCGGGCTGATACAGTGCATGCTGATAGATGCACTAGTTCGATGATGTTCAACACCGGCAATCTAGGCTATTGGCTTCGTGATGGTTCCTTGCAGACCATCAGGCGACAGGACGATCTAGTGAGGAGCAAGGTACGTGCTATACTTCTGGTATCTGGATCTCCACGCTAATAAAGTCCAGGAGGTTCAAGTCGAGCTTGATAGAGTCGTTACAACTCTGCTTGCTTGTGATGGAGTAAGCGGCGCTGTGGCAATATTCTATGAGAAACAACTTCATGCCTTCATTACCCCGAGCACATGTTCAGTTGGAGATGTCATGAATGAAGTAAAGAGGACGCTCCCTCGTTATGCCGTGCCACAATTCTGTATTCCGATCGACCAGTTTCCACAAACGCACAATGGTAAAGTCGACCAAGATGCTCTCAGGAGTCTTGTGAAAGACTTAGATCAAGCGTATGACAACTGTGTCATGACTACATCCGATCGATCTCCTTTTTCTACCAAGGCATCGACTATCAACGGGGACAGCTACTCTTTACCTGAAAAGCAGATGGTCAAATATATCAATTCTACGACCACTGACGGCGATACCGAACTTCCCGTACCCGCTAAAAACTGGCCAAAATGGGCTAGAAACCTGCGTCTGCGTATATTCATTGTGTACCGCACAATCTTTACACTCGTATGGCTATCTAACGTCGCGGCTTTGGTTTGCCTTCTTTCCTTGGACGCTAATACTTCCATCTGGCTTGGTCGACTGGCATACATCAACCTCACAATCGCAGTCTTGATTCGGCAAGACCATGTTGTCAACGTCCTATACTCTATTGCATGTGCGATACCTCAATCATGGCCAGCTTTTATTCGATTGCGTGCTGCAAAGATCTACCACTTCGGAGGAACCCATTCCGGATTTGCGAGCTGCGCAATTGCGTGGTACACTGCGTCGCTAGTCGTGAGTGGATGGACGAGAGTCAACGTCCAAACAGCTACGACTGGCTCAGTTCCTTGGCTTGTCCTATCTTTCCTCGCCCTAGGACTACTCTTCGGTGTTGCTGGAGTGGCCTATCCACGCTTCCGAAAGGTCAACCACAACAGCTTCGAGCTGATACATCGCTTTTTCGGGTGGTCTGCACTGATACTCATCTGGATTACGACGCTCCTACTCGTCCGCGACAACCGTAAAGCATGGCCAGAGTCACACCCGAATTCCACATCTACACCTCCATACGGTACCGTCCTTGCCTCAACCCCTGAATTCTGGCTCCTACTCCATCACCCTAAGTATCGCCCTCTCCTGGGCAACCCTTAGAAAAGTTCCAGTCGACGCAGAACTCATGTCCGACCACGCCGTGCGCCTCCACTTCTCCTACACCGTCCCCGTCAACGGCTCGTTCGTCCGCATCTCGACTCGCCCGCTCCTCGAATGGCACTCCTTTGCCCCAATCCCCGCACCCGAAGCCGTCAACGGCCGCCCCAAAGGCTTTAGTCTAATCGTGAGCAACGCCGGCGACTGGACTCGAGACATAATCTCGAAGCCGCGCGCCGAGATCTGGGTTCGTGGCGTGCCGAGTACGTTTTCCTCTGCGCTGAACTCTCTGTCATACTGTTATTCTGACTGACCACCCTACAGCTTGCGGCGTCATGCGCGTTGCCCCGCTCTTCCGCTCGCTCATACTCATTGGCACAGGCTCTGGTATCGGGCCTCTGCTCGGCTTCATACAGCGTCCGACGTGCCCATATCGCCTGATCTGGAGCACAAAAGACCCTGTCAAGACATTTGGACAAGATATCTGCAATACTATCATGAGGCAGGACCCGAACGCAATCATCTGGGATACGCGGGCGAGGGGAAGGCCAGATTTGGTAGCGTTGGCGTGGAGAGAGCGGGAGAAGTTTGGGGCGGAGGGAGTGTTGATCATTGCGAATGAGAAGATTACGAAGAAGGTGGTGTATGGGTTGGAGAGTCGTGGGGTGCCGGCGTTTGGGGCGATTTGGGACTCTTGAAGGAGTGTGTTGCGATTTAAGGGGAAGGTTGTCTGTTTGGTGCTGTAATTGTAGACAGGGGTACCGGGATATATCTCTTTTGTAATGGCCTCCAAGGTACGAGACGTGGGTATGGTTTTGTAACGGAAGTCTTCCGCATGTTCTGTTTTCGATAGATGTATGAATATGGTTTCAGAACTCATTAACGATCTCCCTTATACCCCCGCCCTGTCTGTTATTCATACCAGAAAAGTTTAACTCTTTACGACAGCTAGAAGAGGCAATGCGATTCGTACCTACCTCCATGTAGCAGCTCTTGCGAGAGATGCGCATCTTGAAATACTCTGTGAGCATGTCAAGCTTGATTTTCCTTAGACCCCAGTCAAACAAATCAAGCGAGACGTTGCGATTCGTAGAGCTTGTCCTAGTGTGCTTGAGTGACTTGGCTTGAAATTATTCACTTTCGCCAAGAGGCTATATCGATTATCGAGTAGCTAGATAGGCGAAGATTAGCAAAAAAAAGACCTTCTGCATAACAAGTGCCTTCCGATATGTGAACAGTGGACTTTTGACGATGCTTCCGGCCGGAGTCGCATCCGAGGCTAGGGATCTCAGCTGTGATGTGACGTGGTGATCGGCGTTTCTGCTTGCCGATTACGGAAAAGCTTGGGATCTTGGCACTGGGGCCGAATCTCGTATTAATTTCCTCTTCCATCTTTCGAACTTCTCCAGAACCAAGTGTGGCTGCACTTAAGAGTTTTGGCGTGCAGCACGATCGAATGGAATAAAGGCATAACATAGGCTTTGCCTGGGTGAACTAAGTCAACATTGCCACTGAAGTGTAGCCTCGGCCTCTTGACCCTTCAACATCCAGAGGACTAGAGATTCTAGAAAAAAGTCATCCTGGACGTTTGTTTAACCTTGGCTCAAAGGAGCATGAGTCTGGATCACCATGCAGATCGTGATGGTCAAGTCCATTTCTGAAGATGTACTAACAACATGTGGCTGAAAGCCACGGCGCAGTCTTCAAATGCCCTGCGTCTCCCTCATTTTAACACCTTTCCGACCATATCGCTCTCAACTGACATTCAGTCAGTTGCCCAGAGTCGCCATGGTCACACTACAAGACCTGAACGTGGCAACGGTCGCAGCAATTATTGCTGCAGTCGTCTTTATCAGTAAGTATCTCATACCGAAATGGACGTGCAAGATGTTGATACAAGAACAGTCCAGTTCGTCGTACCGATTCTGGTGCCACTGATCCTGGTCGGATCTCTGACTGAAGAAAACAGCGCGGTAACCTGGTTCGTATATCTTACGTACAATAGTGTGGCTTGACCTTGGCTCACATCAGGGACGACAGGTCTGTCGTTGGTCGGACACTACACAGCTCGACATGGCCAGTATTGCTACATTCCGACACTGCTTCGATCATTGGTGTTCAGCGACGCGTGAACGTGATATCATGGTTCCAGACGGCCTTACTCATGATCGTTGCCATTGCAGCTGTAGTCACTCCGCTCGGCCTTTACGAGACTGTAGGCCAAGAACACAGCTTTACCAAGCTCAGCTTCCAATATGTCAAGGATCCGTCGCCCATGGGATATGGGTAAGTGTGCCCAAGAACCATCTCAAACCTGACACTAAGTCACATAGCACCCCCCAACGAAGCGGCCTGGGACCTAGTCGGGTTTGTTTTGAACTGTATCCGGTCAACTGCCCATGGACAGACAACAATATCTCCACCATAATCAACGATACTGGCGTTTATTCTGATTTACCAAATGGCTACGATCCAAGCGTGCCGCAAAACCTTACCGACTTCTTCAGCAGTGGTTTGGAGAAGTTTAATGCCTCTGCATCGAGCGTGTTCGACATACAATGGCGCAACTACAGGACCAAGACTGACGACCTGTACAATGGCAAAGAATTCCTAATTGGTCTGTATCGGCCACTGCAGTCCATGATCTTGAACGACGCGATCGAGCCTGTTGAAGGTTTGATTGTCAACACCAAAACAGGTGGTATTGGTTTCCGCAACCATAGTGTCCCACCACCTCTAAAGTATGGCGGGAGCTGGACAGAAGATCTTCTCTGGATAGAGCCCGAGACACAATGTGTTGACATGAATACCACTCTAGACATGACAATTCCTGAATACAACTCAGGCCAGCGACTCGCTAATTTGGTCCTTACCGATAGGGGCGGATTTGCTGAATTCGACAAGCAACTTCCCACCTATGATCTCAGCCACCCGCAATTGAACCCAAATCTCTACGATCGAGCACGGTTTGCAGCCATCTACAACAACATATACACCATGCTGTATCTGAACATCACGAATCCTGGCGAGAATCGATTTAGCTACTTGGATTCCACGGTCGGCAAAGAGTTTGATCTTGGAAACACATCCATGATTGGAGGACCAACTGCTTACTACGATCGACTGGTGACCTCCTCTACCTATGGTAGTTATCTATCACTGGAAAGTAATGCGAGCTATTATAACGCATCGTACGACGCCTTCAATGCCTCGAATCCCTGGAGTCTTACCACGAGCAACTTTACCGCAATTGGCGACTCTTGTCTTTTTGATGCGGGTGGAAGGCAACGTGCGAACATCTCGGCCATCTCTCTCGCGTGCGGTGTTGTTTATGGTGCAGCACGGCCTGCTGATGGGGTGTCGACGCTCATCTACACGCCAGGATCGCGTTGGTCAGTGCCGATGTATTCGTGCGTGTCGGCTGCAAAGGCATCCCTCAAGACAGTCTCGTTCCAGTACAGTGGAAATGGAACAGCCGACTTTCGCGCGCTTAAAGTCGTTGACGTGGCAGATAAAGCCTATGATAATGAGGATGATAAGCCATTATGGGGAGTAGAGGATTTGTACGAGCGTGTATACAACGTGAAACCTGTCTGGGGCCTTGTGGCGGATCGTTATCAGAACACGCCAAACATTACGACGCTGCGCAGCGAACAGTTATGGCTTCCTGGTCCAGTGGATTCGCTGACAGTTCAAGGAGCGTCTGCCTTCCAGAACATGCCTGGTATCGACTTCTACCGAAATGCCCTTGCATCAGCCTACAACGTAGGAAATGATATTCTAAGTCAAGTCGGAACCAACGTTGACTACACCGGCGGCAACAGCCTAGCGCTATACGCCAAATGGCAAGAATACTCTCAACACGCCAACACCACAGCAAAGGCCATCAACCTAATCTGGACTGACGTCGCCGCCAATGCCGTCGCAGGAAGCAGGGGCTGGGTCGGCTACGAGGGCTACAAGAACCTTGGGAAACGCGAATACTACCCGAACAAAGATGGCGCCCTCGTGCCCATCACCCTCAACATACGCACAGTCAAATACCACCTCCCCTACGCCATCCCCGGCATCATCGCGCTCGTCCTCCTTCTCATCACCCTCGTCTCCGCCCTCGTCATGGTCGTCCTCGGCCGCGCGAAGAACGACAAGATCCGCCAATTTCTCAACTCCACGTCTGCCGGCCGCCTCATGACAACGTTCCTGTACACGCACGACGCACACCCGGACGCCCACAAGAAACAATGGCTCGCCCAAGTCGGACGCAAGCGCGTCAATATCACCGGCCCATACCCACTCGCCCGAGACCCCACGCAGAGCGCTGCGTCCCCGTTCAGCCCCTCAGCAGCCAACCGTCTCGACGACAAGATGCACCACGTCAACACCGCATACCAGCCGCAACCGTCGCCCGTGAGCAGCGAGCACACGCAGCCCCTACCGCAACAGCCGCCGAGCCACTTCATGCATGCGAATCAGGGGTACGCATATGTCCCGCCCGCGCCACCACCACCGCCTGTCCCGCACTTCCACAACGACGGATACCAGGAATACGCATATGTTCCTCCGCCGGCGCCGTATGATGCGCCGGCGAGCGTGCAGGATTCGCGGAGTGCAGGTGGAGACGCGAGATACGAGCGTGTGAGAATGACGGATGGCGACGACTGAGAACGCATACGGCTGTTTGTGGCTGGCTTTTATCGCTTCTCCAGCCTGTCGATGGAGGGAGCATGGTATCAGACGTCGCATAGCTTCTGAAGCAATGATGCGCACGGATCAGAGACAGTCTGTTACATTTCGATACCGACAATTCAATGTGGGCTGTGAAGCCCGACGCTCCCAGTAATCAATTACGCTAGAGCTTGAGACGTGGTTCTGCACAGACGAACATCCGATCGAGTAACATCCAAGTCTCCCCTGAGGTCCATGCACGCAACTAGGGTGATGGAGAGAGGATATCATTCCTCTTCAGACCTCTCGACGCAGTACGACAATACAACAACATGATTGTATTGCAACACACCACCGACCATGTACATAATTGTACATAGATCGCATACGCCGACACTAGGTATCGCGTATAGCGCTGGGGACATTTGTCGATTCCGATAGTGACGGTTGTGCACGGCATGGGATGTGTTGAAACGATTGGGTGTCAGGACGTCAGATAATGAAGTGTTGTGTATTATAGGCACCAGGTGCCTTCATGTTCATTCATGTATATATATACAGCGATAACCAAGCCGAGATATCAATCCCTGACAAAACCAGTGTCTGAAGGAGTGTATGCTGTAAATGCACAATAACGCCATCTATATGATATGTTATAATGTGATGCCATCAACTTGCCCTGCTACGCTATTTCGAATGGTCGTGAGCTCACAAGCAAAGGGTAATTCTTCTTCTTCCGGACTCTTAAATATGTCACGTCCACCGGCCCACTTCATTCAGCATCATCATGCTCTAAGCAAAAACCCACGCTGCGCCACCCGCTGCAGCAACACCCCAAACAGCCGCAAGCCCACCCAGGCCGTTCCAGTTCCCGCCGGGCGCACGCAGATTTGCAGCAGCACCATCAGAGTTGGTCGCCGCAGGCGCCTCCGTCTTGCCCTCAATCTGATCGAGCACAGTGGATGGGATCTGTGCTCTGATAAACGCGTTCGTCGTGATCTGTGCTAGAATAGACGAGTATGCGGCTGGGGTCTCGGTGCGGATGACGTTGGCGAAGGACACAACGTTGGAGGGCGAGAGGTCATACGGGAACGCGACAGTGCCGTCAGCTGTCGAAAGAGGGATTGTGTTAGCTTGTGTGTCTTGGGAGAATAGTTAAGAAGGAATTTGCGTACAGCATGTCGTGACGTCCCCGCCGGTCACACACCGAGCTTCTTTGCGGCAGCAGAAGCCGTTGTTGCAGTCGACGGCGCCCGACTGTGCGGAGCCGCCGCAGACGAGTGAGGCTGGGTATGTTTGGGCGGCAACAAGAGCGGTTGAGAGGAGAGTTGCGAGGAGAGCGGTTGGAAACTGCATGATGACGGTTGGGTGAGATTCGGCTTGCGAGGAGAGGCTGAAAAAGGCTGGTCGTAACGCGAAGATGTCTTCTGTGAACGGTTGTAATGGTATGTCGAACGAGTGTGATGAAGGGACAAGGAAGAAGAAGAAGAAGAAGAAGAAGAGGGCGGTAATTAACGAGCAGGGCAGGCGTCGGAGGCAAAGACAAGTAGTATTGTTGTGCGAGTGCGAGTGTGACGGATATGAAAGAACACTGGAGCACTGCCCGACCAGGCCGCGCGTTGACTGCGCCCAGTGTTCACTATGCAACCGGCGTGAGACACGAGATGTTACTGGCGTTAGCAAGCACACGTCGAACGACTACAAATGTACTATGGCCTCTTCAACATGAGAATTGCCGTGTTATGAGGCGTCGATTGGCCGATGGCGATCGACTGTGGATCTTGATTTCTGGATGTACGCCATCGTCATCTATCATGTAGTATATGCGCCATGCGGAGCCTATTCGATGGAGCCGCAGCGCGCATCATCTTGGGAATGCTGGAGTCCTGATGTCTGCGCCCAGAGTAGAACAGCTGAGTCTATGGAAGAGCTGAGACGTGGTGGATGTGCGGCACTGTCGTCTTCGTGTTTATATCAAAATGTGCAACGCGGACGAAGCAGGCAAAAAGAAAAAAGTGCTCCAAGGCTGAGAATGAGACCGAGAGCTAAGCTTCTTGTGGACTAGCGCGGTTTCGACCTGCCGTAGATCCCGTCTCAGCCTTTATGGGCCGTGTGCCCCAGTTACCACGTCCACGTCCGATCAACATCAACATCACGTTCATTTCTTTTGCAATCGCTTGATTCCAGACCGTGCTGAATCGCTCCGAAGATGCTGCCTCATCGATGGATTGTCTGGCACGTCCTGGCCGCGGTCAGAATAACCCCATCCCCCTCTCTCCCTCCCACTCTAACGACAACACTAACAACATGACCATCTCGTGCCAGTCAAATGCGGTGTCCCAACAGGTGAGAAAAGAAGAACTGTCCATCCTATAACTGTTAGATATGCTGTTTCATCTAGCTGCAAACTCGATCATGCTTCTTAGATATACGACTTCTCCGTATATGGCTGTCAGACCTACGTTGTCTACTTAATACTCTCTTTGCCAACGGGTAGAAATGTCGCAAAGCCACTTCTCTAATGTCCACACAGCTTCACTATTTCGAATCACGATCGCGGTCGACAGAGAAGTGGTTTTGGATCCGTCTTAGCTGCCCAATCCTGGTGATAGTCCGCAGAGGTACTCATCTAAAGCCCTGCACGGATGTTCAGACCCTCGCTGAAGTTATAGGATAGAAATGAGCGGGCATACCTGTGAAATATCATCCTCATCAATAGCACATTTTCGGAACTCGAAGATCAACCTCCAACGTCTCAACGCTGCCCAAGTCCGCCATGCTTTCTCGCGATTAGCTATCAAATCACATGGCGCAGCACGTCTCTACGCCAATAGGTCCCTTGGCCAGCATAGTTAGACTATCCAGTGTTGGAAGATCAGTCTGGTGAATAGTCATGTCGAGACGAGATTCTCTTGCTGAAGACGAATTATCCACGTCCAATCCACCGGTGCTGGCTCGTATTGTCATCTCGTCGGCTTCATGGTCTTGTATGAGCCGCTAGCATGAATTGAATATTACCGGAACATCGAATTGATATGCTCAACTTAGCCAAGCAGTTTTAAGGCTGGAAAGGACGATATCTACCGGTGGTGGCCCAGACCAGACCAGACTGACCAGCCGAGAGACGAGGTCCGCAAGCACCTGAGGTCGGTTCAGTCTCACGATCGGGATGCCATAGCTCCTGTTTCGCCGCTGGCTACACACTTGTCTGTGAAGAATTTAAGAGATGCTAGCCTTGGCATTACTTTCGGACTCACAATAGCTCGTGTAGTATCAGATGGCTTACACCATCAGACTAGGACGAAAAGCAGGATAGAAAGGCGCGTCCTTCGTGGTAACAGTACTATTGTACTACTAGCATCTGCCTCTGACCTGAATCAATGTATGACACAGTCGTGCTATACCCAACTTGCAAAAACCGACCTTACGAGCCTTCTGAGGTACTAGCGGCGCGAGCTTCGATATTCCAAAACCGCGTGCACATATACACCTTGACCTTCACCTTCACGGCATCCCAATACCCCATAAACATCTACAGAACCGTAAACCCATAATAACTCACAACCGCGCAACCTAACAAGACCCTCAGACTTACTTTAGCGCGTACCTACGTCATGCCCAAAAATACACCCCTTCCCCCAAAACTCACCTTCTGATTCGCCACCCGGTCTCCGAAACCCAAAATCGCTTCGGGATTAAACCATTCAGGGCTCCCGCCCGGCCGGCAACGTGGGCAGCAACGTGGGCGTGGGATAGATCGGGCTAGCCAGCCAGTCAGACCCTGATCAATAGCTGGGCTATTTACACCACACCGAAAACAAGCAACCGGACCGAAGCCAAGAAAAAGCCAATATTCAAATACCGAGCCGAGACAAGAAAGCAGTTACACAATGCACACGACGCACACGTGGTGCAAGTCGTACAAGTAGCCGTTGAGGCTGAACGTGCAAGGCGAGAGGGTGGATGGGTGTAACGCTTGGCCGTGGGAAGATCTGCTAGAGCCGTTCTTGTGTTGCCGTACTGCGTTTGATGGTATTTGATGAATTGGTTTTGTGATTGATGTGTTTAGTTAGAGCTAGAATGATGCGCGCCGCGGCGACCCGCATTAGTAGACGGGATTATATGATTAGATCTGGACGCTTAAACCAGTGTGTCCGTGGGCCGCTGGACGGGCCGGCTGACGCATGCGGCTTCGGGCTTCTATGAAGGATCATATGGAAGAAATGCTCCGTCAACGGGGTGTGGTGGGTGGTGGTAAGGTAGGTTGTGCCAAGTATATTATATGCCATCTTGGGAGGTGAATAGCCAGGGCGTGAGGATTCTGTGTTATTTGCATTTTTTCTCATATTACTATTAACTGGTTGATTGTTGAGAGCTGGTTAGCTATCCGATTTGTTTCTCGAACATTCCCATTTGCCAGCCGAGTTCTACTCTTCTCGAATTGCAGTCTACGAACCCACGATACACACCAGAGGGGCACGTTTGGTAGCTGAGGGGGGACAAACACACGAAACGATGAATCTCTTCAAGGCGTCTTCGATCATCGGGCTTCTGTTCCTGTTTATTGCCGTTCGCTATGCCTTTGCGCTGCTCATGAACATACGCGCGGCCAAGAAGTCTGGCATGCCGTATGTGGTGCGGTTGACTCCATCGGGCAACCCGTTCTGGATGATCTTTGGAAACAAAATCATTGCGCTGCTCGAGCGGCTTCCGTTCCGGTGGGTCGGTCAGTTCAAGCGCTTCAACCTGCACGGGTGGGAGGCCAACGAGCGGCATCGCATGTACGAGGAGCACGGCGACATCGTGCTCATCGTCACTCCAAAGGGCAACCTCATCTACGTCGGCGACCCGGTTGCCATTACCGAGATCCTGCGCAGGAAAGATGAGTTCCGCAGGAACACGAAGAGCCGGAAGATGCTGGATATCTTCGACAAGAGTCTGACGTCCACGGACGGGCCTGAGTGGCAGAGACATCGCAAAGTCACTGCTACCTCGTTCACGGAGAAGAACACGGAGTTGGTGTGGGTCGAGTCGTTGAAGCAGGCTCAAGGAATGCTGGAATACTGGACACAGCGAGCGACGGCGCCTATCCGGTCGTTGCAATTGGACACGCAGACCTTCACTACGAATGTACTTGCTGCAGCCATGTTGTCGAAACCGTACAAGTTTGTCGGCAAGGAAGACCCTCCGCCAACGGATGACTCCGAGGAGGAAAAGATTGCGTATGAGTACAGAGAGGCTCTGTCCGTTATTCTTGAGAATGTCATTGCAATCATGGTCCTCGGAAAGAAAGTCTTGCAGAAGAAGTGGATGCCGGTGAAACTGCAAAAAGCTGGTGCTGCTGTCGAAAGATTCAGAGACTACGCTGAGACCCTGATCGAGGATGAGAAGGCGCGCATCCAGAGTGGCAGCCAACAGACCGTTCCTACGCTGGTAAATCTGATGGTGCGCGCCTGTGCGAGTGAGGTGAAATCTGGTACGAAGACGTTGACAGAGTCTGAGATCGTCAGCAACTTGTTCGTGTACGCTTTCGCCGGCCGGGACACCACGGCAATCACACTGTCCCATATGATCGTCTTCATGGCAGCACATCCGGAAATCCAGGACTGGGCACGGGAAGAGATCCACCACTACCTTCCAGACCAAGACTCTTCAACATGGGAGTATGCCAAGTTCGCGAAGCTGAAGCGTTGTCTAGCAGTCATGGTAAGTGGCAAACTAGTCGCGGTCTCCTACACAGACCTTTACACTAACACACTCGACCAGTACGAAACACTGCGTCTCTGCCACCCCAGCGTGCTTCTCCTGAAGGTCACACCACCCCACCCCATCAATCTGGACGTCAACGGCAAATCCCACCTGATACCAGCAAACTCCGCCATCCACGGCAGTCTGTCCGCCATGCACACACATCCCGACTTCTACGGCCCAGACCCACTCTCATGGCGGCCCTCACGCTTCATCACAGCGACCGAGAAGTCCGAGTCTGGGGACATCTTCGCTGCCGAGACGATTCCTGCAGACACGACTGTCGACTTCCTCGCGTGGTCATCCGGCCCACGGGCTTGTCCGGGTAAGAAATTCGCACAGGTTGAGGTCGTGGCCGTGTTGGCGAAGATGCTGTACGAGCATAGAGTTGAGGCTGTACCGGAGCCGGGTGAGAGTGTGCTGGACGCGCAAAACAGGCTGCATGGGTTGTGTATGACGGTCGAGCAGAAGGCGATCTTCAATATGAAGGAGCCGCACAAGGCTGGGGTGCGGTGGGTCAAGTGCTGAGCGCCGTAGCCATGATGTTTTGTATAGATGAATAGAATTCCAGCTTGTTTTGATTACCGAAACGTTTGTTCGGGTTAGTAGGACCAATGTGGCTGTTGTGGTGGATGTAACAGGATCGAGTCGTTGATGGAAGCTAACTTAACAGCAGGAAGCACAGTTGCCTGACGCACCAAGCTGATGCCTCATCATCATTAGGTCAATTTATTTCATGCTAAGCAAGGTGAGCGCCCACTATGGATAGGTAGGTACCTGATACAATGTTAATACATCATAGCTGAGTCGTTTCATCCTGACGCAATATCAGCCCTACTCGCAGGTCACTAGGTAATTATTGACGCTTTAATCTTTCTGTTTCTGTCTCCAGTAGTGTACACATTTTCCGCTCTGTTGATTGCAGAGATGTCTGCATACGAGCTTATACCATCTTCGATTCCTTAAATTCGAAACATGACATCATGCACGTTCACTTTAGCTTCTTCGCCAACCCCTGTACCGGCTCCCCACCACCCTCCATCCGCAACACTGCAAGCGTAAGCACCCCTGTAAACGCCAACCACACATTTCCCCATACGCCAATCGCCATGGCCGTATTATAATGTGACTCTAGCTTATAATGCTGATACGCCCCGATCCCAGTCGCAACGTGGTGGAACACTGTCGCAGCTACAACCAGCCCGGCCACCGAAGTAGTAGTCCTCGCCTCGCGGGCCGCTGGATGTGTGTTTACTGCTGATGGTGCCTTTGCGGGGATGGCGCCTGTGAATGCGAGCAGGATCAGGCCGAGAGTGACGAGGCACCAGCCGTCGGTCTTGACGTTGTAGAGCTCGAGGTCGTTGGGCATGAGGTTGAGTTGGGATGGTGGACGGAACCCTATATTTTGAGAGTCAGGCTTGCTTTGCGAGGATTAAGAGAGAAAGGACGGACAGCCGACGACCATGGCAGGGTCATAGACACGGCAGAGACCGCGGAGAGTGTACCAGAATGCGGTGCCGTAGGTGTAGGCGTGGAAGACCTGTTTGTTTGGGTAAGTTGGGGATATGCTGGGGGAATAGGAGGTGCCTACGTACGGTTGAATTGAGAGATGGCATAGTCGCTGGCTGTGTGAGAATGTAGGAATCACAATTGTAAATGTCGAGTGAGGGCAGGTATTTCCTTGGAAAGATGTTGAGCTCCACCTATTAATATACTTCCAAGGGCAGCTGAAGGCTGGCTGAAGCTACTGCGGCCCGCCCCGTTCGCTTGCGACGTCATGATGAGGGGAACGTCGGTAAAAGTGTCGCCTCAGGCATCATCAATCTAGATGAGAAGTACTTTTTTTGCAATCTTCGTTGCGTATCAACGATGTTTTTGCTGGGTTGGATCCTTAGGACTCCATGGTCTGTTATAGAAGATAGTATCTCAAATAAGGTTGGTCTAAGATAGATGTACGGATTCGGCGGTAGTCTATGGCGTGTTTGCAGAACTGCGTGAATGACATGACTCCTATTCTAGTAAGTTTGTGCAATTTAACTACGAACCGGTGTAGTGTTACTAAAAATAAATTGCAGAATACTGTATCAGCATGTATTCATACCGCGGCATCACGTGAGTATCTGAAGACCCACTCGGCTCGCTCGTGTTTTGTTTGACGCAAGCCCAAGCCCTAGTCCAACTCTCTCCCTCCAACGTCAGCATCCTTTCCCAGGCTCCCCTCCATCTATCCCGCACTCTCGCTTGGCGTCAAAAAGTCTCCAATAGTCGCCCGCCATGCGCGCATTTGGAACAATAGTCTTGCGAGACAGGCTTGGCATAGCTGATGGCGACGCGTGGCCTTCTCGCACCTAATGGTGGTAGTGCTGTTGCGCATGAAAGGCGGGGAAGTTGCTAGGAGCTGATGATCCTGCCATCAACCCCGGCGGCGGTCATTGGCTTCATCGTTGCCATGATGCGAAAGACAACACTGCTCGTGGCTGCTGGGCGGCTTGAGGGATGGGCTGAGTGTATAAGACGGTCCGAAGGCTGTCAGATAGGTGTGCATCCTGTTCCATCCCTTGCTTTGTCTAGTTTCTCTCTTTACGCTGTTGTCGCCTCTTCCTCCTTCACTTGAGACGTCTCGGTCGCTTTGCCTGCTGCACTCCAGTAAGAGTCGGCAGCCTTGTGTCTGCCTGGTGGTCTCGCGTCCGTTTGTATCGGGCTGGAGGGAATTCATTACAGTCGTGGCTGCTGTTTGCCTATGCCCAAACTGCATTTCACTGCATTCAATCTTTTCTCGCTTTCTTTAAGGCGAAGCTCCCTCTTGAGGCCATCCATCTTGTCTTCTCGACACGTCCACAACGCTACCGAACGTTCTTTGTGCCCAGAGTGTGATACTGCAACCAGGACAGCATCAGCATCAGTTCAGCTCAGCTCATATCACCCCACTCACACCACCGCTCAACACCTCGCCATAATTACATCTCACATCCACACACCTGTATCTGACTATGGCAATCGGCCCTTGGGGAGCAATGGCAATTGCCCTCGCTGGCTCTGCTCTGCTCTCCGCCGTCGGCTATGGCATCTGGAGAACGATGCACCGAGGAGAAGAGGATCAGGCGAACTGGTGGCAACGCTTCAGCACTGAGCAAGACAACTACATGCGGCAAGTCAGAGAACGGAATCTGGTGGAGATGGACTATCGCGTGAGGTATTGAGATGCGCTCCCCACTCACCAACGAAACCAATCTGTTGCAGCATGCAACCAAGACAGATGTGATGTCTTAACAACCTTTTATCGCAAGTGAAGATACCTGCGCAAGGGTGACTGTTGTTGATATGCAGGAACAGGGCGTGACAGGCAGACCGTCGAGTTCCTACAGGTGACGCGGTGCTTAGCCAGGTTCCTGCTGAGACGCTGATTTGCGGGCAGTTTGTCCTGTTGGTGGAAGGTTGGGAACAGTCGACAACAGAATCGCTCCTTCTCCGAATACTGACCGGCAATCTGAAACAGACCTCTATGCCAGATTTGTCTGACGGGCCGTCTCTTTCTCTCGCATCATCTTTCTTCCGAATCAATCATTATCTCGTCCTTGAAGGCACCTATTGCGCAGCAGATTGTGCCATACATTCGTTACTTGTATCCGTACTCAAGTCTGCAATAATGGGCCCCCGTAAACCAGCCTCTCCTTTGAGAATCATGGAATGTGCAGAACCGGATTCGACAGACCCAACGAACATCGCCACCACCGCAAGCGCCGACATGGTCCCTCCACCACCACCATTACCGTCCAAAGCGACTCTTCCACTGCCAGTGGCTGGCACCTCCAACCCGCCATCGCGTCAGAGCATGAGTAGAACACGGTCATACGGGAGGATATCAGCAGCCTCCATGGATGCCCCGAGTTCAAGTTCAGCAGAGGAGATACCATCAGACATGCCAGAATTAGAACGCTGTCCGAACACGTCTGGCGAATTCTCGGTTGACTGGGGCAGGCTACTTGGCAGCGACTCTCCGCCTCCAATAAATAACTCTTATCTGGAACCGATGTTCTGCTATAAAATCAACAGACCTCCACATCTGGGAATGTTCACTCGCGACATCGATGAGGACAGACATCTCTCCAATTTGTTCCACCCGAGAAGTCTGACTGATGGAAAGGTGCACCAACATATGCAGTCTTCCAACGACTACTTCGCAACTGATTGGTGGCAAGGAAGATGTTTGCGCTGTGCTAGAAAGCTTTGTACACCGCAGCATCATTGGACCAATTGTCCCTTTACGTGTATCTGGTGTGAAGATAAACATGGGATTCTACGTTGCGACTCTGAGCCCACAGTCAAAGAAATTTATAATCATTTCGATGGCCCGGAAGAGGTGGCATCACCACCAAAACCTCCCTCGATACCGATAAGTCCGAGAGTCGCTGAGTTGAGTGGAAGAGATCCTAAGGTACCACTGCCGCCGCGAGAAGATCCAAGAACTCCAACTCGCCAGCGAGAGCTTATCAGAAGCAATTCCATGTCCCCGGTTCATCTAGAGAATATTGAACAAACACGTCGACATCATCCAGTCTCCCTGGAATCTAATAACAACTGGTCGGCTAGCGTGTCTTCGGAGCTAAGGACAATCAAATCATGCACCCGCGCGACCACCGAGAAAGTCTGTTCCTTGGCAAGACGTGTTGAGAACATCGAAAGAATGGTCCATGATATTCACGCCGGCGTCCAAGACCATCGCGTGCAGAACTTGGCTGATCACAATCGTGCAGTAAGTGACGTCACTTCAGGCACGGAAGAATCTAGTCAAGCATCTGGTGAAGGTTCGAGCGGAGTCTCTCATCGCTCTGAACATAACAACAGCGTCAAAGCAAAGTTCCTGAGGCAGCAAGAATGTAGAGAAATTATGCGAGCGCTCACAGCACTCGATGACGCGCAGTCATCATTTCGTCATATTTTCAGGGGTCGACTTGAAAATGCCGAAGAGGAGGGAGCACCTATGTCTTGCAGTCAAGCTCAAAGCGCTGTTGAAACAAGCACTACAGTCTACAGCTCGCGCAGTGGGTACCAGGATGTATCTGGATCTTTTCTCTCCACTAGCGCAATGTCGGACAGTACCATTTCGCCGTCAGATCACCAGAATATGCCCGAAATTCACGGCCCGGTGTCTCCTGATAGCACAGTCTCGGGTAGCGAGGACGAGTGCAATTCGTCGCCCGATCTACCTAGTCGACGTCGAGTTGTCATAGATACCGTAGCTCTAGATCATGTTCTGATTGGTCGCGAGTTGCATTACTATAACGTGTCGCCGCCAGTTTCATCAGATCGCCTTCAGGACTTCCCTTTTGGTGACGGTGCATATTTGGTTTGACCTTTCTGCGTCAGCTTCACAGCATAGCTCTGACTAAGTTCAGGTTCCTGAACCCCTGACTGAGCCTGTCGAAGACTGTTTCATACCTTCTAGCCCAGGCCATGAGGTGGGGGTCTTCAATCACGGGATGTTCTTGGTGTGTAACTTCATGATGCTTCGTCATGTCATAGCTGACTCGCCAAAGTGCAGTGACCAGTATTCCAACGATCTGCTATACACGGACGGGTGGGAGGTGGATTGATACGTGGCTGCACTTATTCTGTTCGGTATATACCCCGTACGGCTCTTGCGGTTGTCGCTTTCCGATGCATGTAAGCCTGTTCATTTCAAGCATTCGTTAGTAGACAATCTTGATGATAACATCGCATATCTACTCAGATCTTGTGCACGCATCAAATTCGTCACTCGTCTTCCATGCCCGAAATCCCATTCCTCATGCATTATACTTTGCGTTCGCCTCTAACGTTACGCTGCATGCTTATGGACCGCCTATAGACCCATGTCCTGATTGAGCTCGAGATCGACTCTCGCGCACAAGAGAGCACATCCAAGCAGTTCTATACCATCGACGTCTAGAGACTTCTAGCGTATAGAATATGTATGTATATGTACGTATATATGTATATGTTTGTGTTTAGTACAGAATCAAGTAAAAATAATGAAGACAGTGAAACCCAGCTCAACTTCCACAATTTCTCCTTGTGAATCTTACAATCCGAAAATCCCAGAATCTTTGCATTCAGCGCAGCATGCTTCGTTCTGCTCCATACATGTGTGCGCCCTCCACACATCTATCTCCTCTCCGAGTTGACCGTTGCCCACAGCATGGACAACCTACACCCTTGACGTCGGCGTCGGCAGAGAAGCCCAGCTCCAAGTCAGTCCCGTGTGGCCCCCAAGAGAATGAACACCGCTGTGACCGCCCGACGGCGCAGCGACGCCGAGGACATGCTCGCCACTTGGTGCTGGGACTAATGTCGGCACCGCACCCGGAAAGCTGGTGATGGTGGGGAAAGGCGGCGTGGGCAGAACTGATGAGATACCTGGATGACCACCGTGGATACCAGAGATGTCGAAATGGCGATTGTTGAGGACCTTGGTGGGGACGGAGGGGAGGAATGTGTTACTGGGGAAGCCAGGGATGGCGGTGGGAACGGTGCTGGGTATTGGGATTGGAAGGCTGGTCGGGATTGGGGTTGGGAGACCGCTGGGGGTACCAGGGAGGCCAGGGATATCGAAATGGTGGTTGTCGAGGGCCTTGACGGGCGCGGCGGAGACAAATGTGCTGCTGAGGAGAGCGAGAGCCGCGAGGATGGCGAAGTTGGGTGTGGTGTAGAGCATGTTGACTCGTGTGTGAAAGTTGAGTGGAAATTTGTTGGTGTTGAATAAGGAGTGTGTGAGATGTAGAGGTTGATTTGTTAGGTAAAGAACGTGTTGACCTAGGAAAGCGATGTAGGAACTAAAGAGAGTAGTGTTTGCATTCTTCAACCTGCGATAGACAAGACCTTTATACTGGTCTGGGTGTGTCCACGTTCCTTTTCATTCGCAAATACCATTTTCTATAGTGCTCTCGCAGGGATCATACAAACACCGCAGATGATATCCCAAACAATGTGTTCAGATTGACGGCCCGGCATGTTGGACATTGCGATGTTCCTCAATGATGTAAAAACAAAAACAGAAAAAAGCATGATGGCGCGCGGCGAGCCCGAACGACTATCACAGAGAATAGGGCACTAAAGATGCGCGTTTCATTGTATCTGGTACATTCTCGAAGTTGAAGCTGCGTGAGCAGTCCACCTGAAAGATTCGACAGAGCGCGCTTAGAATAACGAGTGCCTAGGAAGCTTTTTGTTGTACCATGCTTGTCCTCTGTGGCGCATGTGTATCCGTTTCAACCCATGTGTCAAATCTGTCCTAGTGTATATCCTATTCACTTAACTGCGCAGGCTGTACTGAGATACCCACCACTCTCCAGGTTCTGCCTTCGATGTAAGGTATCATGTCCTAGTGACTTGTAGAACTAACCGGTGGGTGGGTAGACGCTCTCACTAGACACTTTTGTAGTACTATGCTCACTTACTCGAGTGAGTAGTACGCAGTAGACTGTCGTATTCGCTAAGCCAAAAGTGTAGACCTAGACACTTTAACTGGCCGCTGCGGTACGGATCGGTGTGTAACAGGGAAACGGCGAGGCGCATGGGGGTGGAATCCGGACATTGGTGCTCCACATTGTGGGGTAGGCTAATTCATTCGATATCCGGAGCCCTAAGTTGATGAGAGATCGTCAAGTCAACTTGAGGAAGTCTACACTATTCGAATTGAATGCTATTCACCGTGACGTGACTGACACTGACTTGAGACTGTATCAGTGAAGAAGGCTCGATTTGTGCCTGAATATTCTCCAGTACTGGCTTACCAACTATTGCCAGCGCAGCAAGAATACTGCCAGAGCAGGGAGAACCGAGAACACAGCCACTGTGATCTTCTTCAGGTAAGGGAGCATATAAATTCCTCAGCTTGCTCTACATATTTGTCTCTTTAGTGTTGAGAAGCCATACAGAAGCCTCCTCGTACTTGGAAAGGACACGTCAGATTTGCCCTGGAGACTGCTCGTCTGAACCCTCATGTAAAAAGTGTGGAGCACCTTGTCGACATCCTTGGCTAGACTGGTACTCTCGTCGTTCTTCATAAGAACCTTACGTCTGTCGATCTCACAAACATCCCTGCATGATGCAGTCCCACTATACCAAACGCATTGACAAATGTAGGACTCAATGATAGATCATAACGCAAGGTAACTAAGCTCGAGAATTCACGCTCCTTGCAGAGCCTTCGAGATATCGCGCAATAAGTATCTCACCCGAAAGTGAGACAGGGTCGATGTTGAACACCGCAGTGAGTCCAGTATACCGCAGCGAAATGTTTCGATGCACCAATGCAGTTTTCCTCCTTGCATTTGATTATCGGCGGGAGATATGGTATTTTGCATTTTGCTGTGTCTGTCTAGTGAGAACCTTGCAGCTTGCAGGGTATGGTAGTTAGTGTCAAATTAGTATGTTGCGATGTCAATCTCGATTTGGCCTTTCTTTCGGACTTATGCTTACATTGCATATCTGCAAGGATAGACGTGTCGCACCTTATCGCGTCTCATTGGATTCCGAGGTGCTACGAACAGTATGGGGTACTTCTCACATTGAGGCGACTTTTCCGTTTGTGCCTCTCGAGACTTCATATACCTAGGCATAAACAGGTCTGACACTCGTAACGACCATGAGCACCTTGCAGATGTCTAAATGGGAAATACACAGTCATCAGGGCAGCTCCTATGACAGATTAGCCGGAGTAGAGACTTCACCAAGCTCTAGCACAGCTCGAATTGAGCGGTGTCATATCTGTGCGTACGTGAACATTGATGCCAAGTCGCAAACTTTTTGCAAGGATGAATGTTTCGCCAGTAGTCTCTTACAGACTGTAATGCTAATGTCAAGGACCCTGCTCAGCAATTATGAGGTCGCGGGTATGTCTGTATCAAAGGAATGTGTCGACTATGATCCAGGTTTGAAGATGACAGATCGACTCAGGCCGAGCTCACAAGATACTAACGTCGAGGTGACGCATCAAGGCCTCGCCGTGCGCATCGTGGTATCAAGAGCTCATGAAACACGTGTATATCGATGTTTTCTTGTTCTTGATCAGTGTGGTTTGTGTTGATGTTGGTGTTGGTGTAGGATACTAAAGTGAGGACATAGGTGTTGATAGGAAGTGGCACTGCGTGGCTTACGTAATTGAACAAAGACAAAGTCAACGTCCGTTGCCTAAGCCTTCCCTCCTTTCTTTCATTCCTACAGGTGGAAGTCATTTTCTGTCCTGCGTTTTGGCCTCGTACCTTGTTGCTACGTCACCGCATGCGAGATGCGGAATATGCCGCATGCCATAAAAGTCTGACTGCTACGACGTGCAGCAGCTTATGTGCCTCTGCCGGCCGAGAAGAGTCTGATGTCCACAACAGTACAAAATATCACGCGTTCACCTACAACCAAGAGTTTTGGCAAGTTCCGCTCCAAAAGGGGAAGAGGCTTATGCTATAGCCTATAGCTACACGCATGAAAGAGGGAATTGCGCCGGTCGCAGGATTACCGATTTAGGGATATGCTACCGGACACCTCAAGCTACAGTAACGTACTCGCACCAATGCGGCGGAACAGATTGTTCGCACAGGCGCACCGAACTATGGTTCGGCATCACTGCGTCGCGCTCGCGAGTATCACATGTATAGAGGGCACATGCGCCTGCGCTTAATATACTTCCACCACCTTGATTCCGTCACATCGGCGACTTTTTAAGCCTTTGTTTGGAGCCGAAAGTTTGGCCGTGGACAAACGCAGATCGTCAGGGGGCGATCCCAGCATGAGTCTATAAGAATATCTATACTGACTAGATAGGGCTGTTTATACGTCTATTGCATTGCATGGTGGCTCACTCTTTAGGTGCTGTATGTTTGATGGTCAGATGCTCAATTATAAGAAAGCACTCAGTCTCATCGCTCTCTAGTGTACTACCTCATATCAGTGCGACATGTCATGGGAATGAGACGTAGGGAGCCGGAACCGGCTTAAGCATTTGAATGATATCGATAGTGGAGTCTGGACGAACTTGGGGAATAGCGTACGCAATGTGCGATATACTGTATAGCCAGTTGGTGGACTCCACTATTTTTCCATCGGAACCAGGTAGGGCTATTCGAAGTGTTGGGTCTACAGGCCCGTGTGTCCTAGCATCGACCTTTGACGTGGGCGAAGTGGATAGGGTGCGCCCTTCAAACAGACAAGCTCAGAGAGAAATGCTTGGCATTGCTTGTCTACTGCAATCCTGTCCACGGACATCACCCGGTGCTCTAGTCAGATGCATCTATAGACGCGTGTACATACTTGTTTACAGATATTGACGACGTCATTCGATAAGTAGTATCTAGAGATGCGGTGAGAGGGAAGCATTCTCCATGCTTCGCTGGGCTGGGGGTACCTAGCCTTCTAGGTGTGCCAGGGCTGGCTGCCTTACGATGGAACCTTGCGATTCGTCTACCATGTGCCGTCAGATTCACATGCACTCCCCAACGTGGCTGCTTCCAACGTTGTGCAATCAGTGTGAGTGCAAACATTCAGCCTCGATTGCTGCAGAGTCTCTGACCAATCGCTGCCTTAGATAATTGCTCACGAGCATTAGTGTGGTCTGCACTCGAGACATAATTACAGTATCTTCAAGATGTCCCAAATGGTACGTTCTAAGATAACTGAAAAGGGGGCTCATCGATGCCGGAGTCACGGCGGGTACGCCCGATTGGTTGGTCCTTCCACCGCACCGGTATTATCGGAAGGAAGCTTGATCACTACCTGGATCGCGAAGTATTCCAAGAAGTACGATCAGTGAGATTGAATGGAGCGGCACGTTTTTTTCCAATTCCCCTTTCGTGGGGAAGGGGTTCACAACAGACAGGATATTTCATCTGGACTAGCGCTTATGGAACTGGAGCAGAAGAGTGGAGACAGAAGACCTATGCCCCAGAATACACCCGGTGAGGCTGAAAGTCGGATTCGGCGTCTTGGTGGATACGCGCGTTCTCGAGACCGTTGAAGCCTTCTTCCATCGCTACGGGCCTACGACAGGTGTCGATCCAGCGTTCGTTTGGTCCGATGATAGACTGATGGCATCGCACAGCCGACCCGCAGGCTGAGTCTCTGGTGTGGCAGATCCGTCCTGGGATCCTAGCATACGTTCAATCGTGTGCGCTAACGGCAGCAAAAGCCGACTGGTAGGGCTGGCGAGCCTAGTGATTAGGGCCTTTCAACCGGAGGAACGGCGGAAACTTTAATTGGCCCCCCAGCCGGGAGATCTGATTTATGCCACGGCTTCATGCCGAGACTTCAAATGCTCTTATACTGCACTGTATCAGAAGGTGGCTTCCATTGCTCTTACAATCAAATCATCTCACTACAGACTGCAAGGTCTCGGCTGACTTGATCCTGGTCACTTATGGCCAGGCGATTCGCGCAGTTTCGGGTCAACATACCGAAATGGAGGATTCGACTATCTCTCCCTCTAGAGTTTAGTGCGGGCGCCCAAGAGTTTTGATACCAAGCCTACTCGACTACTGTTGTCGCATTCGGGGCCGACTTTTAAGTCCGAGGACTCCGAACGACCGTGAATGGTACGGTACGGCACCTTTTGACGGAGGGCCTAGTTTGCTCTAAAGAACGTTTGGACACGGTGGGTGAGATGACTGGAGGGCTGACACTATCGGCCGAGCTGAAGCCAAAGTGACCAACCAATCTTCGGTCCACGTCCACGGAGTCCACTGAACGTTGCAGACTATCTACGGCCAAGCATGATGAGCTATGATTCTAACGTTGTACTGCGGGTGGAGACCGCGAGGCTTTCCCGAAAGGACCACCACTGTCCTGCAACATGCTGTCCATCGTTCTGACGTCTGTGTATCGAAGTCGTACACAGAAAGATGTATGATCCATGGCGTGCAGGCGCATCAGCAAACGCCAAAAGGAGACTTCCGTACTGTTTTGTTCCTTCGCGTAGCTTTTGGTGCATGTCAACGTATGCTCATCAATCCTACATATATTGCCATGAAACAACGGCATCTGGTCCGTCACGCTTGCCTATCGTACATGAAGATATTGAATTCTTCATTTAATGCACTAGATGCAAAGACTAGAATCATGTTTCTGTCTACCTAGTACTCCATGAACGGAGTTCCGATGGCCGAACTATGTGGAGTTCTTTGCGACCCTATGATCCTCCCGGCCCAAGCGCAGGGGTGGCCAGCCTGTTAAACACGCTTTCCAGGTGACCCACTCCCCATGGACAACGGCCCCCTCCCCCAACATCTGGTCTGACTCCCGCGAACTTCGAGGCACTAAGCACCCAGCGTGGGATATAAGCATTCTGAGGCCCAGATCAGATATGCGTCTACATCACTCCGCCTCATCTTGCTGCCCGCCTGGCCTGAAGGAATCTTGTCTGAAGTGAACTTCCGCAACTTACGTTCCTCTTCCAGCTTATCTCCCTATGCTATAGTGCTTTTCACTACGGAAAATAAAACATCTTTGTTGTGTCGGAGCATCCCACTCAGTACCTCCACACTGATCATCCATATGGACTTCACCACATACTTTACGCCGCCGCAGGCTCATTCATACCCTCCTTATATGAGCGGTATCCCATTCTCACAACCCGACAATGACACCTCCAAGCTCACAGTAAGTCAAGTCTCAAACGCCCTTGTCTCATCACCATAAAAAGCTTGGTCTCTGGAGAAAGCTTGGGTTGCCGTGCCACATAGGCCCATGGATGAAACATACACGAGAGAATCACAGGAGCACAGCTTTGATACTGGAAAACACTATGCTAAGTCTTGCAGGACCCTATTGACCCGTCATTCTTATCACAAGGCTATGATGCCTACCGTTATGCCCCTTTCCACAACACATCACCCAGCAGTCCTCAAGGCCCTACCGGCCAAGCACATATCCCGAGCGTCGACAGCATCGACAGCGGCATCGACATCATGGACGAAGCGCGGCGAGCAAGCCTGACGCGAGCCAGCAGCGAGGAGAAGGAGATTCTCACCCCCGCGCAATCGCGGCGGAAAGCACAGAACAGGGCAGCGTAAGCTCGTTGTCAGAACTACTACCCCAGCATCCAACTGACAGCGTTTCCAGCCAACGAGCATTCCGCGAGCGCAAAGAACGTCACGTGCGTGATCTAGAAGCAAAGTTGTCCGCCCTCGAATCGTCACAGCAGAGCCTGCAATCCGATAACGAACGCCTGAAGCTGGCTCTTCAGCGCGTGACCACCGAGAACGAGATGCTGCGCGGCGTTACACCGAGCTCGACGCCATCCTCGCTACGACTATCGGCGGCGTCGCGCAAGTCTACGGGTGCGGCGGGCATATCGGGCGATCTTGCCACGTTAGGTGTTGGGGACCGTGGGGAGTTGCTCGGTGCAGGCGCCGCGTGGGATCTTATACAAAGCCATCCTCTGGTCGAGAAAGGTCTGGTCGACATTGCGGATGTCTGTGAGCGGCTCAAGGGAGTGGTCAAGTGCGAGGGGCAGGGGCCGGTATACGAGGAGAGCCTTGTTTGGAGAGCTGTGGAAGAGAGCAATAGGGGTGGTGGTGATGAATTGATCTGACGAGCAAGCTAGCAGAAAGCGACACTCGATTCATGTACTAATGGATACACTCGCTGACTTCGGGGGGAGACTTCGGACAGCGTAAGGAAACCTCCACCGGGCACCCTCCCGCAGGACTGTATGCTGTGCATCGTCTTGTGGGGATCTGCTTGAAGAGGATTACAAGGTTCTCCTCAATAGCATGTTATATATTTAAGCGCATTCGGGCTGCTAGCCTGATCATTTCAGCGAGCAAGTTCATGTCCATTACAGCTGATAAGATACCTATACCCCTATCAAAAGCGACTTCTACACATCTGATCAATTTACTATGCTTGATTCATTTGGGCAGCAATTGGAGTAACTCACAACATAGTTCTTCTGCTGGACATGACCTATAAGCTACGTCATTACCTATTAGCCATAGGATGCAGCGATCCTACCGTACATATCTCTCACCTGACCCTAGCCTGGAAGCCGGAACCCCTAGCTACGCCACTCTGCAACAATCAGAAGGTTAAATCATGGTCGAACCGCGCTTCCGTTCACAGATACCGACGCAAGCTGCAACACACTACGTAAATCGCAGCTCGAGCGACAGCAAAGTCGAACATTTCATTGCTGTCCATTCAGGCAGACTGTAGTCAACAATGTTGGTGTCTGTGCATCTCCAACTTCTACCTGATAATACAAGGCAAAAGGGAGACGGGCCGGGAGTGAGACATGCGCCCGAATATGGACATTACTCCGCAGAGCGGCTTTTGGAGGCGGATTTTGCCGCGGTCCGGTGTGTTGGGTGTTTTTGGTGCTACTGAAAACCGACATGCTTTATATTCCCTCTCTTCAAACTGTTTTCAAGATTTAGCGGTGGCTTGCTTGACTCACACATCAGCATGAGCATGCATCAAACTTCTAATGATGAGATTATTCTATATTTGGGATGGGGCGAAGCCAAAGCAACTTCACTGGCATGGCTGGTGGAGCCTTCAACTTCATAAAGGCACCAGGTCCGGATCGTACCGAGCCATGGAACAGTAGAAAGAAGTGATATAAGACCTACCGTCGCCAGTCATACAGCGCGATCCCAAATATCGGGCGACGAATCCTTTACGTCCTGTAGACTGCTTGCCAAGGTTTGTAAGAGTGGACCCGCAACGGCACATCATAGTTCTCCCGCTTCCCTCCTAGAGCGCGTTGATGCTTCACGAGGTCGATCAGAAGTATAGCCGACATATTTGTTCTTCGGGGAAAGCACTGACCATAATCTCGTCTTCTCATTCTGCATCAGTATAACACCATGACTGGTGGCTAGAAATTTGAACGCCACACGCGTCCTATCAAGACGTGACCTGCAAGGTGGATATGGGTTCCAGAGGAGTCCTTGCCAGTTATCACATTGATGCCAACTAACGTTGTCAATGGCCCTGATATCGTCTTCATGAAACATCTCGTTCCCTTTGGCTGCGCACCAGTATGCGACAGGCATATGAGTAACTCAACCTGCAGAGGTTGGCAAGTTTGTTTTAGGAGACACAAGGGCGGGTCCTGTCATGATGTATAAGACAGTCTAGATGGTCGACGATGTCGCCAATTCGAGAGTTTGTGTTGAATAGTGTCGGGGCTATGTTAATTCGAACGCTCATAGTTTTCTACCAGTATCCCGCGTAGGGATAGAGATTCGTGATTTTGAAAGCCATAGAGAGATCCAGTAGTATAGTGCTCAGGCTACTATATGTGCCGAGTATGTCTCCTATCATCGTCCAGCTTTGAACGGGCTGGGGCTTGCTGTGAAACGCGGTTGACGACATCGAGGAAAGCTCAGCATCCAGTCGGCCATGTCTTTGAGACGATGTGTGCAAGCGAGGGTAAAAAGACACGCATAGACTGAGAGTCCTCGTTTACGGTAATTGGAATGCGAGGTTTGTACTTCCAGCTCCGAGGAAGTTGCTGATTGCGACGATTGGATAGGTATCAGTGAGGAACCAAACGATAGAAAGCAAGAATAGAACAGAATTGACACGAAGTCGACCAACAGCCTAAAGGATTTAGAGTGAACAAGAGTGCTTCTAATCTGTCAGGTAGGATCGATTGAGGAGCCATATGTGGCAAGGCTTACTGCGTGGCGTCGGTGATGCATTCCAGAAAGGGGGGGTCCCCAAAGGGGGGGGGGTCGGCGGGCTGCAAGGCCGCCACAACAAGCTGTGTAGTGTCCGCCCCACAGGACAGAAGACCGGACGCATTCTGAAATTAGTCAAGTCAGCACTGCAAAAATTGTATGTGCTCTTTTATGTCAGCAACATAATCTGGGTCGCTTCACAGTGAGCTCTATCATTGGCTCAGTCACTTGATTATATAAACTGCTCCCATGCAGACATCAGGTGCAGGTCACCGCTTTTCTGCAGGCGAGCTGTAACGGCATGTGCCCATGGTTGTTACAATCTATGCTTGAGACCTTGAAAGGATTGCCCTAGGAGTGATGTGTGAGCTGTTCATTGGTTTCTGCTAGGAATTTTCTGGCTAATGTGCCATTTACCAGATGTTACTACCATCGCATGACATGTAATATGAATGGTCTGTCCAACACACATGCTGAAAAGGATCTACAAGCTTTGGTCGTGGAAGCTTCTTGGTCGGCTACAATGATGCAAGATATGGTAGGATGAAGTTGGATATTTCTCCGTGGAGCAGATTAATCTTCGACGGGGTAGTAGTAGTAGTGCATAAATCATGTCGTACACTGACGAGATGGCGGACTTGTTATCCTATTTGTGTCAGGCATCCGCCTTACTTCACGCAGATAAGGGTCTCCATCCCAACACGTGCAGAAGCCGAGTGGTTATCCTTACGCACATACCATGGGCGGTCCGCGGTGCTGCGTGTGTCAGGGCTAATGGGTGCCCACTCCAGCTGTTAGAGGAGGACAAAGCCTCATCTAAAGAACTCTAGTGCGACCTGCTTCAGTCCCAATCGCTATCTTCGTCGTCTTGATCTTTGCCAATCGTTCCATGTCTGATACTTGATCGTGGATAATCGTTTTGGGCAGATTCGGCGCCAGGACGATTTTGGAGTCGACTGTCCGATGGATTCACAGCGCCTATTTCGACCAGTAACCTTTCGAGATCTGATTTCAAGGATCATATTAGCGGGAGGAAGTTTGCAACGATCAAAGGAGAAGAACACAATTGCCCAAATGCTACCGTGCGACAACAATTGTTTCAGGTTCGGTATCATTATCTGATATAAGACACGCTGAGGACGATTCACGTATTGGGGGAAAATGAAACACAGGTGGTTTTAATTTCAGAGACTTACCTCCAGTGGAAGTCCTAGGCCCTTTCAAATCTTTCAACGTTACCAATTGCTTCTTAATATCGCCATCTTTGTATATGAGAATCGTGGGTGTGTTCCTCTCTGGGTACCCCTCAATGCAGAGGTCCCCTTGAATCTGACAGAATTTCACGTCTCCGAATCGACGTGCAAGATCTCGCCAAATTTCTATGAGTACTCTCGACTCCGTATTGGTTCCATGAGAGGATGTCAGCAGTACCAGAACGTAGGCTTTGTTTGAGGCTTCGGTGACATCGCTTGAATAGTCCGGCTTCTGCAGCTGGTATACTTGGTTGAAGACAGATGCAGCTGTAATGGTAGCAAGCTCGGTCATTCTCTTCAGCCTGTTTCCGTCAATATCATCACAAGTAGCTCGCAGGCGGTCAGTTCGCCTATGTGTGCGCAAGAGATAGGAACATCCCGTACCTATATGATTCAAGAAACTCCTCATCCTCTTCATCTTCGAGTGCTGCAAGCTCATCGAGGTCCTTACTTTCCAGCCGATTCTCATGTGCTAGTCTCCGACCCTCTTGTAATGCCTCTTCTATCATCGGCGTTGGCGATGGTGGTTTTTCTGGTATGATCTTATGTTTCCTAAGGATGTCGTTCCTATGAAGCTTGATTAGTACCATACACTTCTTGAAAGAGCATATAGTATACCATTCCGTGTCGGCATTCGGATCATCGACAGGAACCTGGACGGGCATGTCTGGAATGTTCATTCTGAACAGAATTCAATGACTGCCGCGGGGCAGTCTCCGTGGTCGGACTTTAGATCAGAACAACGCGATCATTCGTAGTCTCAGTTTGACCTTCTTGATCCAAGAAATTTGTATCGACCGTTTATTCCGATACGCAGATAGAGAATGGTGGAAGTGAGGAGTGTCAGAGCTCGGAGCACACGGAAATCAGTGACGTTTTGCGGGTATTTGGGCAGAACCTTTTGCGCAGGCAGCAAGATCTGGTACCGAAACTGATTGAGACGAGCCTGACACCCAATTAGTAGAAAGTAAGGTGCAATCTCTCGCTTCTTGAAATTCTGGTCGTCCTGCCCACCATTGTTAGAGGCATCCATCGACCTTCACAGCTAGCTGACCTATCTTAGAGTGGGAGTGGGCGGGACGCCAAGGATCACCGCCGTCTGAATTTCGACATCCCTCTAACCTAGGGTCCAGCCCAGCGACGACCGCTTTCACGACTTCGAACTGACCGCTCCGCCGCGCCAGTTGATCTTGACCTTCTAACACTCCATCCGAAAGACTCAACCCAGCGGGCTCGCAGCTCCATTGAAGTTCTTGGAACACTATCGGGAGTCTCCCCCGTAAACGCAACGTTGCAACACTCGGCACTGCGACGTGCCCACTCCCGCCTAATATCTTACTACCGAAGTACATCATACACAGAGCATAATGAGCTACAACAAGAAAGATGAGGATGCAGACGGAGCGATAGTTAAAGTCGATCGTACATCGGTCTTCCAAGAAGGTCAATCACATCGCGGTCTGTGAGTCTAGCTAGCTGACCACATACAATAGCTCGAGTATTCAATACGTCGCCCATATCACCGCGAAAATGCCGTATCCTACTTACCAAAATATCACTTCTTCTGTTCACCGGTGAAAAGTTTCCTACCAATGAGGCCACATCTCTCTTCTTCGGCATTTCGAAGTTATTTCAGAACAAAGATGCAAGCTTACGGCAGATGGTCTACCTGGTCATAAAGGAGTTGGCACATACAGCTGAAGATGTTATCATGGTCACTAGTAGTATCATGAAAGATACGGCAGTAGGAAGTGACGTCGTTTACAGAGCTAATGCCATTAGGGCATTGTGTCGCGTTATCGACGTAAGCACTACAATACAATTTGTTAGATGAAACAATCTACTAACATTGAATAGGCATCTACAGTACAAGCTATCGAGCGTTTGATCAAGACAGCGATTGTCGACAAGACACCTTCAGTATCTTCAGCAGCCCTAGTCTCCTCATACCACCTCCTGCCAGTTGCCCGCGATGTCGTGCGAAGATGGCAGAGCGAAACGCAAGAAGCAGCTTCAGCGTCCAAGTCGTCAAGTGGTTTCTCGCTAGGGTTCGGATCTAGTAACCAGCATTCCCTTGCTGCATCTAACACAAATTTCATGACACAATACCACGCCATTGGCCTGTTATACCAAATGCGCTCACACGATCGTATGGCGCTTGTCAAGATGGTCCAACAGTATAGCACTGCGGGGGTGGTAAAGAGCCCTGCTGCTACGATGCTGTTGGTGAGGCTAGCAGCCAAATTGGCAGAAGAAGATCCTGGCTTGCGAAAACCCATGATGCAGCTGCTAGATGGCTGGCTACGCCATAAAAGCGAGATGGTCAACTTCGAGGCAGCCAAGGCCATCTGCGATATGCGCGACGTTACGGACGCGGAAATTGTGCAAGCTGTTCACGTCCTGCAACTATTCTTAACATCACCTCGAGCTGTCACCAAGTTTGCCGCTATCCGTATCCTGCATAACTTCGCTTCGTTCAAACCAGATGCTGTGCGATCATGTAACCCTGATATCGAAGCCTTGATCACGAACAGCAATCGCTCGATTGCAACTTTTGCGATTACAACACTCCTCAAGACCGGCAATGAAACTAGTGTCGACCGATTAATGAAGCAGATTTCTGGATTCATGGCCGAAATCACGGACGAGTTCAAGGTCACTATCGTGGAGGCCATCAGGACACTTTGTCTCAAATTTCCCAGCAAGCAAGCTGGTATGCTTGCATTCCTCAGTGGGATATTGAGAGATGAGGGAGGTTATGATTTCAAACGCGCAGTCGTAGAGAGCATGTTTGACTTGATCAAATTTGTACCGGAGAGTAAAGAAGACGGTAAGTTGACGTTGGTCTCATTTGTTCGGAAGCAGGCTGAACACAGTGTACAGCGTTGGCCCATCTCTGTGAATTCATAGAGGACTGCGAGTTCACCAAGCTTGCCGTCCGAATACTCCACCTACTTGGTATGGAAGGTCCGAGAACGCCACACCCGACGAAGTACATACGGTATATCTACAATCGAGTTGTTCTGGAAAACGCGATCGTCCGTGCTGCCGCCGTCACTGCACTTGCTAAGTTCGGTGTCGGCCAAAAAGATCCCGAGGTTAAGAGTAGCGTTCATGTTCTCCTTACTCGCTGTCTTGATGACACAGATGACGAGGTTCGTGATCGTGCTGCTTTAAACCTTCGTCTCATGGATCAGAAGGATGACGCTCTTGCTGAATCTTTTGTCCGCAATGGTGAGCTCAGTACTGATGTCTTGCGCACGAACCTACTAACAATAGTACACAGACTCCATGTTCTCTCTACCAACCTTGGAGCATCAGCTGGTCATGTATGTGACTGCGGAGGGCAAGGATAACTTCGAAAATCCGTTCGATCTCTCGAAAGTTCCTGTTGTTACTCGCGAACAAGCAGACGCGGAAGACCGAACGAAGAAGCTCACTACAGCAACACCAACTATCAAAGCCCCAAGCTCCGGTCCCAAGCCAATCTCGAAGTCAGGTGCAGAAGGCGCTGCAGCTGCATCTGCCGCCGCCCAAAAGTATGCGCAACAACTTCAACAGATCCCGGAGCTTGCGGCATATGGCGGTGTGCTCAAGTCTTCTTTGCCTGTGGAGTTGACCGAGTCAGAGACCGAATACGTTGTAACGGCGATCAAGCACATCTTCAAGGACTACCTTGTACTGCAATTCGACATAAGGAACACACTTCCCGAGACCGTCCTTACCGACGTCACCGTCATCTCGACGCCCTCAGAAGAAGACGGAGACGTTTCTTTGGCCGAGGAATTTGTTATTCCGGCTCTCAAACTTGCCACTGATGAACCCGGAACCGTCTACGTTTCTTTCAAGCGTCTTGAGGGAGAGTCACCATTTTTAGCAGCTAGCTTTACCAACGTACTCAAGTTTACAAGCAAAGAAATTGATCCTACTACGAACGAGCCTGAAGAGACCGGTTACGATGATGAATATCAGGTGGAGGACTTGGACCTTAGCGGCGCGGACTATATTGTACCTGCGTATGCTGGAAGCTTCGAGAATATCTGGGACTCTATTGGTGTCAGCGATACTGCGACAGAGACTCTTCAATTGAGCAACATCAAGAGCTTAGCCGGTAAGTCTTTCTCAATCCTAGAGTGTTTATACATACTGAAGTGTATTCCACAGATGCTGCCGAACAACTTCCGAAGTCTCTGTCCCTCCAACCGTTGGACGGCACAGATATCGCACTCAACACATCTACACATACACTCAAACTATACGGTAAGACGATCTTGGGCGGTAAGGTTGCAGCAACGGTCAGGATGGCATTCTCGGCTAAGACTGGTGTTACCATGAAGATCGACGTGCGAGCAGAAGAAGAGGGCGTTGCGGCTTTGGTTGTTGCCAGTGTTGCTTAGTCGAAAGTCAGAAAAATGGCATACCCTTGAATCGAGGCACAGTAGTTCAGAGTAGACAATGACACACTCGTGTATACACATCCGGTGTACAGATATGTTCAAATTCCTCATCACTCTGACTGGGTTTGGAGTTTCCAGCATAAAGGCGATATCTAGAACACCTCGACCGGCCTTCTTTAACGACGCCTCATGCTTGTTAAATCGATACGGAAAGGTCGATTCATCGCAAGGTGAAACAATCTTTGTATTTGAACAAGACTAGTTCTTTATCGCACAAGCAATATCGAGATCCCGAAGACATTCCTGCTAGATTACGGCAGATTTGCTCCAGTCGGATGAGTTCATCATTACAGTGTCGAGAGGGAACACTGGAAATATGAGACATGACTTTATTGTTAGGCTGAATGGCTGGAGATGGCAGCTACCGCCATAGAGACATCATCCTGACATGGGTCGCAATGGAACGTCGCAGACTGGCAATACTATGCCCTATCTATGATCAGGATAGAGCAACGTTGCCAACTGCTGCATAGGTACTCACACTCGAAGCACATCAGCCCATCAACCAAGATGATTCCAGACAGCTTCCAATGGCTTGATGAGCACTTCGAGTAGTATTGCAATATTGTTATTCATTAGTCTCTTCGCACTATGTATCCAGAGTTAAAAACCTTAAGAAGCTAGACAAACCCAGAAGCAGACAATGAAACCGTGAAATAAAAATGAATAGCTCATATCGTCTGAGGACCTGCCTGATAGGAAGGTAATGTAGTTTGAGAACGATATAAGACATGTAAGTCAAAACGTATTCACCCGACTAGTCTGTCCGACCCCTATACAGAAGAAGTATTCACTTTCACCCCACCTAATCCGGCCTAGCGTCAGTGTAGAGAGCAAAAGCAAAACTGCAGGGCCCGGGGGAGTTGAACCCGGGATCTCGTGCAGAAACCGTTCCGCTTGGGATTAGCGTGGTTTTTTGGGTGAGATTTGGTGCGCGTTGGAGGCAGTTAAGCCATCAGTGCCGCTGACTGAAAGTACAAGACTTTTACAATATTATAAAGGGTGAATATGTGGTTGATGGTTCACTCTCCATTCCCAAACGACCACTCTCTTTACATTTTAGATCGAGTGAACGTCTCATTTCACGAAAATTGCTTCTCTACGAACTGGTTCAAACACTACGGCCTTCAAGCTCCAGTTTCTGGTAACAAACATGATCATCGATCAAGCAGGACAAGGGCTATGCTCGTAACATAATAGTGCTTTAGACCTTGAGGGTAGCTGATTATAAAAGGTCACAGGTGCGCATACGCAGTACAGCGGATTAGAGACACCTAAACGTGCAGATAATTTTAATTTCATGACTAAAGGAACATATTGCTCTTTTTAGCCTCATCAATCATTCTCGATGACAGTACGCGTAAGAATAGGATGACCTTGCCATGCTGATGGTTTGTCTTACTCTGGCATTGTTCGAGGCGTTGGATAATAGCAGTCCCAAGCCTCAGGCTGGTATTCACTTCATCTTAACAGTGTCGAATATGATAACACCCACCTTCCCAACCTAACTCAACGATGACGTAGGCAAATTTGCCACTTTGAAGTTTCTATTTCTCCTGTACTATGCACACCTAACTTTCACGTTACAGCCGACTCCTCTCCCTATACCACACCCTGCAATGTCATCGACCGACGATACCCCTGAAATAGTCAATGATCCTATTTACAATAGTTCAATCGACTTGAACAGACTCCCTGAATTCATAACTTCTTCCGACCAAATCGAGACTCGAACACTGAACCGACCTGGAGGCTAGGGGACCTTCGAACTCACCAACCTTAGACCGCCAATAACTCATGAGCTCCCGGTCGAACTCTTGTGTGCGAACAATCATAACATCTCGCGCAGCGGATGTGCTCAATACAACACTACCATGATCAATGGAAGTGTATACACAGTTTGTCAACCATGTTAGATCTTGGCAGAAAACGAGCTCTTTGTTAATGCAACTCAAACGATTTTTGCCTTCGTGACACTTGTCTACCGACTGATCTCAAGTGTAGTCAAAGTGATACTGTCGGTATTTATAACAGTCATTTTGATCCTCGTTCCTCTTTCAGCTCGCTTTAGTTGTCACTAGGTGTGATAGTGTCTGGGTTGAAGGGGGATTGGCCTTGACAGGTGCGAGGATATGGCGCATGGCATTAACTACAGACCAATGGGCCGAGATAGCAAGGAGAAGTCAAGCTTACCGAATTTATCTTTGGCGTCTGACATTGTGTTACTCAACAGAGTTTGAGTAGATTTCTTGCTTTGCGCAAACACCCAAGAGACTTTTCAAGCTGGCATGCGTCGAAGTTTGTTCGTATAAGAAACACTACCACTCGTCGCAAGCTCTCACTACCATACCAGGATAAACATACAATTTGGTCTCTAGACTTGTCGGAATACGACAAATCGTACCTTTACTCTATTTATATTCGCATTAAACTAGCGTGAGAATGGTACTCACTGACACTGACAGCGGCTCTTGAGCTCACACAGAATCCTATAGGGTACATTTTGGAAAGCTTCAATACTAATGAGCTCTGAAATATAGATCTTCTAGTACATGGATACCGTGATACATAGATCCCCTAATATATAGACCCTTATATACTCTGTACGGTCCCGCCAACACACAAGTCTCTTTTCGCTCTTTCAAACAAATTTGACCTTCCCAGAGGATGAGAGCACATAAGTGTCGCTTGCCCCACGTGACCGACTCCAAGTGCCGAACTCCTGTTTTGGAAATGTCTTCTCCCCAACCACAGTCCGAAAGAAATTCATACGCCACTTGGTACCTTTGCCTTCTCCATCTTTTACCTCCAAAAGAGGAAGCGGGATTTTCACATCCGACACCCATGTTTTCTCCTGTTGATTCAACGTTGTCGTCGAGATGAGTCCGTCCCTCTGGGCCCCGGTAATGTAAGTCGTAGTATGTTTCTCGACGTCGTGTTCATCAGCAACATTGAAGGCCTGGGACGTTACGTTGTTCGGCGCAACCTCAAATTTTCGGTATCTTCTGATGTCATAGTGCTCGTTGCGGATGAGAGCCCCCATAACTTCATATCTGTTGATAGGATCGTTGGTACCATATGATGAATTGAAAAAGTAGTTTGTTTCATTGTGTGCGGTAAATTTGAGATTTACGGATGAAGCATCGTAGCATAGGTCGACTTTAGTGAGTGGAAATGCGGCTTCAGACCCAACGCTTGTCTTGTATTCCAGTTTACATGTGTCGGGGCATGCTGGTACCTTGACAGATGGGTATTTGAACCTGAGCATGAAATAGCCCGAGATCGCTAGACTGCCGAGCCAGAGGAAAAGCATTTGGAAAAACATTTTGGCTACCTGACTGACGACGCTCGATCAGAGATACAAATGTTATGATTACCTGGTGACAGATGTCAGAAGACAATGAATGAGAGGGACGCGAGAGTCCTTTTAGATCTCATCTGGCCCTTGTAAGTTGCGCATGCAAATCTGCAAGTATACAACGGTGATCAACATAGTACTCCTCACTTAGTGTCGCGCAATCTGAGCTGTCCCGCAAGGATGGCTCGCATGTGTGACACAGTAACATTATGTGTGTCGATATAGTTGACCCATGCTCCTAAAATAATCAATGCAACATCGTAGGTCTTGTCTCTCACCGAAGACATCGTTCTATCGAGATAATCCAAGTTTACATTTCATTGCGGAGGAAACAAGACTAGCAACTTATTTCCCATACGAAAGGTCAACGTAATTGCGGCAATAACTTCGCCTGCAGAGTTTGCAATGGAGCGCATTCTTTTGTAAATTTATGGAAACTGACTCACTAGGTCGTCATATCTAGTTTGTGTGCTTGCGCCAAATTCCGGATGTCATCATCGAGCGATATTCATCCAAGTCCGAGGAGCCTCTTAAGGTCCGAGCTTCAATCAAGGTCGCTCTAGGAACATCCTACCAATATCGTGCACAGTTCAGTCTCTAAATAGCTCACATACCAATCATATATTATTGTGCGCCACAGTCCAGCATGATGAAAATTCCAAATCGCCAGGACCGACACTAATGCGAGAGACCCGACAGGCCATGCTCCATTATTCGTTACACAACCCGATGTTGTGACTATTCAAATCCAGGCCATTTTGAAACACTATCAGAAATGTGCCTAACGCAGTTCACCAACCACTGAGTTCGGCTTCCTTCGAACGGTGAAGCAGCTGTACGGAGAGGTATACTGGGCGTATATGCGCCAGATTGTACACACCTAGCAGCCATCGAAATCGGATTCTGGCCGCTGGTGGTCAGCCCGTCGCCAGCCAGCTGGAAGCACGGCGCTCGTTGCCAATGTACCATCTACATAGTCAAGGTGATTAATATGGAAGATTCTGAGGTTGATAGAACGACAGATTTAGATATGGCAACAAGGGAGAAGAGAGTATTACATCTAGGGTGGTACGAGGTGGCAAAGGAATCTTAAGCAAATAACCCTTGATGTCCAAGTCGATTCTGCACCACAATTCCATTGAACAGTATGGCCGCTACAATGCAGGCACTACAATATCCAACAGTGGCGCATGCTGCTGAGTGCCTAACGTATCCCTCTCCCCCACACTTCCCTGTGCCCATGGCCGCTTTAGGGTACACTTCCACGCCAGTGCCGGTTCGAAGTACATATTCGTAATAATGTGCTCGTCTTTGACTTGATATAGATCTCTGATGACACTGTTCGTCAATACGTCTGCTCTACGCACTCGCTCGAAGGCTTCACGTTGGTCGAACATGATGTCCAGAGTAAGCTCGAACGGTCCACTGTTTTTAGATCGAATGATTTTGGCGATCTGCTTCATCGGAGCTGCGATCTTGGGTACAGAAATCTTTGCTAGGAGTCGTTAGCAGATAGAAAACAGAATACCTGCTAAATGACGTACACATTGCTACAGGTTTTGTGGTTTTGAAAACGAGTAGTTCATCATTCGTCAACCACGTTGGTTCAGGCTTCGCTTTCCCTTCAGACTTGACCTCATGCAACGATATAGGAAACAAGCTAATCTGCTCATTCTCTGATAAATCAATAAGATGATATATGTTGAATTTGAACACTCCACCAGCGGCCTGTTCGTGGGGTGATAGCGGAGAGGCAAAGTTACCGGTTGTCGCAAGTTGTCCCTCGTAGGGCATATGCAACAGTGATGTTCGTACGTTGTTGGCGATTGCGTGCGATCGCTCTTGTGTTTCAGCAACAACTTCGCCCATGATACCAAGCTCGTGAACATCTGGAGTGCATTGCTTCTCGAGCGGACCCATAACTGCGTTCTTTCCGTACACGTGATAGATGAGGCGGCATTTTTCGGATGTATCAAGCTCAGGAAATAAGCCTTTCGAGTAGTCTCTGACTTTTTCTAGGTAGTCATCGATCTGACTGATCAAGATGGGATCCCGAACTCCGCCGATGAAAATCGTACGATAACCCAGTTGGCGAACTCCTTCGAGCTTTATTTGATAGACAGGAGTGGGTACGAAGCGAGATCCCGAGACCCGGATGGTTCTATCGTCTTCAAGTTGCATGTAGCTAGCGTTGTCCAATATGAGAGCGCCACCTGGACCAGGTAGTCTATCTGGTCTTGTCTTTTCATATAGAGAATGCGCCGCTACGGATAGAGGAGTGCACCGCTCCAATGGAGACAAGGGTATCAGCTCGAAGGAGGATTTACTCATCTTTGCTATCATGGACCGACCTTTTGGTACTGCACAGATTCCACCGCATTCTAGAATCTTGCCCATGTGCCATGCAACAGGAGCCTCAATACCATTGTTCATGCAGAAGGCAGCGAAAGGGGCAGGATCATATGCCCGTCCAGATATAATGATGTCGGGACTAAGCTTTAGGGCTTCCATAAAACTTCGAGAGGTCAGCAGGTTCTCGGCCGCTCAGCTGTGTGATTTTGACGCTTACGGCTCGGCTCCCATCTGCGCAACGATCTCTACGGCTGCATCGACTTCATCCGTTGTCAAGTCCTCTACCGGGCCGCATGGAGAGCATTTTCCATCCGTGATCCTCTGTTTGATAAAAGATCGCGATATCTCTTGCTTGATTGTTGCAATCCGAAGAGAAAAGTTGTTCGCAACAAGAATCTCCTTAACAATGCCAAGAAGTTCGTCAACATGACTGTTACTGCCATCTCCTCCAGCGGAACTGATCAAGACCTGGATCTTTCGATAATAGCAAGCTTCGAGTATTGGCGTCAAGTCCCGTACGTATGCATCTCTTCCGCATGTCATCCTATTCATCCCCAACTTGTACGGTCCACCATCCGTCGAGCCTGAGTCCACGATGATAGCGTGAGGTGAGTATGTATCAACGCCATACCAAAAATGATCACGACGATAGCCGTAGCCAAGCATAGCATTGGGAGTTAAGATGTTGATTGTTGACGCCATTGTTAGTGATACGATTTGGTCTAGACGCAGTCATGCGATGTCTCCCCTTTTAACCATGTTCCCAACACTGCCTTGCCCATTTTGATACTGACTATCAGAAAGCTCTGCTCCTGTAACGGATGAGATTCCGGTATGCTGTCAGAGGCGATCCGGAACCGGACGCCGGGTCAAAGATGTGTGGGTCAGGAATGCTGAGAAGCTAGCATCGGCATCTTGCCGATCTGGTAATATCGAGTCTCTCGCAGGTGCGCTCACGAGGTGCCTGAGGCTAAGATCATAGCTATTACATAATCGAACATTGTTCTACTAGGGATGTGAATCGACGCTGGCTGCTTGGACGTCAAGATTTGAACTCCGATAAGCGTATTAGAGGAATGGTCACGAATAGTCTATTACGAGAGGTAGCTTTTAAATGTCTATAATTGCAGAACGTTAGCAGAGGATGCGTCCTATTCAGGATAAAACGCTCTATACAGCCTTTCATACCAGCGGGTGCAACACAAGATATCTGGTTTTGGTGAGATTGGCCGTGTCCAATATATTCCTGGTCACTATAGGGCCCATATAGCCCTGACACATTGTGGTGATATCGGACGTAAGCATGATTATCTGATAAGGAAGTCATTGATGCCGTTCGCATATTTGCTTGTTGACTCTCAGTGACGAGTGCTGCAGTCGAAATTTACGATCAGTGTGGTGCCCGCGCGCGAAACGACACTTGCATGTCGGAGAACGGGCTGATCAATCGATTCGCTCTTCGCCCAGCTCTCAATCCAGGACTTTGATAGCTGCTGACTAGTGACCGCAGTGAAACCATGAATGCTAAGAATACGGTGAGGCTAGGAGGCGAAAAGGTGATGTCTCGAAGTTGATCAACGCAGGTCGCAAGTAGACGATGTCAAGTTAATGACTTCGCGTCGTCGTCCCTTGGTTAAGCGAGGGACCCAAGTGGGCACGGGCCATGCGCTTATCCAGTTTGACGCTCATTCTTTCATTATGCATAGCTTCGTCCTCGATTTCTTGACATCTCCAATCTCTTCGAATCTCGTATTTTACGCGCGATATATTGTGTTCCTGATGAGAAACGTTCATATCAGCAGTTCTGTCCCCGTGATCGAAACTATAGTGAGCTAAGCCTGCTCGCTAAGATAGCGAAAGCTCGGTATGATGCCGCCGCGTCAAATGCACTATGCGAACATCCAACGTGCTCCACAACCCGCTGAACTATTAGTGTCACACTATAGAAGTTTACTCCACTCGAGCTCGGCGAATTCAGTATAGATGCGCGTATTTGTGATGCGAGCCGCTACCGGCATCCGGTTTAGTAAGTCCGTATAAAAATGCGAGCAAGTCACGGCGTAGAATGCCGTTGGAATACGCGTGGTACTTAATACATGAACTGACTATGTCAATGACCTGTTAAATGATGATATGGTAGCCTCCCGTCCAAGGTCACTGAATCCTCATCACGCCCAGCAGCTCAATCAGATTGCGCCCGCTACAGCTTTGCAAAAATCGCTAGCATACTCGACAGCCCAGCAACCGGTACTTGTCACAAGATCCTCGGTTCAGCCACCAGTACCACGATGGACATCAAGACCGATCCAGCCGTCCAAATCCCTGACCTTGCCCAATCCAAGGATACAGACCCAGTGACGAAAGACATTGAAGCGAAAGCAACCCATATCAACGGTCTCGATCTCCTAAACGCTACGCCCCAAGAACTCCGCCGTGTTATCAGGAAGCTAGACTTTTACCTTCTCCCATTGTTCTTCATCCTGTATACGTTCTCTGTACTTGACCGCTCAAATCTCGGAAACGCTCGTCTTGTCGGTCTTCCTGAGGACATTGATGTCTCTGGCAATCGCTATGAATGGCTTGGAAACACATTCTATATTGCGTATATTGTGTTTCAATTCAATGTGCTGGGATGGAAGATCTTCAAAGCACATAAGTGGGTAGCGTTTGTTGTTGCGTTCTGGGGCATTGCGAGCACGCTTCAGGCTGCGTGCTTCGGATATGGTGCGCTGGTGGTGTGTCGTTTCTTTCTGGGGTGGGCGGAGACTATGTTTGGGCCGGGCGTGAGTTTGTATTTCAGCTACTTCTGGCCGAGAGAAGCAGTGAGTCCCCGCGCTTTGATTTGTTTGACAACGCTGATATATGATAGCTGGGTCTGCGCTTTGGGTTCTTTCTCTCCGGTGCAGCACTTGCAAATGCTTACGGCGGGGCTCTGGCATTCGGTTTAGGCAACATAAATTCCGGTATCAGTAACTGGCGCTTGCTCTTCATCATTGAGGGTGCGCCAACAGCTCTACTGGCTATAGTCTGCTGGTTCTACGTCCCAGACTCGCCCTCAAAAGCTCGCTTCCTAAATGAGCGCGAAAAGCAAATAGCGCAAGCATATGCAAACAACCAACCCGGAGACTTCAAGACTGAGGGTCTAAACCTCAGTCAACTCGGCGACGCATTCAAAGACTATAAGAGTGCGTGTGCCTTTTTCTTTAGCGTATGAACACGCGACTGACACTGTTCCAGACTGGCTCTTCGCGCTCATGAACTTCTCCGTCAACGTCTCTTTCGCCAGCCTACCTCTCTTCCTCCCTACCATAATTTCTGAATTCGGCTCCTTCTCCCGCATTGAGTCGAACGGGTTTTCCGCACCACCCTATGCGCTCTGTTTCATCATGATCATAGTCACCGCCATCGTATCCGACAAACTCAGATTACGAGGTCCATTTGTATTCTTTTTCGCGCTGCTGTCGGCAGTGGGATGGTTGATTTTAGCCACAGCAACCACAGCAGCAGCGCGCTATGTGGCCACTTTCCTTGCAGTACTGATCTTTGTCAGCGTGGCTATGCTACTTACATGGACTGCGAACACCAACGAGACAAGCTCGAAACGTGCGGGCGGGCTGTGGATCGTACAGACAGTGGGACAGTGTGGGACGGTACTGGGCACGAATATGTTTCCCAAGAGCGAGGCACCGTATTACAGGCGTGGTATGTGGGTGGGCTGTGCGTTCAGTTTCATTGTCATGTTGTCTGCAGGAGTGCTGAGTTTCATGTTGTGGAGAGAGAATCGAAGGCGTGATAGGCGACATGGAAGGCCGGAGGTCGGGGTACAGGTTGATATGAATGATTTGGAAGATGTAGAGAGAAACTTGCGGTATATCATCTGAGTCGACAGTACGTATAGGCAAACAGGCCATGTGTTCAGGAGATAGCATCGCAGTGGCTTCCACTAGACGAGGCCTTCCTCGCTCGCACTCACAGGCTCAGCTTCGTGACTCTGTGCGTTCCTACTACATCCATGCTTATTAGTTCCTACGTCACTTTCTGTTACATCCGGCATCGAGAACAAATCCCCTGCGCTGATTAGTCGACTATTATAAAGGGTGGGGACAGTTTCGAAGCAGCCTGGCCAAATCCATCCACAGAGCCGACGGTCTTCTCGCCTGAAGCTGAAGCTGCCAGTCAAACTCCGAGCACGGTATGTTCATGAATGCATTGTCCCTCGACAAGAGCTAGATAGTCTATATTAGTGGTCTAAGTGTTCTTCGTTTTGGGACCTCTAATGTGGTAATAGACTTTACACTGAATCATAGTCCAGTATCAGTGTTAATGATGGAAAGCATATAAAGAGACTTGTGGGATAGAATTCGATTGACAAGACGTATAAAACTTCCCGTCTGATATAAGCGAGTATAAGCTGTAGACTACTGTAATAGACAATGCCAATATCACACCTGTCTAAGCTACCTTCCGATTCCTATCTCTACCTTTCTCTAGTGATCTCGCTTGTTTACAAGCTCAGGGCACTCAGCTGACTCTCGAGCTTCTTGCATGCGGCTCCTACATCACTGCTGGCAAACCCATCGCCCAAAGCCGCCATGCCGACCCATCGACTAACCTCGTCCGCTCTCCATTTACCACTCTCCATCTCCCCAACATCATTCTCCGCCTTCTCCTCATAATCGCTTCTACCCTTGTTTCGCACACGACGCCCCTGGTGCCCACTCGAATGTTTCCCGGCAATTCGCCTTGCGACCTCGTTCGCCTCGAGAAGAGACACCAGCTTACGCTTGTGCGGCCTAGATGCGAGCTTCTGACACAGCGCATACATCCTCTCCGACGGTGAGTGGGATATGAGTCTCTCACCGCCGGGAGGAAAGACTTGGGAGGCACAGTTTCGATCCCTGAGACGTGATCGTCGTAGACTCTTAGGTAGCGAATAGACCACGCATGTTGTTCGGGAAGTTGTGTGTTCTTAAAACAAGAGCTGGACCATGCGTCTTGTGCTAGCTCGACAGGCGTACTGCCTGTTGCGTTCTCGCGGTACAGAAGATCGGGACGACGGGCGAACATCATCTTCAGCACGGTTGGGAGCTGGTTGCGTACGGCGAAGTGCACGGGAGAGTTCCCTGAGCCATCGAGAATACCGAGGTCTTCGTTTTCTGGCCCTGCGAGGTCAAGCAGCGCGTTGAGAATCAGGTGGTTTTCTGTGATGCAGTCCTTACTCTGGGAGACTATCGGCTGGACGTAAGGTTCGAAGGGTTCGTTTGTTTCTCGAAGATTACTACACTTGTACAACCAGAGCGTAAGCGGAGTCAGGGAGCCAGGGTCAGCGATGTTAGACCGCTCGGTCAGCATGGATGGGAGGAGTCGCTTGTCGATGAGACTGAGCATCTCTTGGAAGCCAGTAGTGAACGCAGAGATGCTGAAGCCATTCCCGGCAAGTAATAGATGGAGCAGGTTGCTACCGTTGTAGTCCCGGATACTTTGGTCAGCGCCAGCAGCGACAAGAACTTTCGCTATAGCGGTCCGCTGTAACATGAAAGCCAAAGATAGCGGAGTGTATCCATCGACCGATCGAACCTCCAACAAGTCGGCATTCTGTCTCAAAAGATAAGACACTAGTTGCTCACTCGCCTCTGACGGTTCTGCCATGACAGCACAATGGAGCACAAGATTACTTCTTGAGTCTAGCCAATCCGAAATCGCTCTGTCGAAACCTCCCTGAGCTTGTGCCAGTCTCTGAAGCATACTATCATCCTTATTCGCATCCGCATAGTAGTTATAATGTCGTAAGGGCGACGTACTGGAAAAGTACTCCACAGAATCGATATTCGAGTGGTAGGCAGCAAGTAGAAGCGGCGAGTCCTTGTGTTGAGGACGTACGCTCATGTTTCGGCCTGCATCTGCCCAGTCTTTGCGTTTCTTCCCATGAATGGTGAGTCCTTGGTAGTATTTCGGCTTCTCCTTGGATGGCACACCAGATTTATCTACGATGACTTCCAATGGAATACCTACACCGGTCTGTCTTATCATATGGGACAGCAGGCGAGTTCGTCCTTTCCATATGGCACGTAGAAAGTGGTATTCATCGATCTTCAAGCCAGAAGATGGACTGAACTCAGACCCTAGTTCGAAAGCGGTCTCAAGCAATTCCAGGTCATCGGCCTCCACAGCGAGCGATATGATATCCACTATGTCATTGTCTTCGGGATCAGTATCTCTGAGCTTGGCATAGGTCAAGAAATCACTGCCGTCGTTCCCAAAACAACCCAAGGGAAATTTCCATAATAGCATTGTATTTGGTGCGACATTACTCTTGACTTGATTCGCAAGTTCCTGGACTATATCGACCGTGAAGCGCTCGTCAACGATCTCAGAGTCTAAAGAAAACGATTAGACGCGTGGATGATACACCGGGCTGTGTACTTACAAATCTGTATCTCGTCGTCATCACTTTCGCCTTCGTTTTCGCAAGTATCTGCTGGATTCATACTATAACGAGCACGGGCGTCTACTTCCCGTGGTGAGTATTGAGCGCGTGCGATTTCAAGAATTGCCTTGGCAGTACTAAAGTGACCACGGAAGAAAGCCAGTGAGAATGGGCTGTAGCCTAAGTTGTCAGTCACGGCTATATTTAGAGGTTGGAACTCCTTCTTCGGACCCCAAGCCGCCAGGGTCAGTTTCTTGATACAAGCTAGATCGCCAATGGCAGCGGCATCGAAACTGTAGACCAGGTAAGCATTATCGTCAGAGATTATTCTTAATAGCCTCAACTTACAGGTCAAGATAAGCCTCTTTAGTTGAGTCGTTGAGATCTGGTAAATCGAAAGTGAACCTGAGTTCAAACGCGGCTGCATTCTCGTACGTATGTTCCGAATCGGAATAGTTGTATTGCTTCTGAGGTTTCTTGATATTGGGATACAAGTCATAAAATTGCTTTGCGCCGTTTCGCACCAGTTCGGCATCGAGAGTCTCAAAAGCATCAATCATCTTGGCGATAGCGGCCTGTTTCTCTCTGACTCCTTGACGATCATGCCATTCCGTTAACTTCCTTTGGCACTCGCTGAGATCTCGGTCGTAGGCTTCTCTTGCCTTTTGTATTTTACGTTTGGCCATCCAGAGGCGGTAAGGACCGTCTTTCAGGTTATCAAGATATCGCGCGTCTTCGTATGGCTCAGGCATGATAGGTTTCCAGTTTGGCGCTACTTCTTCGTACCCCTTGAGAGCTTTTAACCTTTGTCTTACGCGATCCAGGACCGTCTCCCCATTACGATGGTCTCTGTACTTGTCATTGGCCTTCACGAGGTAGCCGCTGGGGGTAGGTGTGTTGGGATCCGCGCCATGTCGTAGTAGCCCGAGAGCAATCTCTGGTAGATCTGACTGGACTGCTTGGATGATTGGCTGCGAGAAAGATTGACCATAATCCGCCATATTTTGCTCATTAGATCTATTTGCAACTTCCTGGAACTTCAGCATGACAGATTTGATATAGTCAGCAAACTCGATGCGAGGATTCGCTCCCCCAGCAAGTAATTTGAGTGCACCTAAGGTGCTCTTACCTATGATAGCGGTCATGAGTGGAGAATAAGCTGATGGGCTCCGTGTCGACCCTTCCACAGCAAGATGATTTATTGCACGTGAGACGGCTGGCCCGTCTTCATCGAACAAGACCTGCAGAAGCTCTGGCTGTTTGACGGAATAGGCATGCAATGATGTTGCTTGATTTAGATCCGCCTGAGCTGCAGAAGCCCCTAGTTTGATCAACGCAGTGGCCATCTCTTTGGGGTTCGGAGAAGCCAATGCTAGGACTAATAGCAGGATCGCACCTTCTGGAGATCTGTCGTAGTCGTTGAGCAATTTGATAGGCAGGAGGACGTCAGCACCGAATGACCCAATAAGCTCTTTGACAACTTCGACATGCCCACCGATGACTGCGAAGTGTAGTGGCGACGCATTCGAATCCCATGCGAGCACGTCCACATTGTAGATATCTGGGTCCTCCCTGCTCTCCTCGTCTAGCAAGTTGTCGACTTTAGAAGTATCTGGTCTGACTTTGACGAATGAACCAGTAGTGAGTGAAATCTCATCCTCATCATCTGTATCTAGATCTTCCTCGTCGTCATCTATGACTTCGGTCTCACTCATTCCTGGATCCTCGGATCTGGCCTTCTCGAGTTTAGCAGTCACTCTTGCTTTCAATGCTGCCGCACGACGTTGCTCTGATCCAATTGCTTCTTCCTCTGCGTTTAATTCGCTTCTAAGAAGTAGGGTCTTGACGATCTCTGCATTGCCTCTGGCAGCCGCGAGATGGAGTGCGGTGCGGCCATCAGCAAGTCTGGATATCATGCGCGCTCCGTTGTCGACCAGACACTTCACAATCTCGGGACTCGACAACATACATGCAAGGTGAAGAGGAGTTCGCCCAGTAATATCGCGTCTGTTTGGGTCAGCGTCCTCCTGCTTCAACCAATCCCGGACATGCTCCAGGTCGCAGTCCACGATCGCTTGACACAAGCGGGCGGTATTGCCAACATAGGCCATCTCAGTCCAGTCGGTATTCGTAATCGGATTGAAGCTTCCAATAGCCTGTCGTCCTGGGTTATCTTTGATGAACTCAATGTCACCAGACACGTATATATTGCTCTCCTCTTGGGCAACCTCTTCTTCTTCCAAGGTCGCAGGCTTCGGACAGCATCCACAGCAGTCGCCAACGATGTCATGGATCGAGCCGACGAACGCTGGGTCTGTCCAAGTGTCAGCAACAAGATTGTACGGATGTTTGAGACTACATACGGCGATGCAAGTTGACCTCTCGGTCCTTCTTGTTCCACTCAGCATTGAGAAGCAGGTCTTTGGTATAGAGCAACTTCTCTATCTTCTTCGCGTGAAATTTCTCCCCGTACGGAATCGTAAACGTATGGTAGTTGCTGACTTCATCCTGTTCGAACCATTCGGCCACTTCATCGTCATACTGGTCTTTGATATTGCCGTGCATAGTATATCTGAATCTGGTGTTGCGATTGATCTGAGGCCTCCCGCGCTCTCTGCGGCGCTGGTCAATGTAAGCATCACGTTCGCTGGAATTCGGCAGTTTCTCAAGTATCAAGAGGCGAGCTAAACCAACGCTACGCTTAAAGGACCTTTCGAATATAGTCTGTATGCAAATGTCAGCGAAATGGAGGGTTGACTCGAGCTCGCCGGAATCGCAACGGATGGAGAGAACTCCTCGCCAAAGGATCTAGTCCTTGAGCAGCTCAAATAAAGCTAAAAGACTCGCTTTAAAGAAAGTCACGTACGGGGTCAATGCGTTGCCTGTCGAGGTCCGAAAACATGATCTCAAATCCACGACGTGAATATTTCGAAAGTCGGTTTTCATAAGACGGCGAGCGTCTAGAAATATCGATATGATTAGTCTGCGTGATATACGCAGCAACAGCCCTCGGCGCAAGCCATATCTGTTTTCCGTCGTATGCAGCGCAGCTATAACAATGTCAATATGTGTTGATACCTATTAGTTAGATTGCTTGTTGGACTTTGACTTACCTGCAATCGACTATCAAGCTGTTAGCGGCTATTGACCTGATTAATCAAGGGTACGATGACTTACCATCAAATCCCGTCAAGATCTCGGCGATTGACTTGTAAATGCGTAGCACGATCTGGACGTGACGCGTTGGATAGCGAGAAACGATTGTGATGGCGTTCTTGGTTCGTATAGTGGCTTCGTGGTCGTCATTAGCGTATTCAGTTCGACAAACGGAGTCACGAAACTGGCGGGCTGAGTGATTCAGACAGGGGACTCGACTTACTCGTCTCTTCAAGGATAGAATCACGAATACTTTGCTCGATCTGTTTGATCTTCTCAACAGCTTGGTATTCAGTAAGATCATACAAGAACAAGTCAACGTCAGACGCGGGCGCCAGTTGCTCATGATAGTACGTCCTCAGGCCTCTCTTCGAGCCTCTATACGCATCTGGAACCGGCAGAAGCGAGGATACCACAGAGCTCCCTGCCGCTACTACATTATTCCAGTCTAGAGCCGACAGCGAGCTCTCCGAGAATAGGTTAAAGTTGGTCTGGAATTCCTTGAGATTATCGACCAGCGCAGGACTTCCACTCGGTTTGCGAAGATCATCTGCAAGTGGCATGATGTACTTCTGCCGGACATTTTCGGACTCCCTGGCAATATCACGGGCACGGATCTTTATGTCTGCTCTTCTCTTCTCCGTATAAACGGGGACGACGTTGACATGGTTGTCTTTGATTGCGGGATGCGATGGCTCCTGGGCAAATATCTCTCGAAGAACGGAGTCGTACGCTTTGTACGGCTGGAGCAACTTGATCATAGGGACATCAGGGTTTTTGTCAACATAGAAGAGGAAGTCTGAGTGCGGCGCTGGCAGAGCCGGAAGCTCACGTGGCTTATGCATTATAGCCATTGCGTCTGGTCGGCTGTGATGGCAGGGGGTGAGGTCTGAGTAGAAATGATTGATGCCGGAGACAGTGAACAGTGAACCAATGAAAGATATCTCGACTTGGAAAGGTAAGTAAGGAAATCTAAAGAGACAGTAAAGGAGATTCGTGACCGCTTTTAAACACGCAAGATATGTATAATGGAAGTGAGTGAGCCATCTCGGGGCCTGGCGCTAGTACCGTTCGAGACGCGTGTCGAGCGCGACGGAGGCATCAAGCAGCGTGGACATTTGGAAAGAGATCGACCCCAGCCGATGCTCCATAGACCTTGCGTTGTGTGGATCAGCGACAGGGGCCTTGACATACTTCTGCCTATTGTCGCTAAGATATTCTCGCGATGTCTCAAAGGTATGAATCGATGCCTCAGGCGCCAGTTACAGCCTACGAGGCAGAACAAGAGTCATAGTAGAGTACATCCATGGCGTGGTGCGAGTATACGCAAAGCTCCAGCAGCACAATGGACCAATGAAGATGGCATCGTATCAGCGAACAGGCTGTAGGATGAACTATCGTGCGTTGGTTGCAAATCCATCAGAACAGGTGTGAATCTGTATAGTTCAGGACCCAAAAAGGACAATTCAAGGGTTTCCTTGCGGTCCAGCTGAGCCAAGGCACGACATTCTGGTCCGTTCTTGTCGCTCATCAGGCGAGATAATCCATGGAAAAAGCCACTAAGCTCAATTTGAACGTGTCGCTTCGCCTGCTTATTACAAACAAATGCAACAATCGCGAAACTTTGACTAATTACTATGAAAGCACGCTGATGCCCGTCTGGAGAATCACTCATCGTCTGATTCCATGACACTACTACCACCGCCTTGGTTTGCGAACCACGTCAAAGCCGATGGCTTCTCATCAAACTCGATAGTGACCTCCTCCTCGGCTGCAGGGTCTTCAGGCCGATTAATGATAACATTGTTCATCTCCTTTTCGCCTTCCTTGCCAGCAACTGTCTCAATGCTCGAAGATGTCAATTTCTCATCAGGTGTGTCCGACTCAGCTGCCATCGGCGCCTTGTCAAGCCCGATGGAAAAGTTGTCCATCAAATCTACCAGGTCATCAAATGCCGAGGGCGTTCTTGAAGTATTTGCCAGAACGTTTGAGGTTGGTGTTGTTGAGTAAACACTGGGAAAGGCATATTCCCTCTGCTGCATAAACACCTCGTTATCCACCTCGTTCTTGTAGGAAGCTTGGAGTGCAGCCTCAACATCCTCCTGTGGTTCCCAGTGATCTCGCTCCGGTGCCACAGAGGATTTACTATGACCTTGTGCTACGCGGAAGCTATGCACTCTATTCTTCACCGCGTTGATGATTCCGGCATTCTTTTGTGTGAATTGGTCGATATCCATGCTCTGTCCAACTCTCTCGGCATCTTCAAACAGCTCCAACTTATCGCCGCGATGAGTGATACCCTGAGCAGTCTCAAGATCATCACTGATAATAGTTGGTGTCGCCTGCATCTTGTTATGTGGATGACGACGTCTTGCACCCTGGTGTGCTGTCACCGACGCCTGTATTCTATGCTGACCAGCGGTCGCAATGAGTCCCATTTCTTTGTAGAATATCCATGGAAAGCTCATCAGTGGCATGCGTATGTCCGAGGTCTTCTCATCTGATAGGTCGGTTGGATCGGAGACTGCATTAGCTTTCCGCTCGGCAAGAGCCATTTCCACTTCCCTCGCAGTTACTGTATACATGGCTGCAACAAATACGCCAAGCTGCTCAAAGCTTTTTCCACCTGCTTTCTCGATGCAACGTTCTGCATAGTGTTGTCTTAGCGCACTAATGCTGCTACCGATTTCTTCGTGGAATTGGTAATCTTTACCAGCGTTGTGGGACAAAACAAATGTTGACCACACTTCGAACTCAGTAGCGATAGCATACTGTGCCATAAGTCTACGAATCGCTTTATCGTATCCATTTTTGATGTCAGCGGCGTCTTTGAGTATGCTCTCAGTCAAGCTATATGCTTCGAGTACCCTTTTGTCAAAAGGCTCATCGTAAAAGGGATGAAAGTCCTCTCGCTGGACCTGGTCGTATAGTTGACCCAGGATCTTTTTTGATGTATAGACACTCTTGTTGCCAAATTTAGGCCTCATAAAGTGTGGCTTACTTGGAGGTCGAAGCTCTCTGTTCATCCTGGCAGGAATACCTGATTTCGGGAAGTCGACAGCACAGGAGTGAAGCTCCGCCAGCTTTAGGCAGGTTTTGCTCCTGATTCCATCTTCAAGCCGATCAGCCTGAGCTAAATGTGCTGTAGCAATAGTACCAAGTTGATCATTCCGGATGTAGTTTACGAAGAATGACGACATGTCATCAATGGTAACCTTGTTTTTCTCAATCCCTTTCGGAGCAGTGAAATCCATTGGGGGATGATTTATCTCCTGAGGTATGAGCTCTTCATCCCAAATGATCATGTAGTCGTCACCATCGAGGTCACCACCAGAACACATATTCGCGATATCACGGTCGCCAGTTTGGGGTAAAACCACGACGTTCTTCAGATGATGGAGCGCGGCTTTGTCTCTAGCCACGACAATGCGAATATCTCCAGGGTGTAATGAAGGATTTCGTGCAAGAACACAGACGCCCTCAATGACCTTGTAGCTATTTTCATGTTTGATTTGAAGGAAGATCTCTGGTAAACTGGCTAATCTGTCATTCCGCGTTGTGTTTAGATCGTTTGATTGTTGGTCCTCGTAGTGACCTTGCAGTTCACCTGTCTCGTCCACACATCCGAACAGGAATGCACTCTTGGTGACCTTTATCTGTGCCTTCTCTTTGAGATTCTTCAATCTCCAAGTCCTCCACAGCTGTAGTACAGACAGAGTAAATGGGTCTTTATACTGCATGAAGCCGTCTCGGATGATGCTTGCCAGTGTCGTGGTCATATGATTGAAGTCAATAAAGTGTTCTAGTTGATCCAGGGCCGTTGACTCCTCGATCATTGCCTCGTCCAGCTTTTCAAGTTCTGTCTTCATTTTGTTGACAAAGACACTGTCTGGAACTCCAAGATTTGAGAGAACCATGATGACTTGGCGGTTGAGCTGAGCTGTCACATAGTCGGAGACCCTGATGATCTCCAGCCCCGAGTGATTAGCAGGAAACTTGTACTGGCTACGTCGGATGACGATCTCCTTCGTTTTCAGACCGTGGGCCAACACCAGGACACCTTTGCAGCCTCCTAGACGGAATTGGACGAGGGAAGGTGGATCCCCATCGCAGTCTAGTGGAACACCCCAGTCTGTGGCTACCGCCATGAGAAGATACCTTGAGATCTTTCCAACTCCATCTGAGAATGTGTAGCCATTCCGCTGGATATCTTCCGCAGTACTGACCTCAATTGTGCCGCAGTTCATCGCACGAGTCGTAGAGAAGCACTGACCGATGCGTGCACAGTACTTTGCAACAACCTTGATGTCTTCAAAATCACCCATGTGCTCGCGCATCTTATCGGGATATACCTGATCATTGGGCGGCGAGAAAAAGTAGGCGCCATTCTCTCGGAATTGAGAGTTTCCGAATGCAAGAAACTCATAATGTCGACCTCCAATGTCTATTCCGTTCGTCATCGTGAGCTTCACACGGTTGAGAATTGCTGTAATTTTGCTGTCGTCCGTACTCTGCAACTTTCCCTCTGGGATCTCATCCATGAACTTTACCCGCAAGAATCTGTCCGAGAACTCTGAGTATTGTCTCACCACACGGTTCGAGATCTCTTGCGTAGGAGTTCCAATGTACATTGTCGTGGGGGTAATTATGGCATTGTGCATGAAAACATAATGTGAAGCTAGTTTCGGGGCTGATTTCCTCGGTACTGGAAGGCTGAAGATACTCATCGGATTGTAAAATCGAGAGTTAGCATCAGCCACTTTCACAAGAAGAGCTTTGGCGGTGGCCTTTGGCAACCCACTGATCTGCACAAGAAAATCTCGATCGATGTTATGGTCGCACAGCTTGCCCTTACTGATGCAGACTTCCAACTGGTAGCGTACTGAGAAGTCTAAGGGGGCGAGGTCAGACCCGAGGTGCTCCAATGCCGTAAGCTGGAGGTTACTGGCGCTCTCAGCTTCCTCAAGCAGGCTCCAAAATTTTGATTCTTGTCTCGGGTGAAGAATTCCATCTGGATTAGGGATGATTCTAACGTTGTAGTCGGTAAGCGCACGGAGAATGGGTTTGTAGTTGACGAGGTCATTGGCGCTTCGTTCAAATACGAGTCTGTAAGTGGTCCAGCGGCCTGAGTAGATTGATGTTAGGTCTTATTCACGTGTCTTACACTTAGGATGCACTGACCAGTGTCGATGATAGAACTATTTCTGTGTAGTGTCGTGGGACTTCGCATCATCTCTCGCCGCTCTTTATCGTGTTCAATGTGGGTCTGTCGAATCCATGTCTGCCAGTCGCTCCATCTTCTTCCGTCGCCCTCTGCAAAGCTCTCTTCTACGTTAGGGTTTCGGCGAAAGTATTTGGGTGGCGATTCCAGGTGTATACGTAGAGCGCGATCATCTGAGTCGCAACGTTCCTCGTATATCTGCTCGAGTTGAAACAAAGGTATTCGGAACTTGAAGTCTGTCTGTTGACTGGAGGGGTTTTTGATCTGGTCTTCGGTCTCTGTGTATGTCATGGTAAGAGAGAAGGACACCTCCACAAACTTCAAGTACAAATCCAATTTGAACGTTATCTTTGACTTCTGGCCAGGCTTCACAGTTCTCATTACCATCATCGATCTTTCGTCGAACATGAAGCCGAACTCGACAGACTTCGCTGATAGTGTCTAAGTTTGTGTTTGTCAGCGCATGTGAAGACGCTATGCATATCTGGATTGTACTTACCATCTTCTCTGGGTACCGCTGATTGGGATCGATCGGGCTCGGTTGCGTCCGGGAATTTGTCCGCATCAAATCGATGCCTAAGGAGTGCCCAGGTAGAATTCGTTTTTTCTCATTCCAGAATGGACGGTTCGGCGGAGGGCTATATCGAGGGTTAAAAACACCTTCACTTAAGTCGGTAGCAACTCACCAAAACGTTACAATTGCTGTTCTTGGAGAGCTCTCGACCTCTATACGTGATATGTGTCCATACGCATGGAACATACGATAAATAGTCTTAGGAACTGCGGGCTGGGGCACGTTCGTTACCCTCACCTTCACCTCTTCATTCTGCTGCCATTCGTAACGAGGTGCCCGAATTCCCCCATTGTGTCTGGCCCAATCGCTCTGTCTCACAGCTTCTCTTTGCGCTTCGGGCGATCTGACGCGCCGGTCATTGAGACTTTGTACAATGCTTGTATCTCGTTCTCTGGATGCAATGGCAGGCTTTGAAGGTGGAGATAGACTAGAAAGCCCGGCTACTGCGCATTGCTGTGGGGAATCGCGTGCTGAGGGTGCCGTATTAAATGCTTGCGCTCTGTCCACGGCGATCTGTGGCTCAGAATCGAGAAGCCATGACATTACGGATGGGCTCTGCGTGTAGCTCATTTTTTGTGGCTTGGATGGCCCAGAACTCGATTGCGGTCTGCTCGCGGACGACATGAATTGAGGTGCGAGAAGCGCTGCGTTCCAGAGTATCGGTCATTCGGTTCGCTTACGTAGATCGAAGAAGATTAAGATTAAGTATTGACTGGCAGTAACGGCGGATAAATGATCGACAAAAGTAAGTGAGAAGTTGCGTAGATACACCCAAGTTTGGAAGGTTTTGGTGCTCCAAGGCAAGTGACTTTGCCGCGCTGGTCGCCGCTGCCGGGTTGGTTTAACTTGAGCGTGACAAGGTTGACAGATGCTAAATTTCAGGAACGAGCCATTGTTATAGAGCTTGGCAAGCGGAAACAATGTGAAGGATCTGCAGGTGTTCACCCTCAGCTGTGTCACCATCATAAAAAATAGAATTACGTCCGATCAACGCGGAAATCAAGAAACAAAGCAATAAGATCTCGTAGGATCAAGAAATATCAAAATGCGCGGGCATAAATTGAGAACCATTTTGGTTGCTGTCAAATATGAGACCTAGAGTCATGCTAGCAGTCCCAGAAAAGCAAACGGGCAGGCCAAATCTACAATTCATCCACGTCGACAGTCTCATTGTCTTGTTGTTCACCTACCTCATTCATGGCATTATTTCTGCCAAGACGTGGAGTCAAAGGCGTGCTTGTGAACACATTGCTTGTATCAAATGAAGTGATCTCCATGACTGGAAGCATCTTGCGCAGCTGTTTGCCCGAATTCTGTGACATATTGCTCTTGAACAGATCGTCCGAAGGTCGTAAGGCTGCACGTACAGGTGACATATTTCCGCGACCGGTGGAGACATCAAATAAGGCTTGTCGAAGAGGAATTGTGGAAAGCCTGCCTGGCTGTGTGATGATATTGACACTTACAGATGGAGGAGTCCTGGATGGAGACCCTTCGGCCGAGTCCTCATCTACTTCACATTGCCTCGTAACATTCAATAGAGAGCGCCGTGCCCTTGGGGTGTTAGGGTTCTGCCTTCGGATCAGTGGCACACGAAAGCTTTTGCGCGGCTTTGCTCGCTTTGGGGTTGGTCCATCTTTCGAAGAGCTAGATCCAAAAGATGTGTTCATGTCTGTAAGCTGAGACACGTCCGGCGCTGTAGTAGATGTCCGCGGCGCCTTGATTGGTGTGCTACGTGCGGCTCTTTTCGGGTGCTTTGCCTTCTGTTCCACCAAAACATCCGCACCAGGCCCGCCCTTCACACCAGGCATCATGGACACGAGTTGTTGTTGCCAGGCTTTATATTGAAAGATCTCAGCGTCCTTTGAGGCACATGTTTGATCCAGTTCCACGATGTGTAGCCTGAGATTCTCAATCTCAGAAGAATGCTGTTCGATTTCCTCCGCTAGGTTTCTCCGCTCCTCCTCAAATTTGGATTTGGCGTGGTTGAATTCAGAGGTTTCCTGATCCAGTCGGCATTGTATGTCGTCAAGATGTTCTTCATATTCAAGCTCTTTACATCGCAACTCTGCCGTTGCCTGTGCATTAGCTTCCTTCGACAATCGGTCTTGGTCGGCTAATTGTTCCCGTAGTTTATCTGCTTCTGCAGAAACCTCATCAAGGCTGGAGCGAGCGTGGCCCAATTCAGCGCTTATGATTTGCTCACGACCCTTAATTACTAAGATCTCCTTGTCCTTGTGTGCACAACAATCAATAGTATGCTGGAGTTTCTCACGTGACTTTTCCAGTTCTGCTTCAAGAGTAGCCATTGCTTCCAGCTTTTCACTGAAATCAGCCCGAAGTATTTCCAATACTGAGTTGTCTTCCGAGATTTTTTCTTTCAAGTTCACTATCTCTGTTCTCTGCTCCTGGACGAGGTCTGCTTTCGATGACACTGTGACTCGAAGATCTGTAACTTCGGCATCGAGAGCTTCCTGGGCGGTGAGCAGGTTGGTATGACCAGCTTCAGCCTTCTTCAACTCATTCTGTATGGCTTCTATCGTGCCAGACAAAGTGTTGTTTTCCGACGCAAGGTCCCGCACGACAGCCTCGACATCTTGTAGTTCAGACTCAAGGCCAGAGACAACAAAGGTCTTGTCGTTCACCTCGGTACTGAGCTCCTTTAATCTAAATTCTAGAGCATTGCATTTGTCCGCAAGCTCTTTGCTATGTGCTTGTTCATTTCTCAACGGTTGCTCCGAGAGCTCACAACGTTGTTCCAAATCACGACAAATTTGCGCGATTGTTTGTAGCATGTTTTTCTGCTGGGATGAATTGTGGAGTTCTAGCTCTCGAGCAATCTTCGACCTCCAGTCCTCATCTTCAAGGTTCAGTTGAGTACACTCCTGCTCTATGATGCACAATAAGCTCTTCTGACTTTGTTGAGCCATTTTCGCGTGAGTACAGGGGAAGTGAATGTTCTCAAGGCGGTGCTGCATGCGAAGAAGTTCGGACCATACTGAGCTCCTTGCATCTGCGTTATCTTTGAAATGATAGAGCCTCCCTCTCAATAGCATAGTTGACACGCTGATGGCCGTAGAGCGCTGAAGATTGTTCATTGCCGACGAGCAATGACTGACCGCTTCAGGGATGGATGATCCAGTATCAGGGAGAACCTCCAAAAACTCTCTGAGCTCTTTATGGACCTTCCCAGAACCAAGTGTGGAGACGATCGAATCACTGAACGCCGAGGAATGGGGCAGTGAGTCAGCGATGACTTTGGCGATAGACCGGGCGCGCAACAGATGTACCGAGTTCGAGGGTTTCGTGGATGTTACCAAAAGACTAGACATTAAAGCCGTTATCGATATGTCGTCTAGCAATTTCTACCACTATTAGCGCCTTCCGCATCTGTGGCGTCAGATAGACTTACAGAGTACCTGGTCAAGGCTTGAGTCAACCAAGAAAAACTGATCTCTAGGCTGATCATCAAGTTTCGGAACAGATCACGAAATTGACGGGTGATCTCAGCTGGAAGGTGATCTGCATCAACGAGGCACGATATATATGCGATTGCCTATAGCTATTAGTTTCAGTAAAAAGTTTCATCGAATTGTGCTCACCTCGCCTTGTAGAGATGCGCCCAATGTAGGCTTTGCCACATATTGCAATAGCTTTGAGAGAATTTGGTCACTGTTCTGTGTCCTTTGTGCGCTCCAATCTTTCGTGCGTTCTTCACCTATCGTGGCAATCACCCTCCTAGCGGCCTGAACTCGTGCAATCGAATCTGCAGTAGAGGATGAATCACCCTTGCAAGCATCAATTACATTAGAATTGATCAGGTCAATCTGCTTCAATGCATTCGCTCCGTGGAACAGCATGGTAGCTATAGTCTTCTCAGAGTTGGATGTAGTACATTCATTCCGCGATAGGAGACACAGGAGGTCTACCGCGAAAAGATCGAACCTGCGATTCTCTGGCGTGGGTGGCTTCTTCATTTGCAGGATTCGCTTCACATTGCGCTCGAATTGTGTAACGAGATTGGCTGGTAGAAGAGCGGGTAAGGAAAAACATGCACCACGCGTAAGTGTGTGGGCTCTACGCAGATTCTCGAATGTAGGCGAACTGGCAAGATTATGGAAAACTTGCACAAAGAAATCATGCGCCGATGCTGGTAAAGCTATAGTTGGAGGTAGTATCTCTGACAGCAGTAATATGCAGATGTGGGAGTACTGCAGCCATCAGTGTTTGATACCTCGCGGCAGTGGCGTATGACCCACTCGATCAAAATCCGGTGCAGAGAACACGGCTTTCTGCACGAAAGCATCAAGAAACGAGGAATGCTGCCTCAGGAACGTCTGTAGGAAGCTCGCAGCATGTACTAATGCAGCAGTGATCAGCATGACATTCCATATTTCTAGCAGATTGGTCCTTCTTACAGAGCCTCTGTAATAAGTCCAGCGCGAATGGCCACAACGAGAGAGCGTCAGACACAGCGATAGCAAGCCTCGACAGCTGGCACGGGTTGTTGTAAGCCCATATCTGAAGTGTCTCAGTGTCTACCCTGGTGACAAGATTATGAAGTTTCTATACGGCCAATGCAGTGATCAGCAGTCGTTTCATAGACCATGAGAGATAGATCAAGGTCTGGCATGGAATGGGATTTGAATGGGATTTGAATACCTTGAGCGACACGGGATACGGTGACATGATGATCCGGTCAACTTCATCCCGCAATTGCTGCTCAATGGCTGGATCACCCGTAATGGACATGGTGACAAGATCTGTTAATTATTGAAAAGATGATGCAGGTGTTGTTGAAGCATCAAAGTGAAATTGTTTTAATGTTTTGTTCCTGTTCCCCCCAGCAACGCGCCTTCGTCCCGACTGGCCTCAACCTCAGAACTTCCTGCCTGCACTGAAAACCTCATCGCATCCACGATCACACACAGTACACAATCTCGTTTCAACGCCTATTCAGGTCACGGTAGCGCAGTCCTCTTCAGCTGCAATTCTTACTCGAACCTAAGCTACTTGGCATCGTAGTAGCCCAGTAAAACCTGGAGTGGCTTTTTCGCCCGCTAGACTTCCTGTGGCAACACCGAGGGCGTTTCAGCATGGGACGACTATGTGTGATGTAGCGAGCTTTTCGCACGCCACACGAAGCATAATACTCCATCAGAGCTAGGGAGCCTAGCTGCGGCGACGACATTTGGTCATAGCCAATACGTGATCACATCTCACTCTACATCACAACATTACCAAGGTGGCGAAGAGACGATGGACTAGCTGCAGACCATACAGCGCACTTAATCTCCTCACCGCTAGATGGCGGATTCTAAAGTCGAGACTAAGGTTGAGTCCAACGTCAGACTGATCATCCAAGTCATGAAAGCACTAACTGTTACAATTTTGAGTCCGGGGGTGGATCCGGAGAGATGGGAATCCGTCTCCGCATTGTGTAGCCCTGCGGAGCAGCTGACGACCTGCTTGACTGGGCACACACTCACTTACTGTAGGTTGACCATCAGATGGGCGCCATGGGCAGGCAGCAGTGCATTCTTCCTCGCAGAGCCGCCCTGTTCCCTGTCGACTGTTTACTGTCGGCACACGCTCTACACAGCTCTGGCACCAGCCTCTCAGGTTACGCTCAATCGCCAATGCATTGCATCCCTGCAGGTTCTGTCGGAACAAGAGCCGGACCGCCGATATCTGGACCGCTGCATTAATATGATTAACCAGAGTATATGACATGACGGTAAGCTCCTCAATACCCATCTGGGCATAGGTCAGCTGTCAGCTATCTACTTACCTCCGTCGCCCGTCCATCATGCACCTTTTTCGTCCTCAAACAAGCGCTAGAAACGTGGGCCAACGTGGGAGGATTGAAGACGCCTAGATTTTGGGAACGTGAGCCTCACCTTCGGCACCCTCGACTTATCCCGTATCCTAGACACAGGGAGACAGGGGGTGAGGCAGAGAGGCGTCCTACTGTACTACATACCTGGGTATAACCCCGCCATTATCTTGACCTCAACGTTGAGCCCCACAGACATGTTACATGGTGATGTCTATACCAGTGTCGCGTTCAAAGCAGAAGCCGGATCATCATCAGCATCGTCACCGTCATCATCAGCATCGTCACCATCATCATCATCACAACCACCAGACACGCGATCATCGCTACGGAAGTGATTGTTTTGTCGCCGTAGCCGTAATCGCTTCGTTCTCCACCACCACCAACACTGTCCGTATCGTCGGCCAGTGCCGCTTCGCAAAGGCGATTCGCCGTCTCTCTTGTCTCTCTGGCCGCTTCTGCAACGGTCGAGCAATCATCACACAGAATACCTAGCACAGTGGCCGATCATGTAGGCGTTCCCCGCAAAGGTTGGCCTCGACATGTACCGCTTGCCCCTCCCCTTACATCCATCCCGTCCTCAGTCGATCATGCACAATGCAGCCCTTTTTGCTCCTGCATGCGAAAGAAGTCGCTATCGATGGTCGGCTGTTCGCTCGGATGTCCCTAGGTAGGTCGCTCAACATGCAAGCCTGCGCCTCATCTCATCATACGTGGTTCCTAGACGCAATACGCTCACGGCTAGTCGAAGCTGCTCCTCCTGCACCATTATTGCCAATAGGATCCCTGTCAGTCCTTCCCTAAGGTGCCATTCAGCCTACGGACAGATATCCTGGATTCGTATCTCGCCGACGTGCCTGATTCTGGTGCTGGTGTTGGTGCTGATGCTGGTTTTGAGCTGGCGTAGTTCCCGTTTGCGTAATATCTATTTGCTGCACCTAGTCATTATTGCACAGAGCGGTGCGCCAACAGCGTCTACTCTCCCTTTCCCTACTTCTTGACTCTGACAAACACTGGATCCCCACCACCATACAAAAGCTGTCATGAGCCCCGCTGCCTTATCTGTCTACTCCACCTCTACAGGCCTTTTGACTTGCCGCAATCTAATGGCGCCTTTAAGTCTCTGGCAGGGCTCAGCTATATCACCATTGCTCCGGTCGCCAAAGCGTTATATCGATTGCAGGTAGATCTTCTCCAACTTGATCACCATGTTCCGCTCGGCGCGGATTATGTCCCGACGCCTGCATACATCTCCTGTAAAGTGGGGCTTCTCCGGAACACGCGACGGCCAGCATAGCAACGTACTATCACAAAAGTCTTTCTGGACCGCTAGCCGCGTATTACTGTTCACCTCATTCACAGCTTCATTGACATACGCCTACGGTCTTAGTGATACCAGCCCCCATTTTCATATTCCATGGCTTAGTGCGGCGAAGCCACGATATGGCAACAAAAAGCAGATGGAAATGGTAGATATTGCCCAAGACTTAGCAGAACAGCTTCATTGATTTCTTTAGGCAGTTGAAGAGCTTCGATCGGTCTTAGGTGCAGATGCCGTCAGTACCGACGATGACGATCTATTATTGCACGGATATTCAGAATGGTCATCAATCAATATCGATCAATTGCCAGTCGCCGTGGTATACCCGAAATCCACAGAGGAGGTCTCGCGGCTTGCCAAAGTATGCCATAAGTACAGAGTTCCAATGAGTATGTAGTATTGGCATACCCACGACAAACGATTGATTCTGGCTTTTAGTTCCGTATTCAGGCGGGTCTAGCCTAGAAGCAAATTTTTCTGCGCCGTATGGTGGTATGAGCGTGGACTTTGTTCACATGGATCAGATCGTGGCTTTACATGAAGACGAGTAAGATTTAACCATCAGCGGCGGCACAGAAAATAGTACTGAACTAGCTACAGTATGGATGTGGTTGTTCAGCCAGCGATGGCGTGGATGAACCTGAATGAACTCATCAAAGATTCCGGGCTTTTCTTCCCTGTTGATCCTGGGCCATCTGTGAGTTGGTGTTACTATGCTGAAGCTTGCAGAATAAATCTGATGATTTCCTAGGCTAGGATTGGAGGTATGGTAGGAACTAGCTGCAGGTGAGAAAGGATCTTGAGAAAGAGTTTTGCAACCTACTAACAAATCGCAGTGGAACAAACGCTGTCCGTTACGGTACCATGAAGGACTGGGTTATAAATCTAACCGTCGTGTTAGCTGACGGTACCGTCATAAAGACGCGGCAACGTCCCAGGTCAGCACCTTCCTAAACATGCCAGGCTCGACGTTTTACTTACAACAGTAAAGAAAATCATCTGCAGGATACAATCTGACCAGTCTATTCATTGGATCAGAAGGAACATTAGGTTTTGTTACTGAAATCACGCTCAAGCTTGCCGTCGTACCACAGGAGACAAGCGTTGCGGTCGTCACGTTTCCGACAATACGTGACGCGGCGGCAGCAGCTTCTAAGGTTATGCGATCAGGGATCCCTGTGGCGGCAATGGAGTTGATGGACGAAGTACAAATGTCTGTTATCAACAAGACTGGCTCAACAACGAAAAAGTGGAGAGAAGAGCCTACAATGTTCTTCAAGTATGTGTTCGGCTCCTTGATAGATGCCACCGACTCACTCCAAACAGGTTCTCAGGAACGAAACAAGGAGTATGCATGCCCTTACTTCCAGGGAACTGGCAAACATCTAACCAGCTCATAGGTACAGGAAAACATCAGAGCAGTGAAATCTATATCTAAGCAGCACAAGAGCGCCGAGTTTGAGTTTGCTATGACTCCCGAAGAGCAAAAAACTCTCTGGTCAGCACGCAAAGAGGCTCTCTGGAGCATGCTCGCCCTGCGCAAAGATGAAGGCTCCGAAGTGTGGTCCACTGACGTGGCCGTTCCTCTTTCTCGCCTGCCCGACATCATAGGTACACCACCAGGTATCTACCGCACTTTATTAATCAGCTAACATGAGCACCTAGAAATTTCGAAGAAAGAGATGGATGATCTCGGCCTCTTCGCTAGTGTTCTTGGGCATATCGGCGACGGCAATTTCCATGAAAGCATCTTGTATAACAAGAACAATCCCAAGGAGCGCGCAGCTATCGAGCAGTGTGTCCAACGTATGGTGGATCGCGCATTGGAAATGGAAGGGACCTGCACCGGAGAGCACGGGATTGGTCTTGGGAAGAAGAAATCGCTGGTGAAAGAATTGGGCTTGGAAACCATTGAGGTCATGAAGAGCGTCAAGCATGCCCTTGATCCGTACTGGCTCATGAATCCCGGGAAGATCATGGACTTGCCAAATTAGATCGGAACTGTCGACCTCAAGGACAGTTTCAGTTTCCTTACCTATTCCCTGAGATGAGATGAGTATTTGCATAGGAACGGCTTTCTGACAGCATTTTGGGTCGCGATCAGCCTAGGTGACATTTCTAGCTGACTCCCGTTACATTGTGCTGGGTTCCCTTTAGATCTATGGTAAAAAGTCTCCGTTCACTTGAGACTAGATCTAAGATGGTTCCACAATATCAGTTGACAGAAAGATCATTCTTAGATCCACGGGCATAACGAATCTGAAATCGGCCTGTGTAGTATAGTAGTCACTCTGATGGATAAAGCCGATTGGCCAGCTGGTATTATTACATACATCTATCTATCGATAAAGAGCTCCCCGCCTTGCCCCACACTGTTGGTGTTACCCTTTTTTCCCCCTCCGATGACTGATGACTCTGCTGAACCCCGCACGCGTGTCTTTCGAACTTTCGACCCAATACTTGGAAAGGTAGGTACTTAAGGATATAAGATACAATTGAACTGGTACCAGCCAGAGATATCTTCTAAAACATGGACGCCGTATCATTCTCATCTAGCAAGCCGCAATTCCCCAAGAAGAAGTGCGGTGAGTGATACTGCAGTGTCCAATTAAACATGGCAGTTCTCAAACAAACTGATACGGTCTTATAGGTGTCCTTGGAGCAACAGGCTCTGTCGGCCAACGATTCATCCTTCTTCTTGCTTTACATCCTCACTTCACTCTTCATGCAGTGGGTGCCTCAGAGCGATCGGCAGACAAAAAGTACAAAGATGCGGTACGGTGGAAGCAGGCATTACCGATGTCGAAAGAACTGGGTGAGCTGGTAGTGAGGCGATGCACGCCAGAAGAATTCAAAGACTGCGACCTGGTATTCTCCGGGTTAGACAGCGATGTCGCAGGAGACGTTGGTATGTACAGGGCCGAGAAAATATGATTGTGACTTGTGCGCTGACTGTCAACGCGAGCAGAAATGGCATTTCTCAAAGCCGAACTCGCAGTTTTCTCCAATGCTAAGAACTATCGTCGCGATCCCCTCGTCCCTCTCGTCGTTCCGACCGTAAATCTTCCTCATCTCGACGTTCTCACGCACCAGCGCAAACACTATAATCTGAAGAAAGGCTTCTTAGTCTGTAACTCGAACTGTGCAGTCATAGGGCTCGTCATTCCATTCGCGGCACTACAGGCTAAATTCGGCCCGGTCGATTGTGTGAGCGTCGTCACCATGCAAGCCGTGTCGGGAGCAGGATATCCCGGTGTAAGCAGCATGGACATCATAGATAACGTAGTGCCATTAATATCTGGCGAGGAAGATAAGCTAGAAACTGAAGCACAGAAGATTCTAGGGAATGTCAACAGCGACATCACAGGGTTTGAGGACCAGAGAGATCTGCGGGTGAGTGCGGCGTGCAACAGGGTACCTGTGCTAGATGGCCACACCGCTTGCGTCAGTTTGAGATTTGCGAAGAGACCTCCTCCAAATGCGGATCAGGTCAAGGCTGCGATGCGGGAGTATGTGAGTGAGGCTCAGAAGCTAGGATGTCCGAGTGCGCCCAAGAATGCGATCGTAGTTATGGAGGAGCCCGATCGGCCTCAACCAAGATTAGACAGGGAAACCGACCGAGGCTATGCAGTCAGTGTAGGTCGCATCCGGGAAGATGAGAGTAGGATTTTCGATATCAAGTTTGTTGCGTTGAGTCATAACAGTAAGTCCCCAATCGACGATGCTTCAATATATACTTACTGGAGAGCAGCTGTCATTGGCGCTGCCGGGTCTTCAATATTGAATGCTGAAGCGGCTGTGCTCAAAGGATACGCGTAGATGAACTCTGGCAATTGCATGTGGATGAATTGGATTATTAGAATTATAGCATATAGATAAAAGCATAATACTAGTTGTTGAACTCTGAACTGTAGAGCAGGCCCGTCGGACGAGAGCTAGTGTTCGAGTTTGGACTAGCGTTGCTGAGTAAGTTCGCCGTGCGCACAGAATTCGCTTCGCGAAAATCCAAATTGCTAGTGGAGAGACTCGTTCTTACGACTTCAACGCCCAACGACAACCCACGACAAATTCCTTTCGACCTTCCTTGATTATATCGCAATCATGGGTCGTGGACCGTACGTACAGCCTGAAACACCCCATCATCACTCTTCTGTGCGCCCTCGGCGGACACCGGCAGTCAACCTGGTTGCTGAGCTGGTTCTCACACGAGGAGTGCAGAGTGTGCACTTCGAAGAGCTTTTCAGCTAATTACAATATGTTACAGAAAGAAGCACCAGAAGCGCCTCAGCGCTCCTTCACACTGGCTCTTGGACAAGCTGTCCGGTGCCTACGCTCCTCGTCCCTCTGCAGGTCCTCACAAGCTCCGTGACTGCCTACCTCTCATCGTGTTTCTGAGGAATCGGTGAGTGAGAAATGCCATGTTATCAGCAACATGAACTGATACAACTTCTTCTCAGCTTAAAGTATGCCCTCAATGGACGCGAAGTCAAGGCTATTGTCATGCAGCGCTTGATTAAGGTTGATGGCAAAGTCCGCACCGACCCTACCTACCCAGCCGGCTACATGGACGTCGTCTCTATTGAGAAGACTGGCGAGAACTTCCGTCTGATCTACGATACTAAGGGTCGCTTCACCGTCCACCGCATCACCGAAACCGAGGCAGAATACAAGCTTGGCAAGGTCAAGAGGGTACAACTGGGCAAGGGCGGAGTCCCATTCTTGGTTACGCACGATGCACGAACGTGAGTTCCCCTGCATCCATCAGCCGTTGGACCAAGATTTGGTTTTGATTCCACGGAAGAGGGAAATTATAAAATACTAATGGGTATCCATAAAATAGGATCCGTTACCCAGACCCATTGATCAAGGTCAACGACACTGTCAAGATCGACCTTGCCACGGGAAAGATTACCGATTTCGTCAAGTTCGACACTGGTGTCATTGCCATGGCTACTGGTGGTCGTAACATGGGACGTGTCGGTGTCATCACTCACCGTGAGCGCCACGATGGTGGCTTCAACATCGTCCACATTAAGGATGCCGTTGACAACGAGTTCGCTACCCGGGAGAGCAACGTCTTCGTCATTGGCCGTGAGAAGCCATGGATCAGTCTGCCCAAGGGCAAGGGTGTGAAGGTAAGCTAATCATGAATGCCAATATGCTTTACAAGATTGCTAAGTCGCATTTAGCTTTCGATTGCGGAGGAGAGAGATCGTCGCCGGGCTCACGCTTTGGCTGGACAGTAAGATCACCTCGTAGGCTAGGTCGCAGACTCTACGGGCATGAGTTGGGTTATGGACGAGTGAAAAGATCGGAGGCGTATTCTGGGATTGCCGCTCTACGTAGAGCTGCGGAGGAGCACAAAAAGCCCCCGATAGAGCTACTCGTTGGCCTCTGTAGTGATCTATGGTCGAATAAAATCAAGATCTGTACACTCAGTCTATGATCGCGTATTTGTGATGAGACCGTCCACTTTTCAGGATATGCTGAATGATCTCTCTCACATACTTTGGACGCAGAAGACGGATAGAGCCTAACGACAAAATCCTCCTGAAATTCGGTAGACGAGGCGAGCGCCCCAGACAGGGATGCTGCCCCGAAGCTGACATTGGCGTTCTAGGATGAACGAACTATAACGTTGTATTATTTTAGGCACAGGGGCTGTCTAAAGATGTCATCGCATACAGAAAAATCTCAATGGTATACTCATCAGAGCTGGGCGGTATGGTGTTATGTACGTGCCCGTTTCAAGCACAGCAAAAGTGGCGCTCAGACGAGAATCAGACCAACGAGCTCGCAGCACAGTGTCGCATATGTTACCAGTTGGGGTTTGTCCGTTTTCATGCACCAGCTGCTGCAATATCTTCCCACAAAAAGCACTGAAGGCTATCAGATCCCGTCGGGAAATTACAGATGACACATGGTAACGATTACAGTACATAGATTTGGAGCGTATTGCCCGGTGCCGGGATATTATTTTGTTGTGGAGTATCGATATTGCAAGCGAGATTTGCTACAGCCGTTTAGAGCGGGAATGGATGGCTGGAGATAATTGCTTATTATTATTAGTATCATCAGCGAGGAATGGCGTCTCGATAATATATGGGCATTAATTATTGTTGCATGGGAACATGCCATCTATCACTGGCCTGGAATCTGGGACCTGGCGGCACGGAACACGCTACAGGCGACTTTGTCTTGTTGTGGACTCTTGTGGGGTGTGTTTTGTCTACACAGCAGGTTTAGCGGTAGCTTGCACGTGCAGCGGGCCAATGAGACATCATCATGGTCATTTAAGCTCTGCTCTAGACAAGGCGTTAAATTTGGGATCCAGAACAGCACTTGTAAACCATTAATTAGATGAGAAGTGATGACGGAGCCGTTCGGTTCGATGATATATATATACGACGAGATGTCGAGGGCGAAGATGGGTGAGTGAGGTTGGAACGGAATAGGAGAAATGTAGATAGGCACGGTCAGGTACATCATACACATTCAGACACACACACACACATACATCCATACGTACAGTAGATCCAATGCATGATAACGACCTGCCGTAGCGCAATATAACCCATAACCCATAACCCATAATCCAGACTATCAACTTTACCCACCACCAACGGGCCCCACGCCTGAGCCAACATCTCACGACATCCTACATCTCTTCCTCTTCCTCTTCTGTCTCTCTCTCTCTCTCTGTCGCCTCCACTCGCTTGCTCGCTTTGTTCGCCTCGTCGCCTCGTCGTGTCAATTCTTCTTCTTCTCTCTCTCTGTCTCCCTGACTTCGCAACCCTCTGAGCCACTTCTGCCGCACCTTCCTCGTTCACGACTGCCGACTCAGCCACCTCGCACCATTCCAGGTAGCCAGGGAGACTCCAGAGACCAACAACACCACTGCACTGCTTGCCTTTACCATCTCTACTGTTCAATCTTCGCTGCTATCTATTATTCAGTCTGCAGTCTCGAAAAGCACACCTGCTACTACACGTTTCATCCTTCCAGCAAAATCGCATAGACGAGCACACAAAGGCCAGCTTACGTAGCCTTGTCGCGACTGGCCATCACTCCATTAATACGTGTATATCGCTGAGCAGGCGACTCTACTGAAGAGTCGCCGCCATGTTGCGGCCTGCGACGCCGCTGTCGTTGTGTTTCCTCATCGCTTTCGTCTTATTGCTTCTTTCCGTCTTGTCGACGCCGGTCATCAAGGCCATACCGCTGGCAACCTACAAAGGCGTCAATTTTGGCGTCTTCGGATTCTGCGAGCCGGACAAATGTTCTGGCATTGTTGTTGGCTATGATACGAGTACGTATGGACGCTCATCTTGTGAATCGCAGGAAGCATACCGCGCTCAAGAACCGCTTACTGACTTTCATTCTTGAAGCTACACTGTTCGGCCAGAATGAGGACTTCACTCTGTCTGCAGGTACCCGTACCTCATTGTCCTCCATCCTGATAGTACATCCCGTAGCCGCGCTGCTTTGTCTGATATGCTTCGGTCTGGCCTTCGCTGCCCACTTCCACGCTCCATCGCATTCGCCGCGCTACCTTCTCGCGCTACTCATCCTCACATTTCCCACCCTACTCGTCACGCTCTTGGCTTTCCTAGTCGATATACTTCTATTTATCCCCCATTTGCAGTGGGGTGGCTGGATTGTACTCGCGGCTACCATTGTTATCGTGGTTGGGATCGTCATGACGTGCGCCATGAGAAGGACTCTGGTAAGCAGAAGAGCACGGAAGCAACGTATCAATGAGAATGCAGATATGAATGGCTCCAATTTCTATGCCTCGCGCATGCCCCCACCAAATCCTCCTCCGCCATCAGAACCTACCTTCATGGACTCCCTACCAAGGGCGGAATCTCCACCCCCGCTATCCGCCGGGAATACACTGGTCAATTCGGACAAGGGGCCAGACTTTGCGACATTCGACCTTCAGCAGCAAAAGAATGACGACCGGCAGCCTCTGAATCCCGTACGATCAAATTCAGACCGTGATGAGGCGCCGGGCAGATACTATGGGGATCGTGGGTTACATGGACCAGGAAATGGACAAGGTCCGCCGAGAGATCAATACGGAAATTCGGGTCCTCTAGACGCTTATGGCCAGCCGTTGAGACACCAGAACTCGAATGGAACAATGGGATCGCAAGGCTCGAGAGGGCCCCCTCCTCCAGGCTTCTTTCGCGGTCGTGGAGGACCGCCTAGAGGAGGCCCACGTGGTGGATTTGGCCCGAGAGGAGGTTACCGTGGAGGACCGCAAGGCATGAGAGGACCACCGCCCCCTGGCTGGAATGGTGGACGAGGCGGAATGGGTCCAGGACCAATGATGGGCCGAGGCCAGAGAGGCCCACCTCCGATGTATGAGACGGATCAATTCTACGGCGGAGGACCACCGCCAGGTCGGAACATGGCCCCAGCAGGTTACGGAGCTGCATACACAGAGCCCCGAGATGTATCGCCACCGCGTGACTACATGCAAGACACCGGCCCTATCGGACAAGCGATCGAGATGGATGCCGTCAATGGTGTCGTGCCACCACGCTCACCTAACGGCCCTGGCTACGGTCTGAGAGACAGTGACGGAGACGTACAGGGCATGATCGGCCTTCAACAACAGAGACTGGCAAACGATCTTCCGCCGTTAAGACCAGATGAGGGAGTCGCAAGCCCGACGAGTGAATACTCTTCTCGTCAATCAGAGTACGTCTCGGCGCGCGTCCCTAGGGCTTACCACCACCTCCATTAACCATACTATCGTAGATTCGTTCCTGCCCGCGCAGCATGGAACGCTCCTTCTCAGCAGCAACAGCCGGTTCCACCTCAGCCGTTCCGCAACGAGCCATCGTCGGCGCGCGGCCTCTCTCCAATTCAAGCTTCGCCCATCGAGCTATCCGCAGGCACCCCGATGATGGCCCAATCCAAATCTCCCCCGCAGGGAAGCAGACAATCTACCGACTACTATGAGGACGTAGACCCTCGCTTTGCCCCAGAAACCACTTCGCCAACCAAAATATCCTCCGGCCTCGCATCTTCGGTCGCTCTTCCAGCCACACTGGCGCCCTCCCATCCTCACCAACTTGCCCCGCAACAAGTCGCCCTTGACCCTTCGTCGTCCTATGAGGAGCTTGCCGATGGCGCTCGCTCGCCCGCTGCTTCCGATGCCTCCCATTTCACGTCCGTGTCCCAACGGCCTGTGAATCCAAACTGGGCACCCCCGCCAGGAGAGTACCCACCGGGTCCGTATGGACATCAGTCAGCGATGCAGAGCGCGCGACAGCCGCAGCGAGAAGACTTACTCGCCGCTAATCCGGACTTTGGGCTACCGGGTGTTGGGCCTCCAGGACGCGGTGGAAGAGGTGGTGGACATAGGGGAAGAGGTGGTGCTGGGCGGGGTGCATTTGGGCAGAGCGGACTGACGCCCGCTGGGAGATATCCTGGACCAAATGCGTTCTAGCCGCAAGGAAGATAACAGGGGGACAATGCGATATTATGATACCCAAAACTTACAACCTGCGCTTTTACGGATGGCCGCATACTGCAGACGACGCTTTCATGGCTGGTCTAAGTCTTTCTACTTGGCGAATATTGTTGTTTTCGGCGTCCTTTTCTGGATTCTTTTACCACGTTTAAAAATATACCTTCTGCGCACGCACCGAAAAGTATTTCATCTCTACACAACACACTGCCCGGCTAGTCTTAGCTCTGTCTCCTTTCTCACTCTCTCGCACACACACACGAACGCACACTATACACAAACACTGCCTCATTGCCGCGTCCAGCTCACGCCTCTACGCAAAACCCGCTATAATCGTGCAAGGCCCGCTTCTTTTTTTTGTGTACATAATTGTTTTCTTCTTCTATTCTTTCTTCTTCTTCTCTTTCGGTCTTCTTCCAGTGGTTGAGATCTTCTGTTCAATGGCGATTGGGCAATATGGGTGAGAAATGAGAAATGGAACGGTTGGTTGGTGGGTTTTTTTTTTTTGGGCAATTCTTTTTGTTCGGAGCGATGAACAGGCGATTGGGAGGAGTTTAACTTGGTTGTGGAGGGATAGGGGGGGATGGGAGGGATGGGAGGATAGTTTCGCATGGGAAAAAGCGGTTGGGATTCATGGATGCGCAGTCAGACAGGCGGACGTGGACACACAACGAACACGCGCAAATTATGTGTTATGCTAATGGCCATGGTTTAGTATACATGTATGAAATACTACTAATTCAAAGATTGTTCTGTGGAGATTAATTGAAATGGGAGAAGGATGTGTGACCTACCTGCCTGCCTGCCTCCTTGCCTGCATTACTCCCTTCCAACAGTTCCTCTCTATCTCTCGCTTAGAACTATGGTATATGTGTGTACGTACGTACGTCTGTTTCCGTGCTTCTAGGGCCTCTGTGTATATATACATACTCTCATAAAAAAACAGTAAAAACATGATGCTATTTACCTTTCTTTCCTTCTCCTTTTCCTTTCCCTTCCTTTCCTTTTCCTTTCTTAACCTCTTTTCCCTATCCTTTCTTTTTTTTTCCTTTTCTTTTTGTCTCTCTTTTTTCAAATAGGCCCTTTTTCCCTTTATAGGGGGGGATTGGGGGCCGGGTTTTTTTTTTGTTTTCTTTTCTTTTGCTTCGGGCTGGGCTGGCGGTGATTTTGGGCTGGACTGGCTGACTGGCTGGCTGATTGACTGGCTGAGTGACTGGCTGGCTAAGTGACTGACTGGCTAAGTGACGACTGGCTGGCTGACTGACTAGCTAATTGACATTTGGTGAATTTAGTGCTGATATCAATGCCAATATCAATTAATATCAACTATCAATTATCCATTCATTATCAACGTCAATGTCGTGCCATGGGGAGAGTAGGTATTGGTGTTGAGTGAGGTAGTGTGGACGATATGAGTGTTTGAGAATGTGAGTGAGTGCGTGAGTGCGCGAATGTATGTGAGTGTTTGCGAGTGTGAGTATCCAAATGTATCAACGCATATATATGTATTGCAATGCACTAGATACCCCCATTATATCATGCATGCATAGCATCATCCCAAGACCCTTCTTCGGCAGCGTCCGTCCATGACTAAAACATTCCCGCCTCCCCCAAATCTACTACTACTGCTCTACTACTCTACTCTCCTTCTCTTTTCTTCTTCTCTCTTTTATCCAAACGTAGTGGCAGTCAATACGTACATGTATATATGTATATGTATATAGACACATACACACACAACAAGCCACTAGATATCCCAATACCTCAAAATGAACAGCCCCCCCAAAATAAACAACCCAAGAACAAGTCTCAGATCGAGCAGCAGATACAAAAAAAGAGTTGCTCAACATGTAGAGGACCTCCCAAAACGGGCTGACTGTGTACACGAAAGCGCGAAAACTGGGATGAGCTCAATATGAGCAGAGAAGAAGAAGATTGGTAAGGGAAAACAAAAAAAAACGGAATTATACAATTAATGCGCTTGCTTTCGTGGCAATGAAACAGAGATGAGGAAGCTATTTGCACGCCGGCCCAATGCTTATGATTTTTGTATGCGAAGAGGCGTCGAAAAAAAAAGGACGGAAAAATGCAGGCGCTTGATGCTGTGGGAGAAATTCGGACTTGCTTGCTTGTTTCGCTAATGTATTCGAGCGCTCGTGTATACGCTTTTCACGGGATAGGTCCTGTCTCTCTTTTCGCTAATGTTGTAGTCGCGTTTTGATGTCTAGCTCTGGTCCATGTGTGAGCTGAGCTTAACCGAGACCGCCGGCAAACTGTCCTCTCTGTATGCACTCGTCAGTAACCACCATCCACGCTCGTTGGTATGAACCGACTGACCTGGCTTCCACGGCTGGGGCTCGTTCGGCTCCTCTCATCCTCCTCCAACACATCGCTTAGTCGCGTCGGATGGTGGTGTCTCTGCACACCCGCCCATTCGTAGCTTCCCTGTCCATATCCCTGGCCCTCGTAGTCTGGTTGTCCAGTACCACCGGCGCTTGAGACTGGAGGGCCCGCAGTACCCGTCGTGGCTGGATAGCGCTGACTTGGTTGTGAGCCATATCGCTGAGCAAGCTCACGCTCACGGTCCAGGTCAGCTTGGACATCGTAGCTGTCCGCGTCCGAGTCTATGCTACGGCGGGGTGGTCGATACGGGATAGGATTGCCGCGTTGGTCTCGGACGTAGTTCCCGTCGGCGTCTATGACGTATTCTTCCTCGTCCGAGATTTCGGATTCGCCTTCGACAGAGGGCACGTATGATTGACCATCATCACCAGGCTCGCTAACGGCTGTAGTCTGCCGCTGGTACTGCTGCGATTGTTGCGGCTGGGATTGTTGGGATGTAGACGGTTGACCACTTTGGGTAGTAGTGAGGTAGGTACCGGCATGCGTATAAAATGCCTCAGGGGTGGATGGCTCGGAGACTGGCGGAGCAGCTACACGCGACGGCTGTTGCTGAGCTTGAGACGTGGGAATCTGGGTACGAGGAGCTGTCGTTTGCTCTGTAGGAATCATAGTGTGAGTTGATGATGAGGTGGCTGGTGTACTTCCAGACGGGTAAGTGGCGTATCCACTTTGCCCCATTGCAGGAGCCTCTGGTTCATTACGAAGTGCACTTGTCGCACCACGAGCTGCCGCTGAAGCATAGGGATCGGTATCTGTCGGGGACTGATCATCGTACGAAAACTGCTGCCGCATCTGTGGATCTTGTTCCGCAAGACGCTCTTGGGTTGAAGGCCGCTGTGAGGTGCTGCCATGTCGTGACATGGTGGCTTGCATCGGAACAACTTGGACACCACCAACCAGAGTAGGATGTCCCTCGCGTAGAGACATTGTCCGATCCCGCTCTTCTTGCTCGCGTCGGCCCAGTTCTTCCCACGCGCGACGTGCCTCCTCAACCGAAATCTGTAGCTCCCGCCTTATCTCTGAAGTTTTCTTGCTATCCACATTCTTATCTCGTTCGGCCCTCTCAGCTCGTAACTCTGCATCTTTCCTTGCAGTTCGCTCGGCAGCCAGCGATCTCTCAAGCTCCGCTTGCACCTCTTGCATGCGTTCTTGTTCTTGTCTCGTCTCGAAGAACCACCGCTGAAACTTGCGCTCGGACGAGGCGCGCAGACGTTGCAGCTCCACAACAGCATGAAAAAGGTTTGCGCCTGCGGCAGACAGGTCGGTGATTTGTCTCGACATTTGCTGTGCTAGCGGTTCGCGCCGAACTTCTTCGGTATTGGCCTCGAGCCGCCGTATCCAATATGAGGTCAGCCCTTCCCAGTGGGACGAGAGTGTCTCCCACCGCTCGAATGCGTGAGGAAAAGAGGAGACATTTGAAGTTCGAGTTTGCGACTGAGGCTGAGGCTGGCTTGGGTCTACCGAAGGTTTCGGTATCGACTGTGCGGGTGCGGATGATGTGCGTGCGTGGGGTTGCAGTGGCGCCGATGAGGTTGGGAGGCGTGGCACAGCGCCTGGCACTCGCGAGCTGCCGGCTTGTGCAGGAGACTGTTGAGGTACAGCTACTCGAGGCTGCCCCTGTGATAATGAAGACGCACGCGTGCGAGAGCCTGTCACTCCATCACCCCCGGGCGGTCTTCCTGTAGTAGGAATCTCTTGTCTTCCTGGCTGTTGTCGTGGCTGTTCTCCAATAACATAGCCACCATCTCCGGTCTGTCTTGACCTTCCCGTATCTCGTTGATAAGGTGCAGCAACGCCAGCAGCAATAATCCTCCTTTCTGCAGCTCTTCTCGTCTCGTCATCTTGTGCTTGTTGTTGCTCTCTTTGTTCGGCTTGTCGAGCGGTGTCTTCCTGCTCTCTTCGCCGAGCTTCTCTTGCTTGTCGCTCATTCATGATATCCCGCGGCGTTCGTACACCGGCAGCTCCTGACCTTTGTTGTACAGGTACTGGGCCTGATGCTGCTCGGGCGCCATTATTAGCTGCGCGTGCAGAGCCAGCGGCACCTCCTGGTAGATCCGACATTGGTGCGTTCTCTTCGACCAGGTCGGGTGTGAAGGGGTGGGGAGTACGAATGGCTTCTTCTAGTGTATAGAGGATGGCAGAAGCGGTGCGACGTGAGATGTGAAGGGCAGGATGTGGAGTAGGAGCTCGATTCGCAGAGGCAGCTCGCGGTCGCGACTCGTTTGGGGCAGGCTCTTCGGTGAGGTGACCAGCAGGTTTGGCTCTTACTGCAGAATCAAGAGAACCTGATCTGCGTCTTGTGACTGGTCTTGGCTCGGGGCGAGGTGTTCGACGAAGGCTCTGAGGGAGACTTCCGGAAGAGCTAGAAGGTCGCGAATAGTGCTGAGTGCGATAAAAAGCGTCTGCTTGCTGCTGGCGTTGCTGCAATGAGGAGATGTATTGGTCGTGAGCGTCTCGGTCGTGGGAATCGTTAAAGAATTGCGGAGACCCTGCTCGCGACACGTTTGGCAGCTGAGGCCCTGGGGACGTCAATATGACTCGACCCCAGGCCCAAATAAAGGAAAGGTAAGCCTAAAAGGCTTTCTGCGTCATGCGCAAGCCCAGAAAATGGCCGCGACAGTTCCCTGGCGAGTCAATTGTGGTTCAGCGGTTGTAGCGTGGTTTGGGCAATATTCCTCGAGGCCGTGTATATATTGCGCGACAGGGAGGCTCTTGGTGTGTAGACGCGAATGAGGTAAGGAGGCGATGGCGCGACAGTGGAATTCGCGTATATGCGGTGATATCACGCGTCGGAGATTTCACGTCGGAATGTGAAAAGATGACGGGGCGTAGGGTGTTAGAGAGAGGTGGTGTGGTGGTTGTAGTGGTGGTGGTATAGGTAGCGGACCGGCTCGGAATGTGGAGAAAGCTGGATATGGAGAAAACAGTTAGGATAGATAGTAAGATGGCAGGGAGAAAAAGGAGTGAGTTTGGAGTGTAGTGATTGTGTTGTGGTGGTAGTGGTAGTGGTAGTGGTGAGGGTGGAATATAGGGTGTGGCTGGAGAGGCTGGGAAGTGAAATTGGGTGGCAGGCGGCAGGGAAGCAGGGGAGATGCACAACTCACCCACCATCAAAGCAGAAAAACCAAGGAAATTCAATCTTTCGCATCCCCCGTCATAACGTTAAAAACGCCTCCGTGCCTTCTTTTGCTTTATTATTATTTATTTTTCTTGTCGCTGCAGGTAGCGCACTGGCTGCGAGTTGAGGTTGTAACTTGTCCGCGATCCGTTCCTCGATGGAGGATGGAGGAGGATGACGATGATGATTGATGATGGATTCTCAGGAGACGACTGTGCGCGCGGACGTCACGTCAATCCATGCGCCGCAGCAGGCAGCGTAACGCGGATGGAAAATAGTGAAGAATAACGAGGCGATTGCGATTGCGAATGCATCGATATGCAGAAGAGATGTGCGCGCCAATTAGATAGAGGTGGTCGTGCAGCGCCTATTCCTTGGACGTGATGCCCAGTGGGAGATAGATGTAGGCAGCCAGTCAGGACACAAACAACGACACAGACGAAGACGAATTCAAGGACGAGGACGAGGACGAGAACGAGGATGAAGAGTGCGACAGCTGCATGATGCCGTCCGGAAGATGTCGCAGTTCGCCAGTCGACTTTCATTCACTCTCAGTCCCAGTTCCAGCTCCAGCTCCAGCTCCACGTCCCGCTCCTCTCTGCTGCCAACGCATCATCCCTTGACCGACTGACTGATGTAGAGCCCGCAAGGACCGTGGCTGTTCATCGCTTGGCCCCCAGCAGACTTCAATCGAAGTAGACTTGACTACTAGCCGAAAGGAGCCACTTAGTGAGGCTGCGAAAGGCGAACAGTAGGCGTGCTGAACATCATTTCGTCTTCTTCTTCATCTCAAGATGGATGCGAGGCCAAGTAGAAGACGCAGAAGCTGCTCGAGATGAAGACGATGATCATGGTGATGATGATGATGACGACGACGACGACGACAACGACAAAGGTGTCTACGGAGGAGAAGAATATGATGACGATGATGAGATGATGATGGAGAAGAAGAAGAGGAGAACTGGAAGACTCGACCACGCTGTCGCATCCCAAACTTCCCCTCTTTGTCTCGAAGTCTACAACCACAAAAACCACAAAGAAGCTCTTATGATGCCTGATTGGTCGCGACTCCTCGCGCCCGCCGTCACGTGCATCTGCTAAACTTCATCATAGAACCTAACCACATCTCCACCATCTTCTTCCACCATCAACCTAATCTCATCCTCATCCTAGACATCTCTTCTCGATCTCGATAATATGGCTTTCACCCAGTTCTCGCGTACCTCTTGTCCTGCGTCCATCTGGTTAAGCAGATGTAGCAGAAGTACACTCCAAGAACCGAGCCACCTCTACTCACATTTGGCCATGCTCACGTTGATCATCCTTCTCAATCCTCTCATAGGCGCATCCAACTCGCAGAGACATGCTACTTGATTCAGATCTCGTCGATATCTTGCATCTAACCCCCGCTCATTTCTGACCCCCTCCTCAAGCCTCCCACTCAGTCTTGCAATGATGGTTCGATCGTGCTGAACCACCCGTACTATTATTCATCTCATATTGCCCATGTCTCTCTCGCACCTTCAATTAGCGCTGAATACTAACACCACAGATTACTGCCGCCACAGCAGCTAACGGCATGCCTCTTCCACAGATCACTGCCCCAACCAAAGGAGACATCACGGAAACCCACGAACACCACCTGGAAAGCTGGTTTGCTCAAATCGCTGACTATCGCAAGTCGGTCCGCTCGTCCATCGACTCGCAAGCAGCTTCGTATGCTCAGCCTGAGTCTGTCCATACAAAGGAAGGACCGTATACATACCAGCCGCTTAACCAGCACGTGGACGAAATTCGTCTCGTTCGCATACTCCCAAATATTGACCGCAGCAGACCTTTACAGTGTGAAATTCATCATAGACCGCTCCAAAGCTCTGAACATTTTGCGCTCTCGTACTGCTGGGGCAAGGGACCGCCAACGAACGCCATCATTCTTGATGGCCATCGCTTCTCCGTATCTGACAACCTTTATTCGGCAATGCTGGAGCTTCGTCATCCAGAACAGGCCATAAATGTGTGGATCGACGCCATTTGCATGAATCAAGACGATTTGGAAGAGAGAAGCAGAGAAGTACTACGGATGCGCAGCATTTATGCCGCAGCTCAGCTGGTTGTCATCTGGCTAGGGCAGGAAGAGTTTGACACCAAACGGGCCTTTGATCATTTAAAGGCACTTTCAAAACGACATAGGTATATCAAGTCTATGCCTCCAGTCACATGGACCAGTCTTGCAATAAGAATGGCGCGACTTCCTCTCACTCTAGCATATGCCTCGTGCCATGTCGCAGCAGAGTCTCCTCTCGCTGCTGGTTTCGCGTTATACTACACCTTCTCACTGCTGACCGAAGCTTCTTCCAACTGGACAGGGACTAGGATATTCCAATGGCTCGTCAGACTAGGTTCCATTGTCGCGTTATACAAGATCTTGAGGAGGTGGATAACAACGACACTCGCAGAAGACGATCGCATCCCAAAAGTCGACGTGTCCATCAACGACATCGCTGCTCTACGAGACTTCTTCGAATGCGCATGGTTCGACCGGACATGGATTATTCAAGAGCTGGCCGTTGCCCGACGAGCAAGATTCGTCCGCGGCACCCAGGGCATAGACAGCGAATCCATCACAAGCGCATGCGCCGAGATACGACGCAACATAGCAAATAGCAGAGATAGTCCTTACATGCACACCAAGTATCAACGCTTCACCCACCTTGGCCGCTTTCAAGACATCCGGCACCACGAACACGGACCAATCTTCCAACGCTGGGGTCGATACCAACAAAGCTTGTTGTATCTGCTCAGCGCCTTCTCGCCCATGGACTCAACCGACCCTCGCGACAAGGTATACGGCCTCCTAGGCCTATCCCAAGAAGACCGTCCCGGCACTCCAAACCCTACCCGCGTCGTCCCAGACTACACACGTCCCGTCGTCGACATCTACACCGACGTCGCCCGCTCCCTCATCCAGCGCACCCACACCCTCGACATCCTCTCCGCCTGTCTCGGCTCCGGCAGCGTCTCCGGCCTCCCATCTTGGGTCCCAGACTGGACAGCCCCAATCCACCGTCCCATCCACGTCCTGAACCAAAACTCCCCTCCCTACACCATCCCACTCCACACCCCACCCTACTCCTTCCCCAGCCCAACCCGCCTCCTCGTCCAAGGCTTCGTCCTCGGCACAATCTCCAAAGAACACACCGCCCTCCGCGCCCTCCAACTCCCCTCACCCTACACCCCCCACCTTCCCCCCATCACCACCCTCACCACAAACACCCTCTTCTTCCTCCTCCTCCACTACACCTCCCGTCTCCTCCCCTACATCGCCCTCCTCCCCGGCCTCACCTCACTACTCCGCCGCGCCGCCACCGCCGCCACCCCACTCGGCCTCGCCCACCTCTTCACATTCGCCTCCGACGTCCACGCCAGCCTCCTCGACAGCGGCACAGAATACATCTTCCCCAAATCATGGGCCGCTCTACAGGCTACATACACCGCCCCGCTGCACCCGCACCACACACTCGTGAGTAGAGGCTTCGCCGTAGATGTTGCGTCTGGTCTGAGCGTAGTGCCCGGGCTATGTACGAGCTATGCGGCTGATGTCTCAGCGGGCGATTTGCTGGTCATGTTGCTTGGTGCGAAACAGCCGTGTATTGTGCGGGAGGTGGAGATGGGGTCTGATGCTGGGGGTGGTGATTGGGGGCGTTGTTATGTGTTTGTTGGGCCGGCTGAGTGTGGGGGTTTCTGGATGCATGCCGTTGCGTGGAGGAAGGTCCGGGAGGCCTTTGCGCTGGGTCGGATCCGGGTGCTTGACTTTGAGTTGTGTTGAGGGTGAGTATAGGTAGGTGTGTGCGTTAGGTAGGGTGGGTAGATGGAGGGCGGCACAAGACGCATTCGACGACGAGACGAGAGGGCCTCCTCAGCTCAGTCCAGCTCAGCTCAATCTCAATCCAGCTCATACTCAATAATCAATTGGATCTATCTAGATCAACGCATCGCATGATCTAGAACCTTCCGTCCTGCTCTATCCGACCATATGACTAACCAACTATCTCATAATCCCAGCCCCTGAAATCGACGTGTCTATCTATCTATCCATCAATAACCCGCATCCATTAAACCGCCAACCAAAAAAAAGCAGCATTCATGCGCAGTGCATAATGTGTGGATCACACTCGTGCTAGTCACGAAATAGATCGACCTAGATAAAGTTTCAGTACGACAATACTCATGGGGGGAAAAGAAACGATACTCGCTCCCAAACCAAGAATCCCGCAGCAGCGCCCATATGTCTAAACGCACTCCACGTCTTTTCCCATTACGCACTCCTTACTTTCCCTCTCGTCCTACAGTCCCTCGTCACTATCCTCTTCTTCCGCATGGCCTCCAAACTCCACCTCGAACCTCCCCGGCTCACTCGTGACGTGCCCAAACACCTCCCTAGCCCACCCATGTAGCATAAACCCCCACGCACTCTTTCCCTCGCTCACGAGCGCGTTACCTGCGTGCACAAAGGCAATCACAATGGAGCGGGCGCAGCCAAACGGCACGATGGCGTGGGTCCGGTCCAGTGTCGGAAAGGTCGTCGGAGGCGAAGACGGCGGCGAGGGAAACCCGAAATCCAGTGGGGGCGATGAAGCAGGCGTTTCCGGTGGCGGAAAATCAATACCCCATCCAAAGTTCCGCAGTACTGACAGCGCTGCGAATGTCATGAGCATTGTGGATGAAGGAGACGTCGGGTGTGACGCAGCTTCGTGCATGAGGGTCCGCGCCAGGAATGCGGGTGCGAGGCGAGGATACGTTGTTTGCCTTTCGCGTGGATATGTGTCCTCGAGCTCATGGATGCTTGTCTTGACATCCTCCATGTTCAACCTCCCTTTGGTCTCCGCATGTTCGTACCTGTCCAGTACTGCCGTCCTCATTTCCAGTACGTCCTCGCACACCGCACTCTCACGCATGCACAGTTCGCAAATACACTTGAACCCCCACGTCTTAGCCAGCCTCTCGCGACGCACTGACACGTCTGGATCCAGTACGCAGTAGGAAATAGTGATCTGTTCGCCCGGTGCGATATCCCGGATGGCGCGAAGCATGATCGCGTTACCAACAAAGGAAACTGTAGCGTTGGGCGCACACGCATGGTTCGCATAACTAGCCTGTGGCCACACCCCGACGATCAGGCCCTTTGCGGTCTGTGCATCAGGGTCAATAAAATGTTCTCCAGACGGCGTGCCGCCGTTCTTGAGCACGATATTGTGGATGAGGAAGGTGTCGAGCACCGGGTGTCCGTCAACGCGGTGAGTAGGTGCACATGCGGGTGCGTAGGATCCGGCGTAGAGATTGAGAAATTTCGTGGCCAGACAGGGGTTCTTTCTCAGTGTCTGGACGATGCTGATAAAGAGCGGTGGGCCATCGGATTCAGTCCAGGTCCTGGACTGTAGGTCCATAAGCACATGGCCGGCGGAGGCGGCGCTGGGGCTGGAGGTCGCGATTGGATTGTCGAGAAGGATGAGGCCACCTGGAGCGAAGGCTTGAACGGCGATAAGACCTCGACCAGCTCCTTCGACAGGACGCCCTGTGACGGCAGAGTGATATTGGGCGGGACAATAGGAAGGGTTGGCGAAGAGGTAGGCAAAGTCGTATATCCCGGAAGACTCGCGGAGATGCGTCAAAACGACTGATAGAAAGTGACGAGCAGATTCGTTGGTAGGATAGGAGGTAAGAAGTGTTTCAAGTTGCGCGCGAGACTTCATATATTGGCCAAGGACCAGGTAGGCTTTCGCGGAACGGAACAGAGCTTTTTCATCAACGGCAGAGTGCCCAAGGACGGAGAAACAGTCACGAAGGGCGTTTTCGTAATAGCCAGCGGAGAGGTAGGCTTGAGCTCGATTACGGTGTAGGTCGAGTGTGGTCGGAAGGAAGCTTGAGCGTCTAAAAGAGAGACCGTTTGTGTAGGCCCGTATTGCACCAGCATAGTCTCTATCTTTCATGGCCTCGTTTCCGATCATCTTCCACGTATCTGCATCGTCACGCACCGGCTTTCGTAGACCTTGAGGTATGCTGCTGTGTTTAGGGGGTAGTAGAAGCAGGTCTGAGACGTGATCTATCCTGATCATAGGCAGTTGGCCACAAGAGATCTCGTAATACGGATGCTTTATTGCGACATAGTCCCACCTTCGAAGGTATTGATTCGCTTCGATCGAAATGTCTTGATGCATAAGCATAAAGTGATGAGCATCGCCTGCGCTGTCTTCTATCACAGTAATAAGATTGGATCCAGTGAAAGTGGGATCACAGGCGATCCTGCCTAGAAGGACGCGTCCCTCGTTGTGGTCTTCGGCCTTGAGAGATTTGATTCCGATTGAGGTGAGTTCGGAGAGCGGCTTTGTGCAGGGATAGTAATGTTTGTGTATGATATATGGACGAAAACTGAACTTGTCGATATCTTGAGCCGGACCAGAGATGATGCTCGCAGCCTTTTCATCCTTGTATGCTTCAAACTCCTCGATCACTCTCTTTCTATCTTGACGAATCAACTTCTGTCCTTGTAGCTCTTCGGAGCGCCTGGCAGCCAAAAGCTCTTCCTGAAGCTTCTCTTCACATTGTGCGACGAAAGACGAGTGTAAAAGCCTCGGTGGCATTATTGTTGGAATAAGGCGTCGAAGGGTGATGAATGAACGATGACTGAGATTGCGAGACGACCGTAAACAGGGCTGAAGCGCGGATGGCGACCAGCTCAGGTGAGATCAAGCTTATGGAAAGGGGAAGTCCGTCGATATTGCGTTCAGCATGTGAATATGAAGACTCAAAGGCCCATGCCTGAAGATAATAGTCTTGAGCGAGACCGTTCGGTGGGAATAAAGGAAGAAAGAAAGGAAAGGTGCAGCAGGACTCAAACATACCTGTGTATTTGTATTCTGACTCGGTGTTGAGCATAAATTATTGCAGGTAGTGTTCACTTGCTGAAGCGTCGCAACACAGGCTATTGATATCTTTGTTTCTTATATGCGTGGTTTCAAGGGTCGAATATACAGCGATATGACACGTAAGGTGAGCACGCATACTTGGGTCAAGTCATCAAGTCAAGTTCATGGTGATAGGCATTTATTGTCGGTCATACCTAAGGTATCCGTACCTTCCAAATTAGCAAACATCCTCAACTTCAACTTCACCGCCATCCCGTGGTCCCAGGTCAGAACGTAAGGCTCGGTTGAACAACTCGCGCAGCATCTCAAAACAAATGCCTGAGATGGCTGGATCGTATCGTCCTTTGCTCAGCTCATCGCGGATGAACGCATCTGATCGGGGTCAGTGAAAGTCTAGGAGCTCATCAAACAATGTAAACTTACGCTGTGCCCAAGCAATCTCGTAGAAGCTAAAATTCACTCCTTTGTCGTGAAGTGTTTTCCGGATCAAATCACGACCCGCAGGCGGAACGTGGTTGTCCATCTTCCCGAATATCTGTGTTTCGCCGATCAACCAACCTTGAAATGCAGAACATTCAGAGCAGAAGGGGCTTGGGTTCATACCATGACAAGTTCACCCTTGATATCCCCCGCTCTCTCCAAGCTGTCGTCGTTCTTGCCTTCTCCCAGACTATGCGAGTGAATATCCGTGGCGAAATAACACACAGCGGCACTGACTCTTCTGTCAAGCGCACAACGATACGCTAGATGGCCACCCAGACACATCCCTGTAGCTCCAATCTTATGTGGAATCAGAGTCCGGTACTTTTTGGTTAAGTAGAATACATACCTTGCCTGTACACGTCGGTAGAGATAAGAGAGCATCAACAGAGAGTGTAGCATCCTCATCGTAGGCTGATACCTTCTTGGTAATCTTCCATTCGTTGCCTTTGTCAGTGCCGGGCCCATCGTAAGCCAAAGCTTCAGGGCCAGTGAACTCGTGGTATGATGAAGGAGCAGCGACAATGTAGCCCTGTGAAGCGATTTGACGAGCGAAGCGCTGAACAGGACCGGTAACTATCACCCATTCATGTCAACATGCAGAGGTTCAAAGAACGGGAGAGTAGGGTGCATGGCTTCTGTAAAAGGCCTTTTACGTCCTTCTTAGTCGTTCTTAATCCAAACGTACCTTGATATATCTCACTAAACACGACTACACCCGGGAATTTTGCCTTCGGGTAGTTTGCAATCGTGGGATGAAATATGTATATACCTATGGTCATATTAATTAGGATTGTAATGCGGAACAGGATCTATGGGCGTGTATCATCATACGCATGTCGCCGCCAGCCTTTGTGGCGACATCTTTGTGAGTCTCCTGTATGAGCATTGTAGTGTGCAGAGACGAATGTCTATAGAAATACGATAAATGTCCAGATCCCTCTTGTACGGGACAATGTTTTGTCAAAAGCTCAGCTCAGCTCACTATGTATGTAAGTTTTGAATTGCTGCATGCGGTATGATGAGGGAAAAGGTGGGGGGGTTTTTAGGATGCGTGCCCCACATTTGAACGAAAGCATCAAGTAGACCGAGTAAAGGGAAACATTTTTATTGTCGAGAAGATCTCAAAAGAATATAGCACACTAAGCTACGCCGATAGATCGCCTAAGCATAGACTCGCATGCTACGAGCTTGAGTCGGCCAGCTCCTTATATCAAAGATTTTGTGCACCGCGTAAGCTATGCATTTTACGTCTTCCATTCGTCTCTTCCCTATCATTTGGAACAGTACCACCCTCAACTTAGCTGTGCTACATACATAAAGCTAATAGACCTATGGTATATCTCGAGATCACTGGGTAGGTGCAATTATCAGGTCATCGGCAGGGCATATATCCAGTCCGTGGAGCACGTCAACGCGCAAAAGCTCACTTTTCCACCATGATAGATCTTTTTTGGTGTTTGGGGTTGGCCGTCCCTGAGCAGGAGAGCCTGGCCTGCTCTTAATTTTCTTTTAGCAGATAATGCTGTTGTTCTGGCTCCTCAGGACTTGATTTGTTGGTAGAACAAGATGTATGCAACCTTGTTGTCCTTGTATCCGCTCTTGTCCTTTGGAGTGTGCTTCCCGGTGGTGCTCGGCGTGGCAGTACCATTGGCTACGCCGGTCCACTTGCGTCCGGGTTGGGCGTTGGCATCCTTCCATCCTCCCTCTTCTGCCCGTTCCTGCTCCTCACCAAGACCCTCAAAAAGGTTGCGATGCCTGCTTTGGTCGCGCTTGTGCTGTTCCAAGGCCGTAGCAAGGAGCTTGGGGTCTTCTTCGCTCCCTCCTTCCGCGACATCGTCGCTTCTGATACGTCGGATGATGGTGTCGTCAATGCGAATCCATTCTCGTCCTTCTTGGCGGCGTACGTCGACGGTGTAATGACCTCCACTGGCATTCTTTCCGTGGTGATAGACTACACTGATCAAACGATACTTTGGAGGACCGCCATGCGCTGCAAGCCCAGCACGCTTGCTGGGTGGGAACACTTCTTTGGGAACCTCAAGCTCCAGGGGATATCCGACCTTTTTCCAGATCTTTTGCGTACCCCCGGCATTGTCGTACTGGAAGCGCTTTAAGTGAAGGATGAGCACCGGTGGCAGGCTGTCGATAAAGACTTGTTTGGTAGCCGACTTTCCTGGTCCGCGTGGAGAACTGAAATCACCGTGCAGTGTTTCCGGTTGAGTCAGGCTCCTCAAAGCATCGACGATGTTGCCAACATGAGGAGCCCCAATGTCAAGCTGGAGCGGCTGATATGGCTCGAGAGTAACAGATGTTTTGGCACCTGGGACTCGGAGCTCTGAACGGAGTTTACCTCCAAATATTTTGGTAATGGGTGAGTCCAGATCGATGCTCCCGGAGGAGCGTGTGACTGCTGATTTCTGCTTGGGTCCGACTTCCAGCCAGCCTGCATCTGTTGAAGATGTGCTCGGAGGTGAGCTTACGTTGGTGTCCACAGCTTCGCCATTCGCGGGCAATCTCCCCATCACCTGCGCAATCTCATCGTGCAATCCAGTCAATAAGAAGCCCAGGAACTCCTCTGCGTCCTGCTGATGTCCTCGGGGCATGTGAGCAAAGCTTGCTAGCCTTCGAATGACCTCGTATACATATTCTGGGGTGAAAGCCTCCCCGTATTGTTCAAGTTCGGTATCTTTGAGCCGCATGCGGAGTTGTTCTACGGAAGTGGCTGAATCGATAACTTGGTATTCGCGGAGGAACATGATCCTAAACATATTAGCCATAGTAAATATCGCAGAACAAAATACTCACATCGCGTCGATCAAAGGAGTGTCTGACTTGAAGCTGTGCGCAGCTCGCTTGCCGACCTGATCAATGAAATCATAAAAGGGTACACAGAAAACTAAAGCTTGCAGAATCTAGTGCACGTTAGTTGCATATATCGCAAAAGGTTCACCATGCTTACAGAATTCATATAGCACATATTGCCGGTATTCACGAGGCCGCGGGGCTCAAGAAAGGCAACTTTGTTGTCGGATTCGACGGTGTAGGCAGTGAGAACGTCAGAGATAGTGGCGTTCTTATTAATGGGAAATCCGTTCGATCCTGAAGCACCGTTCGCTGCTGCAGGCGATGCCTGAACAGCAGCTGCGGGATTCTTGAGACGTACTAGCTCAGCCCAGGATTTGGGCGCCGCAGGAGGTGAAGAAACTGTAGCTGCCTGCTCGCTCCCTACGACAGTGGATTGAGATGCAGCGAAGTCTGTCGTCGGCTCTGTAGAGCTGTCGGTAGCGTTTCCATTGACATTGGGACGGGGGGACTTTTGACTTTGTGGCACAGCAGGCCGCAAGGGTACTATTGGCACAGCAGGTATTGTTGAACTCCGGGTATGTGATTTGACAGTCGGAGTCTTGTCACTCTCGGGGGCTGTTGCCGAAGAAGGTGGCGTGGACGGAGCGATAGATTCGGTCTGTGAGATGGTCTCGATCGAAAGCGTCTGATGTGCATCTTGCTCTGGAACCGCGTCTGTATGGACGGCATCCTGCCCCTGTGCTGGGGTAGCTGTCGAAACTATTCGCTCTCCAGAAGATAAGGAAGATATTTTGATTTGCTCTGTGATGGGCACTACGTCACGGCGCAGTCTCCTCCGTGGAGCCCGTGAAGGAAACTGTTCACCTTTATTGGAATACCATGGCAAAGGAGCCTGGAATGGCATTCTTCGCCCTTCGACAGATGGACTTGGTGTCTGTGTGTTCGGCTGCGCGGTAGACTGAGAAGGCGTTGTTACAGAACCTGAGGACGAGTCTGGAGGAGGAGGAGGCGTCGTAGCAGTTGTAGTTTCCGTCGTTGGTGTAGGTGGTGAAGCAGGCGCTTGCGATGAGACTGAGGGAGTCTGAGGAGTTGGCGTAGCGGGTGGCGGAGGTTGAGAGGCTTGCTGAATTGTGGGCGGAGTATACGAAGGAGCGACCGGAGGAGTACTCATCATGCCGCGATTCAAAGACGGCGAGTGTAGGTGCGGGTGACTTGAGACTACGACCGGGCCTCCATGTGGTTGTGGTTGTGGCTGATATTGTCGAGGAGGCATCGTGTACTGATGCTGTTGCTGGTATGGTGCATACCATTGCGGTTGCGCGTAAGGGTGAGGTTGTCCGAGGTAGGGCGCTGGAGGGTAGCCAGCATACATGTTCGGAGGCATGGGTGAGTGCGATTGCTGTTGATACTGGTAGTGATAGTCGCTCTGCCTCCTATGCGGATGCATGGGAATGGCAGGCGGCATGTGAGGACCCGGCATGTTGAAAGAGAATGTTGATAGTCGCCAGTCACCGCAGGCTGTCGCGAAGCCGGCGAGACGTGAGGCCACTGATATGACGATTGTCGGCGATCCGAGTCGGAATAGGTTTCACTGTCGGCTTGGAATGCTCATGTAGCAAGCAGCGTTTGGCTGGCTGTGTCGCGTGTTTGTTCAGGCTAAGCAGCGTGATGGTGAAGGGCGCGATGTTAATGGAGTCGAGTAGAAGCCCCGCGAGATAGCGTCGCAGCAGAGAGTACGCGAGGCATGGTCAGACTGCCATGCCCTTGATATGGATGAAGGATAGAAAAGAGGTGAAAAGGGCGAGAGGAAGGGCGCGATGAAAGTGAAGGTTGCGCGTTGGGAGTTTGTGGTGACGGCAGCGAAGGCACAATTCTACGGGCACGGACCACCCCCAAGATCCTCACTAACAACCGTTATGCGCAGCGCAGTAGGTAAACATTTTATTAGAGACTAGGTAGGTAATAGTCGCTTACGGAGCATTCTATCTATTCTACGCATTGGCTCTCCGCTACGGAAGAGAAGACTGGGTCACTAAAAGGTTACTTCAACGCATTTGATACGGCACAGCATACACAATACATTCAGTACCTAGTACTGGGATGGAATAACATATTCTTCCCAAAACAAAGGATGAGCAGTTTGCTGACTTTGCTCGGTCGACAAGACTTTCAACCAATCATGGAGATGCTTGGCGCACGGTCCTTGGTTCTGCTTATGTCATCGCGACTTCTCCCAGGTCCCCGCCGCCTCCTCGGAGCAGAGAAGCGTGAAATGAATGGATGACTCCCGAGTTGTGATGATAACCCACCTTCGGGCGGGCTCATGTAGCATATCCACACCAAGCAATTTCATTCTCTCCATCTACTCAGTACTAGAGGCTTGCTGTTGCCTGGTGTACAGCTTCCCTCCTACTACGCGTTCGGGTCTGCACGTCATCAGGGCTTCAACGCAGAAGTACCGTCATGTCGAACAACCCTCCGACTGCTATCTCTGCAACAAAGGCTGGTGGTAATAGCGTGCCGCAGCTCTCGCCTTTGCAGTCACAGCCCACTTCCTCTTCGACTGGTGACGGCGTTGGTCAAAGACGTAGCGGAGGTACTGGCAGTTTTGGAGCAGGTGCTTCGTCGCGATTGTCGCCGTCCCCACGAAACGCCCAGGCTACTCGGAAGCAACATAAGACCTCAAAGCGGTCTCGGCTCGTTGATGACGATGCCATCGTGCAATCTGTACGTCGAGAGCGATCTCGTAGTCTCATTGCAAGCGTACTGATGTCTGGTAGGCCGCTATGCGCTCTACAAACAGTCGAAAGGGACAGACGTCCATTACCCATCTCATGAACTTCTCGCTTCCTCCTCGACCACAATCACATCACTCATACGGCAGTCATCCACATGTACGACGCACCACGAGGTGGGGCCTGGGGTCTGGTTATCACGCGGTCGACAAAGCGAGGTATGTTTTGTATTATGTTCTTTCGAGATAATGACTGACTGTCCGTCCCCAAGATATATACATGCCAATTACCGTTTCATTGTTGATCCTCGTGGCGATTACCATACACAGAGCATGGATGCTGACGTCCACCTTGATTGGAACAATGTATTACAAGTCCTGGCTTCAGCCCAATCCCAGGCAGCCTCATGCCCCATTTGCCTAGGAGTTCCGGTCGCTCCCCGAATGGCCAAATGTGGCCACATCTTCTGTCTTCCTTGTCTTCTCCGCTACATGCATTCCGAGGATGGCACTCCCGCGGCCGAGAAAAGAGCAAGGTGGAAAAAGTGTCCTATATGTGAAGACAGCATCTACGTTAACGAAACACGTCCGGTGCGATGGTACTATGGCCAAGAAGCCGGTCATCTCCAAGAGGGGAGTGATGTGGTACTCCGCCTAGTCACGCGTGCCACTGGCAGTACACTGGCTCTGCCGCGCGATGGTGCAGACGCCCTTGGGAAAGACGAGGACGTTCCATGGTACGTGGCCGCTGAAGTTATGGACTACGCCAGAATAATCAAAGGTAGCGAATCCTACATCAGTTCACAGTATGACAGTGACATACAAGAGCTGGAGAAGCAGGAAAAAGAAGATGAAGTGATGTTTGGCGAGGACAATGTTGAGTGGATGCGGAAAGCCATTCGCATGCTACGGGAATCGAAGGAAAAGCATGAGGGTATTGGCAATCCTCCAAATTTAGCGAAGCCGGCCGAGCCCAAGTCGAGGAAGCCACCTATCGTATATCATCAATCTGAAGGGCCTGAGATGTATCACCTTCAGACATCCGAAACTCGCGGTCAGACCTCAGCGGAGCAAACAGCGGCAACAGAGGCAAAATCGATAATATCGACGGATGCCAGTCCAGACTCGGACTCCACTCCGACAGGCCCAAAAGCATTGAATATTCATCCTTCAGCCAAGCCGAGCAACATATCTCGCCTCCACCAACAGCACAGTTCCAACCAAACACCTTCTGAATACTTCTTCTACCATGCCCTCTTACATTACTACCTATCACCTCTTGATATTCGAATCCTCAAGTCGGCGTTTGGGTCGTTTTCTTCCTTCCCCTCCACAATCCTTCCCCGAATAGAGCACATATCAACTGGTCACGTTGTTGACGATGAATTGCGGAAACGAACCAAGTATCTGGCCCATATACCATACGGCTGCGAAGTTGCCTTTCTCGAATGCGATTGGACTGATACAGTCAGTCCAGAGGTACTAGAGAAATTCAAGCCTGAGATTGAGCGCCGTCGTAAGAAGAATCAAGAAAAGGTCAACAGAGAAGAGAAGTCGCGTATCAAGGCGGAGCGAGACGAAACAGATCGCTACCGTCGTACGAAGCGACCGAGCTTCTCTAACAACCAATTTTCTGTTGATGACTTTGCACCACTGGTGTCTGCATCCCCAGGTGGCACCATATTGTCTGATGATGCAGAGGCTCACATGGATTCAGCCTCTACATCGCCGCCATGGCCCAACCGCCGCAATCAAGGTCAAGGATCCTCGTTTGCATCACTTGCATCACCCTCAACAAGTCCGTCTACAAGCCGAACAGTCTGGGGCACAGCAGCGATAGCCCCAAAATCACCGGTACTTTACTCACGTGCAGAAGGCGAACATGACGATGGGTGGCTGCAGGATTGGGAGCGAGACTTGCTTGATAACGATGACTTGACCGCACAAGTACAGGCTCTGAGCATGGCAGGAGATGGTGCAAGTCAAAGAACAGGCAACGGAGGTATGGGAAAGAAGGGTAAGAAGAAGAAGATCACACTGATGAGTACGAATGTGAGGAGAGGTGCGTAGGATCGAAGTGTACGGACGAGCAGGCTGAGATGAGCGATTGAGCCACCAGCATAGAGAGACGAGAAGACATTGTGCATTTTCAGCGAGCCCTGAATTTAGTTACGGATAGCGTTGTTTATAGCCTGCGACCATATATATTTGAGGTTTTCCAATCCAGTGCTCCTATTCGCCAGACGTATGACCATTTGCATCCCGATCGGGAAAGTAGGGCCAGAAGAGGGAAGCACGGACCGTTCCGAGGCAATTACCCCAGGGACACGAAATTTGGGCAGGTCAACACCATCATCTCTACTCACATCGTGCATCCTCACCACAATTGGGCTTGCGTCTTTCGCTGCAGCCGCCGTTCTTGCTCATTCAGTTGCATGCGATGCTTTGATTGCGAACTTTGTATTATTGAGACCCATTTTCATCTGTAGTTTTGCGAGGATACTCAACCCCTGAGGCGAGAGGAAAAAGATGTCGCAACGCGTTACTCGCTCCCAAACGGGGGCAACACCCAGGTACGTGTCCAGCTATTGGTCTGTGAGCCTGACTATTGCTGACATGGTATCGAATAGGAAATCACTCGCTCCTGGGTTCGTTGAAACCCCTGGTCGACAGCGCAAGCCGCGCCGATCTGGTGATGGCGACAACTCGGACTCAGATAGCAGCGCACTTACGCGGTCGGTCGAACTCGAGCCAAAGCCTCAGAATGGAACGGCTAATGGTCATGCGAAATCGAACGGAACGGCCAATGGTCATGCGAAGCCAAGCAAAGAGCCCATGACTGGCGACCTCACACTATATAAGCATGAAGAGTTCGAGTTTGGAGGTCCGTATGGTCCACTTGGTATCATGATTGGATTCCCGGTCCTCATGTACTATATGTGGATTGGGGCAACGTACTACGACGGTGGTTTCCCAAGACCTTTGGCAGGACAGACCTACGTCGAGTTCTTCCAGCATATGGGCCACCTGATCTACAAAGGTGCATTTCCACACGCAAAGGCGTGGGCAATCTACTGGGTATTCTTCCTGGTGGAGTGCGTCTTCTATGTCATCATGCCTGGTATCTGGACCAAGGGCAAGAGACTGCCTCACTTGGGTAACGAGCCTCTCGATTACTACTGCTCTGGGCCATGGTCATGGTGGGCAACGCAGATTATTGCGGTTGGCCTCCATTTCTCTGGTCTCTTCCCGCTTTACACTCTGATCGACGAGTTTGGTCCTCTTATGTCGGTTGCAATTCTTTCTGGTATCGGTGTATCGTTTATTGCCTACTGGTCTGCTCTATGGCGTGGTGCGCAAACTCGTATGTCGGGATACTTCATCTACGACTTCTTCATGGGGGCCGAGTTGAACCCGCGCATAAGCGTGATTGACTTCAAGATGTTCTTCGAAGTGCGCATCCCCTGGTACATCCTATTCTTGACGACTGCAGGTGTCATAGCTCGGCAGTATGAGGACTATGGATACGTTTCTGGTGAAGCGTGGTTCTTGCTTCTTGCGCATTGGCTCTACGCAAATGCATGCTCCAAGGGCGAAGAGCTTATTGTCACGTCTTGGGACATGTACTTTGAGAAATGGGGCTTTATGCTGATTTTCTGGAATCTTGCTGGTGTACCACTCAGCTACTGCCACTCGTCCATCTACCTTGCCAACCACCCTCCTTCGCAGGTTGCGTGGAGCAAGCCGGCGCTGGTGATTTTCTTTGCCACGTATCTGTTCGCCTACTGGGTCTGGGACACGACAAACTCGCAGAAGAACATGTTCCGGTGTGAGGAACGTGGCGGGGCTCCCCAGCGCAAGGCTTTCCCTCAACTGCCGTACAAGTCGATCAAGAACCCGGTGACGATCAAGACCAAGACTGGGGATTCGATTTTGTGTGACGGATGGTATGGCAAGGCGCGGAAGATTCACTATACGTGCGACTTGTACTTTGCAATCACATGGGGATTGATCACCGGGTTCAACAGTCCGTTTCCGTGGTTCTACAGTGTCTTCTTTGCGGGGATGATCATACATCGTGCGTGGAGAGACATTGTTCGCTGCAGAGAGAAGTATGGCGAGGCATGGCTGGAGTATGAGAGAAGGGTTCCGTACTTGTTCATCCCGGTGAGTAGCATGAACAGCCGAAGACAACCAATAGAAGGACCAAGCTAACGAAGTTCTAGTACGTTATTTAAGAGAAGTAGGACATGAGCTGGTCTGCGAACTAGCTGTGCCTGTAGCTTGACGGTGAAGCATGAGTAATTAATGGTATGTTGAGAATGCATCGCTACTGGTCTTGACGGTCGGGTTGAAATGTTCAATTCCTGTACCATAATATTGTTACGAAGGTTAATTGTAAAGTACATAATGGGCTCCCCGGCCACTGTATTGTCGGGAACCGCAAGTATTGTATAAATTACTCGTTATCATCACAGGTTGCTCTCATCGCGAACTTTGGGTATCAACATAGTGCACGGTCTTGAGTGGTAGCGCCATTGTCTTGAACTAGTATGACGAGGCGAGATGTGGAAGCTAGCTGTGTAGGACGGTGTTGAAGGCAGTCTGGAGTTGGAGACGGAGATGTTATGAATGTTGATCCCATCCCAATCCTCATTCCCCAGAATAATAGATCCCCACGTCCGCCTCCGCCTTCACCTCCACCCCCAACACACGCCACACTGCCGAGCTTTCTTGGACATGCCCAACAAAACAACCAATCAGATCGGTCGGCAGACGCACTCGGTCGGCACGGCGCGTGCTAGAGGTGCAACCCAACCAGCTGCTCGGGACTCGTCTGTATCTTCTATCTACAAACCACAGCAGGCGTCTTTGTCGGAGAGTCTTGGCTACTCCTGGCTCGTGTTGGTTGGCGACGACAACGACGACGCGAGTGGTGGCTAATGTCTCGACATGCATCTATAGCCTATATATCGTCGACGTTTGCGTATCGAGCGGCGGCGGCGGCATGGCATCTCATGAATGAAGCCAGCCTATGTATGTATCAGTTATCTACTTGAAGACCTGTACTCGTCACGTCAGATAATTACTCCTTCATTTCCATCCCCAGCTTTGCCTCTGTAGTTCACGGTTCGCATTGCACGCAGCACACCTTTCCATAATAAGGACACCCTGCATTTGTCGCCAGTGCCACTCTTTGAGCCTGTGTCCTTGGCCCTGCTCTCACTTGCATATTCAGCCTGACGCCTCTTCTGATAAGAGAGACGCTGCCAACACGGCGTTCTAGGCCAGACCTCGCGTCAGACCTTCCTGTTGTCCCTTCCAGCACTATACTTGTCAATTAATGCACGCCGCATATTGATATAGATTATACCTCCCAGCACCCAACCGCTACATTCCACGAGCTCCGACTCGACTGCAGCGACCCACTCCGGAACAATACCAGACTTTGTGCTCGGGAGAGCCTATTTCGACTCCGCCTTGCTAATCCACCCTTGAAAGGCGGAGGACCCCGCAACGCCCACTTGCGGGCAGAATGCTGTCGTCTGCCAAGGGCGGAAACGCCGCCTATGCGAATGTCCAGGGCGTTTATTCTCATGTCTACGACCCGAATGAGCGCCGTCGGCTTGCCCTTGCTGAGGTTGACAGAGCGCGGTTTAGCTGGTATCATGCGAGGCTGGTGGTGGTGACTGGGGTGGGGTTCTTTACGGATGCTTACAGTGTATGTCTACGTACTCGAGAGAGAGCGGATGGACGGCAGGACGGATTACTGATTTGTGGTCGCAGCTGTTTGCTATCAACGTGACCATCGTCATGCTTGGTATGGCCTTCTGGCACGATTCGAACGCCGGTGTTATTCCTCATGGCGCAGATACCGCTATCAAGGTCGCTACCTCGGTCGGCACGATATTTGGCCAAGTGTGCTCCCTCGATCCTATCTGACAGACATAAGACTGCTCGCTGACACTTGTAGGTTGTCTTTGGATATCTCGCCGACGTGCTGGGCCGAAAGCGAATGTACGGCGTGGAGCTTGTTATCATCATCACTGCAACACTCGGCCAATCACTTTGCGCCCCCTCGAAAGCAATCAGCTTCGTCGGCATCATGGTGTTCTGGAGAGTGCTCATGGGCGTTGGGGTTGGCGGAGACTACCCCATGTCGGGAGTGATAACGGTATGAGACGATGGGGTTGGCTTGGACGAACAAGTTACTAACTCTATCGCAGGCTGAGTTTGCCTCGACGAAATGGAGAGGTGCGATGATCGGAGCGGTGTTTGCCATGCAAGGGCTGGGCCAGTTTGCCGCCGCCCTTGTTGCCCTTATCGTCACTGTCGCATACAAGGATACCCTACAAGCGGCAGACACCCCCGGGAACTGTACCGGAGACTGTCTCGTGGCCATCGACACGATGTGGCGCATCATCATCGGCTTCGGAGGTATCCCCGGCTGGTTCGCTCTATACTGTAAAGTTCCCCCCCTTTTCCCCCTTTTATGCGACCTGATGCCCTCCCAACACACGATGTATTAACACCCACCTCACCAGACCGCCTCACCATCCCCGAGACCCCCCGCTACACCTTCGACGTCCTCCAAGACGTCGAACGCGCCACCGCCGACGCCTCACACTACACCTCCGGCAAACTCGGCCAGGCACGCCTAAACGACATCCACCACGCAACCACCCGCGCGGAAATGCGCAAATACCGCCGCCCACGACCCTCCCTCAAAGAAGCCCTCTCCTTCTTCTCCCGCCGCCGCAACGCCCTCCACCTCCTCGGCACCGCCGGCTCCTGGTTCTTCCTCGACATCGCCTTCTTCGGCCTCGGCCTCAACTCCGGCAGCGTGCTCTCCGCCATCGGCTACGGCGGCGCCGCAAACCCAGACCCCGATTCCACCCTCTACCACCACCTCCACTCCACCGCCACCGGCCAGCTCATCCTCATCTGCGCCGGCGCAATCCCAGGCTACTGGCTCACCGTCGCCCTCATCGACACCCTCGGCCGCCGCCCCATCCAGCTCGCCGGCTTCGCAATCCTCACCCTCCTCTTCGCCACCATCGGCTTCCTCCTCGACCGCCTCTCCACCTCCGCCCTGCTCGCCCTCTACATCCTCGCCCACTTCTTCTTCAACTTCGGGCCCAACGCTACCACCTTCATCGTGCCCGCGGAGCTCTACCCGACGCGTCTACGCGCTACTGCGCATGGTGTGTCGGCGGCAGCAGGGAAGCTGGGTGCTGTGATTGCGCAGGTGGCGTTTGCGCCGCTGGTTGGTCGGGGCGCGGTGCCCGGTGGGGATCCGCATCCGTGTCTGGGCACGGTCATGCAGGTTTTTGCGCTGTTTATGTTTTGTGGGCTGGTGGTTTCGTTGTTGGTGCCTGAGACGAAGAGGAGGTCGTTGGAGGGGATTGCGGGGGAGCGGGAGGGGGAGCGGGAGGGGGAGCGGGAGGGGGAGCGGGAGGGGGAG